GGAGTGACCTTAGTTCGCTCATACAAGGACATAAAGCTAATTAAATAAAAAATACAGACACCTCAAATTAATACAGCACAACAAGCTATCACAATTTCTACAATTTTTATTACAATATAAACTTCATTATAAATTATAAAATCACAATATAAAAATTACATACTATAAACTACATAATACAACTATAAAACTACAACATAATTATAAAGAATATAAATATAATTATAACATATTAAAATATCAAAATACTAAAACATTAAAATAATATCCAGCGCGACTTCTGCCGCCTGCCGCTAACACAACGCACTCCCGCTAAAGTTGATTGAGGTGTCTGACTATTAACTGCAGCGGCTCCGCTGTTGCAAACCAATCCTAAAACAAAATTAAAACAAACACGTTAATATGCTGTATGGGGACAATCAATGCCTCACTACTTACCGACGACTCCTGTATGGAACGGCACTGCGGACTGCTCCAGATGCACTCCTGCTATTTCTGGATCTCTGGTGCTCCGTCCCTGCGTCGTTCTGCGTGAGTCTGGGCACTCCTGCTATTAAAACAAAATGCATGTTATTAGCTTTTGTTTATCTACAAAACACAAACTGCACTTACCTGTTCATCCATGGCTGACTCCTGATGCGGCTCTTCACGTCGAGGGAGGCTCTTCTTTGTGTCCTTCTCTGATGTTGGCCTGCTGTCCGGGGGAGCCTGTAAAGATTAAGCGTATCAAGTTATTACTTTTTATCATTTTGTACTTTAATTCATTAATTTAATGTTCACTATTCGCAAACATCGTTTGTAAACATCGGCTGGCGTTGCCAGATGGCTGATTTAATCAGCTGTTTTTCTGGCTGCGGCTGGCGCCAACCTTTGTCACAGTGGCTAATTGTACTGTAAAAAATGTTATTTTTAAAATTATTTTATATTTACTTTTTTTTTGTAAAATTTTTTTTTCATAAATTCTATTCATATTTGTCTAGTACGTAATGTAAGAACAAATAAAGAAAGGCTTTGCAGGCAACTTTTAGTTGTCTGTGAGCCCTTATTGTGCGAGCATCGCGAGCACCACACTGAAAAAAAAACCACACTGAAAAAAAAAAAAAACCACACTGAAAAAAAAAAAAAAAAAAAAAAAAAAAAAAAAAAAAAAAAAAAAAAAGTTAAAAAACTGAAAAAGTGTAAAAAGTTTAAAAAGTTACAACAACATTTTAGCAACAATTTGCCAAAGTTAAAATGTTTAAACAATAAATATATGCCAAGCAACCAAGCGGCAGCATCATTAATAATAAATAGTTAAAACGGCGCATGTAACATCACGCCATTTGTTTTTTCGGCGCAGACAACTCGCTATTAATTAAACAATTAAATCAGTGTTAATCGTTTTCTGTCCTCGTTTTGTGTTTCATTTATACGTGTTAGTGTTCGTCGGCTTTATTGCGGTAAAGCCTTATTTGTGAACTTTGATACGCATGTGCAATGAACTCTTTTCACCAATCGTGCCTGTAGTGTGTATGTGCTGCATACACGCATACTAGAGTGCAACGGTTCTGAACTTGGATAGCATCCACAACGATGGCCAATCAAAACAACTCTAAAGAGAGCGCCATTCCACCGGCACTCGCGCAAGCGCAATTCACTCTCTCGGATCTGCGAGCTCTCTTCTCAGCAGACTCATCACACGATGAGCAAGCAGTGCTGCTTCGCTCTTCGGCAAACTCACCACACGATGAGCGAGCCGCGTTAGTGCAGTCATCGCTGAGAGCTTTTTTCAACTCGCAGTCTGAGGTGAGATTTGCAGCTAATACAGCAACCACCGTTGTCCCCGCTGGCTCGGACATCGACGTGGAGAGACTTGCAGCCTATACAGCTACCACCGTTGTGCCCGCCAGCTCGGACACCGACGTCGATATTATGTTTTCTACAACAACTATAAATGCATCAACGTATGAGTCGACACAGCTTAACTTCTCCGAAATGCTGACCGATTTTTGTGGGAAAACGGACAGCACGCTGGAGCCTATTACTACAGCCCAGATGCTACAACAAGCTGCAGAAAAGTCGCTGACTGTCTGCCCTACTCCACGCACTGTAAGTGAACAACCCAAAGCTACTTATGCACAACAGCTGTTGTCCACTACAAGTGCGTGCTCTCCCTGCACAACAATTGTGCCAAATACTGCTATTGCACAGGCCGCTAAGCGAAAGACAAAGCCGCCAGTTGTTGGAGCAAAAATCAAATGCTCTGCACAGCGGGCTTTTGGCTCTTTAAGCTCCAACCGGCTAAAACGCAGATTCGCTGGATTGGCGAGGAAACCTTCTGCTGGTGCTAATCTTTACAGGCGGAGTGTTCCTTCTGAATCTTCTGAATCTGAATCCTTAGTAAGCTGCCCAAATTCCAGCGTGAAAATTGTGCAGCCGAAAGCTATTACCGACCGTGAGCAGAATGTTGTGGTTGAATCCCATATGAAGAGCAACCAGGCGACCTGCTCTGAGGTTAAAATTCCTGCTATTTTTGTGCATGACGTTATTGAAATCCAGCCATTGCTGGATAAAGTTAACAACATTCCGGGCATTGGCAAGTTCACTACCAAATGCTCTAAATTCAATGGAGTCAAATTCATTTGCGAGGATTTGAACACATACCGTGCCCTGTTGAGCGCATTAAAAAATGATGACACTGATCTACATACCCATCAGCTTCGCAGCGACCGTGGGTATAGGGTCGTCATTCGCCAGCTACATCACTCGACACCGACCGAGTGGATAAACAACACATTACGCAGCCTCGGCTTTGGTGTCAGGAATGTCAACGTTATTAATCACAATAGGACTCTCCAGCCTATGAACATCTTCGCTGTGGAGCTTCAGCCTACTATTGACAACTTTAATGACACGATCCTGTCTCTCACACTGCTGGGAAACCAGCGAGTTGTAGTGGAGAGACAACTGAGAAGGCAGGATCCCGCTCAATGTCATCGCTGTCAACTATTTGGACACACTAAAAATTACTGCCGCCGCCCTTTTATCTGCATGAAGTGTGCGGGAGCGCATCCTTCCACGGCCTGCAGTGCGACGAGGATCGCCAATCCTAAGTGCGCCAATTGCGGAGGCAGCCATGTGTCCTGCTACAAAGGTTGCCCCAAATATAAAGAGGCTCGGGCAAAGCTTCTTATCAACAAACTGCGCTCGGAGCTGCCCACCTCCTCATCTGGGAGCGGCGGGCGCAGTGGCGCTAACACACGCTCTGGTCAGCAGCAGCAGCAGCATCAGCAGCATCAGCAGCAGCAGCATCAGCAGCAGCAGCATCAGCAGCAGCAGCAGCATCAGCAGCAGCATCAGCAGCAGCAAAAACGGCAGCACCTACAGCAGCAGCAGCAGCAGCGTCAACATCAGCAGCAGCAGCAGCAGCAGTTAAAACAACAGCAGCAGCAAAAACAGCAGCAGCAGCTAAAACAGCAACAACAGCAGCAACAGCTAAAACAGCAGCAGCAGCAGCAGCAGCAGCAGCTAAAACAACAACAACAGCAGGATCAGCAGCAAACTTCGCCACGGCCTCAATGTGGCCCGGTGGATAATGCACCACGGCTACTTGCAGTTGAGGCAGGTCTAAATAGACTGCTGTTAATGGAACGCAAGGTAGATGCCCTTGTTAACCTGGTGCAAGCCTTTCTGTCCACTAAAGGGAGTGACCTTAGTTCGCTCATACAAGGACATAAAGCTAATTAAATAAAAAATACAGACACCTCAAATTAATACAGCACAACAAGCTATCACAATTTCTACAATTTTTATTACAATATAAACTTCATTATAAATTATAAAATCACAATATAAAAATTACATACTATAAACTACATAATACAACTATAAAACTACAACATAATTATAAAGAATATAAATATAATTATAACATATTAAAATATTAAAATACTAAAACATTAAAATAATATCCAGCGCGATTTCTGCCGCCTGCCGTTAACACTGCGAACTCTCGCCAATATTTGTTGAGGTGTCTGCATATTACTTGCAGTGGCTTCGCTGCTGCCTCCCAACGCTAAAACAAAATTAAATAAATTAAACAAACACGTTACTATGATGTATGGGGACAATTAATGCCTCACTACTTACCGACGACTCCTGTATGATGCGGCGCTGCGGACTGCTCCAGATGCACTCCTGCTATTATTGGATTTCTGGTGCTCCGTCCCTGCATCGTGATACGTTCGTCTGGTACTCCTGCTATTAAAACAAAATGCATGTTATTAGCTTTTGTTTATCTACAAAACACAAACTGCACTTACCTGTTCATCCATGGCTGACTCCTGATGCGGCTCTTCACGTCGAGGGAGGCTCTTCTTTGTGTCCTTCTCTGATGTTGGCCTGCTGTCCGGGGGAGCCTGTAAAGATTAAGCGTATCAAGTTATTACTTTTTATCATTTTGTACTTTAATTCATTAATTTAATGTTCACTATTCGCAAACATCGTTTGTAAACATCGGCTGGCGTTGCCAGATGGCTGATTTAATCAGCTGTTTTTCTGGCTGCGGCTGGCGCCAACCTTTGTCACAGTGGCTAATTGTACTGTAAAAAATGTTATTTTTCAAAATTATTTTATATTTACTTTTTTTTTGTAAAATTTTTTTTCATAAATTCTATTCATATTTGTCTAGTACGTAATGTAAGAACAAATAAAGAAAGGCTTTGCAGGCAACTTTTAGTTGTCTGTGAGCCCTTATTGTGCGAGCATCGCGAGCACCACACTGAAATGCTCATACAAGGACATAAAGCTAATTAAATAAAAAATACAGACACCTCAAATTAATACAGCACAACAAGCTATCACAATTTCTACAATTTTTATTACAATATAAACTTCATTATAAATTATAAAATCACAATATAAAAATTACATACTATAAACTACATAATACAACTATAAAACTACAACATAATTATAAAGAATATAAATATAATTATAACATATTAAAATATTAAAATACTAAAACATTAAAATAATATCCAGCGCGATTTCTGCCGCCTGCCGTTAACACTGCGAACTCTCGCTAATATTTGTCGAGGTGTCTGCCTATTACCTGCAGTGGCTTCGCTGCTGCCTCACAACGCTAAAACAAAATTAAATAAATTAAACAAACACGTTACTATGATGTATGGGGACAATTAATGCCTCACTACTTACCGACGACTCCTGTATGATGCGGCGCTGCGGACTGCTCCAGATGCACTCCTGCTATTATTGGATCTCTGGTGCTCCGTCCCTGCGTCGTTCTGCGTGAGTCTGGGCACTCCTGCTATTAAAACAAAATGCATGTTATTAGCTTTTGTTTATCTACAAAACACAAACTGCACTTACCTGTTCATCCATGGCTGACTCCTGATGCGGCTCTTCACGTCGAGGGAGGCTCTTCTTTGTGTCCTTCTCTGATGTTGGCCTGCTGTCCGGGGGAGCCTGTAAAGATTAAGCGTATCAAGTTATTACTTTTTATCATTTTGTACTTTAATTCATTAATTTAATGTTCACTATTCGCAAACATTGTTTGTAAACATCGGCTGGCGTTGCCAGATGGCTGATTTAATCAGCTGTTTTTCTGGCTGCGGCTGGCGCCAACCTTTGTCACAGTGGCTAATTGTACTGTAAAAAATGTTATTTTTAAAATTATTTTATATTTACTTTTTTTTTGTAAAATTTTTTTTCATAAATTCTATTCATATTTGTCTAGTACGTAATGTAAGAACAAATAAAGAAAGGCTTTGCAGGCAACTTTTAGTTGTCTGTGAGCCCTTATTGTGCGAGCATCGCGAGCACCACACTGAAAAAACGGCGCAGACAACTCGCTATTAATTAAACAATTAAATCAGTGTTAATCGTTTTCTGTCCTCGTTTTGTGTTTCATTTATACGTGTTAGTGTTCGTCGGCTTTATTGCGGTAAAGCCTTATTTGTGAACTTTGATACGCATGTGCAATGAACTCTTTTCACCAATCGTGCCTGTAGTGTGTATGTGCTGCATACACGCATACTAGAGTGCAACGGTTCTGAACTTGGATAGCATCCACAACGATGGCCAATCAAAACAACTCTAAAGAGAGCGCCATTCCACCGGCACTCGCGCAAGCGCAATTCACTCTCTCGGATCTGCGAGCTCTCTTCTCAGCAGACTCATCACACGATGAGCAAGCAGTGCTGCTTCGCTCTTCGGCAAACTCACCATTTGATGAGCGAGCCGCGTCTGTGCAGTCATCGCTGAGAGCTAATTTCAACTCGCAGTCTGTGGAGAGACTTGCAGCCAATGCAGCTACCACCGTTGTGCCCGCCAGCTCGGACACCGACGTCGATATTATGTTTGCTACAACAACTATAAATGCATCAACGTATGAGTCGACACCGCTCAACTTCTCCGAAATGCTGACCGATTTTTGTGGGAAAACGGACAGCACGCTGGAGCCTACTACTACAGCCCAGATGCTACAACAAGCTGCAGAAAAGTCGCTGACTGTCTGCCCTACTCCACGCACTGTAAGTGAACAACCCAAAGCTACTTATGCACAACAGCTGTTGTCCACTACAAGTGCGTGCTCTCCCAGCACAACAATTGTGCCAAAAACAGCTATTTCACAGGCCGCTAAGCGAAAGACAAAGCCGCCAGTTATTGGAGCAAAAATCAAATGCCCTGCACAGCGGGCTTTTGGCTCTTTAAGCTCCAACCGGCTAAAACGCAGATTCGCTGGATTGCCGAGGAAACCTTCTGCCGGTGCTAATCTTTACAGGCGGAGTGTTCCTTCTGAATCTTCTGAATCTGAATCCTCAGTAAGCTGCCCAAATTCCAGCGTGAAAATTGTGCAGCCGAAAGCTAATACTGACCGTGAGCAGAATGTTGCGGTTGAATCCCATATGAAGAGCAACCAGGCGACCTGCTCTGAGGTTAAAATTCCTGCTATTTTTGTGCACGACGTTATTGAAATCCAGCCATTGCTGGATAAAGCTAACAGCATTCCGGGCATCGGCAAGTTCACTACCAAATGCTCTAACTCCAATGGAGTGAAATTCATTTGCGAGGATTTGAACACATACCGTGCCCTGTTGAGCGCATTAAAAAATGATGACACTGATCTACATACCCATCAGCTTCGCAGCGACCGTGGGTATAGGGTCGTCATTCGTCAGCTACATCACTCGACACCGACTGAGTGGATTAACAACAAATTACGCAGCCTCGGCTTTGGTGTCAGGAATGTCAACGTTATTAAGCACAATAGGACTCTCCAGCCTATGAACATCTTCGCCGTGGAGCTTCAGCCTACTATTGACAACTCTAACGACGCGATCCTGTCTCTCACACTGCTGGGAAACCAGCGAGTTGTAGTGGAGAGACAACTGAGAAGACAGGATCCCGCTCAATGTCATCGCTGCCAGCTATTTGGACACACAAAAAATTACTGCCGCCGCCCTTTTATCTGCATGAAGTGTGCGGGAGCGCATCCTTCCACGGCCTGCAGTGCGACGAGGATCGCCAATCCTAAGTGCGCCAATTGCGGAGGCAGCCATGTGTCCTGCTACAAAGGTTGCCCCAAATATAAAGAGGCTCGGGCAAAGCTTCTTATCAACAAACTGCGCTCGGAGCTGCCCACCTCCTCATCTGGGAGCGGCGGGCTCTGGTCAGCAGCAGCAGCAGCAGCAGCAGCAGCAGCAGCAGCAGCGGCAGCAGCAGCAGCGGCAGCAGCAGCATCAGCAGCAGCAAAAACGGCAGCACCAACAGCAGCAGCAGCAGCAGCGTCAACATCAGCAGCAGCAGCAGCAGCAGTTAAAACAACAGCAGCAGCAAAAACAGCAGCAGCAGCTAAAACAGCAACAACAGCAGCAACAGCTAAAACAGCAGCAGCAGCAGCAGCAGCAGCAGCTAAAACAACAACAACAGCAGGATCAGCAGCAAACTTCGCCACGGCCTCAATGTGGCCCGGTGGATAATGCACCACGGCTACTTGCAGTTGAGGCAGGTCTAAATAGACTGCTGTTAATGGAACGCAAGGTAGATGCCCTTGTTAACCTGGTGCAAGCCTTTCTGTCCACTAAAGGGAGTGACCTTAGTTCGCTCATACAAGGACATAAAGCTAATTAAATAAAAATACAGACATCTCAAATTAATACAGCACAACAAGCTATCACAATTTCTACAATTTTATTACAATATAAACTTCATTATAAATTATAAAATCACAATATAAAAATTACATACTATAAACTACATAATACAACTATAAAACTACAACATAATTATAAAGAATATAAATTAATTATAACATATTAAAATATTTAAATACTAAAACATTAAAATAATATCCAGCGCGATTTCTGCCGCCTGCCGTTAACACTGCGAACTCTCGCTAATATTTGTTGAGGTGTCTGCCTATCACCTGCAGTGGCTTCGCTGCTGCCTCCCAACGCTAAAACAAAATTAAATAAATTAAACAAACACGTTACTATGATGTATGGGGACAATTAATGCCTCACTACTTACCGACGACTCCTGTATGATGCGGCGCTGCGGACTGCTCCAGATGCACTCCTGCTATTATTGGATTTCTGGTGCTCCGTCCCTGCATCGTGATACGTTCGTCTGGTACTCCTGCTATTAAAACAAAATGCATGTTATTAGCTTTTGTTTATCTATAAAACACAAACTGCACTTACCTGTTCATCCATGGCTGACTCCTGATGCGGCTCTTCACGTCGAGGGAGGCTCTTCTTTGTGTCCTTCTCTGATGTTGGCCTGCTGTCCGGGGGAGCCTGTAAAGATTAAGCGTATCAAGTTATTACTTTTTATCATTTTGTACTTTAATTCATTAATTTAATGTTCACTATTCGCAAACATCGTTTGTAAACATCGGCTGGCGTTGCCAGATGGCTGATTTAATCAGCTGTTTTTCTGGCTGCGGCTGGCGCCAACCTTTGTCACAGTGGCTAATTGTACTGTAAAAAATGTTATTTTTCAAAATTATTTTATATTTACTTTTTTTTTGTAAAATTTTTTTTTCATAAATTCTATTCATATTTGTCTAGTACGTAATGTAAGAACAAATAAAGAAAGGCTTTGCAGGCAACTTTTAGTTGTCTGTGAGCCCTTATTGTGCGAGCATCGCGAGCACCACACTGAAAAAAACCACACTGAAAGCACCACACTGAAAAACCACACTGAAAAAAAAAGCACCACACTGAAAAAAAAAAAAAAAAAAAAAAAAAAAAAAGTTAAAAAACTGAAAAAAGTGTAAAAAGTTTAAAAAGTTACAACAACATTTTAGCAACAATTTGCCAAAGTTAAAATGTTTAAACAATAAATATATGCCAAGCAACCAAGCGGCAGCATCATTAATAATAAATAGTTAAAACGGCGCATGTAACATCACGCCATTTGTTTTTTCGGCGCAGACAACTCGCTATTAATTAAACAATTAAATCAGTGTTAATCGTTTTCTGTCCTCGTTTTGTGTTTCATTTATACGTGTTAGTGTTCGTCGGCTTTATTGCGGTAAAGCCTTATTTGTGAACTTTGATACGCATGTGCAATGAACTCTTTTCACCAATCGTGCCTGTAATGTGTATGTGCTGCATACACGCATACTAGAGTGCAACGGTTCTGAACTTGGATAGCATCCACAACGATGGCCAATCAAAACAACTCTAAAGAGAGCGCCATTCCACCGGCACTCGCGCAAGCGCAATTCACTCTCTCGGATCTGCGAGCTCTCTTCTCAGCAGACTCATCACACGATGAGCAAGCAGTGCTGCTTCGCTCTTCGGCAAACTCACCATTTGATGAGCGAGCCGCGTCTGTGCAGTCATCGCTGAGAGCTAATTTCAACTCGCAGTCTGTGGAGAGTTTTGCAGCTAATACAGCAACCACCGTTGTCCCCGCTGGCTCGGACATCGCCGTGGAGAGACTTGCAGCCAATACAGCTACCACCGTTGTGCCCGCCAGCTCGGACACCGACGTCGATATTATGTTTGCTACAACAACTATAAATGCATCAACGTATGAGTCGACACAGCTCAACTTCTCCGAAATGCTGACCGATTTTTGTGGGAAAACGGACAGCACGCTGGAGCCAATTACTACAGCCAAGACGCTACAACAAGCTGCAGAAAAGTCGCTGACTGTCTGCCCTACTCCACGCACTGTAAGTGAACAACCCAAAGCTACTTATGCACAACAGCTGTTGTCCACTACAAGTGCGTGCTCTCCCAGCACAACAATTGTGCCAAAAACAGCTATTTCACAGGCCGCTAAGCGAAAGACAAAGCCGCCAGTTATTGGAGCAAAAATCAAATGCCCTGCACAGCGGGCTTTTGGCTCTTTAAGCTCCAACCGGCTAAAACGCAGATTCGCTGGATTGCCGAGGAAACCTTCTGCCGGTGCTAATCTTTACAGGCGGAGTGTTCCTTCTGAATCTTCTGAATCTGAATCCTTAGTAAGCTGCCCAAATTCCAGCGTGAAAATTGTGCAGCCGAAAGCTATTACCGACCGTGAGCAGAATGTTGTGGTTGAATCCCATATGAAGAGCAACCAGGCGACCTGCTCTGAGGTTAAAATTCCTGCTATTTTTGTGCATGACGTTATTGAAATCCAGCCATTGCTGGATAAAGTTAACAACATTCCGGGCATTGGCAAGTTCACTACCAAATGCTCTAAATTCAATGGAGTCAAATTCATTTGCGAGGATTTGAACACATACCGTGCCCTGTTGAGCGCATTAAAAAATGATGACACTGATCTACATACCCATCAGCTTCGCAGCGACCTTGGGTATAGGGTCGTCATTCGGCAGCTACATCACTCGACACCGACCGAGTGGATAAACAACACATTACGCAGCCTCGGCTTTGGTGTCAGGAATGTCAACGTTATTAATCACAATAGGACTCTCCAGCCTATGAACATCTTCGCTGTGGAGCTTCAGCCTACTATTGACAACTTTAATGACACGATCCTGTCTCTCACACTGCTGGGAAACCAGCGAGTTGTTGTGGAGAGACAACTGAGAAGGCAGGATCCCGCTCAATGTCATCGCTGTCAACTATTTGAACACACAAAAAATTACTGCCGCCGCCCTTTTATCTGCATGAAGTATGCGGGAGCGCATCCTTCCACGGCCTGCAGTGCGACGAGGATCGCCAATCCTAAGTGCGCCAATTGCGGAGGCAGCCATGTGTCCTGCTACAAAGGTTGCCCCAAATATAAAGAGGCTCGGGCAAAGCTTCTTATCAACAAACTGCGCTCGGAGCTGCCCAGCTCCTCATCTGGGAGCGGCGGGCGCAGTGGCGCTAACACACGCTCTGGTCAGCAGCAGCAGCAGCATCAGCAGCATCAGCAGCAGCAGCATCAGCAGCAGCAGCATCAGCAGCAGCAGCAGCATCAGCAGCAGCATCAGCAGCAGCAAAAACGGCAGCACCTACAGCAGCAGCAGCAGCAGCGTCAACATCAGCAGCAGCAGCAGCAGCAGTTAAAACAACAGCAGCAGCAAAAACAGCAGCAGCAGCTAAAACAGCAACAACAGCAGCAACAGCTAAAACAGCAGCAGCAGCAGCAGCAGCAGCAGCTAAAACAACAACAACAGCAGGATCAGCAGCAAACTTCGCCACGGCCTCAATGTGGCCCGGTGGATAATTCACCACGGCTACTTGCAGTTGAGGCAGGTCTAAATAGACTGCTGTTAATGGAACGCAAGGTAGATGCCCTTGTTAACCTGGTGCAAGCCTTTCTGTCCACTAAAGGGAGTGACCTTAGTTCGCTCATACAAGGACATAAAGCTAATTAAATAAAAAATACAGACACCTCAAATTAATACAGCACAACAAGCTATCACAATTTCTACAATTTTTATTACAATATAAACTTCATTATAAATTATAAAATCACAATATAAAAATTACATACTATAAACTACATAATACAACTATAAAACTACAACATAATTATAAAGAATATAAATATAATTATAACATATTAAAATATTAAAATACTAAAACATTAAAATAATATCCAGCGCGATTTCTGCCGCCTGCCGTTAACACTGCGAACTCTCGCCAATATTTGTTGAGGTGTCTGCATATTACTTGCAGTGGCTTCGCTGCTGCCTCCCAACGCTAAAACAAAATTAAATAAATTAAACAAACACGTTACTATGATGTATGGGGACAATTAATGCCTCACTACTTACCGACGACTCCTGTATGATGCGGCGCTGCGGACTGCTCCAGATGCACTCCTGCTATTATTGGATTTCTGGTGCTCCGTCCCTGCATCGTGATACGTTCGTCTGGTACTCCTGCTATTAAAACAAAATGCATGTTATTAGCTTTTGTTTATCTACAAAACACAAACTGCACTTACCTGTTCATCCATGGCTGACTCCTGATGCGGCTCTTCACGTCGAGGGAGGCTCTTCTTTGTGTCCTTCTCTGATGTTGGCCTGCTGTCCGGGGGAGCCTGTAAAGATTAAGCGTATCAAGTTATTACTTTTTATCATTTTGTACTTTAATTCATTAATTTAATGTTCACTATTCGCAAACATCGTTTGTAAACATCGGCTGGCGTTGCCAGATGGCTTATTTAAACAGCTGTTTTTCTGGCTGCAGCCGGCGCCAACCTTTGTCACAGTGGCTAATTGTACTGTAAAAAATGTTATTTTTCAAAATTATTTTATATTTACTTTTTTTTTGTAAAATTTTTTTTTCATAAATTCTATTCATATTTGTCTAGTACGTAATGTAAGAACAAATAAAGAAAGGCTTTGCAGGCAACTTTTAGTTGTCTGTGAGCCCTTATTGTGCGAGCATCGCGAGCACCACACTGAAAAAAAGAAAGGCTTTGCAGGCAACTTTTAGTTGTCTGTGAGCCCTTATTGTGCGAGCATCGCGAGCACCACACTGAAAAAAAGGCACTGCGGACTGCTCCAGATGCACTCCTGCTATTTCTGGATCTCTGGTGCTCCGTCCCTGCATCGTGATACGTTCGTCTGGTACTCCTGCTATTAAAACAAAATGCATGTTATTAGCTTTTGTTTATCTACAAAACACAAACTGCACTTACCTGTTCATCCATGGCTGACTCCTGATGCGGCTCTTCACGTCGAGGGAGGCTCTTCTTTGTGTCCTTCTCTGATGTTGGCCGTATGTCCGGGGGAGCCTGTAAAGATTAAGCGTATCAAGTTATTACTTTTTATCATTTGTACTTTAATTCATTAATTTAATGTTCACTGTCGCAAACATCGTTTGTAAACATCGGCTGGCGTTGCCAGATGGCTGATTTAATCAGCTGTTTTTCTGGCTGCGGCTGGCGCCAACCTTTGTCACAGTGGCTAATTGTACTGTAAAAAATGTTATTTTTAAAATTATTTTATATTTACTTTTTTTTTTGTAAAATTTTTTTTCATAAATTCTATTCATATTTGTCTAGTACGTAATGTAAGAACAAATAAAGAAAGGCTTTGCAGGCAACTTTTAGTTGTTTGTGAGCCCTTATTGTGCGAGCATCGCGAGCACCACACTGAAAAAAAAAAACACCAGCTAATTCTGCAGAGACGACTCTCACAGCCCGCTGAACGCCAGCCCCAGCTGCCCTCTCTGATCCGTTTCGCACAGGAGGAACGGGCACGAGCAGAAGCACTCGCCTTGGAATCCAAACGTCAACAGATGCTCCTGGAAAGAAAAGACAAACCTGTGATTAGACTTAATGAAATGTATATCAACAAATATGCAAGGGATTTCAAAAAAGGCAAAATCACCAGGGAAGCCCTTGAGCCGCTTATCCGGGACCAGCCAATCCAAATCCAGAGAATTATACTTCCGCCTCCTACTCCAGATGAGCTAAGCCGACCGCTCACTGAGGAGCAAACTCTGGACTCGGGCCTTGCGGCACTGCAATGCCAGCTGCTCCATGACATCGACGAATCGCTACTAGCTGATCGGCAATCCTTGGACCTGCTATGCAGACTTGGATCTGCTGCTATACCGGAACATCCATCACAACCACCATAACCTCTGCTCCATGCTGAATGGAACTCACCCATGTCTTACTTCCAAACGGATCAGTTTGGCAGACTTGCCCAGCCCGTTTTCTCCCAGGACCTGCATGGCTATTTGGCTGTGCAACGTAACCATCTATTCCTCTCCTACGCACAGTGCATACCTCAGCCATGTGGACGCCTGTGTGCCTCGCACTCCCACCATGCTGCGTGCGTCTGAGTACTCCTGCTATAAAAACAAAATGCTTGTTATGGGCTTTTTGCTTCTACAAAACATTAATTACACACACCTGCTCATCTACGGCTGACTCCTGGTGCGACTCTTCACGGGCTGCTGTGCACCGTCGAGGGAGGCTCTCCTTGGTGTCCTTTCCTGTTGCTGGCCTGATGTCCGGGGGAGCCTGTAAAGATGGAGCGTATCATAGTTATTACTTTTTCTTTTTTATTACGTTGTATTTTAATTTAACGTTTCATTGTTTTGTAAACATTGTTTTTATACACCGGCTGGCGTAGCCAGATGGCATACACAATCAGCTGTTTCCCTGGCCGCAGCCGGAGCCAACCGTCGTCACAGTGGTTAATGAAACTGTGAAAATGCTATTTTTTAAAATTGTTTTATTTTTAATTTTTATAAATCCTTGTTATTCATATTTGTCTAGTACGTAATGTAAGAACAAATAAAGAAAGGCTTTACAGGCAACTTTTAGTTGTCTGTGAGCCCTTATTGTGCGAGCATCGCGAGCACCATCCAAAAAAAAAGTTGAATCCCATATGAAGAGCAACCAGGCGACCTGCTCTGAGGTTAAAATTCCTGCTATTTTTGTGCATGACGTTATTGAAATCCAGCCATTGCTGGATAAAGTTAACAACATTCCGGGCATTGGCAAGTTCACTACCAAATGCTCTAAATTCAATGGAGTCAAATTCATTTGTGAGGATTTGAACACATACCGTGCCCTGTTGAGCGCATTAAAAAATGATGACACTGATCTACATACCCATCAGCTTCGCAGCGACCGTGGGTATAGGGTCGTCATTCGCCAGCTACATCACTCGACACCGACCGAGTGGATAAACAACACATTACGCAGCCTCGGCTTTGGTGTCAGGAATGTCAACGTTATTAAGCACAATAGGACTCTCCAGCCTATGAACATCTTCGCTGTGGAGCTTCAGCCTACTATTGACAACTTTAATGACACGATCCTGTCTCTCACACTGCTGGGAAACCAGCGAGTTGTTGTGGAGAGACAACTGAGAAGACAGGATCCCGCTCAATGTCATCGCTGTCAACTATTTGGACACACAAAAAATTACTGCCGCCGCCCTTTTATCTGCATGAAGTGTGCGGGAGCGCATCCTTCCACGGCCTGCAGTGCGACGAGGATCGCCAATCCTAAGTGCGCCAATTGCGGAGGCAGCCATGTGTCCTGCTACAAAGGTTGCCCCAAATATAAAGAGGCTCGGGCAAAGCTTCTTATCAACAAACTGCGCTCGGAGCTGCCCACCTCCTCATCTGGGAGCGGCGGGCGCAGTGGTGCTAACACACGCTCTGGTCAGCAGCAGCAGCATCAGCAGCATCAACAACAGCAGCATCGGCAGCAGCAGCAGCATCAGCAGCAGCATCAGCAGCAGCAAAAACGGCAGCACCAACAGCAGCAGCAGCAGCAGCGTCAACATCAGCAGCAGCAGCAGCAGCAGTTAAAACAACAGCAGCAGCAAAAACAGCAGCAGCAGCTAAAACAGCAGCAGCAGCAGCAGCAGCAGCAGCTAAAACAACAACAACAGCAGGATCAGCAGCAAACTTCGCCGCGGCTTCAATGTGGCCCGGTGGATTATGCACCACGGCTACTTGCAGTTGAGGCAGGTCTAAATAGACTGCTGTTAATGGAACGCAAGGTAGATGCCCTTGTTAACCTGGTGCAAGCCTTTCTGTCCACTAAAGGGAGTGACCTTAGTTCGCTCATACAAGGACATAAAGCTAATTAAATAAAAAATACAGACACCTCAAATTAATACAGCACAACAAGCTATCACAATTTCTACAATTTTTATTACAATATAAACTTCATTATAAATTATAAAATCACAATATAAAAATTACATACTATAAACTACATAATACAACTATAAAACTACAACATAATTATAAAGAATATAAATATAATTATAACATATTAAAATATTAAAATACTAAAACATTAAAATAATATCCAGCGCGATTTCTGCCGCCTGCCGTTAACACTGCGAACTCTCGCTAATATTTATCGAGGTGTCTGCCTATTACCTGCAGTGGCTTTGCTACTGCCTCACAACGCTAAAACAAAATTAAATAAATTAAACAAACACGTTAATATGCTGTATGGGGACAATCATTGCCTCACTACTCACCGACGACTCCTGTATGAGGCGGCGCTGCGGACTGTTCCAGATGCATTCCTGCTATTATTGGATCTCTGGTGCTCCGCCCCTGCGTCGTTCTGCGCGAGTCTGGGTACTCCTGTTATTAAAACAAAACGCTTGTTATTAGCTTTTGTTTATCTACAAAACACAAACTGCACTTACCTGTTCATCCATGGCTGACTCCTGATGCGGCTCTTCACGTCGAGGGAGGCTCTTCTTTGTGTCCGTCTCTGATGTTGGCCTGCTGTCCGGGGGAGCCTGTAAAGATTAAGCGTATCAAGTTATTACTTTTTATCATTTTGTACTTTAATTCATTAATTTAATGTTCACTATTCGCAAACATTGTTTGTAAACATCGGCTGGCGTTGCCAGATGGCATATTTAATCAGCTGTTTTTCTGGCTGCAGCCGGCGCCAACCTTTGTCACAGTGGTTAATTGTACTGTAAAAAAAATGTTATTTTTAAAATTATTTTATATTTACTTTTTTTTTGTAAAATTTTTTTTCATAAATTCTTTTCATATTTGTCTAGTACGTAATGTAAGAACAAATAAAGAAAGGCTTTGCAGGCAACTTTTAGTTGTCTGTGAGCCCTTATTGTGCGAGCATCGCGAGCACCACACTGAAAAAAAAAATCTCTGATGTTGGCCTGTGGTCCGGGGGAGCCTGTAAAGATTAAGCGTATCAAGTTACTACTTTTTATCATTTTGTATTCTAATTTAATAATTTAATGTTCGCTATCTTCAAACATTGTTTGTAAACACCGGCTGGCGATGCCAGATGGCATATTTAATCAGCTGTTTTTCTGGCTGCAGCCGGTGCCAACCTTCGTCACAGTGGTTAATTATACTGTAAAAAATGTTATTTTTAAAATTTACTTATATTTACTTTTTTTTTGTAAAATTTTTGTTCATAAATTCTTTTCATATTTGTCTAGTACGTAATGTAAGAACAAATAAAGAAAGGCTTTACAGGCAACTTTTAGTTGTCTGTGAGCCCTTATTGTGCGAGCATCGCGAGCACCATCCTGAAAAAACTCCGTTTATTGTTTGTATACGCTGTAAAACTGTGCGCTTGGATCTAACAAATCCAACATAACCCATGCATTTTTACTCAATTAATTAGTATAAAAAGATATCTTTGCGTATTTACTTCATTCGGCCCAATTTGTTCCAAGTACCGATTACGGCGACACCTTGCTGCTGGTACATGAACCGGTAGCATCCCAAACATATTTCAACATACCCATCGAATTGACATTCGATATTAAATTCTTACATTTGGTGACCACAAACTTTTGGAGTTTAGTTGCATTTGGCGAACTATTCATAATTAGTTAACTGGCGGCCAGTCATTCATCATTTACCAAGTCGTGAATAATCAGTCTATTTAGATTTATTTTCCGAATCATAGACATGCATTCATGACATGGTCAAATTGCAGACCAACATTCGAATTCGGTTAACTTGGCAACCATTTTCACAGCTAAATTCGTAGTTAAATTGGCAACTAAATATATATGTACGTGTTTAGCTGGCAGCGAGTGACTCACCTACAGCAAATCTTTTGGTCACGGTGGCGGGAGGAGTATCGCACACTCCTCCAACAGCATGCCAAATGGAAATCTCCAGCTCGTCCTATTCAAGTGGGTGACGTAGTCCTCGTTAAGGACGAGAATCTTCCTCCCATGAGCTGGCCACTCGCCAGAGTGCTTGCCTTAGTTGCAGACAGGGATGGCATTGCTCAGGTTGCTGAATTGAAGACGCCTAAAGGAGTCATCCGAAGAGCTGTCAACAAGATGTGCCTGCTGCCTGTTAAGGGTTCTGTTGAAAGGGAAGTCTTTCAACGGGTAGAGTATGTTGGCAGCAGCAGCAGCAAATAACCATAATTGATTTGAATCTCTAATATGTTTGAATTTGGAGCCCTACGTGGCCTGATATAAATGTTGTTAATCTTAAGTACATAGGCACATTATGTTAAATGCAGTTTGAGCTGCAGTAGCCGGCGTTAGCAGCGCTCTCTTTGTGCAGCGCTCGCTCTCTCTCTCTCTCTCTCTCAATAAAGTGCATTCGCTGATCGGCCGGCTGCTGCAGCTATTCATTCGTTTCGCAGAACTCTAGCTGATCGATCGTTTCATAATTATTCTCGTTGTTGAAAAGACTGAGCATTGGGCTTCTAGTCTAAATACATTCAATACAGTTTATAAAATGTAAATAACTTAGTGTTGTTAATTGAAAATAAAGCCATCAAAAAGCTGATAGCGCAAACAAGCATGATGTACCAAACCAATTTCCTAAGTTAAACTTTTGCGGCATAACGATTTGCAAATATATTTAAAATAAAAAATTGGTGTACAAGCAGTTAATGGCTCCAGTCTGGCAGTATGCATTTGCAATTTGGGGAGCTCTAGTTTCAAACACTCAGATGCGCCGCATTGAAATTTTACAAAATGCCATCATGCGTAAAATATTGCAAGTCAGTTGGTACACCAGGAACCAGGTGATTAGAGACACTTATGATATTAAGACGGCCGAGGAAGTATTTCAGGTGGCCAGTAGTCGGTATGCTTCTTCTTTGGGGACGCACCCTAATGTGGAGGCCCGTAGATTGCTATTTCAGCCATTTGTGCCAGGACGTCTAGTGTGACCTAGGTACACTATGCAGTTGGATCAGCACATCCTGCGGCTTCAGCGTCAGTACCAGATACGACCCGCACTGGAGGAAAAGCTACCGACACTTTTGCAAATTGAGCAGAGGGAGCAGAATGCTGTTCGCGAGGCCAGGGAGTTGGACCGGCTGCGTCAGTTATCCATGCAGTTTTCAGGGAGAATGGGTGAGGTGTCCATAAACTCGCTGCATGGTCATTTATTTGGCGCCACTCCATTGGCAGATGCAACTCTTGTTTTGGCATTTTATTAAGTTACCTGGTCCTCGATGGTCACTTATTCGCGGTGCCATTGTTAGCTGCAGGAGTAGTGCGCTCAATGGGACAATTTTGGTTATCTGGTCCTCCATGGTCACATATTCGCGATACCAGTTCAACTGGAGGAGTGGTGCGTTTGATGGGACTGTTTTGATCTGAATGGTCCTCCATGGTCTCCTCATTCGCGGTAACATTCCAGCTGCGGGTGCGATGGGGTTTCTTAACGGTTTTCCTGAAGTTGGTCCTCGACGGTCTGGAACTCGCGGTGTTACCCCGTCTGTGCATTGCAGTTGACGAATTGCAGATGATGCTGCAGCCAGAAAGCTGAACAGATTCATTTTGTTCAGAGTTGCCAATATCGCTTTTGTCTGATGACATGCCAAGAATATTTTATAGGTTGCTATGTTAAAGTAATAAAGAAAATAAATTTGGGCTGGCTGGCGACTGTGTATTACAGTCGTCAGTTGCTTTCATTGTTCCAGCGTGAACACAACCAAAAAACCGAGGGCAATTATTATTCGAGGGCTAGCTGGCGATTATTTTTATAGTCATCAGTTGCTGGCAATATTCTGGTGTGAACACAGTTGAGAAAGGGAAATATTGGAAGCGCCCGAAACGAGTGATGCTGAATTGGAGTTTGCCGATTAAATGCCACTTTTGCCCGACATGTCACCATGTAAATTAACCACAAGATAGTGTAGGAGAGTTTTCCGTACCTTTAGTTTAATTAAAAGTTTTGTATGCCGTCGAAAATTATCCAGAACTACTGAAGCCTTAAATATCCATGTACGTGTGTAATTAATTGTCTTTTAAAATCATATCTGATACATTTTGTACCTTCATTTTTATTTAAATCTAATATGCAAGTATATTACATATAATTTGAATTTATGATTAAATCTTATTTAATAGGTATGTAAGCATGTACATACTGAAAATAAACCAGATCGCGCTACCAGAGTTTTTACCAAATACTGTGCATCTACATTATTGTAGACATCAGCAGTTAATTATGTTCAAATTTCTAAATTGTGACGTAAGGACATAACAATTACATTTTTCAAACGAATAATTAAATTATTACCATTTTTTTTTAAGGAAGTAAAATTTGAAAATTGATTATATTTTACTGTTATGTTTTATACCTAACAAGGGCAACATTCAACTTTATAGATAAACATAAGATACATTGTTTCGATATTGTTGAAGTGTGAAGAAACCCCTGCTTGGTGCCGTATATGACCTTAAATGATTAAATGCGCAGCAAAAAAAAACCTTACGGACGGTTATGGTTTAATTTTCTTTCTAAAACAGCATTTTTACTTATTTATAATATGTCAAAAGTAAAACAAAATTACTTAATAGCACCATAACAACTGAAACGTAGTGTGAATTGTATAAAACAAAAACTTTTATTTGCATATCAATGAAAATTTATATTAAGTGTACTGTATTTAATTTTGGTTAGTTATTTTGTAAAACTTTTTTATTTGCCATTTTGAATTTTTTTCAATCTTTTGAAAAAATGTTCTAATTTGGTCATAACAAATAGTCTTTTGCCTTATTGACGAAGCATCATACGGTAAAAGTACAATTCCAAAGCCTTAGAGCGATTGCAGTAATTGCAGAGCACTTTTTCTTTATTACACTGGGAATTCTTTAAATTTGAAAAGAAGATTCTGATAATTACCTCCGAAGATTGGAAAAATATTTTCCAGGCCAACGTTTTTGGCTATGTGGACGTAACGAAAACAACTAACCCCTTAACAGGTATATCGGAAATGCGCAATCTGGTTTTACTAATTTATGATGCGTGTATGTACTTATTTATACAAAATTTGGTATGTGCTTTCTTATAAGATTATCGTGTTCCGTTATCAATTAATTACATTTACGAGTACAAATACAGTTCGATGTACACACGGGCACTAAAATACACTATTTCATTATGATTAAAAAATTGTATCTGTATATAATTAAAATAAATTACAATTTTAGATTAGAATGTCCCTGTTTGAACAATTGCATTTTTATTGAATTTTACTTCACCTGTTAACGGGAGATTTCGATTTTGCCGGTTTTAGTTCTAGCAGATCGGTAATTGCTAATTTTATGTAAAATATATAAGGCTTAACTCAAATAAGATTTTACTTGTATTTGTTCTTTTTGTAATTAAGAATCTAAGAGAAGAAGTATTGCCTATGATATTGTTATAATTAAAATAACACTCGCATTCATACCATCTTTATGTACAATTATAACAAACATATATACAGTTTTCCCATACACATATATAAAGATAAAAGTAATTAATGTGTTTACATAGGTTAATCTTGTCTAGTATATATATTTATATCTAACTTATAAAATACATAATTTAAAAGTTTTCGAAAAACTTGTATTTATAGTTTTTGGTTGAGTTTCCCTTAGTAAAGATTTTGGTTTCAATATTTATTCTTATTAAGTATGTGTAGTTAATAAGTAAGCCACAACATATGTGTGTATGTACATTTAATCGTTTGAAGTTGTGTTTCTTAATATATTATACTCTTGCAGAGGCTTTTAAAATTGTGTCGTAATGCGTGTTCAGCATTGAAAGATACGACGACGATTCGCGCAGATCGAAAGATTGTTTCATATAGCTTCCACTGGAAAAAAAATCGGACAAGCGATGAGGTTATGTATGAATAGCTTGTTTTTTACTTTGATTTCCGAACCCAACCTATAAGTTACCAGTTCAAGGGTAATTAACTACAGCGTGGCATCGTTCTCCCAAAATTATAAAATGCAATACATTAGAGCACTTATACATACCTTATTAAATGCAAATTAACTTATATTATGAGAATTGTTCTCGTTGAGTTCAGTTCGTCTTCTTTATATCATTATAGATAAATTACCAACAACGGAATCTGATGTCAGACTGTTAGCGCAGCTTTTTAGCATTCACTGACGATCTTTTTTGTCTACTTCAAGATAGCAACGTCTTAATGTTACCTATATCTTTATATATATCTTTGGATCCGTGAAGAACTCCCGAAATGTATTGCTTTTTTATGTTCCTTCTGGACAATGTCTGCTTTATGAAATGTGTGCTGTGATAGCCGGTCAGTGCATGCACTACACAAGAAATATATCTGATGTTTCTGATTTTGTACACGCACTACCAGTTGGAGAGGCTGCGGACACCAGCGAGTTGGCTCTTGTAGCAGCAAGGGGTGAGCGCAAATCTTGGTTAAGGGACGCCTGATTTTGACCGCCTTCATAATAGTATGATGAATCTGTAATAGGATGAATGTGGAGTTGAACGTTTATCAAATTGAATTCTTTATAGAAACTTACTGATTATACCACTACTAGTGCCGTAACTGTATGATCCATAAGCACCACCATACTGTGTATATGCGGGACTATATGCGTAATCCGCGCTTGGAACTACTGATCCACACGCTAAAAAAAAAAAAAATTATTTAATTTCAATCACAGTAAAATTCAAAGATATTTTACTTAAGAATAATAAAAAAAGGTTATTATGGATAAATACAAATTTTCCCATAGCTACACCATAACAAAAAAATCATATAGATATAATAAATGTAAACATTTCTATGTTTTATTTTTTAATACTTTCTATAAGACACTCAAATTATTGCTACCTTCGTAGATTCTTAGTATTCAATATTAATTGTATTTAAAAAAAATGTTGATTGAAGCCAAACCTAAAGTGCCACCACCAAGTGTTGTGCGAGTATGCTAGAGCAGAACTAGCAATGAGCGACGAGTGCAGGACTTGAATGAGAAACTTGCCTGAAGAGTAGTGGCTAAAACTGGGGAGCATTGTGGGTGTGGCATAAATAGCTGTGCTGTTGGTAGCAATTGAATCAGCATCAGACCGTCCGTCGACCGATGAGCAATTGGCACTGGACTGTAGGAGTATTAGAGATGAGGTATTAGCTGTTGTTAGTGGGCCGGTGCTCGACATCTGTTGCTGTTGATGATCCTGGACAGTCTCTGGCATAAGGTGTGTTATGGGGATAATGTCGATCCCTCGATGATTTCCCAAATCATTTCGATGACTCTTATTATTGGCATTTTCGTCCCTGGCCAAATGGTTGACAGACTCTTTTAGATGGTGATTAGTGCTATCTATGCTTTGCACATTTTGTTCAACTCGTAAAGCGTTAGAAGGAACTAAATTTGGTGAATTATTACAGCTCCCGGCGGTTGCGTCATTGCCTCGTACCATTATGGGACTATTGTTGTTATCCAAGCTTGTTATTGTGGGATAATTACCATTTTCAATGGCAATTGCTGATTGAAATCATTAAGAGTATTGGTTTAGTTGCTTTTGATTTATGTCTTTCTTATCTACAGTTATTACAAATTTATTAAATCATTTTCTGCAAAATATATACAATTCCAATAAAAACACAGATCTTCGATTTAAAATAAACTTGTGCATGGGCGAGCCCAGCTTTTCGTAATGGGGACATCTGTAAAGTTATTTGCTTACCTTAAGCCTAGTAATAAAGAATTACAAAGTTTACAAGTTCCTATTTTTATATAATTTATATTTTTATATCATGTACTCTTTTGACATACCAAGTTTTAATTCTAGAAAGATAAACTCTTTAACATGGATACAAGAACTCATATTCTCTAAGCTTTTATAACCAAAATTATCTAAACAAAATTGAAACACAGTTTACAAGATATATCTAACTTGTGTACCATCAAAGAGCCTTTTTCAGGGCACTTAAAGCCTTCATATTCCTGACTAGAGATAGTCTGCTTGTTTTAGTATCACATACGAGATTTATTTGGTTATATTCTTACCTGTATAAAAGGGTGAGATAGTTTGTTCCTGTATATTTGCATTAAATTTCATGTCTTGCAAACTTATAGGCACTAGGGGCGTCAATGAACTATTGCCTACAGTTTTGTTCACAAAAAGGTACACAATTGAAATGATATAATAAAAATCATATGACAAAAAATAATATGTAGACTAATTTACTGTAAATTAATGTCAAAAATATAATTCTTTTAATTTTTACTTACCAATTGATGGTCCGATAGGGGGGGTATATAAAGTGCTTTGGCTCTGTGATATCGTAGCAATGCTATCGTACAACATGGACGAATCGTTGCCAACGGCAGTGCCAACACCCGCACATGAAATTGTGCTTGTTGAAAATCCATTTGGGGCTTCATAGTAAGCGGGCGCGCTGCTACCATTATTTGTTGTCAAATTACCAAGCTCTGAGAGGAGCTTGTGCTCATCCTTGATGCACCACTTACCAGACCAAATCTAAACGTGTTGAATGATAAAAAAATTAAATTTATAACTGTTGAAATATTAATCATTAAATTAGTTTCAAAAATTCATAACAGATGAGTTCGTGTTCAATTGTAGAAATAACTGTTACAAGTTTAGAAAAGTAGCAGAAAACTAGTAACCGAACTTGTATGAACTAATATCGTAAAGTGTTTACGCAATCATCATATTGAACAGTTTTTTATAAGTTATGGCACTTACATTTGGGTATATCTGATCTCCACCGTATGCCAAGCGCTGTCGCTTAACATCGTCTTCGGAATGCATGTTAACATCCCGATTCTCATCTGAAAAAGTAAATATTTTAGTTAATTACTTATTATTGCACATGTATGTACTTGTAATTATATGCTCTCATTTTTTAAATTTATATTTCTTTCATTTGTGTTTGAATCTACTTCCAACGCTGTCTCTACCATTCTCTTACACAGCAATGGCCCAATGTCAACCCTCTCTTTGCAATGCTAATTCAATTATGACTGTTACTTTGTTGCTGACCTGACTGCGGTAAACGACACGTGCCTCTTAAGTGCTTTTGCGGATTGAAAGTTGACTACCGTAGGATAAGAATGTAAATAAATATGTCGGCCATGTATTAGTTGCCGTGAAAAGTTGTTTCTAAGCTCCTAGTTGATTACAATATTTTGAGTGGCATCGACAAAATTACTGTAATTGCCTAAACTTTATGTTTACAATGATAACCAAATACAAACACATATGTTTTCATAACAGAAAGATTGCTCCAGTAGAGAGAACCGGACTGGGAGATACACTGAACCCAAGGATTTACCTTTCATAAGTCGCACGCTATTCAGATATTTACAGTGTGTGTATGTATGTTTGCTGCTGTGTAATTTGGTAAACATCATAAAATCGTATTTTCGATTTTCTCCCAAGAACCCAAGATACACAGATGCATGAGATGATTGTTGTAATCGTATTTGGAGGGTGAAGCCCAATGGTCACACCTACTTTTCAACCCCAAATGTAACATGTAACGACACTACGACCAAATATTTCGTTTCATTCTGTCTTGCTGAAATCAAAATGATTTGAACAAATTTGCCGCAAATTCCAGCCTAAGTACAACATTCACTTTGGACTGCCAAGATATCCCTAAGGGAATCGATAAGAAATCTGGAGAGAATGAACGAGTATGCGCAACCAAAGGATGATGAAGGTCTGGGATGATTTCGAATGGAGTCTATTGCTCTTTTATTGCCTGCTGGTGCCCGAGAGTATGATTATCAGAAGCAACATCATTGTATCGAACTCTTGTATTTCTATAATTGTTTCAGATATCGATGGGATATGGGAAGCAAACTAAAGCAGTTGATGGAACATTATCATTATTACTAGAACTAAGCGTCGTCAGTTCATGCCGGGGCTATGGTAGTCAGGGGTGCGATATTTTATTTCGCTATTTGTGGCGAATATTGAAAATGACAAGTGCGAGTCGTGCTCCTTTTACAAATCCATCTGATGCCATATTTCATTATAATTGTTTAATGGCCTTCTTCACCCCTCACAAAAAAAAAATACAGCCTGAGTGTCTGATTAGATATCCGTTGTCTATCATGGCTGCAGCACTCACATCAGCATCACCTAATTTAGATGATATCTTATTACACATGCTTTTGGGGTTTGATTCCGTAGACACATGCAACATCGCCGACGGGTGCGGTTGGATTATACCGCCAATATCACCACAAAGCACTTCGCGGCAATTCAACGCAATCGTCTGCAATCCCCATCCTAATCAGATTTAACGATATGCAAATCGAGGGTTTTATTCCCGGGGCAAGTGGCTTTTGAGAGGTTGTTTCAAGAGTTAATATAATTATTGAATGTATGCGCACATATATAGTATTTTACTATTACTGTTACTGCGCAGTCTGGACTTACATTTAAATCAAAATTGACATAGTCATATATATATTTCTCACCACTGTTTAGTTTTGTCTTGTAACATGAATAATTTAATCTTACCATGCACTTCATTTCGCTTGCGCTTGCAATTTGTCTCCGATGTATTATTGTTATTGTTATTTGTGCTGTTATTGTTGTTGCTTAGATGATGACCATGCTGTAGACCCAGAATCCCATTTATGCTATATCCTGATCCTGACGATCGCTGTTCAGCGCCCTGTTGGATCGGTGCAGTTGTAGCATTGCCACTACTGCTGCTATTGTGTGGACCAGCATTGCCGACGGTGGCGCCAACCTCTTGCGCAGAAACTGGGCATGGACCCGGAGTATGCGCAATGACTGTCACCGATGTATTGGTGTTGTTGCTGCTGGAATTGTTGCTGCCATTGCCGGCGCTTGTTGTGGGCTGCTCGCTACCTCCTCCCGTACTGCTGTCGAGACTCTCAGTGGCATTGTGCCCGTTGCTGAGACTTTGTGGCATTTGGTGCTGCTGCTGGTGATGGTGTACGTGTTTTGCCTTTTCTGCTGCTTTATTACGAACGATCCTGCAAAAAATATCCAGTAATAATGCAATGAAATATCAGTCTTTCACGCAGATATATAGTGCTCGCGAAAACATTTCATTGGTACCACAAGTTCAATGCCATCTTAGAATGCAGCGTACTCATATAGTACATCCATCGTCAAAAATCGTTTAAAAAATTGATTTGTTGGTATAATGCTGGTAATAGGCATATGAGAAATGCACACATGTTCTCATCTAAACTAATAATAAATAATTAAAATAATTTGCTCTTAGTTCAATAGTGTCAGGTGCCAAAAATAACCAAATTCTTGGCTCTATTTCCACTGCTCACTTTGAAACATCATGATTGCTATGATATGTTCAAGCACGAAGGGACTGCTTGAAGCACAATCTTGTGATAAATTAAGTAAAGATTGATGTATGCTTCTGCTGTGATTGCGTTAGATTATAAAATATCTACAGATATTTAGCGATTTCAGAACAGGCCATTAAGGGGAGTTCATGTGCTGTTAATTGGTTGCGTTCCACACTTACATATTTGTAAAAACCTTTAGTTTTATCTCATTTCATAAAATATTTAAAAAATTAGTATACCTTTATTTTATTTAGACCGCGCCCTTGACATTGCCAATAGCAGTATTTATACATATGTACATACTTAATTTAGACAACACTTTGTCCTCACTTTATCACAGAGGGTTGCAGATTGAGCGGGCAACTCAAGCGGAATCAAATCAAATTATGTATTTCAAAAAGGACAATCGCATTGGGTTGAGATATACTTTTTAAGAGAGCGGGGGTATGAGCTCTGGGTAGTTGGGCAGTGCACACAATCGGGACATATGTTTGGGATGCGCGGTCTTATGCTTGGCTTTCATATTTCGATTTGTTTGTTTGAAAGGGATGGTGATTGGCTTACGTTGAGTGCTGCGAAAGTCACTTTATAAGTGCTACTCTCTTGGGATTGCGATTGAATGGGAATCAAAAACTGGACTAGCATACTTGTATCTAAAAACTCTCGTATTTACTTGTATATATGAACAACTACGTATACATGTACGTACATGATTGAATTTGCGCCCTAATCATCGCTCGAGTGCCATTGAATCACACATTGTCGCATTAGGGGCAGGTTAATGCTGATTATCCCTTGAATTACTCATCATATCGGTCACATGCTCTAATACTAACGCTTTGCATAGTGCCAGTCGTAATTCGCAGCGAATTGATTCTGAATGGGTGCACGTGCAGCGTGTGGTTGCAGCATCCAAATGCTGAGCAACGTGTTCAGTTAAGTGATGGTTGGTGCGAGAACAGGCGTGTTTTGTGGGGTAGACAAGCGGTGACTGTGTTGTGTGAACAAGTGCGCAATACTTTTGCGTGTCAACTTTAGTCAAAATTTCGACGGCCGTCGCGTCGTAGCTTCCACCATTGCCGGGCGCCCGAATTGCAAATGTTGTAGTGCACAGCTAATTTATGGCATTCGTATAGCTGCGGGTCTCAAACTTTGAGCAGCTGCCTGCTGGCAGCATCCTTGGCCACATAAAATGAATTATGGTCAAAGAGGAAGTGCGTTCATTACAATGCCGTAGAACGGCGGCTATGACGACAATGATGATGAGGATGATGCCAAAAATGTTACACCGGAACACGAATAGGAAGCTGGCTTTTGTGGTGGTCGTGTGTCAAGCATTGTGCCGCAATTATGAACGCTAAAAACTACTTAGATATTTTTATTAGCCCAGTGCTTTTCAAGCCAGTGTTAACGAACTGCACCCATCAACGAAAATTGTGACGGAAGCGGATTCGGAAGTAAGCTGCATGACAGCGTGCAAACATTCCAACACTAACATATTATGGTTACCAACATCCAGCTGCTGTTTCATTATTAGCTGTGCACATCTACTTGTAAATATATATTAACAAAATATATATAATTTTTACAGAATGTATATAGAAGTACATGTCATTAACATACATATTTGCTACATTTTATATATATCCTTATGTATTAAAACCAAACAAAACAAGAGAGTTGAATGAAATTTATTCTTCCGATATTCGGATATCAACTAAAACGAGTTCGGAGAAAGTCACACGCCTCTGAAATCAATATTTCGTCAACTGGCAAAAATTAATAAAGTACCTATTACCAATAATTTGCAAAATAACCAATTACGACTTTTCAACCTTTACAAAAAATTTGCAATGAAGAATAAAAGATTGGCAGTTTTATATTGCGTTTAACTTATATTAGAAATACTTTTGGTATCAATTTTTGCAAAAGCAAAACTTTTCGAAAATAATTCAATAGATTAGATTAAAAAGAGAAACGAAACTAACCAGCAGTTTGAATTCTAAACTTATTGATGGGAATTAACGTGCGCATACAGACGGTTACACGTCCTGAAAGGTAAACGTCAATGACTAGGTCGACTCGACTAAATAATGTATGGGTTATCTTCTACTTAATACGCTTTTAAATATTTAATGAGATCAGAATCTACAAATATTCTTACCGGTTTATAGAGGATACGCTGGGGACGTTATCCTGGGAGCATATTCCTTCTGCCAGCAACCGATCACGAATCTCCCAAGCGAACATAGTTGGATTCTCTCGCTTATAGTTTGCGATTGCGTCAACTACTGGTGGAGTGGCAACCTTGGGTTTGGAGCCGCCTATTACGCCGGCCTTAAAGCTACCAGTCTCATAGTATCTAAAACAAAAAAAAAAAACGCATTAAAATGTACTTTCTAAAAATTGTAATCATCTCAATTCACAATTTGATGGTTTTCTTAACGATTTCTTATCCGATCATGACACATCTTGTTTAAAATTCGAAGTTACTAGTAATAAATTATAAGTGATACCCCAATTTCAATATAGCTCATTTTGATCGATATCGCTTTGAATAAGGCAATTAATTTTGTAACGGAACCAACAATTTTACGATTTCAATTAAAAACAATTTGAATGTCAGCCTTCGTTTAGGTACAGCACAACGATTCCCGATTTGAGCAAGCTACAGACAGCAATACACGCATGCAACCAGTCCTGAACAAACCCAGAGACCGAAAAGATTTATTGTACTAGTGGCACTGGCACATGTTGAAGTACGAAGCCTCCCAACTCCTAACACAGGACATTTCTATATATACATATGCATAACCAGCTGCGGAATACTCTGATACCAGTGTAAATCCAGGTGATAACAAAGAACCTTCTTGTGTGGTTGGGGCGGACGGCAGTTGGTGGGCACTTCAAAAAATTACTTACCTTGATAATATTTTTGAAACGCAGCCATGGCTTACTCGTAACTGGCGTGATATATCACACGGACGGACGCCGTTGTGTGCTAACTCCACGATGCGCTGCCGTACTACGTCAGGTAGGGGCCGCCCGTTCACAAACACGCCACCCAATTGATTAACGCCACCGTGACCTAATTTTAAATTAAGACAATGCAACAATTTATTAATGTTTCAGTCTTAAATTCGTATTGGTATTTCAATTTTAAGTTATTTAATTATAATGAGGTGTATACAATACCGGTATCTTTGATTCTAGCCTTAAAGTTTTTATAATAATAATAATTTATACCTTCATCGGACGTCTTCACAGACGCAAGCAATGCACTTTGAAATGTGGCGGTCTAACTCACACAGCCCACCAAGCCGATCCCGATGGCGGCAATAGTATACTTCACTTTACTTCTTATCTGTTATAACTTGGTCTAATCAGAGTATCGTAGACCACTTAAAGTTTTTCCCGTATATATCGTTAGTTGCCTTTAGCACCCTTTGTGATGCTTCGTCACTAGCGTAGACCCCCTTTGTTGCTGACTGCTGTTCTGTGGGGTTATTTATTCACATTATTACTGTACTCCTAATTATTTGTTTTGCATCCCAAAACAGACGAAGCATCAAAAGTCATGCACGGGCAACCACAAAGACAGACCGCACTGAACTGATCTGAAGAAATCTGTCCTAATGACAAACATACAGCCAAGCTGGGAGTCGCTTACACATCATTAATATTTTTGCACTTATGTATATGTATTTTGCACTTCATATTAAATCGCTAATTAAGTACTGATTGTAAACATCTACCAGTGTTTTTAAAGATAATTTAAAGCATTTCTTTTCTTTTCTATTTAACTCGAAGATATAATTCCAACTATTTCAGAGCAAACAAAATAACAAATAGAGAAGCAAATCAGAAAAGTAGTTTGACTGCAGTATCACTGTCAGCTAACGTAAAATTTATTTTTAATAAGATTTTTAGTATGAAAACTGACTAATACCAACCAGGTGATGGTCTCCTATTATTTGAACATGAGATCTTGTCGTGCGTTTCCATATTTCGCGGATGCCCATGATAAGCACGATACACGAGTGTGTATAAACAATAATACTCCGGAAGGTCAACTATAAGAACCAGAATTTTACGCTGCTTTATGGGCGCAGCGGGGTACAAGCTGTAGTGTTAAAATAGACAAAGGTCTCATTGAATGCATGACAGAATGCGAAATGGCAGTTGCGATTGTCGTTTAATGAACTATCCATTGACTTTCAATAGATGTGAGCCTATATGCCCCAGTTCAATTTTGCTCATAACTAATAGATATTGTTTGCATAAACACAGACACATACGAACATAAATGTATACATTGATAAATATATATATACACATATCCTGACAGAGACCGCTCTTTTGACTCCTAACTGCATAGCCTGACCCTCATCTTCACATTGTGTTACGCTCTTTTTGTTTCTTTTTGTCAATTGTCATTGTTTGTAAATGTTGTTTTATTTAACGCAATTCTGCCGGCTTGCGACTAAGAACGAGTATGGTTGCACAATTGTATCTTTTCAATTATTATCAGCTGAAATTAACGATTATTATCAGCTAAGGCACGCTATGTTTTTGCTTCAAAAAATATACAATTTTAAAACTATCTGATGCTATGCACGTGTCTGCCAAGTTGTGAAACAAGCCGTGGTTTTTATTTTAGCTTTATTGCATTGCATATGCTTTAGAAAAGAATAACATGGTATTTTCTAGAATGAATTAAGGTTTGTCTGTTTTGTCCCTCTTCACACCATCAATTATTTTAATTTTTGTTTAAATCTTGTAAATGAAGTAAATGAAGAACTTTTGTGCTCTTTGGGAAATAATAAAGTAACCAAGATTCTTAATAAAAAATATATAAGTTAGTTTTTAAAGTGTTAATGTTGATATACAGATACGGATTTTTGCGTATGAATTTACATCACAGGCTCGAACATGCATTTGCAAGACGCTGCTTAACTTAATTTTAAGATTATTGGGAGCTTGAAGTATCTGTGTGATGATTTACATGTGTAATATTCCATCATGTTTTGATTGTAACGATATGCCGTAGAGAGATCCATGTTGCCGATTCTCTTGTTAATCTTTTGCCGCTATCTTCAATTATAATTTGTGATTGTTGTAACAAATATATATATATATATTTTTTTTTAATGTGATTTGACGGTTTGAAAAACACTAAACACACACTATATACACAGATATTGGTCAAAGTAATTGCACATATTACATTTTAGATTATTTACAATATTCGAAAATACGAGTTTAAATACGCGGAGAAACAATGACTAGCAAAGGCTATACCAATAATAATGAAAACGTATCGTGCCACGAGAGAATTTTAGTACTTCAGAAAAATGAACGACTGTTTCTACAACAGATAAACGAAACCGTAAATGCAACCGATATCAGAATTAGCATACACATCAGAGCTAAAATTATACAGATTTCAAATTCACGATCCGCGACTCCGGATAGTGGCGAGGCGTTTGGTGCTAGGCTCAGTGCCGTTGTCTATTCTTGTTCATTGCATTCGTGTAAGCGCGAACCTCCTTTATATTTTTGCTTGTCGTCGTCACGTTGTTTTACTTATTATACATTTTTTTTGTTTCGTTTCCAGTGCCGTGAAATATTTCTAGCCATTTTTTCCGGACTGTTTGCTGTCAGCCGCAGAGATCCTGCGCACGTTTTGTTTCTTATCTCTTTCTATGCGTGTGAGTCGTGCGTGTGTATTTGTGTGCGGGCGCCTGCGATTGCAGCTCGTGTGAGCTGCGTACACGGCGTGTCCTTGGTCCTTGTTTCGCCACCGCACCGCCCAACCACATCGGGTTGCGCATACTTCACGACTGCCCGACTACGACTTACTGCAGCGAGCCAATGAAGACGAACCAAAAGCGAGAGACAACCACACCAGAGCGTTATTCGCTTTCTATTCTTGTACTGAGTACTGCATACACTGGGTAATGGTGCTGCTGCTGTTACGCTCGTTGGTAAAGTCGAAGGTGGGTAGAGGCGGTGTCAGTGGTATTGAAGGTGGTGTTGTCGGTAGTAGGTTTTGGATTGGCGCTAAATGTCTAAGCCCACGGCTTATGGTTAAACACTGATTTTGTGTGTGCATTTTTGGAAGAGAAGCGGGTATATGTGTTTTGTCTTTAGATTATGTGTTTCATTTGTACCGAACTTAGCTCTACTATGAATTGGGAAAGCTAATACTCAAAGACCCATAACTACATTCGAAAATTGATAATTAATAATAATTTTGTGCCTTGTTATTTCAATGATATCGATTTAATTAATACACAATCCATATCATATTTATTAGTGACATTAAATATGTATTTGTTTATAGCCATTCGATCTCAGATCTGCTCGGGCCGCCTTAGTCTTGGCCTTAATGCTAAATATTCATGCATATATTATATATAAGTGTATTATACTACTTGCTTTTTAGGGAGTGCGTTAGAGCTTGCGGTCCACACTTTAAGATGTAGAGGAAGAGAGAGAGCGAGAGAGAGCGAACAAAAAAGTGAAAGGGGAACGCAATAAACACTCAGTGGGATTTCCGCCAATCAGCACTAAGGCCAAGATGTGCTAAGCACCAATCACAGCGGGCAGTTGTCGTTTCTCGTTTCTACCACTTAAATATTTGCGGCTCTCTCTCTCTCTTTACTTTATCTACCTATCTCGCTTATACACACCGCCTAGGCTTTCTTGTTGTGATTGTTTGTTTGTTTGTATAACTCTGTTGCTACTCGCTCTTATAAGAATTGTTGTCTCTTTGTATTATATGAGCATGTATGATGATGACAACATCTAGTTGTAACATAAAGACAAAGTAATTATGTTAGCGACAAAAATATTAACAAGCGGTTTTTGTGTACACACAGGCGTACTCGTATGCAATTGTACAAATGTGTGGATGTAATGAATCATCTTTAATGTTGATTCTGAACTTTAAATATGAATAAGTGAAAAAGCTAGACCAATTTCCATAGATTGAAACTGAGACAACACGTAGCGCATGCCCTATATATATACGTACATACATATTTTCCGTTTATTCTCAACCTACTAAGTCGTCGAGCTTTTGAACAATAGCTTTGGCGCTTTGATTGAAGATTTGTATGTAATTCGATTATGGGTAACTAGCAAAGTTTTTGACGTCAGGCGAGCCTAAATGTCTATGATGCTGCCACTCAGAGTTGAAGGGATTCCGTTATAAACATATTTATATGATATATTAACAGTAAAGTGTTTTATAAATTTACAATATTATCTCTGAATTGGAAATTTTCATTCTATAATGCGTGCAGTAATCTTTTAAATGTTCTTTATTTCAATGGAATATTACTTTAGCTTATGGTCAGTTAAGAAGGTACTATGCTCTGAGCTAAGGGATTGCGTATCAATATAAAAATATTTAAAAAATGTATAATTGCGTTAGAACAAAAAATAATCGTAGAATATGTGCAGAGACATGGGACTTGTTAAAGGTCGTCTAGTGCAAGAGCTTTGACTTCACCACTTATCGCTCTTTCCCTTAAAAATGTGAGTTGTGTTCATTTCTGAATTCCCAATTGTATTTTCAACTGTTATTAAAAAATACAAATTTTCCAAGCAGACCCCAATGATACTGACTTCATTACAACTTAAAATACATAGCTCATCTACGCATTGACTGTACTGATTATTTTAATTTGACAAATCACTTTTAACTTATGTTTTGACTTTTCGAGTAATATCCTTCGGGGTTTGTTTTAATTATTATTGCGTTGCTTTTATTGTTGTTTTTGCTGTTAGATATTGCAATAAAAGTCGAATTTCGTTCCGGTGTGGGCTCTGTTATGTAAATCACAATCACATCATTTGCATAATTCACCTGAGTTGAATAGTAATGTCTTTAGAATTCTTTTTATTGTGTCTACTATGCTTATATATTGATGTATGTATGTGTGAGGACGCCTAAGCAGCAAATGCTTGCGCTAGGTGCCTTACTCAATATGAATATATATATATAATGTACCTTGATAGTTTCAATAAGTAATTCATTAAATAACGTGGCTATATCTTTAAAAGTGATGCTTTCATGGAATTGAACACAAATTTTTCTAGATTTTTATTGTAGAGGAATAAAAACGTTCCATCATTCTCCCTTCCGGTTATTGACAACAAAGGAAAACGCATAAAGTAAATGGTAGGAAACTGTTTCGAATCTGTGGCTTTAGTCTTACATGCTGACTAAGGTGAACGGTAGAGCAAAATGATTTGCATTCATGCGGTTATTGGCTTGGCCTGGATGTTGCCAATACTATTTTTTCAGTTGATACCTTAAAGAACAAACTTAAAATTGTAATGTACACCATGATCTGAGTGACCAGTGGGCCTCTTGTTCTGTTCGCTTGATAGACATGTGAAGGCTTACAATAATACCCGCAATCCACAACCGGCGGATACGAATACCCAAACCCATACGTTAGATACCAACTTATCAGCCAAGCACCATTTCGCGTCAAGCAAACAAAACAAGAAAGCAATCCGAGATGCATGGCAGAGAAACAAAAAACACGTTTGTGGTTGGATTGCGTTTTTTTCAATTAAACACGTAGTTACTTGAGACATGTCTGACTAAACCACAACAGATTGACCGCTCGGTTGCCTGTTGCCCGACTAGGAGACTAACTAAAGAATGAAACACTGCTATCTGTGACCATAGTTTGTCACACGGGATCGGTAGCTGATGATTAACACCCAACATAAGTAACAACATTTCTGGTGTGGGAATTTAATAAAATAGTTGTATCAGTGACTAACCTATCAAAACTTGTAACAAAATGTAAAATGGGAATTATGTGTTTACTTACCATCTCCCGATATGCTGCCTTGCGAACTGTGCGAATCTTCTGAAATTTAAATGGACAGAGCCGAATAAATTAATATACTATATGCTTAAAATGTTTCAGAATATATATCTTACCTGTGTTGTTTTGGGCATCGTTCATGGCTGTTATCCACTCAACCGTCCCTTGTGACTGCCCTAAAAAACTATTTCCGACTGGAGTGGGCGGGTCTTGGATCCCGGGAGTTGATATACCGCGCACTAAACCATTTGAGTAATCCTCAAACTTTTGATCTGAAATTTATTTTATTGAATATAGTCTTGTAACGAAATGTTAATCATGCGGACTGGAGCACGCATATTGACAGTTCGTCCGCTGTTTTATTATTTTCAAAAACATTTTTTATTTTTAACGTTCGATACCACATCTTCTTATAAAATTCAGACAGCTAAAGCGGAATTTGTTCATTCGTACGTTCGAAGACTTTACATATCAAGTGAATAATTTTAAACAGACAATGTCTGTGGCATGCAATAAAAGGCAGCATCTGACTTACTCTAAAGATCAAGCACAAATGCTGACTAAAAACACTTGCCTGTAACTTAAGGCTCCTTACCCCGGAACACGGCAGCCCCGAGTTTATGCTATTGTTCTTCAACTACATTTAATCTATAGTTAAGCCTCGACTCCTTTCCGCTTATTACGGCCCAGCAAACCCAGCCTGCACTTATGAATGTATGATATTTGGTGGCTTTTCTTAAACTCGGAAATGTAAATGTAATCTTTTGTTTAGAACGTTGCATCGTTGTACGTTGTAATAGCAACATATTCTAGTCAAATCGTCTCTAAGTACATATACATACATTTGTATGTACGCGTTTGTTTATTTTTTGCGATTTTTCATTTATTAATTCTCTATATGTTTTTCCTTGACACAAAATTTACACAGTGAAGTAGTACAGAAGTTGAAAAAAAAATCCTGTTTTCATTAAAAATGGAAGAATGCCACTAAATCGTCTTGTAACTTACCTTTACATCTGTCATCCGTGTGATTTGTGGAATAGACCTGGCTAGCCGCATTTTGATGGTGATGTTGATGAGTGCTGCTGCTTACTGTGAGGTGCTCATTTGTTGACGGGCCTTGAAGTGTGTGCAAAGTTGATGAGGCGCCCATCTGCTGTGGGAGTTGATGCTCTATATGCTGATTTTGCGTCGGCTGACTGTTACGTAGCGACAGTGGCTGGGTTTGCGATTGATGAACAATATGGTGCTGGTGCTGGTGCTGATGCTGATGTTGATGCTGGTGCACTAGGCCCGGAGACAGTGCCGCTAGCCCATGGCTAAGATGTGGCGACGTCTGCATTTCCATTATAAGCATATCATCAATATCTGAAAGAGCGATTGTGGCTACATCAATAACTCTGTTTACCTCTAGCGACAAGCCACAGCCTTTTAATCTCAAAGAGCAATCCTACTATTTACAAAATGCTGTGCTTCAGAAAAATGTTTGGGCAAAATTCGATAGATACACTCGCTATCTAGACAGGCGGCTAGTTTCAGCATAATCATAGATTGCTAGCGAAAGAGTGTGCTACTTATAGCGCAGTGGCAGTTGCTTTAGCGCGTGCTAATCGAAGCGCAGAGTCCAGGATCGAGACCGAGGGAGAGGATGGGTTTCAACCATTCTTCAACTTGCGCTCGAGCCACAAATACGTAACTATAAGCACCTGGTAAAAACTACTGCGACAGGGTAAAGGCACCCAACGGCAACAGACAAAACTAGTATTGTAGTAGAAACAGAAACAACAACAGTAACAGCACAAAGGAACGTTCTTATTATAATACGCGACTAGGAGAGACTCTATATGAAGATAATCACGATGTAAGAGGCGCTTCGAAAGAATAAAATATATGATAGTATACGAATACTGTTCAATTGGGCACACGAAAAGGCAAGTAAAACGGGCAGACAGCAGGTATATTTAATATTTCCAACACATATACTATTTTTCCCTTCGCAGACAGAGTATGAAAAGCGGTCACCAGTAGTGGCGACTTAGAGCATACTCAAATTGCAGCGCGCAGGACGATGATATATAAGTATAAGCAGCAGGTTAAAGCTAAACGTTTAACAAGTAGTCGATGATGATGATTGATAACGATAATGATAATGATGATCATCATATTGTCGGATGAGAGCATTGCTGTTATAAACCACAATGGCAAAGTTTCCACAATGAAATAAAGACAAGTTAAAATGGCAATTCGAAAGAGCCCGACTAGGAGGTATCCCATATATACGCATGTACGTATAGTTATGTCTTATGTTCTACCATCACAAAAGAGCAGATATTTATGAAATGTTAATAAATTACTTATATTATTGTGTTTAGTTCTCAATTAGAAAAATATAAGTTTAAAATTACCGTTTTTATTAATATAGAAAACTTATATGTTCAAAGAAACAAACTTCATAGCTTAATGCCTTATACTATAGTTACAAACAGAACAAAATTAATCTTTCATATAAACAGTCGGAGTTATAACAAATGGGTAATAGTCTACCTGAAGTATGCTGCAATAAGTGACACTAGGCTCATTTTCCCGCTTATTTCAATGCAGCCGCTTCATTTCCCTTCTTTTTGTTTTGCAGCACGCACGAGCTATGTATATTTATACCACATACATACACACATATTTGTGAGGCGCGCGCGCGCTAGTTCACCTGTTCTTAATTGACCTTTTTAGGACTCGCCCCTCCCCTCCCCTTTAGGGTCACTGCAGTCAGCCGGTCGGTCAATTGATGAGTCAAGTGTGATGCACACCAAATGCATGTGAATGTGCATTTGTGTAGAGGTTACGGAGCTCGGAGTTTAGAGTTCGGTTCAGGTGATAATATTTATTTTGGTTGCACATGTTGCTTTATTTTGTTTGTCCTATCCTATACACTTACTAAACGTACCATCTGCTCTATTTTATTTTAACCATGCCACAAATAAGCTTTATACGAAAATTTAAATAAATACATTACTTTCACACGGTAATGAACATTTATGTATTAATCGAACTACAATAAATAATAGGGAGTCGATGTGACATGATATCACATAGTTGAAATACAAATGCATATTATAGCACATAATGCAGAAGTCACGGACGACCACACCCTCACTAATGCTTGGAGACAAGGCCCGCTGCGACAGAGAGTACATTCACACATACAGAGTATTCTGTCTTAGATCACATTTTGTACGCGTAATACATTCAATTTGAAAAATAAAAGTGGGAAAATAAAAGCGTATTTTCACACACTCGCGCTGAATAATGGCGAAGACGGTGACGATGACGATGACGACGACGACGACCTGGCGCAAGACGAGACTTACAAATAAACTCCACTAAAAACGGGAAAAACAAGCTCAAGGTCAGTAGCGTGGGTAAATTTCGCACACAACTTGTATTTTTCTTTATATACAAACATGTACATTCATATGTATATGCTACATAAGATCTTTTGGTCTTGATCTTCAGCTTGATTATACAATTAATAATTTTCTGGATTTTCTGAACAACACTTTAGCACAAGGAAATATTTGCACCCTTAAACCTTACATGCATACGAATTCAGTGACTAAACTTGGATGTTATTCCGTGAAGTAATTATGTCTATTGATAAATTAATTAAGGTATTGTTTCGTTTCATTGAATCCATAAAAAAAACTACATTTACGCCATTTAAGTCAAGTTGAATCTAACTAAATATTTTCTAATACGCATAGCAATGCTTGCGTATATTTTGAAGATTTTAAGAATTACACTGGTCAATATCATATGGTCGTTAAATTCCTTATGCTCATTTATTTTAATTTAATAAGCGCGGAAGTAATTTAACAAAAAACTTCCAATAGTGCTGGTCTCCTGGTAGTTTGTGCTTATATGTCTTTTTGTATCTTTCACTTATATACATTTAAATGATAGCGAATGGGGATGAATACAGGATACCTCATAGTTAGTCTAGATACTCTAGACTAGATTACAGTAACATATTTCATTTGCACCTTCAGCTTTTAGCCTAACGTAAAAAATGGTGCTTACACAAGAAAATCATATTTTTGTCAATATGAATGCACTCACCCAAAGAACTTCACCATTAATTTGTAAAGCAAGGAAATGAATAAAAAATTATTAAAACTTCCTTTATTCACTGAGAACAAGCAATTCACATACACTCACTAATTATGCTGTTTTTATCATGTGAGGAGGTTTCTGATTTTATTGACCTTAAATATCATGCAACACTGCTACATAGATTTTTGATTTGCCTGTAACGGCAATTTGCAATTACATAGTAATCATATCATTATATATTTATACATAATAATATATGGACACGTATATACATATTATATATGTGGATGTGTGTACACAAAATGTTAGAAAATTAAACAAGAGAGAAGGCGCGTTCCACTTGCAACTTAGTTCACGAACGCGCTACAGGTCCCTGCCAGGTGGATCGGTGGACCGTGTTCAAAGAGTTCTCAGGCGAAACTGTTTTTCTGTTGAATGCGAATGGTCGGCGGAAACAGTTCGAAGCCGCTCTCACTCAACAAGCTATTTGTTATATTTATGTGTGTACGTATATCTTTATATACAAATATATATATATATAAATATATAAATTTATATATATATATATATACATATACACACATATATGTTTATATGGATATCTACATACATTCAAGAGTGTGTTTGTATGCGTTCTGATGCGGCTTTGAGCCGCGCTCAAAACCTGGTTTGAGCACAACTACGGCTGGTGGCTTTACGGTTGGTCGGCTTCGTTTCCACTCAAATGGGCTGACGACTAATCGGGAGCGTTAGCGATACCTGCGTCTGCTGTACGAGAGAGTTTTTTATTGTACTTTACACGATCAACAGAGGCGCGATTTTCAAAATATACCTATATGTGTACGTACTTCATATATTCACAAAGTGGTGCATACAAATGTATATAAGTGCAGACAAACGCGTTTGGCTTTGCTATTACCTACATATGTAAGAAAATATGTATATTATGTATTTTCGTTTGAATTTTTGTATGAGTGAGTATATAAGATACATCCATGTGTGAATCCGCACCTGTTTACATACAAATTGATGTACTATGCATACATATATACATAGATGCATACATACTATTGAGCATTCGAGGCTAGGCCGCTGATTTCACCTTATTTGTTTTGTATGTATTTATTATATATATATATGTACATATATATATATATATATAAAATAAAATATATATATATAAGTATATGTGCATCACATATAATTATATAAGTTAGTATGCATATGCATACTAATAAGTTACAAATGATTTGGGTTTGTTTCAAAGCAAAAAGCGACAAATAGTACGCATTTAGAAACGTTTATATTTGTATAATATAATGATACACCAATATTGCCACCCAACAACAAACATATGTACGTAAAGGGAATCAAGCCCGTTTTTCATCAACTCTACCCGGACTATTTTTTCGACACGTTGAGTCACTTAGTTGAGTTCTACAGATTAGCGAATACAAAACACCTTCTTTTGTAAGTTCATGTAGATACGTATAAATTAAATAAATTGTGTTTATATTCTCAAATTTTACGTATGCACGTATGCCTATGCAAATAACCATTTTATTATATAAAATTGGCAAATAATCATTTTATTACATAAAATCGGTGTCAATACAATCATTTGAATATTAATTTGACTGATTTTGACATCCGAAAACAAACTGAAGGAGGGTTTTAGACAAAAATACGCACATTCGCTGCCAAAAGCACGTAGCTTGTGTGGAAAGTAACTTTGAATTTATATTGGGGCTGGAAACTAAGTATCTTCTACTCAATTGGTTCAACTAATTGTAATAGGTAATCGGCTCTGATGGAATAAAACACACAGCAAAGAAATAATTCAGCATTAAATCCTTCTGGCTTGCAACTAGCGTTCACTGAAGTCTTTTTACATTTACTGCAATTTATAGTCTGAATTATATTACAAAAGCATATTTAAATAATTTATACCTCACGTACCACTCATATATACTAGATACACATTTATACTGAGAATATTTACTCATATTTATACACAGCATACTACGCATACACACATTCGGATTTGTAGAAGCTTAAATTTAAACATAGTACATATGTAAATTGAGAATCATATATATGTGGCTTACCTTACTCTTCGCACAAATTCATGCATACACACCTGCAAAAGGTGCTGGTTAGGCTGGCAAGACGGCGCGTGCCAAACAAATAGCGACTACCGTTGCAAACCACAGGGGAAGGGGAATCACTGAACCATCTCCTAATCTGGCATGCACTACAATCCGCTCATGTAGTCTTATTGCCTGATGCCTTGCATATAAGCCGACATGTGTATACTCTTTTTAAATCTGTATACCCTGTACCCAATTTAAATCTATAAAAAGTGTATAATGTTGTGGAAATTAATGCACAGGCGAAAAAAAGTATATCCAATCCTATATACAATTGTATTCTTAATTCGCATCAGCATCCGAATTTGTCCAGCCAAATCCGCTCGAGCGACAATCAATATTACATTTGATCGATAACTATCGATACGTAACATGATTCTTATTTTCCTCTTCCGGTTTTTCTTCTCAAAGTCCATAATAAAGAAAGCGGGTTGGTTGTCGGAGAAACTGGTAGAAAATACAGCTGGCTAAGTCTCTGGGTATGTTTTGAACAAGGCACATACAAATAATTTTGTAAACACTACACATACACATATAAAATAACATAATTACGTATAGCTTACATACATATATAAATGCATATGTTTATTTGAGTTTATTTTCTGTGATCTCGCCTCTACAAGTGAAAACCTCTTAGTACTACCAAAGCCCGCGCTTTCTATACAGAACACCTGTTAGATAGATGCAACCGTGACGCCGTAGCGGTGTTGACGATCAGAAAAACCACCCCATGCCTTCCGTTTTGATATTTTGCCCTCCTTCCTTCTTTCCTTACTTCTGTTTGTGGGCCAAAATACGCGCAACTAAACTCTACATCGACGCCAGGTCAGGGTTCAACGCTCTGCACAACACTAAAAAAAAAAATATTATATTCGGGCTGCCGAAGATTGACTACCCTATAAAATATAAAACAGTTTGTCCTGACTTATGTCTAGTCACCAAAATACAGTGCTGATCATAAGAGCCACGAATGCACACGCAAATGTATGCACAGATAAAATGCTTGCCCTCACTGCCAAATGGTTTACTCAACAAGAATATCTGAAAGTTTAAACAAAACATCGTTTAAATAATACATACACTTGCAAAGTGTTTTGCATTTGTATAATTGTCATTATTATTATACCTATCGGACACTATGTTCAAAAATACTTATAAATGATGGAAGATGGATCGATTAAAGCAGAAATTGTTCTAAAAACTATTTTCCACATTGCGCTGCGATACTTCAAGCGAAGAGCCTATATCATGTATATGCAATCATACATAATTATTTACATGCCGATACATTTTCTTACATACATAAGCTAGATCGAATGTACCTATGTATACTCGAACACTTCAGAAAGGGCTTCGTCGATTGAACCATCTTGACAAGGATGTTAATAAAAGCTTTCGAAAACTTTATATACTTACTAATGTCGTTAGATTACCGATTTTGCCCAAAGCTGTTCAGTTTATTTATACGTATATATATAAATATATATACATATGTATACTCGTATATATATATATATATATATATATATGGCGTATGTATGCACGTTTGCCTTCACATACGCCAAAGTGTGTATATGTTATGTGTCCACATATCCATCCATATACATACTCAAATACATAATGTTCGTTTGTCGATCGTACAACAGTATGTATGCATATATATGTACTATGCATGTACATACATACGTATGTGCTATTATCTGATTTTGTACGTGTTTGCTGTAGTCATCCATACCGCTTGCTCTTTATTTGAACAATCAGTATTCATATGTTTTCGGTATGAAATTCGGTATTTCAATTGTGGCTCGTGGCTTTTCACGGTCTGCAAGTCAACCGAGACTGCTCTTCTGCCGTTTCTTTTGGTCTTTGACTGTTGCTTTTTCTGTTAATGTTGCTTTTGCTTTGGCTGCCGCTAGTTGCTATTATGTGCCACTGTTGTTGTTATGGTCGTCATTATTGTGTTTTGTTTTTGTGCTAGGTCCCCAATTGCACTTTCTTGTTTTATTTTCATACCCTATACTGAAGTAGTAAAATGGGTATACTAACATTTGTACTTCCCAACTTAGATCAGAGCTTTGTGCTTGATGTTGTTTAGATTTGCAAACAAGAAAATAATAATTATATAAGACCAAATATATGTATATAACAGCATAGAGATTTATTTTCAGACTGTACTCTTGCAGATATGATCATACCTAAATGTAATTATTTATCGAGTATATTTTACAATATTTCTATTAAATTTAAAAAATGTAATAATTTTGCTTTATTAATGACAATTCTTAAAACATCTTGAAAATCAAAGACAATTGATTATAACAATTTATACACACCTTAGGAAAAAATTGCAAATTCAAGGTACTTCTTAAGAAAGTTTAATTTTGTGGTGTTGTTGCGGCTTTCTGGTTTAAGCAAACTGGACAACATATTTGGGAGAATCGTTCCATTGGACAAACAAATCGCTGCCTGACTCATCATCAAAATAGTGCGCAAATTCCTCAAGGATGTTATTGCCAAAACGTCTTCGGTCCATATGACTGCAAACTGTGTAACGGATAAGCGCAACATTAAAGTGTGACAAAACGCAAGACAACATTTATTATAGCGTCTACAAGGGATGGCAATCAGTGTTATTTGCGCATTCGCATCAGCCCATCGATGTTCTTCACCCCTAATCGAGCAGATAAAAAATAGTTTCTGCTGTTTACACAATTTTCAACACATCTACAAAACCAAAATATTGTTAAAAAAAATAAAGAACTATTTGAAATTAATATCGAAAAACAACATATCTCCCGCTTCCTTTATTTAGCATCGTTTTTCAAGCGACTTAAAGAGCAAAGTGCGTTAACATGCAAACCTAAATTACGCATAAGGCTGCGCAAGCTTTGAAGTGGGTTGGCTTTTTATTTCTATAGTTTAATAATGTAAATACAAAATGTTATATTCTGATTGAATTATAAAATAAAAATAAAACATTGCGATTAATTATTAAAACCTATAATCGTTCTACAGAATTTTCATAAATATAAAATTTGTAGTATTTCTATTTTACCTAAGAATTGTTTTATTTTTGTCTTCTTTGGTATTTATCGAAATAAAATACCACAACATCACTTTAAATGATTTTGGACTATCGATAGCTAATAAGCTAATGGAAAACAAGGTGGCAGCTCCATTTTAAGAGAACAGGGAGATAAAGAGAACAGTTGTGCTTATGACCAAAGAGAATTAAAAACAATAAGAGGCGGCGGTTCACAGTGCGTTAACATACGCTAAATTGCGTTAACGCAAATTTTCGAGTAGGTTAACTTATGCAATTCTTATAATTTAAAAATGTAAATGTAAAAAACGTTTAAAACAATTTGAAGAGTCAGTGAAAGTTCTAGTTTTTTTGTTAATATATGAAATAAAAGAACTTCAAGAAATTAATCATTAATGAACTTGTTAGCTTCGTAATTGATTTTGTCACAACGCCAGCTGGCTTAGTCGTACATACGAAAAATATATATAATAAACAAGTTCCTTATAGATTATTTATAAATAACAGCCGAGTTTTATCTTGTAAAAGTGGATATTAAACAGTCGTATTTGACCGAATTAAAACGTCGATCTAATAAATTATTAAACAGAACAGAAATGCAATAATTAAGGTTCTCAGTTATGTAAAAAATATACAATAAATGTATTTCAGAAAACTTCAATGAACTTTTACCTAGACAATATAAATATGTATTACTATTCCAATTTAAAATTGGTGAAAGTTTTAGTGAGCGAACACTGTATCAGCTGATGGCAAGCGATTGCCAGCTCACTCGTAAGAGCATGTTCGTTATTCAATTTTCATTTAGTCCGTTAACACCGAGCCGAATAAACGTTATTTTGGCTCCGCAAAGAGGCTTGTTTGTAATTCTTACGTTTTAGTGTCTAATAAATAGTTAACATTTTCTATGTTTGAATCTGCTAACAGTTTCAAAAGTGATAGTATGAAGTGAATGAAAAGAGAAATTCAGATCCAGACTGACATAATTTAATAATACCCTTCGGCAACCAGCCAAAGTAACTAAATAATATAGAAAATTGTAATCAATAAATAAATAAGTCGGTACACCGATCAAATCGCAGATATAATAAGTACATGCATCTAAATAGTATGCACTATATAGATATATTTTTACACATGTAGGCAGATTCACACATATATATATTTTTAAGTACATACTAAGCGACACCGACGATTACTTATATACTACAAACATACATATACTATTGTGTGTGTAAGTTGTGTGAATTTGCCATTTTTGGCTGACAATCGAATTTCACTCCATCTCCAACGAATGTGTTCCAGACGAAATGTCTCCAATACTTTAGCAGTGATGGTGAATATATATGTATACTGTATATTTGTGTGTACGTGAATACTTGAATATGTAAACGAAGGAACTCGAAATCAAATAAGTTTAGAATGTTTGATTTGCAAATTTTCATTAGATGATTGCAAGAAAATATTCCGGCAACAAGTTCAAGAGGCACGTGTAATTGTGTATTACTGATTAACGGAGGCTTAGTACATCTATATAGAAATATTGCTTGCTTATTAAGTTCATAGCGCATATACAAACCTAATTGTAGTGCATTGCGATTTTATCTTATTTATGAAATATTATTATTATTTGCAGTCATATTATTAGCCTAACGTGGTTAGGACGTTAAATTTAAATACACTTATACGTAATATATGATTTTACAAACAACTGTCTAACACTAATGTTATGTACATGTAATTCAAAGGGTTTATAGAAGGGGAATTCGATATGTAATAGAAATGTGAAGAAAAAAGATTGTGTCATCTTAGCTTAAAGCTCTCTAACCGTTCTATTCACTTGCCTTATACTGTAGCTGTTGTAGTTGTGTCCTGCTTGCTCTTTCCACAGCCTAAAGCTAACATTTATATTTGGTTGCTTTTGGCGTCGTCTCGTCGCATCCTTTTGTCTGTCTGTCGTTACAAATGGTTTGTATATTAGTACATACTTTATGTACATACAAAAGGTTTGTATACTTGTACGCACGTACAGCATATGCATTCTTTTATTATCCACATGGATACTGTTTAAAATTGTCTGCTGAATTACAATGGAAACTATGTGTTATTACTTTATAATTATTGTTTTAATTTTACAAGCACACAATAGATGTATTATCTGTATAAGAAAGTATGCTATGAAATATTTGTATTCTTCGATGTCCCATCTATTATTGTTCTTTGCTATTCTTATTATTAATTAAATCAACTTCTTAGCTATGGTTCTTTTCCGGACGTCGGAATATTATGGTATCGATTAAGTTAGACAGCAACATTTCCTCTTATTAATATATACCTTTTTATCCCTACAGTAAAATATTGTATTATGAAGCGGTGGATTATTAAATGCGTAACGTGCACAATATTCAGAAATAAAAACATGCAGCAACTGCTACAAAAATAACGATGTTATTTGATTTTGACGAACAAAAGCCGGTTGTATCAGCGCCAGCATCAGGATCCATTGATAGTAAATGCTTTTACAATTGTCCCTGCTTCTGCTGCCGACAGGGATGCTGTGTTTTCGTATGCTGCTGCAGCTGCAGCAACTTAAGTCGGATTTGTTGCAGCTCATGCACCAATATCTATCCGTCACCACCACCACGCAAGGGCAGATCCTGCGTGGTTTTTGGTGCATCAAGGCTTCTAATCATGGCTGTCACAGTAGCTCGTCAATGGGCTGTCGCTCTGGTCACACTGTTAACTAACATTACGCTGCATAAGACGGGCCAGCTTACTGTGTCTTGTGGGAGTCGGACCTTATCCAAAACATCCGCGATTACAGCGCCTAGTAGTTCAGCAGCAATCAGCAATGGAGAGAGTAAATTAAAGGAACAGTATGGGCATGGTCATGCTTCCTATGATATGACGAATGACCAACAACTGAAGACCAACAATTTGTGCAAAATGTTCTGCAACAATCGTAAGAGGCAAAGAAGACGTCGTCGTAGACGCCGCCGCCGACGCCGCAGGCACAATAACAAGGGCAATAGACAGACGGGAAACAGCAAACTGCAACAATATCAGGATAGCATATTTCAGTTAAGTCAGAGTCACAGTCATGGCACATGTCTCTCTTTTGAGACGTTGAAATCAATTAAGCAAGACAATACAGCAGAAGCTATAATAAGGACACGCAATACTTCATCGGATATACGTGTATCGTCCTTGAAGGCTTTCGTTTCGTCATGGCCATCAGCCAATTATAGCACAATGCGCCATTTTTCTAAAACCAAACGTAACCGTACGAATCTCGTGTGGTTGCTTATTGGACTCTTTTGGCTAGAGATTAAACTTATCAACTGCAATGCCATTGCTAGTAGTGGTGGCTACGTTTCAAGTCTCGTCACCCAAAAAGGCTGTACTCTGTGCCAGTTTGAGGAGGGGAACTTTTACAGTGATAAGGGTGAGTTTTCCAAACTGCCAATAGTCATATACTCATACACATATAATACTTACATATAATACAGACAACAAGCCATTATATTCAATACATAAAATTCAATACAGCAACATTTATGATAGTCCTACTTTAGCTTAAAAAAAAATCACTTAAATAAAAAGTTCTGCATAATATACTCCGATGCCAAAAGTAGAAAATATATTGGCGTTCAAGCTTTCTGTCCGTACAAACGCAAGTTCTGAGACTTGGTGAAAGGAAGCATCTCCGACCTCATAAAGTATTTATTTTTAATCAGCATCAAAGCCAAGTGGATATAGCTGTCCGTCCGTCTTTATGCATAAATAATATTTATAACCAGGCAATTTTGACCGGTGCCCTTGAGTTCGTAAAGCTTATTTAAATGTGCATACATCTTTAACACACTATATATACAGCATGAATCCATACAACTGTGATACTTACATAACACTTTACAATTGTCACATTTACACAGATAACCCACACACAGATTACAATAACAATAACAAGTACAATAACCACAACAATTACATCTACAAAAAAACTAATCGCAATCATAACAATATTGTGCTCAGCGACCGTGTTCGTTTGGAATCGATAAAGCGACAAATTCTGACAAAACTCGGCCTCACCCATAAACCAAATGTGTCCCATCCGCTGCCCAAGCAGTTCATCTGGGAGACGATCTATCGGGCGGACGGTGGTCAAATGGTAACAAATGATGCGTTTGACAGCAGAGCCGGCATTAAAAGTGCTCTCTTAAGTGACCGTCAAAAAGGGGTGGGAAGAGTATCCGACATTAATGAATTCCATGCACCAAGCACGGCTTCTGTGAACACAGATCAGAATCGCTCAACCAGTCAAAACTTTGCATACACATTGAGCAGAACCAATAGGAGCACTAAAAGCGTCTTGAAAAGACATTTTTTAAGAAATCGAACAGCTGGAAGCGCTAGATATCATTTGGAAAAGTATTCAAATAAACACAGAAATAGCAAAAACACAAACACCTGGGAAAGGCACGGTCAACTACAAACAGGAACGATTGCTAATAAGAGCCCACAACCACGCTCACAAGTAGACGACAACACACCTTTGCGAGCTTCTAAAAAACAAGTGGCAAATAATGTTTTCAACAGAAATACCAAGTCGACTGCGTACAGTAAATCAACATATCTAATAGATATAAATCGTAGTAGTGATAGTGATAGCACCAATAACGACATAGGCGGCGGCTTTGAACACAATGATCATGTTTATTTTAACGATTACAGAGTCCTAGTACATAATAAAGACCAAAAGCACAATAGCGGCACAAAAATTCTACTCAAAAGTCCACGTGAAGATGAAGAAAGATTAATACATGAAACAATGGCCATAGAAGATCGGGATGGTGTTGGTTTTGAGCGCGAAGATTTTTTTGGTAGCACGCAAGAGATAATTACTTTTGCAGAGGAAGGTAAGTACAACAAACTTTTAAATGTGTTCCGATAAACTGTATTCATAAATGAATTAGGTAAATGCCTTACAACCAATAATTCCATCTACCTGTTACATACTTCGGCGTAACTATAAAATATCGCTTTTACTCATATTCAATGTGTTCTGAGTATAAGAGCAATTCACTTTCAATGAATGTATATTTTAGAAAGCCGAAGTAAAAATGTGTAAAATAAGTAAGTAACTTGTAAGTGTGCACTCAGACTAAAAAAAAACGTTGGATTGCTGCTTCCACTCGTCTGCCACGTCTGTGTCGATGTCTGCTTATGCGACTGCTTGGCTGGATGACTGACTGTCTGGTATTGTTTGTAACAATGTTCTACAAACCAGGAAAACAATACCAAGAGTATACGTTCCTAATAGGTTTTGTATTAGCAAAGCAAGTTATACATTTCCACTCACATATGTATTTTTATACTCTGATCCCGAAAAAACAGAGTATATTTGTTTTGATCACCTCGACACACAAAAGCGTATTTTTCACACTTTTCAAGCTGATATTACATACGACTACAACACTCTAAGTTTTATTAATGTATTCATTGAATTTATTTATGTACGGTTGGTAGTGAGCGGATAGACTCGCAAATAATACGTCTCTAGTAAACAATTCAGTGCTGTAAGGTGGTAAAATTATGAAGAGGTGTCGTCACATTCTGGTATAATTGTACATAGGCATGTAAATACAAGGCAGACACGTTAAGATGGCCGGGAAGCGGCTGCAAGTACAATGCTGATTTCACTCCTCACCAGAGACACCTGCAGGCTCAAGTATCTGAAGACTAACAACCATGCAGTCAACTCGTAGAAACAACTTACAAACCACTGTGCATACATCTACAAAGTAACATACATATTTGTATACTTGTATTTGTCTGGCCGGCGGGACTACCCGACCCCAGACTACATACATACGAGTGGAAATACTGTGTTGTCGTCTGAGGGTTTATTGCAGACTGCTAATGTGCGGTGAAGTACTTTCACTATTGTCTGAGGTGTGAAACAAGAACATCAGACAGAGTAAACAATTAAAAATGCAAAACGAAAAAAATAACGAAAGTACCCTTACAGGTATTTAGCTTTTGTAAGACTGCTTTTTATACCCTGAACCCATTCAAAACGGTTAAAAAGGGTATGCTGAAATCGCGCAAGAGTATGTAACAGGCAGAAGGAATATCTCCGACTCTATTAAGTAAATATATTTTAGATCACCATAAAAAGCCTTGCTGTTTTAGCATAGTTTGATTTAATTTGATCAATAATCCTCATGCTATATTTATATCTTTATATTAACTATATCTTAATAATTCTTTAGGGTCACAATATCGCCATTACCGAATAGTCGAGTTTGCTCCTCAAAAATCACGTGTTCCCAACCAAAAACTAGCCATAAGAAGTGCGCAAATGCATATTCGTATCGAAAAACAGCATAATGAGTGGGATGCAGCTGCAGCTGAAGTAAATCTTCAAATACAACATTCAATAAAGAGTAAGCGGAGAAGCCACGCAAATGTACCCAGGCAAAGAATTAAAATTTGGGTATTTCGAATGACAGAAGAAATTAATATAACTGAAAAGGTAATTTTCTTACGATGACAAAATTCATAATATTTTAATTTTTTATACGCATTGACAGGCGATAGATCAGGCTTTCTTATTTCGGGCCTCTTTTGAAGTAGACACCGATCACCTGGGTTGGCAAAAGTTTGACCTGACCGAAACAATCCGCGAGTGGTATAGCGATACCAGTGGAAAAAACCTACGTTTACTGATAGACTGCACTGGCTGTGGTAGCCAATATTCACTGCATCTATTTCAATGGTCGGCAACAAAAGTTCATTCAAAGATGAAGACCGCTTCGACTCACGTAAATCCGAATCGTCCATTTCTTGTACTTCATACCGAATCATCAAGGCCAAGGCGTGTAAGAAGACGGGCGGTGGATTGCGGTGGTGCACTAAGTGGACAATGCTGCAAGGAATCGTTTTATGTGTCGTTTAAGGCGCTCGGATGGGATGATTGGATCATTGCACCTAGAGGATACTTTGCAAATTACTGTAGAGGAGAGTGTTCTGGACCATTTCGAACTCCAGATACATTTCAAACATTTCACGCGCACTTTATAGAGGAGTATCGTAAGATGGGCCTGCTGAATGGAATGCGGCCTTGTTGTGCTCCAGTCAAATTTTCCAGCATGTCTTTAATATACTATGGTGATGACGGTATTATTAAACGTGACTTACCAAAAATGGTTGTTGACGAATGCGGCTGCCCATAATGTAAGTGACATTTTCTTTACTTACTTACTTACACATAAAACATAATGTATCAGATCTTATAGTCTTCGATCTAAACTGAGAATTGATTTGGACTGTGAGTAAAAGTGGTCTTGTCTTTATAGTTTCCAATTATACCTATTCCATATCATTATTTTATATACGTGTGAAAGCTTAACATGGTGAGATCGACTCGTCTGTTAACACCGATAAATAATATAGTCTGAGATGCTTCCTTCTGCCAGTTAGATGCATCATTTTTTACCGATCTATAACTCAAATGTATTATATCAAAGAATGTCATTCATACATAGGTGGAAGTAAAGAAGAAATTGAGTATAGTAAAACGGACATTATATAAAACAAATATCATTCAGCATTTTGGCACAAAGTATATATAAAACTAGTTAAAAACAGTAGTAAATAATAATACAAAACAAATTTAAAATAAAATTCATTATACGGCAACAAATAAGCTTAAGTAATTATATTTTCTCCTACTTACAGCATTCACTAAATCTAAAAAGAGAAGAAGGATACTGGAGTTACCAAACTAAACTGTTTTCCGTCCGTTGAAATTTTATGATAGTAAATGTTCACTTTCAAAATGGGCTACTCTAAATTATATGCATAAGTGCTGGTTTGCTGCACAGATGTGCAGATGAATTTATATTCATAACAATCGGCCACCAAAATAAAGAGCCAATAAAAATTAATTTCTAAAAAAGTCACTTAAGTGCTTATTTTAGCATTCGCCTTCAAATGAACATTATTCAACACATATTGGCGCAATTTACGATTTACTTTAAATAAAATTTTAATATGAGTGAAGGCCGGTATTTATTATGTGTATTAAACTATTTATATCTAATTAACGTTTACAAAAGTGCCTACATCAGCGAAAACAATACTAAAATTAATATCTAAACATTAAACAAATGCTAATAACAATTAGAAATAATAGCAACACAACAAAAGTGTCTTTGTCAAATACTTAAAACCGAGTACTCATAGGCGACAACTAGTATAAAGCTGTGCTGTAGCGTAGCCAGATTGTCAGATAGGGTTTCATGTTTGGATTGTCTATTCCAAAATAGATGTCGCATAAATTGATAATTTACTAACATATTTTGATTATAATTACTTATTTATTGTATTTGTGTAAGCTTAACAAAAAAAAATTAAATTATGTGTATAAGGCATATATTATTAGCAACAACTACCGAATAGATATGTCCGTGATTTCCGTCGAACTGCTTAAATCATTGTTTTAAATTTTTATTTTGTAAGATTCTTGTATTAACTCGTCAATTACAATAAATACTCGTATATTCCAAAGCCCATATGTTTTTTAAATGCATCTATATTAGTTGTCTTTTTTGTTTCAACATTTTTTAAACTGTCTAATATTTTTTTGGAATATTTTGGAATAGGCACAACAGCTTCGGTTAGCCGGATGATTAAATCTACTAGTTAGAATAAAGGTATTTGTATATCCAATAAACGTTTCATTCCGAGCCGACTTTTGATAAGTAACGCTAAGCTGTATAATTAATATAATTCGAAAGAAGTAAAACTTTCAGCCAATTTAAAAGAATATTAACCTGCATGTACTTAAATTAATATACATATGTACATTCTCGCGAGTATATATGTACATAAATAAGTAGCAAGCTACACGCGAAGAAGTCACTTCCACATTATTATGTAAGCCATTTTTACTAACAGGAAAAAGCGTGTGATTGTTTCTAAGCATGATATTGTACATTTACATTTACTACGAAATGACACAAATCCACACACACATTCACATGGTTCTTTTAGTACTCGCACAGTTCAATATATTTACATAATTACATTCATATATTTAAAAAAAAAAATTGAATTTCTCGTTGCTCACGGCCAACCCGTTAAACAAACATAAATATTTATAATTTGTTAATTTTTTATCAACAATAAAATAATATTTTTTAGCTTTAAATTATACATGTATTATTAGAATATGAATATGGCAAACAGCACAAACATATAAATGGATTTCTAACAGGTAGGTATTAGGTAATCTCCCAGTCATGTAATAATTTTTATAATTAGGAGTTTATTCAAAAAATGTTTTTTTTTTTCTATGAAAAATGTTGTTGGTTTTGATGCTACACTCTTTTTACCTATTTTTCAAAATATAAATTTTACTATGTTCTTTTTTGAACAACTTATAAGCGACTTTCTTACGAACTGTAATTTTTTCTGTCAGGTATTAACAGCGAGAATTTGTGCGCTTATCGAGCCGCGTTTTGCTTTCAAGCAACTTTTATTTAAAGATTAAAGTTTCTTATCAGGCATTAACTGCAATTCATACAGAATCATACATATTAATACATAATGACTATACAAAATTTGCCCGGGTTTGGGCGAAGCCGGGATACACCTAAAGTTTGTTTTTTTGTATTTAAGACTTCAATCGGTAACTCTATCGTAGCCGATTTTCAATTCTTTCTATATACATTGTTAAGCGCCTTTGCGGCTTCGTCACTAGAGTGTACTGCCTGCCGTCCACAATGATGCTCACTGTTAATCCCTCTCCCAATTTAAATTCAACAAGAAGAGAAGAGAACGGCTTTCTTAAGTACGAAAACCCCTTACCCTTACATACAAGAGTCCAACAGCTTTCATCTAACTTTCATGATAAGTTTAAAAAAAAACCGACATATTAATTATATGGGATCTATTTGATATAGTATTCCAGCTTGGATGATTTTATGCTTGAGAACGCCACAAAAAGCTTTCAGAATTATTGAGCAAATGCATCCAACTTAGGAAAGCCCGCGAAATTTTTATCCAACGTTTTAAGGTAGAGTCGTAAAATTTAAGAAGAATGGCAGCCTTTTTCAATGGTTGACGCACGTCCAGAAGCTTCCGTCCCAATTCCATCATTATCAATTGGTATTCCGCAGAGTATTCTGCAATCGATTACGCCCGACTACAAAGGTCTCACTTGTTTTTATGTACCTACACGTACATAAACATGTACTTACATACATATACTGTGGTGATAAAGAGACTGAGCTGGGGTCGAATGCGTTAAATCGCCTTCTGATAATATAAAATATTGTGCACCAGCACGCTTCGTTAAAAAAAATTGATATTTCTATGCATGAGAGGAACATGACCGCGTGAGAGCTGTGTTCCCGTGGGTGCACGCTCATCATAAATATCGCGAGTTACAAATATATACATTTAGATTTGTATGTATGTACACAACACACACATATATATATATATATGTGTAAATACATATATATATATATATATATATATATATATATATATATATGTATTTACACATATTTTTCCGCACAGGCTAGGCGATGTATTTAAGTTGTGTTCTACTGGAAAATGCGGCTTAATTCGAAGTCAGCTGTCGTCGGATCCATACTAAGTCAGTGGCGTTTGTGTGTGTTTCTATGAACACAATTCAGTGAAAAGAATAGTAGTGAAATTATTCGTGGCAAAAAGGTATATCAATCGTATTTACTATTCTTCATTTGTGTAAAAGAAGCAAGTAACAAATAAGTAATAATATGAGTTTGAATATGGAAAGGGATAAAGTGGTGTGTACCTTGGTACTAGCACTGGCAGAAATAAGTAAAAAAAAAAAATTGGTGAAATACAAAAAACATATTTAAAAACAAGCCTAATTATTGGTGACAAACTTAAATGCATATAAAAATACATCAGGTTGTGTCTGACGAAGATTTTCTAAAGGTGTGTAATGATTGCTTAATTTTCTATAGGCTATCCCAAAGGGGGCCGGTACAGTGCAAATGATGGCTAGCCCTAGTCATTTGGGAGGAATTCTATTATATCTCCTTCTAGTGGCTACAACAAATGCCGGTAAGTAAATATATATGCAAAAACAAAACGTTTAATACTGTGTTGTGTAAGTGCATGTTACAATGTAACTGTGAATTAAAACTGCAAGATATATCGTTAATTTACTTCAAACATATTATTTGATATTTCATAACAATTCCCTTGAGATGTGATCCACTTTATTCGAAAAATCGAAAAATTCGAAAAATCTTGAACGAAAATACATTGCCAAAGGTGAATTTCCAAAAATTAAATAAATATTTAATAGGCTTCATTTTCAAAACTTTACAAATCATAATGTTATAAGCATTACATATATTTGCGTTTCTCAAGTCAGTGTTAAGTAACTCAAGTACCGCGTAAAGTAAGATATATAAATATGTATGTTACTCAACACATAGATCATAACTCAACACATAAAATACAAATACATACATAAAAAAAGTAACTACATTGTAGTCTAACGGACTTATATATACGTATGTACAATTTAAAAATTATTGTATTAAAATGAACGCCTGTGAGCATTGTACGCGTTTTATTGAAACTAATTGAGTTACCCGTTGTCTGCATTAAAAAAAATGATTTTGAAGTTGGTTAGCATCCGCTGTGCTTGAATTGTGCATGAGAAAAGTATAGTACAAAAAACAATGTTCGATTTATTGTAGTTGATGAATACTTTTGTTGAAACTTTCAAAACTTGACTTAACACAACTATTGCCACTCTAGCCCGTATGTGTTATTTAATCTTTATTTTATTCTTTCCACAGTTAATTAAATGTTATTTTTATTTTATTTTTGTTACAGATAACTGCAACAAGGGATGTCCCCGATGTAAGTTAAATTTTAATGACATTATGTAAACCGATTTCAGTTCAGGCTAACCTGTTTACTCTTTGGGTATTGTTTGACGACCTAAACCCAAAAAGAGCATACACATTTTTTTTTTTTAATAATAGCCTTCTTTTAAACTATTTGAGCAAGCTAAGTTAATTATAAGACCGAAAGTCAAATAAATGTAACCAATTTTTGGTTAGCTTGATCAACTTATTGTGACGAATATATTCTAAGATATAGTCAAGAAGGTTTATTAAAAGAGAAAGTGGTTATGCTAATTTATAGGATTGGGATGAAAATTATGTCAAATAACTGGACAATAGCTTTTTTATTCTGATTTTTGAGACATTAAGCAGTGCAATAATAATTTTTTTAAATACAATTCTCTATAGCTGACAATGGCCTTCTGAAATTTACGCCTGGAAACTTTTACGAGTACGCTTTTGAAAGTATCTTAACGATTGGATTAAATTCGGGCGTTGTTAGTGAAGCTGATGACTCCAGCCTCAAAGTAACTGGCTCTGCTAAGATCTACGCGAATGGCAACTGTGGCTATACATTGCAAGTCGGTTCAGTTAAGGTCATTAATACAAAAGAGTCGGTAGAAAGAAAGATACTGAACAATATCCAAAAACCTGTGCACTTCACTTTGGTCAATGGGCAATTGCAATCACAGATTTGCACCGACGCCAGCGATTCGGCATACTCACTAAACGTTAAGCGCGCCATTATTTCACTATTGCAATCAGACACAGGATCCGACGTTGCAAGTGAAGTTGATGTATACGGTTTGTGCCCGACACACACCTCATCATCAAAGTCGGGCAACGCAGAAACTGTCATAAAGGTGCGCAACCTGAACAACTGCGCTCATCGTGAACAAATTAGTAGCGGTCTGCTGTCTGGTATCGTTAATGAAAAGGCTGGTGTTACATCCAGCTCACTCTTCCAGTCCGACTACAGCAAGGAATCGAAAATTGAACGAGGCGTTGTTGCAAATGTGCATCTTGTGGAATCGTATAAGTTCGCTGGTATGGCAAAGGGTAACTCTGATGTAACTGCCAAGGTGGTAACCACACTGAAACTTAAAAATCCTGGTGGCACTTCAGGTAGTTCGCCGACAAGTGGATCCCATGCAAGTAGCATAATTTTTCAGAAGTCTGAAACTTACCCGTCGAAGAATATTGCAGCCCTTAAAGTAGCACTCTCAGATCTTGTAGACTTAACAAGCGATTATATTAAAAAGGATAGCGCAAAGAAATTTGTTGAGCTTATACGCCTATTACGCCACTCAGATACTGAAACTTTGCTTGAACTTTCGACATTCCCACATCCAAATAAGGTGCTGGCTCGCAAGGTTTACCTAGACGCACTATTTCGCACGAATACCGCTGAAGCGGCTAAAGCAATTCTAAAGCAACTTAACAAATTTGATGAGAAGGAAAAAATTTTTGCAATATTGTCGCTCAATTTGATTAAGACAGTTGACAAAGAAACGCTAAATCTAGCGGCTGCTCAACTTTCTCCGAATGTGCCAAAAGAGACTTATCTGGCTGTTGGTAACCTTGTGAGCAAGTATTGTGCCAAAAATGGTTGTCAAGTCAGTGATATTGATCCCATTTCCAAAAAGTTTGTTGATGGCCTTAAGCACTGTAAGCCTAACACTAAGAAGGACGAGGAGCGTATTGTGTACATCTTAAAGGGCATTGGCAATGCAGAAAATTTGGCCAATAATGTAGCCAGTGCATTGAACGAATGCGCTTCTCCCGGTCGATCTAATCGCATACGTGTAGCAGCCCTGCAAGCTTTCTCCGCGATTAGCTGTAATGAAGCATTAAGAACTAAATCCCTGGACCTATTAAAAGATCACAACGAAGATTCTGAGCTTCGTATTGAGGCATACATGGCAGCCATTAACTGTCCCACAGCAGAATTAGCTAATCAAATTTCGGAAATTGTCAACTCAGAGAAGGTGTACCAAGTAGGTGGATTTATTGAGTCTAACCTGCGGGGGATACGAGATTCAACGGACGCGACTCGTCATCAACAAAGGTACTATTTGGGCAATATTCGAGTAACAAAGCATTTTCCGAAAGACTACAGGCGTTATAGCTTCAACAACGAATTTTCTTATAAGCTAGATTCTATGGGTATCAGTGCTAGCTCAGATTATAAGTTGATATATTCGCAGCATGGATTCTTACCACGTTCGGCACGTCTTAATGTAACTAGTGAAATTTTTGGTACAAATTTCAATGTGTTCGAGGCAAGCATACGCCAAGAAAATTTAGAAAATCTTCTTGAATATTATGTTGGACCCAAGGGATTGCTTAATAAGGATTTCGATGAGATTGTGAAGCTCATTGAGGTTGGCAACAGTGCTGGTCGAGCTAGACGCTCTATTGCCGATGATGTCGCCAAAACTGCCAAGAAATACAAAACCTATGGTAGCAAAAATGTGCAGGACGTCAACTTGGATCTATCTCTGAAACTGTTTGGCTCCGAGATGGCCTTTTTGAGTCTGGGGGACAATATTCCGAGCACTTTGGACGACATTATCAAGCACTTCTCCGAAGCATTTGACAAGGCAAAAAAAGAATTGTCCTCATTCGAAAAGCAATTCGCCTGCCATCATCTTTTCCTCGATTCTGAGTTTACGTATCCCACTGGCATTGGGGTTCCACTAGAATTTGCAGCCCAGGGCTTTGCTGCTAACAAAATTGACTTCGCTGTTAACATCGATGTCAATGCCATACTGGAACAGAATTGGCAAAGAGCCAAATACCGTTTGAAATTCGTGCCAAGCGTCGATGTAAATGTCAATATTCAACTTGGCTTCAACGCCCAGGTTCTATCTACTGGACTTCGAGTTGTATCAAGCGCACATTCAGCAACTGGAAGTGATGTGTCCATTTCGCTGATTAAGGATGGAGATGGCTTTAACGTCAACGTTGATCTACCGCGTGAAAAGATTGAGCTCATTGATGTTCAAGTTAACACCGAATTTTTCGTTGCGGAACAGGACAAGCCACAAAAATCAGTTCCTCTTAAGAGCTCAAAAAAACAAAAAAGTACAACACCAAGCGAGTTGTGTTTTAATCAACTAGAAATTGTTGGCTTAAATGTATGCGTTGTAAGCTCAACTAGTCTCAGTGATATTAATGCAAGCAACACCAATAAGGGACATGCCTTAATTGACGACGTTCATCTTTCACGGCCATTTACATTCGCCATCTTCGTGACAACAGAACGAAAATTTAGCTTCAAGGGAACACACTCAAACCTTGAATCTGGCAGCCAACAGTGGAAATTAGAGTATAGTACGCCGGGCTCCAAGGTTTCTCATGACACCAGCGTAGCTTTTGAACTCGGTACCAAGCCACGCACGTATGGCCGCCTTTCTCTTGATAATCCTCAATTTCATCTCGGCCTAGAAGCTGGTATAACCAATGACAATCATGAACTTGTCATTTACGGTCAATATGAACAGGATAAAAATGTCAAAAAAAGCAAAATTGGGTTTGCTAAGAATGGTAATGAATATAAGCCGGTTATCGAAATCCAAGATAAAAACGGTGTAAAAAATAATATTAACGGTTACCATGTTGACGGTAAGATCATTGTTCAGAAAACCGGCGACAAGCTAGCTCGTTACAACTTTCAAAATTTCCAATTATTAAGTCCTAATAACGAACGTGTTGTACTCAATGGTTGGGCCGAAGTCGGACCAACTTTACTCAACGCTGAGCTTCGCATTGCACCCAATCAACAATCATATCTCGTTAAAAGCAACTTCAAACTTGACAATGGTCAGTATGCTCTCGGTCTATTTGTAAATGACGAGCAATCACCAGAGAATGTTTATGGTAGCTCGGCACAATTATCAATTGGCGACAAAGCTTATGAACTGAAATTGACTGGCAAGGCTGTTTCCTGGGCCATCAATAGTGAAACACAGTTTGAGTACATTAATTCGGATAATTCGAATGCGCTGCGCACAGGAAAATTTTCACAGAATATTAAAATTGAACATAAAAATAAGCTCGTTGGCTCTGTGAATGTAATTTCCACAATTGATGTCAACAAATTCCAATTTGATGCGGAAGCAGTGCGAGACCAGAAGTTAGCATCTCTTAATGTTAAGTATCAATCCCACCAGCGATCAATTCACGACTACGAATTGTCGGCTAAAGCTAAACTTAACAAGCATTCTATTGATGTTTTCTCCAAGTGCGATTTTACCAGAAATATTTTTGTTGTAGACAATTCCATTGCAACAAGCTGGGGCACTTCAATTACAGCCAAGGGAGAGTTGGGACAACGGTACTCTGCACAGGATGTGCACATAGATCTGCAAGGCACTGCTCAGTTTGGCGGCAAGAAGCAACCCATTCAGTGGATTCTTAAGGTTTTGGGCACACCAGAGAAAACCAACAGCGAATTCCGAATCAGCAGAGATAATGCTGAGCTGGCCAAACTGACCAGCGAATCACAACATCCGCAAGATAAAATTGCAGCCGCTAAGGTAAATCTGATCGTCAAAAATTTGCTAACTGCAAAAGGCGATTTTAAAATAGCTAAAAATGGCAAGGGTGAACTTAAGGCAACTATTGACAGTCAAAAAACTGAACAAAAGCATAAGTTTGAAATTGAATCTAAGTTTCATGTGCAGGCGCCAAAATATGATTTTGATACTAGTATTATACTTGATGGCGATAAGCAGCTACATTTAAAAACAGAAAGCAATCTTGACAAAGTCAAATTTTCTACCAAAAACATTGTCGAGTCTAACGACAAAAAGTTTTCTTTTGATGCTAGCGGTAGCGTGAAAGGGGAGTGGCGTACAAACGGCGATATTCAGGGAACTTTCTCATTGACAACTCCAGACGGTCGCATAGTCGATGGTAGCATCAATCGCCGTGTTGCGACCAACGTCAAGACATTCTTAACTCAAGGCACAGCAGATGTCCAAATTAATGACCAAGAGCCAGGTTCCGGTAAAAAACGATCCCTTGCGGTCAAGGGTAGGCTGGACCGTATGAATATCAAAACGAAAGAGTTTTTAGCAAACACTCAATGGGTTTACACAGCCTTTAATGGACAAAAATCCGAATTAAACTATCATGTTAAACATCAGCCGAAGGGCCAGAATAAAGCCCTCGATTTCAGCGTTTCCGCGCATGGTGACTTCATTGAAAAGCCTCTCGAGGTTTCTGTTGTGGTTGATGAGTACAGTGCCCAACATGCGATTGCACACTTTTCTGGCAAATATGGTGACATTTCGGTTGACCTGAATGGTAAATACAATATGGGACATAGCACCGTGCCTGCAACGTATGAGTTTCAAGGTCACCTGCAAGTGCCCGACTCCAAATTTAAAAAGTGGGAGATGAACAGCCATGGCAAATTGTTAAAACCAGCGGACAGCAATGGCGCCCACAATCTAGAATTTGTCTTTGATACAAAATCTGGTGATGGGCAATTCACACGAATCAACACTATTTGGAAAGGCAACTCGCAGCAGGGCAGTTATACCTTTGATGCCCAAAATAATAATCTGGACAATGCTCTAAAATTCGATGGTAGCTATCAGCGAGAACAATCGGGCAGTTTTAAGGATGGGGATGCCAGTGGTAAGCAAAAGTATGCTATTTATGCTCAATACGGCGATAAATATATTAAGACCAATGCGGATATAAGCTATGGTGAGACCAACACAGACACAATACACTATACATTGGACTCTAGCTACGAGGCAGCCAAGGACATCACTGTCGATATACGCAGTCACAAGATTGACGAAGGAAGTCACATACTTACCGCTAAGGTTAAACAAGCAGATAAGGCCTATGGTTTGGACACTAAGCTATTTGGTTCAACACACAAAAAAGGATTCGATATGCGTGCTACTCTTCCATCAAATCAACCCATTGTTGTAGTGGCTGTTTTTGAAGTCTTAGGCGATCGTAAGGCCAAACTGACACTGGATATAGACAATCTGATTGATTTAGATTTTAAATTAAACACGGAGGCATCATATACTAACATTGATGATTTCTACGTCATTGGAAACTGGAACTCAAAGAAATTGCACCTAGATAGTTACGCCTTGGATGTAAAAGCTCATGGAAAGAACATCAAGGTACATCTCAAGAGTGGACAGACGGTGGTGTTCTTAGGCACTGCTACATACACCTTGAAAAAAGAACAAAACAAGGCGATCATCGAGGGCCAAGGTCAGGTGCAGTATCTTGGTAAGCCGCACACTGGTAGTTTCAAGCTCATCCGTCAACACTTCGACCTTAGCACAGAAAAGGAAGTTGGCTTTGCCTACACCTTCAATGGGAGCTTTGGACCCAAGAATGGTGTTTCCATGCTCAAGATAACCAACAAGGAATTCAACACTAAACTTTCAATATGCGAAGAAAAGAAACAATGTTCTAATATACAGGTACAGTCCTCCATTAATATAGACGAACAGCAATTGGACTCTGTGCAGCATGATGTTCTTATACTAGTTGATCTTAGAGAACTTGGGTATCCCTATGAGTTGCAACTAAAATCTAAGAACAATCGACAAGGTTTCAAGAACCAATACAATCTGGATGGCCATATTCTTTCCGGCAATAACCTCAAATATCAGCTGACTGCCAATGTAATGCCAACTGCCACAACCATTAAATTAACATTGCCAAAACGTCAAATACTATTTGAGACTACCCAGAGATTACCTACCGATGGTAAACTCTTTGGTCACTATGAACAGTCAGCTGCCTTCTATATCGATAAGCTGCAGCGCCCGAATGATGTGGCACGCGTTTTGGCAGTTCTAGACATTTCAGGTGTGGAACAAGTTGCCCTTAACGCCCAGGCCCATTTCAAGGTTGAGCATCCAACGATACGACCGCTGAGCATTAGCGCAAAGGTTGAGGCGCACAGAGAGCAGCAAATTCTCAATACCGAAATAGTATTTGACATATTCCGATCACCGGAGCAGAAGGTGATTGCAGCTAGTCAAATACGTAACATTAAAACACAATCCGGTTTCAATATCACATCCAATCAACAAATTCGATCCTCAGGATTACAATTTCAATATGAACTGAACACGCACTCAGCGTTGATCCCAGACACAAGAGATTTTAGTGCTGGTACAGAGCTGCAAAGCAGCACAAGTGATCTTAATTTTGAAGCTCATTTCTATGGTAACAAAGATCGATTAGAAATTTCAGTTAACGCCTTGAACGAGAAAATACTTTATGTAGCCGGCGACTTTGACTGGCAAAAGCGAGCTGCAAAGATCAACTCGAAACTACAAGTGTTTGGCCAAAAACATGTGGAACTTAATGGCGAGGTGCACCCAAACTGGGCCAAGGTTACACTAAGGCGACAAAATCTTATTGATGCTAATGCTGAAGTGAAACTAGGCAAAGAATTCCAGTTTGACGTTGTAGGCACGGGTAAACCAATATTTAATGGACGTATAGCTCTAGATCCAGCTAACTTTTTACAAACTACCTACAAAACCAATGACGATGATGTTACAGCATTCTTGGTAAGATATCTATTTATATACTGATCCATCATCAATTGATTTTATTCTAAACTTACTACAGACCTCAGTTGAAACGGAAATAAAAAAAGAAACTGATGCAATTACCGAAAATGTGAAAAAACGTTTTGAAAATATTCGTCAACGATTTGATGAAAAGCTCAAATTGGTATCTGAAAGCAGCCCAGATTTGTCAAAACTTAGAAACAATTACGGTGATCATATGAATACAATAATTAAAGAGCTTGAAAGCGATCCTTCGTTAGCACCCATTATCGATGCCATGTAAGTAAAAATAAACATATACAAAACTAAAATAAGTTGTCGGCACATCTATAGCTACAGATAATGTATCCTTGCAGACATATGATAGGGGTAAAACATAGCTCCCATATTCAAATGTTGTCTATTTTCTAAACTTATTATGAAATTTAAATGTAAACAATTGGACTTCGATCTGCAAGGGTATATAAACTTTGGCGTGCCTAGAATAGCTGTTCCTTTTTGCTTGATATATAATATTGTTATTATAAATCAAAAATCTTAATAATCATTAAATATCCTTTTAGACGAACTCTCTATGAGAAGATCAACAAAGTGATAATCGAAATAACAAAGACCACATCAGAAACTTATGAGAAATTGCACAAGTCATGTGTCGAACTTTATGAAAAGTTAAATGATCTGTGGAAAGACTCATTACTCAAAGCATGGGAGCAGTTCGTTGTAGCAATGACTAAGCTGGTTGGACAACTTCGCATTGAGATTGTCAATGCTTTGACAAAGACATTCAAAGATGTGATTGCTTGTTTCGAAAAATATGGACCTGCATTAAAGAACTATGTGAAGGCTATAAACGAATCACTTAAGCCATTTCAAGAAGTAGCACAAGACCTAATTAATGTAATAGTACATGCGGTTGAAGAACTGAGTAGCGAGATTAAAGAATATATTGCTAAGTTGCCAACATTTGAAAGTATTCGCAATGAGCTCAGAACAAAACTAGAACAATTTAAAGTTATTGAAAAAACTCTAGAGTTCATGAACAATATATTTGAGCAATTAAACCTCTTACCGCAGACCCCGGAATCTGCCGAGTTCCTACAAAAATTGAATGAATATCTCCAAGCCAAACTTAAAAAACAGCCGCTCGATGATGAAAAGTGGCTGGATGAGCTGTCAAAATTATTAGTCAAGGCCGCGCGTTCCCTATGGGAATCAATCAGAAGTAATACGCCAGTGAATAGTCTTCCGGCTACCGACTTGCGTACTACGTTTGGTTTCTGGCCTCATTCAGTTGATGCGTTTGCAAAGTTGCCAGCTCTGCTTTCGTTCCGATCAAGCATCATCAATTTCGTGTTAAATGAGAACTGGGAGCATATTTTCAGCAAAGATTTGTTCTCTTCTTGGCTGTTCTTCCAAGACTTTGAGTTGCATGGTCACATTATTGATGGCCAACACATATTCACATTTGACGGGCAGAACTTTGCCTATCCAGGTAACTGCAAATATATACTTGCTCAGGATGGTGTAGATAACAACTTTACTGTGAGTGCCCAGCTTAATAACGGCAAGCTAAAAGGAATTACACTTGTTGATCAAGATGGAAATTACATGGAAGTCAGCGATACTGTTGCTCTTAAGGTAAACGGAAAACCCGTAGAGTATCCGCAACATTTGCCAGGCATTCATGCATGGCGTCGCTTCTACACAGTGCATTTACATTCAGAATATGGAGTGAACATAGTTTGTACCACAGACCTTAAGGTCTGTCATGTAAATGTAAACGGATTTTATACAAGCAAAACTCGTGGCCTTCTAGGTAATGGTAACGCCGAACCCTACGATGATTACTTGCTTATCGATGGAACTCTCGCTTCCAACTACGCGGGTTTGGGCAACGAATATGGTGTGGGCAAGTGCAGTCCCGTGGCGTTCGATAAAACTCAATTGGAAAGCCCTGCACGCAATGACATATGTAGCGATGTCTTTGGCATCGAATCACCTTTGGCTCTTAATTATTTGGCATTGGACTCCAAGCCCTATCGGCAAGCATGCGACTTTGCCATGTTAAGTGTCCCTGATAAAGATAAGGAGGCAGTGGCATGCACCTTTGCCTTGGCGTACGGCTCAGCACTAAAGATACAGAACAAATGGGTCTTACTACCATCACGTTGCCTTAAATGTGCTGGAGCAGTTGGTCAACGTGAGCTCGGCGAAGAGTTTACGGTAAAGATACCGACGAACAAGGCAGATGTTGTATTTATTGTGGACGTCAATGTAAACCCCATTGTTATGGCCAACCTTATTGCGCCTGCAATAACCGAGATCCGTGAATCACTTAAAGTTCGTGGATTTACCGATGTCCAAGTTGGTGTTATTGTTTTTGATGAAACAAAGAAATATCCGGCACTGTTAACGAGCGACAATGGTAAAATTAACTATAAGGGAAACGTAGCCAATTTTCAACTGAACGGTCCAAAGCACTTCTGCGAAAACTGTGTGGAACAAATCATCACTGATAAACGAATACTGGATATATACAACGTACTCAAGGTTTTGATAAAGACGATTGTTCCCCAATCTGATGAAAAGGCATTTGATTTGGTTCTTGATTTCCCATTCCGTGCAGCTGCAGCTAAAAGCATTATTGGCGTTCGCAGTAACTCGCTGGATTATAATAATTGGGTAAGCTACATGTCATGTATATACGCATTTCAATTTACTTAACATTACTAAACATTACAATTCACACTATTTTTATTGTTTTTCTACAGCTGAAGTTCGTTCGTTCACAAATAACAGGCACTGTTTCTAAGTTCAATGGCGCATTACTGCACTTAATAGCGCCCATAAAAGGACTCGCATTGGAGGGTGTGCCAGCTGAAAAGCTAGTTGGTAAGATTTCGTTAGAGCTATTCAAACTCACATTTAATACATATGTGCAAACTCGTCTTGAATTCAGGTTTTAACGCTCGACTAGTCGCCACCTTAGATGGAAAGGATAACAAGAAACGCACGAAATTGCAATTCGTAAACGACATGGGCATTGATTTAGTTCTCAATAATGGCGGTTGGGCATTCGACACCGAGAACTTTAACAAGCTGAAACCCGCAGATCAAAAGAAAGTGCTCAGTCAGGTCACATCCTCCATTGCCGACACACTTTTTAAAACCGAAACAGTCAGTGATTGCCGCTGTCTACCAGTGCATGGATTACATGGTCAGCACAAGTGCGCAATTAAGTCGACGAGTTTTGTGCCAAATAAAAAACCCAAATCCAAATGAAACCCAACTCCATTTCTTCATATAAAATTATATAACATTAATCCTTAAATGAAGTTTTGACCAAATGTTTAGATTATAGAGCTAAAATCAGATAAGTTATTAAAACATGTTTGTGTCTAAAAATTAAAATATTACAGCACGGAAGCCTTATTAAACACAAAAAAATATATATCAATATTTGTATTTATCAAGTTATACTTGTTCCTTTTACTCTTTATTGCTTGGCGAACCGCAATCGATAGTTGCAATTGTGCGAAAATCTCGACACCATTGAGCATGACACATAACAACGATACTATCGATAGTATATCGCTAGCTCTCAGTTATTGTTGTGTATTTGTTAATCAATTGCCAGCTGCAAGAAATTATAGGTTAGCTGTGTTATGGATATGAAACAAACAAGTAACTTAACAAATGTCGATTATTTACTGGTAAAGTTCAAGTTTTGCAAAGAAATGTTAAGCCAAATAGAAATTACCCACAAAGGGTAATTTGTGGTGAAGAAAAAAACTTTTGTGTATATTGCCATGTTATTAATATTTCAAAGCGATAAAAAGGATTGCACTCCAAATATTAACCGAAATACGCCACTTCTGGTTAGTTTTTGTGTACCTTTTACAATTTGAAGTCAAAAGCCACTTTTATTTTGGATACACCTTGCATTGGTTAAACGAGGAACGTACACAATGGAATCCTCAGATGAGCAACTAAGGCAGTTAACAACATTAAATATTAGGAGCGACGATAGATATGTACGGACCGGAAAAGTGGCAGCTTTGGTAGACAACTTACAACAGAAAGCGAGTGCTGCACTAAGTGATGTACATAACAAGGCGAAAGCGGCACCATTCATTCCACCGAAGCCATTAAAAAAATCAATTGAAATGCCTCAGGTAATTAAATATAAATATCACATCTCTGTATTTTAATTAAACAATTTTTAAGGTGCCACTGAGCAAACTGGTTACGGACACCCGAGAACCGCTTTATTCACAACCTTTGCAGAGTTTAGAATTTTCTGGAAACAAAGGAGCTGCGAGCGGCTCTAGTCTTTTACGTAAGCAACTCATTTATTCAAGTCAAACTGGCGAAAAGGCTGGCAACAGTCAAACGAATTTAGACAACCCGGCTGTATTGGAACAGCAATTGGAGGCTTTGGCATATCACAAACAGCAAATGGAAAAGAAAGGGCTTTTGGGATCACAATCTCAATTAACGAAACAAATCCCTAGCATTCCAAAATTGTCCTCCACATCTCTGAGTGGTCATGCTATTTCGAACAAAATTACTTCACTTTATAGCAATCTGTCTTCTTCAACTCATGGCGCAACTAACGACTCTAAGGCTGCATTCATACATATATCTACTCAACCAGAAGATAGCATTTTTTACTCTAATGTACAACATACATGCCCTCAAAGTAAGTTAATGGCACAATCTCTTTCGGTGCTTACGGTAAATATAAATACAGAAATAAATTAAATTGAGCTTATTATTGCAGATTCAATTCTTGCAAACGCTAATGTTGGTTCAAAATCTTTGCCTAGAATGCTTTCCATTTGTACAAACCCATTGTCAGAAAAGGAGCTCGATGAAGATTTACCACCACCCCCTAGCCCAGTGAGCTCTTCTTATAGTGAACTTCGACGAGCAAGTGATGTCTTCAACAAAGCGATAGATTTCCAAGAAAATAGTGCAAATAAGCAGTCCTCACCATCAATATCACATACAAATTACGCCGATCATTATTCTTCACATACGCCATCTCTTAAGGTAAATTAATATATGGAATACAAAATAAACCTTAGATAAACATTTTTCAATCAAATTACTTCTCTAACACTACTACTCTTATACCCACGCCTCATGTTTAATGTATATTATAGAGATATCAAAATAAAGCGTGTACGGATTCCTATGGCTATGGTGCATTATCTCAGGTATGGTTGAACACAACAATTTTAAAACTAGAAATTATATATTTATATTTTTTAGCGATCAGCATAAATATCAAACTTCTTAGCCTTGTTAAAGAATTTTATTATTTGCAATATGTAGTCTAGTGACACTCCCAGTTTCTAAGTCACTTTTTAAGGCAGTGTATCTCAGAGACAGGCACTTTCGACTAGAGCAATATTACTTGTTTTCCATGTGTTTTTTTCTTATAGAGCTCTTCCACATATGATTCGATATATGAGCCCATAAATCCACGCCCACCTAGTGATATATCGTCACGTACCAATTATAATATATATGCATCGTACGTAAATCAAAGCAATATACAGAGCAGTTCGACAAGCGGAGACAATGGACTTTTAGTAACGAGTGGTGCCACAACTCCTTTGTATTGCAGAGGCGAAAATGGTATTACAAATGGTATTGGATATTCTAAAAAAAATGAAAATATCGAAAGCACTAGCCAATACAATTTAACCCCCATTAATTCTGCGAGCGAAATGGAGAGTTATGGTCAGTAAATCAATTAATCATAAACAATATTTAGTTAGTCAAATAGTTGACTGAATTTAATTTATTTTACTAATATTAGGTCGATGTTATAAATGCGGTGACCGCGTATTAGGCGAGAACAGTGGGTGCACAGCCATGGATAAAATTTACCACATTTCCTGTTTCACTTGCACCGAATGCCAATTAAATCTGCAAGGCAAACCATTTTATGCACTTGAAGGAAAACCATTTTGCGAGTATGATTATTTACAAACACTTGAAAAATGTTCTGTTTGCTTGAAACCAATTTTGGAGCGCATTCTTAGAGCCACTGGAAAACCATATCATCCACAGTGTTTTACTTGTGTTGTATGTGGAAACAGTTTAGATGGTAAATACAAACAGATATTAAAATCGAAATATTATTAAATTAAACAATATGATTATTATCGTTTTACAGCAATCCCATTCACAGTTGATGCCACCAATCAGAATTATTGCATTGCTGATTTTCACAAGTAAGTTAAACCATCTAAAAATAAAAAATATTATTTTTAAAAATTAATATGATTCCAGGAAATTTGCGCCTCGGTGCTGTGTTTGCCAAGAGCCCATTATGCCAGAGCCGGGACAAGAAGAAACAGTGCGAGTAGTTGCCCTCGACCGCAGCTTCCACCTAGAATGTTATAAATGCGAGGTGAGTACAACAGAACAATTTGCTGCCGCGTTATACTCAGAAGTAATTATGTTTTTAAACAGGACTGTGCCCTCTTATTGTCGTCAGAAGCGGATGGTCGTGGATGTTACCCTTTAGATGATCATGTGCTTTGTAAAAGCTGTAATGCTCGACGTGTTCAAGTTTTAACAAATCGTATGACCTCAGAACTTTAAAAAGCTTGTAATAAATATACTCCCAAATTATATATTATTATTATATTATTGCATAAATACGTGCATTTAATTAGCAACTTATAAACACTATCAAACCCATTCCAATATGTGTAATCGAACGATTTCATTCCATACTTTATAAAATAAACCAACTTATTACCATCATATGAAAATATTTTTAAAAGTGGATACGTATCATTAAAAAGTAAGAGTGTATTGCATAGAAATAGACAAACGAAATGGCAATGCGTTACACACTCCACTGCTTAATTAAAATACTTTCCGAAAGGGTAAACTAATGCTCGACATGTACTTTATTAAAAGCATGTGCAGCTATCGATAACTTTAAGCATAAGCTTAAAAGCTCTAGGTTGTTTGAAGGAAGAATAGTTTTTTCGGTCATGCGTCGAAATGGTGGAGTCTCTCAAATTTGCGCTTTGGAGACTTTCGCTTCCAATTTATCGCTCAGAGAGAATACAGAATAAAGAGGCGAACTGGGATACAGAAATATGAAGCACAATACATATTCAACATATATACATTCCTATAGCTGTTCCTGATGCTGCTCGGTATCGAAAGCCATCAGTATTGAATTCGCTTTGCTATCCAACAGACGTTTAACAAAACAATACTTAGTACATATATATATATATATATATACAAGTCGCGTGTCGCCTGGTCCCGTCAACCATGTATATACTATAGTGAAACACATTTAAAACATAATATATGTATATGCATACGTACGTATGTACATATTAATTCATTTTGATAGATACAAACTTTATACGTATACCAAATATATACATAGGTTTGAATGTACCTCTCTATATGCATATATGCTTATAAATACATACACACGTATATACGTTTATGTGTGTAAATATTTCGTGACATTAATATGTATGTTCATAGGAATCAATTTATGTATATATTTATCACATCGCTGGTGGAACTGTCCCGTGCATATCTTTACATACCAAATATAAATATTTATATACATAGGTTAATATCAATGCTTATACATATTTATACGTTCATGTGCATTTCCAGAGGTATATATACGTAGGTAAATTTATATGAGTTTGCATATAATAGTAAATCAATTGAATTTTGAAACGCAACTAACGCTATTTTATGAAGCGGCTACAGCACAGATACAAGCTTTGCATACATATAGATTAAAAAAAAAAATATATATATAAGATATATATTTTTTATGTACATATGTATCGATACGCGAGTTTTCTGGAAAGTGTGATAAATTCGTTCGTTCGCTCGCATTTTGAAATATGTGTACATGTGATTTATGTGTATCAATGTACACGTGTATAAAAAAACCTAACATGACGCATTATATGTACCAGCAAAAATTGTGAAAAGGTTTTTGTGCAAAAAGGTACCTAGATATGTAGATAAAATTTGCACTTTTTCGCCTCGCCCAATTTCCAAAGGACATTAATATCCTTAAACATGTACGTGTACGTATATATATATACAAACGCCATCTACGCATGTGTGCACAATTACGCTTTATATGTGTGTATTTAACTTACATACAATTTTATGATTTTCTTACAAATATATCAGCAGATTTATGCATTTCATACATACATAAATAAATGTTTGCGACTTTTAATGTATATGTATATATGCGCTCAAGGACACACATATAAATATATATTACATACTTGTTCTTGAACATAAAATTGTCGATTTGACAATTTTTGTACCTGACATACATATTCATTGTAATTATTGTATACATACATACGAGAGTAGCATTATCCGTATTATTTACTAGGAAGTGCATAAGAATTATGACATGATCTATAGATGATAAAGCTCTGTGTACAAATGAATTTATGCACTCAATTGAAATACGTACTTTAACTTTATTTACATAAATGTTTCTTAAAATATGCGTAGATTGTATACAAATACATATACGAAGTAAATGTGTATGTATTCTTATACCCTCCCTGCAGCAGACATTACTGTCAATTGGAAAATCGGTGGAAAATTCATGCGCAGCTATAATGGAATGTGGAAGCAAGAGAAACATGTACTCAAAGATACCTAAATAGATATGTATGTATATATATATATATATATATGTATATATATATATATATATATATATATATATATATATATATATATATATATATATATATATATATATATATATAGATCTATATATATATATATATATATATTTGTTATATGTGTACATATGTACATGTGCGTATCAATTGCCATGTATGCCTTAAAATACAGTAAATAGCTGCAGAGATATCAGTTAAATGAATATGGCCATATATGAATGTATGAACATAGATGCGTATTTATGTATGTACATGTGTATACTGAAAAACTTGTTGCAATTTGTAATGTAATTGCAATTAATAAAATAGTAAATACAATGTATTTTAGATGGTTTACTTCAGCAATATCTTCTTTTATGTGTATCAGATTTGTAATTGTTGTGGAACTCGGTGCACGTATTAACTTGCCAGCGAGGAATAATTTAAAGCAGTAGCGACTGGATTTTTTAGCGTTTTTTTACGTTGCCAAATTACGTATGCTTACGTACAGAAGTAAGTAAGCTTGAATGGACATTTCATTATCTCCATCGTTAATTGTTGTGTTAAAAAACACACTGCGTGATAGACTCTATGAATTCGTTACCATTAGTTGATATGAATTGCTTTGGCTGCTGTCCAGTCAAAGCCTCCGTTGAAATCAATTTTTGTGGGTATAACTAACTAATAGCTGCTTCTATATTTGAGTATGTGTACATATTGTACGTGATTAATTATTTATCGATAATGAACGACGAGTAAAGCATGCATTACCTACATATGTACATATATTTGTATATGCATGTACATTTTTAGAAATGTTTTGCTCAATTTGTATGTGTACATATGTACACTTACTTAAATAAATTCTCACATAAATACTGAATAGTATTTTTCTGGTTGAAAACATGTGGGATTTGACCATCTGTTGAATATGCTAAAAATGCGTTGCATCAAATTTTCTCCGTTCCTGTGCATGTCGTTAGTCTTACACATGTTCACGTTACTAACCGTACGTGTATATACATTGGTATGTTTGGACATAGCAAACTGAAGCCACACATATACACATTTATTCTTTGGAAATTGACTTCATAATCAAAATCAGAATTTGTATGTATGTTGTATGTTATAAATTGTTATTCCAAAGGAATAGATGATTTACGCGGTTAGCGTAAGTGCAAATAGCAACCTATATTTTGCAAAAACAGTATTTAAAATAATTCATAATAAACACATTTTAATTAATTACTTTCATCGCCCATGCCATAGGCAAAGTACATATGTACTTAAATGTCGTATAATTTACAAAACCAGCTGTTTGCAGTGTGGCCGTAAAATTGTGTGATCTTACATAAAAATCGACGGGAAAAAATCGATTATTTTATTGTAAATTACAGTATGTAAATTGTACTAAAAAAATAAGGAAATTATCATCGTTTTAAATTAATTACATAAATGTGTATTAATCTAAAATATCTATGAATTAATATTTATTTCGTATAGAAACACCATTTAATTGGACAAGCAAAAAACGAGCATCGAAAAAACAAGAGAAAACAACACGGAAGCCACAACATATTAAACTATACACCAGATACAAGGGTTGGTAAAGTTTTCTTGCAAATTTATTATCATAGGCTTGGCGGCTAAGTGCAAAGCACTTTTATAGACACACACGCACGATAGATTTTCTCAAGTGTGCCATCGCGATGGCTGCTCCAGCAGCCTGTACGCGTTTTTCGGACAATTACGATATCAAAGAGGAACTCGGAAAGTACGTAAACACGGCGGACAGCCAGAAGAAATAAAATAAATCAATTGACATGAATTTATGATTTTTCAGGGGCGCCTTTTCAATTGTAAAAAGATGTGTCCAAAAATCAACGGGATTCGAGTTTGCGGCAAAGATTATAAATACCAAGAAGCTAACAGCAAGAGGTCAGAATATATACCCTTTATATTCATACTTATATATGATGTATTATATGAATATTTTCTTGCAGATTTCCAAAAACTAGAGCGAGAAGCTCGGATTTGTAGAAAACTCCATCATCCTAATATTGGTATGATATAATACGATAAGTTCCATATTCCAGACGATTCTAGTCGTTAAAGCCATGTCCGTTAACTATATATCTGTTTGATAGTTTTATTACTCTACAACTCAGTTCTGTAGATAAATATTGACACATGTTCCTTTCACCGCTACTAGTTTACAACTTTACATCTGCCGAACCTCATAGTCCAAACAAAAAACTTATTCTGATTCATCATACGTATACCTGTTATAATTAAGTTATGCAAATACATTTATATTTTTATAGAAATAAGAAGTGTTGCTTATACTTAATAAAGTTTCTTTTTCACTTTTGTCACTTGCAGTTCGATTGCATGACAGCATACAGGAGGAAAACTATCATTATCTTGTTTTTGATCTGTAAGTAGCACTCTCACATATTTTATGTACATTGTTAATAACAAAAACTAAAGAGAGTGTAACTGATCGTTATTGTGAAAAACTCTTGGGTCTCTTTGTGGATAAAGCAATGACTTGACTATTGTTTATTGAGATTCATAGTTCATCCTTTCCCCTCCGAGTTCTTATTTACTCACATACAACCCCCTAAAATATGCACACTAACTAATTATGTACATAGTACTACACAAAGTTGTAAACAAAAATTAAATTACAATTTCCGAATGAAAGCAATCTACCAATCAACAAAATTGACTATACTAAATACATTTACAGTGTAACTGGTGGTGAACTTTTCGAAGATATTGTTGCACGTGAATTTTATTCAGAGGCTGATGCATCACATTGTATTCAGCAAATATTGGAATCGGTCAATCACTGCCACCAGAATGGTGTGGTGCATCGAGATCTCAAACCTGAGAATTTACTATTAGCTAGTAAGGCAAAGGGTGCAGCTGTGAAACTCGCTGACTTTGGTCTAGCCATTGAAGTACAAGGTGATCACCAAGCCTGGTTTGGATTTGCTGGTACTCCCGGTTATCTATCGCCAGAGGTATTGAAGAAGGAGCCATATGGCAAATCGGTAGATATATGGGCATGCGGTAAGCAGATGAAACTATCATATATTTTAAGTACTTACGTGTATGTAGTACCTTGATATAATTTTTACTAACACTCCGATAATATTAACTCTTACATAACATACTTTGTATACGTAACTAAACATATATATTGTTTATATGCAGGAGTTATTCTCTACATATTGCTGGTTGGCTATCCGCCGTTTTGGGACGAGGATCAGCACCGCTTGTATTCACAAATAAAGGCAGGGGCCTATGATGTAAGAATAATTATCTATTGCCATAAAGCCAAAATGTTATTATATAAACAAATTTCCATACTTTGTCGAGTTAATATGCAATTAAACGAAGCAATGAAAATATCGCACAATATATAAATTAAGAAAAGAAACAGACTAACGGATATATTTAGATCAACTGTGCTCTACATTGATAATCTTTATTAAGTAGAAAATTTGTCTATCTTTTATTATAGTACCCTTCGCCAGAATGGGACACTGTCACGCCAGAGGCAAAAAATTTGATTAATCAAATGCTCACTGTGAACCCCAATAAGCGAATCACAGCAGCAGAGGCTCTTAAGCACCCATGGATTTGTGTACGCTTGTGCTTATTACTTATTATTTCTGTCCATCTCTTTGTTCATCTCTTTGTTTTAACATTTATAGCAACGAGAACGTGTGGCTTCTGTGGTACATCGTCAAGAGACCGTTGACTGTCTTAAAAAATTCAATGCTCGCCGCAAGCTTAAGGGCGCAATACTGACAACGATGCTTGCAACTAGGAACTTTTCTAGTAAGTGGATTAACGCTTTTATTCAAAAACATATATATATATATACTTGGTTATATTCATTTGTAGGTAGAAGCATGATCACCAAAAAAGGTGACGGATCTCAAGTTAAGGAATCAACTGATTCTTCAAGCACAACATTAGAGGACGATGACGTAAAGGGTAAATACTTAAACTCCATTAGAAACATAGTCGGGATATATGATTTTTAACGATTTCATCACGGATGCCAGTAGAGGCCGAATTTTTATTTAGATGAGTTGAACTTGTTAGGTAACAATTTACAGTTGAATGAATGCCTAGCCAAAATACAATTTAAACACACAGAAAGATAGTGAATATAAGCATACACTATATTAAATCTATATTTACATAATAATTATTTACAGATATATGTATATATATTATATGAATACATATTTTCATATATATCTTATAGATGTATATATGAATAAAAACTTTATATAGGCTCTCTACCACATTATGACTTAATAATGTCGCTTTCTGTAGTCCATCTAGCTCGGTACTTTTAATAATGCATAATTTTGAATTAACTTGAATTATAATCTATTAAATATGCACGCTTATTGTATTTTTGAAATTCAGTGTCGTTTTCGTAGCTGTCGTACCACGTTTTTAATGTGCCTGTATATAATCATATTCTTCATGTTTCATTATTTCATACTCTATCGTTTTGTACATATTTCAATTATCTTTCAACATCTGAGATATTAATGTTAACCACATTGAGTCTTATTGATTATATAAATTAAAAATATTATTGTTAGTTCCATAAACTTGGTTGGTTTTTTTTATCCTGTATATATTGAAAAACAGTTGTGGAAAAGTATGTAACTGACATAAGCAATCTGACTCCATAAAGTAAATATATTCTTGATCGGCATCAACAGTCGTGTCGATCTACCCATTTCAGTGTATCCGTCGGTCCGGCTAAGCACGCGGCTTTGAAATACTAAAGAAAATAGCAACATCACATTTTCGAATATAAGTTCGCGTATACCACCCGTAGATCAAGTTTGTTATATTTACTTAATCCATACTTTCTGCGTTTCGCCAATATTATTAGTTATCGGTTAATACCAAATACCAAACTACACTAATTTTTGTTAATGTGTTGGTTTAAATATCTAATATTTGTTCGACGTAATATATGTAAAAATTCAGGGTATATATTAGTCGAAGCCTGTCGACTAGAGTATTTTTGCATTTTTAAAGCACCGTTAAGTGAAATATAATTGATATACATTCACAACCAACTAGGTATCCTAGCTCTTATAATCTGTATTACGTTTTTAGCTGAGTATTTGATATAATTGCTTTTTTATGATTTGCTCTAAAAACATACTTAATTTTGAACTTAAACTTATATAATTAAAGTCCAACATTACATATCTATTAATTACAAGAGGAGTAAAAAATCCAAAACCCATTATGTATTTGCGTGCGTATAAAGTTATTTGGTAATATATATACATTTTTGAAAACATTTTGCTATTATTTTACGCTCGCAATTACACACTGAACATAAAAATAATAACAACTATTGGAATCAACACAGTTGCATTTTCAAATATGAAATTTGTTTTTTTTTTTAGAAGATAAAAAAGGAATCGTTGATCGCAGTACCACAGTCATATCAAAAGACCCCGAAGGTAAATTTTCATTTTCATTCTTCGTTTCAAAATATTTATTATAATTTATAAAAAGAGTGTACAAATATATTCGTGTATATGTATATTTGTGTACTCTTTTTTCATTAAGTTCTGTAACACGCTATGCTCAAAATCATTATCATGTGTAACTTTGTGTCCCTTTCCATCAGAATGCTTGGGTATAATTTCATTTTATCAATTGTGGATCCTGGAAGTCAGTTTGAGGAATGAATTAAATGAATGCTTTTGAAGTAATGATTAAAAGGGATTTAAAGACAATTTCGTGGTCTACTTAGAGTTGTCAGTTGTTAATCAAGACTGTTGTTATCATGCAACTAGCTTAAAGGCGTCATCTTGATGGATTTGATTTTAATTTCAGCGTTGGAGATGCTAAGCTTGGATTAAGTTGGAAACGGTACTTAACATACCTTCGCCTCTTTCAACATTCGACCAGATCTCTCAAATGCTCAATTTATACCACCTTGACTTTTCAAAAAGGTTAGAACTATTTGTAGAAAATTTGTTCTTAACATTTTTTCAGGACAAAAATTTTTTAATAGTATAATACAAATAATGCGGAATTCCCCTTACAAATTCAGAAAGTGCAATTGTAATGAACAAAATCCTTTTGATTCAGTTTCAACCGTTGCTCGAGTTCTTGTTCTCCACAAAAAATTTTCCAGAGTAATATCGGTTTTATTTTTAACTCAGTGCCCTTAGTGAATTGGACAACAACCATGCAGCGGTTCAATCATTAAAATCAAACGCAAAATAATCTAATGACATATCTGTATAATATTCCTCCAGTCCTAGTCGCTTCACGCTGCAAACAACTTTTTTAATACTAATTCGCATTTTATAAGTGGCCGGGGTGAATCAATAATTATTGCTCTGTTATTGTACTGACCGTACACATTATTTATGTAAATACTAGGGGTCCAATCACAGGTCAAAGCAAATCCGGCGATCAACTATTCGTTCAACATTAACCACTACGGGTCAGCGTGTACATCTTCGCTTCCAGTACCATTCGGCGTTGGCTTCATCAGAGTAGATGCCAACAAACACGCCAGTATCAATATCAATACAAATACCAAAACCAATACAAATAGAATTGATGGCTTCGATTTAAAATGTCAAAGTCACGATCTTAGCAACCAAATACAATCAAACTCCCGCCTCAGAGGTGAGTATGCTCCAGTATGCCAGACATTTTCTACAAAACTGAACAGTACATTCGCCAGTTGAATATGCGACCTACAAATAAAAAAATAAATGGCGTATAAGTAATTCATTCGATCGCTACTATTATTGTATGTACCTATAAGTATATCTATGTGTTTTATTCTTTCTGATCTATTGCAGATCGCATGCTAAATTTTTGCTGTTTATCCAAAAAAGGAAGCTTCTAATTCAGCTGCGAATGCAAGCATAAGTATGTATCGTTATCTCGTCAACTCGCATAATCTGTAGCTTTTATAAGAGTGTCTGGCATCGTATTACATAATAGTCGTACCTGCGTATCTATCTCAAATTAGCTGATGAGTCTGTTGGTGTTGAAAGTTAGCAAAGTGCTTGGCGCTCTATCTTAGAATGCGTATTCATATGCGTACTTTTTAATAAACTTATTATGTAAATGTGATCCATCCCGCCTATATACATGAGGTTAAATTGAATTGATATTATATACATTTTGTGAACATATATCTTAAATACAAGTCCGAATTCTGCTGTATAAAAATGTCGGTTATGACTCTCTCGTTTTGAGCTAGGAGCATTTTAAAGCATTTCGACTTTTTTTTTATGCAAACCAATTCACTTCACCTACATAATCTGATCTGTATTAAAATCATACTTGCCATATTCATATATTGACCTACATACAAATTTTATGAAGAGCTCGAGTCCTCATTTATACATTGAATTTTGTCTTATTTATTGTCGTGTTCACATATATTTATACATATATATTTAAAAATAAATATATATATATATCTATAAAAATGTGAATTTTAGAAATAAGGATTGTGTGTCCTGCTAAAACTTGCCAGCAAATCTCAGGAAACTCACAATGCTCTTCAGGTACGTATGTCAAGGTGCCTTTTCCTTAGCTCCCATTTTCTGTTAATCAATTTCTTGCATGTTCTCACTTATCAGTGTATATTACACATTTTATTTTGTACTTCAATGAATGCTTGAATGTCTTGTCGTATGAAAATATGCATTATAATTTATTATTATGAAAACGGACTTCGATACACATTTTGTGCCTTCTTAATTGTTCTTCTGTACAGTAAGATGTACCAGATTATCTACATGCTAAGATGTGTAAGAAGTGCATATATATTTAGAAAGTATAGCGAAGAGGGAAGGCACTCGTTTGTTAAATTAACTATAACAAATTAATATAATAAGGAATATTTGAGTACAAAGTCTAAATCTCTTTTGGTCAACATTTCATTTAAACTTCGTTTTTATGGAAAGAAATAATTTTTCTTGTGAATTAGAAAATCTATTCAATAAAATTATACATCCTCTTGAACTATAAATTATTCAGTTCAAGTACAAGTACAATTTTGTTCTATACAGCCCAAAAATTATAACAAAAACTAAGCAGTAGTGTATAAATTTGGCACTTGCATCACCTTCTATTATTGTACCTATGGACTTCTTAATTCAATTATCAATATATGTTAAAAGCCTGCATTTGGGTGCATTAGTCGAGAGAGCCCACAAAAAATATACTCTACTCAAGTTTATACCTATTATCGTATGAATATTCAAACTCATATGTTATGGGCATAAAAATGGTGATGAATGTTTGAGTATAAATATCTATGTCGTCAACGATTTATAATAATTAAGGCTTGGGAAGAGGATATTTCACAGTCAAACGCCTTTAACTATCGCACTCTATCTTGTTTATGTAGTAAATGTAGTACCAGCGTAGATAATTATTTAGATACAAGTGCCACTGTTTTATTTACATTCATAAGAGTACGCGCTTTCAAAATGCTTAACAGTTCATTTACATTTTATTCATTCGTAATTGAAATTAAAAACAATACTGCGTAATGTGTAGATCTGTATTTATGTGTTTATAAATTGGGAGAACTGCTCTTATCCAATAATAATTTGGTATATACATTCATATACCAATTTATGTACGCCCATAAGTGTATATGTATGTACATTCCTATAGCTTATAATGTACCTATTTGTATATGACATACATATAGGTATACTTCATATATATATGTATACGATTGTCGAAACGCCATGTACTTTAATTTTCAAGAGTTTACTGAAATACCATTATATACATTTAGTTGTGTTATGATTGTTCTGTTGCGCTGTTCCACTGGTGCGTTGGTTGGATCGTTCAATTGTATTTCTCATCCTACTATCGCTCGTAATCGAATTTCATCAGTGGTTGTAATTTCTGTACAACTACGATTATAAATTATATACACTTTTGAATATAAACTGACTTGCTTCCCTGATTCGCTATAATTACTTATTACTTAACATCATGGAAACAAATATATATATACAAAGCAGCCAGACGACAGGAAATAATAAAGATCACAGAACAGTTGATTGAGGCCATCAATAGCGGTGACTTCGACGGATATACGTAAGTTAATCCTTGATACTGTGGATTACTCAAAATGAATCTTTTACTTTGTGTTGTTATATTATTGACAATTTTTCCCGTGTAGTAAAATTTGTGATCCACATCTGACTGCCTTTGAGCCAGAAGCATTGGGTAATTTGGTCGAAGGAATTGATTTTCACAAATTCTACTTTGAAAATGGTATATATTTCTAAGGCTAAAGGAAATTTTTGTATTTTATATATAATGCTAATAATTTTATTTTCTAACAGTTCTTGGCAAAAATTGCAAAGCCATTAACACTACAATATTGAATCCGCACGTCCACTTACTGGGAGAAGAAGCAGCTTGTATCGCATATGTAAGACTTACGCAGTACATTGACAAGTGAGTGAATTTATGTTAGTTTTAAAAATAAGTTATAAGTTTAAGTTTTATTTCTACATAATTATGTTACTATTTTGGTAACTGGTTGTTCACTTACGCACAGTTTAAAACGTCGGAGCAAGCTAAACTAAAATGAAGGCTTGAAATTGATTTTTACACATCTGCTCTAAAATGTTATTATATATTATTTAATATAATTTTCTTTCAAACACGTTCTAAAATTCTATTAGGCAAGGCCACGCACACACTCATCAATCGGAGGAGACACGTGTATGGCACCGGCGCGACAACAAATGGCAAAATGTGCACTTTCACCGAAGTGCATCAGGCAAGATCAGCGGGGCAACGACTTTCGATTTTGTATCACAGAAATAGGCGGACCACCTATGCGCCACTGAAGTTAAAATATAGCATCAATAATTCGCTCCGATAGCTTAATATGATCTATGTTTATAAAACATTATAAGAAACAGCAGCAACAACAACAATAAGCACTGTTGATTTGTAATTGAACAAAACGAAAATTTATTAGTTATAATATGAGAAGAAAATTAAAAAGTGTTCGTTTCCTCTTATAAAATAATCTTTAGTTTCTTTACTGATCATATATGTTGTCTTCTGCATTATATCATTGAATATTGAATGTATGTGTAACTGAAAGTCAAAAGCTTAATGAAAGCGAAATTACTACAAATATGTATTGTATAAATGGATGAACGTGTCCAGGAAATAGTTTACAAGCACTCAGAAATAATTTATCTAAATGCTTTGAATAATTTTAAAAATAAAGAATAATGAAAGCAAGCGGAATAAAAAATTTCTCCCGTTAAATGCAAGTGGATCGAGAGGATTTAACCCCCTCCCAATATACATATAAATATTCGATTATAACAATCAAATTCAATATTTATATAATAACTCTCTAGAGTGTTTCTACTACATATGCTGAAGATGGAAAAAATATTAAAACTATATGCTACTAACAAGTAGTAAAACATCCATATACACACCAACACTTCTTTGCTATTGAACACACACGCAAGCACATACGAAGAAAATTTTACAATGCGAATGCATGTACCATTAGAAATATACTTGTTTAAAAGGATCTCTACTAGCACACGCATATACAGCCGCTTACATATAAAGCTTTAGCTAGCTATCCACTTGTACGCACTTACTACAAGCATACATAGAAACAAATATGTGTATCAGTATGAATATATAATTGTATATGAAATTGGTTATACATGCCGACGTACTTATCTAAGTATAATAAAAACTTCTTATCATGTTATTAACATTCAATTTAAATACTACAAGTGTGAATATATAAAAATAAAAAAAATCGAAACAAGAAAACTGCATAAACGTATAAATATTATGATCGGAGTCTCGATATTACAAAGCATTAGTTAAAGAATAAATATTAGCATTTACAAATTAAACTATACCAAAAATTACAACCAAACAAAAGAGAAAATATTAAAAACTATAGATAATTGTTAAATAAAATTATAACTGCAAATGATTGGTATCTGACATATTTGAGCCAAATCTAAAATAAGTACTGAATTAATGGAATGAAACTGGCCCAGCTCAGATTCAGGCTTATACTTAACAGATCACGATTCCAGTTGGCCGCTTACATTACTACTCATTCTAGGTAAAGACTTTAATGCGAATATCTAAGTTCTTGTATAATATACTTAATGTGGTTACCATGCAGCCACAACTACCATATGCAACCGATACTTAAATACAAAACAAAAGTTTTATTATGCTTATTATTATGTGGTTTTATACAAATTTTTTTCATATTAAAATGAATTTTTCAGTAACAATATGTTTAACTAGAAAAACTGAATACTTTGATTAAAAAATCAAATCATAATGATCATCTTAATACTTAATATGAAATTATCTTATTGAAATTGAAATTGTCTCGAAGCAAGTGTGCTAGGCTAAGTCTCTATAGATATGTATGTAATTCAATATGTACTTTTTTATGTATGTGATGTATGTGTGTGTGCGTGTTTTTTTCGTTAGAGTAAATGTAAATTTGTAAATGTATGTTCTGATAATTTCAATTATTGATTTAAACAGAAAATGTAATTATTAAATACAAATATAGAACAATTCTGTATGTAAAAGTATACAAATAATTTTGGAGTACACATTTGTGTCAAGCAGTCTGCACAAATAAGTGTTTAATTATTATGTGCATTCAGTAATTTATAATACTTTACTAGTGTCTGTCTTTAAATATAATACGAAGGTGTTACATGTTTAAATCAGACCTACTATCACGTAATACATATGATACCAAACATGAATGTATCAGATAAAATGTTTAGTTGTTTAAATTAATCATTTATGCAGACTGTTTTAAAAATCTTCAAACTACGGAATACATCTAAAGTATTTTATTAAATTAAAAAACGAAATTCGTCGCAGTAATCTTAAAAAAATAACATAATAAATTAAGAACATCCAAACAAAATTCTCATCTATTATTACAAATTTAAAGAATGTACTTATTGTGCACAAATATTGTAATACAAAAGGAAATTTAAAAATGCAGTGATTAAAATACATTATGAATGCTTAGATACATAATTACACACATACATATGTACATAAAAATTTGTCAATAATAATGAGAACTCACATGAACCTATAATTCACAAAACGTTATAAAACTGACTTCTTACTAACGTTAATGTGGTTAATGTTGTGTATGCTTGTTCAATAAATCTAAAGCAACAGGAATAAATTTATTATTAACGATTTTCTAGTATTTAACATGTTTTCTTAAATTATCTTCTAAAACATACTTATGATATGATAATATTATAAGAATAAACCATAATACATATAAATTCAAATAAATTTACAAATCAATCGAAGTGTTGTTATGAACAATGAAGCACATTAAGAGATAGAACGTAATAAATTGTTTATCGAAAGTTCCAAAAAGAAAACCATTAAACAACCACAATGAACGATTGCCTATTCGAATTACATACTTGCTGTAGTTGATGTCCTCAAGATACTATAAAGAATACATGTTTAAAAAAAATACGGTAATAACTTCAAAAACCAATATTAATTATTAAAAATTTATGATTTATGAACTACAAATACATACTTAATAAAAATTATTACAAATATCATCATTTATATATGTTTATCGCCTTAAACACTGATAGATTTCCCATCGAATGTAGAAATTGTGCAATAAAGCTGTTAAAATATTTTTATCAAACATGAAGACACAACTAGAGAGACCAAACCAAAAGTAAAATCACTTTTTGGAAGTGTGGGGACAGGAGTGCGGCCAAACTATCGCCTGTAAAGATGACGGTGGTTTTCTGTCGACTATAGTCCATCTTCACAATGAACGGCTTCACACTAAAACACAAAAAAAAATAGCCGAGCAACGTATTTCACTTTCTCTGCGCACCAGACTAAATAAGGCAGACAACACGCTAATATAGCTGCAATACTCTGGGCAATGCTATAAACAGAATTACTGTACAAATCGTAAAAAAAAATAAATATTGTACCTTGAGTTAGAATAAATTTCACAATTATAAAATAATTTGATAAATTGGTAGACTCGTGTATGTTTAATTATGTTTATTTTTTCGTCTGACTCATGACAACTTTTAATGCTTAATTCATTTGAATATTATTCCGCAAAAATAATTTTATTACGCCCATTTAGGCTGCTTCCTTTGCTAGACGGTCGGCCTTTTCAACCACTTCTTCGATTGGACCAACCATATAAAACGCAACCTCGGGCAGATGGTCGTATTCGCCAGCCAAAATCTGTGAGAAGCCCTTAATGGTTTGTTCCAAAGGCACTAGTTTGCCTGCATGACCTGTAAAGACCTCAGCGACCTGGAATGGCTGCGACAAGAAGCGCTGGATCTTGCGTGCACGTGCGACGGTCAATTTATCCTCCTCAGACAATTCATCCATACCCAAAATAGCGATAATATCCTGCAGAGATTTGTAATCTTGCAAAATTTTTTGCACGCCACGAGCGACGTTGTAGTGTTCCTGCCCAATGATGTTTGGATCCATAATACGGGAAGTGGAATCCAAAGGATCCACAGCTGGATAGATTCCCAGTTCGGCGATGGCACGCGACAAGACAGTGGTGGCATCCAAATGAGCGAAAGTTGTTGCTGGAGCTGGATCGGTCAAATCGTCAGCTGGCACATAAATAGCCTGCACCGAAGTGATAGAGCCCTTCTTGGTTGTGGTAATACGCTCTTGCATAGAACCCATATCAGTGGCCAAAGTGGGCTGATAACCTACAGCCGATGGAATACGGCCCAAAAGAGCAGACACTTCGGAACCGGCCTGGGTGAATCGGAAGATGTTGTCAATGAAAAGCAACACATCTTGCCCCTCCTGGTCGCGGAAATACTCTGCAACAGTTAGACCAGTTAAAGCAACACGAGCACGAGCGCCTGGAGGTTCATTCATCTGGCCGTACACGAGAGCCACCTTTGATGTCTTATCCTTCAGCGAAATGACGCCAGATTCAATCATTTCGTTATACAAATCATTGCCTTCACGGGTGCGCTCACCAACCCCAGCGAAAACAGAGTAACCACCATGTGCCTTGGCCACATTGTTGATCAGCTCCATAATGAGTACAGTTTTTCCAACTCCAGCACCACCAAAGAGACCAATCTTACCACCCTTAGCATAGGGTGCCAAAAGATCTACCACCTTAATTCCAGTAACTAGAATTTCCTGCTCGACTGACATTTCCACAAATTCAGGAGCTTCAGCGTGAATTGGAGCCGTCTTATCAGTTGGTATTGGGCCGCGCTCATCAATTGGTTCACCTTTTAATTTAAATTGTTTTATACACTTCATACTTAAAATAATAATGCTGCTAATCTAATTGAGATCACTTACCAATCACATTAATAATGCGTCCCAACGTCTCAGCTCCAACTGGAATACGGATGGGATAGCCAGTATCGAGAACCTTCTGTCCACGTACCAAACCCTCAGTACCATCCATAGCAATAGTTCTCACGGTGTTCTCACCCAAATGCTGAGCAACTTCCAGTACCAAGCGTGGCGAACGGTTGTCAACTTCCAAGGCGTTTAGAATTGGTGGCAAGTTATCATCGAATTGCACGTCAACGACGGCACCAATTACAGCCACAATCTTGCCATTGGCTCCAGCAGCCGCCTTAGCAGCTGCCTTGGCGGCATGACCGCGAGCTGCAAAAAAGAAAATCAGTTTATCTGTGTCAATGTGTGTATCATGTGAACTTTTGATATAACTGATTACATACTATGTCTTTTTTGTTCATGTATGTTCTGTGTGTATACGAAGATTACGTCACAAGAGCATCTCTTAATAATTTAATGGAAATTTTCATAAGTGTATATAAAGTATGAGTAAAATGAGCTCAATCAAAAATTTTTTAAGCCAATTCAAGCACCGAATAGTTTTTAAATAGATATGTGCACATCCATTGCATGTACAATCTCACATATTAAAAAATGTATGGTTTAAAGAAAAGTTTGGACAAATACAATTCTGATTTTATATTTTCTGAATTATCTTATTTACATTCGCATATGTACAATAACTCAAGTTTAACTATTGATATTTTAATTATTATGCAATCAGTTATTCATTACAAGCACAATTTAGGTTATGTTCGGGTTTTCTCATTCTACATCGATACAGTTTAGCAATTCATATTTAAATAAGAATTTATGCGGTAATATAATCATCTCACATGTTACTAATTTAAATTCTCCTAATAATTTATGTACTTACACAATTGCCCCAAAAATGGCAGCAAATTTTTATCAGCTTTAGCGGCAGCACGTAACGCAAACATTTTTCAGCAACTGACAGAGGTTTGTAGAAGTAGTTGTCTTTCGTCGTAAAATTAATACATAACTTTTATCACGGTCGCATTCACATTTGTCGATAGTCACTGTGGCATTATACTATGAATCGATAGTCTATATCATTTGGTTGTAGCAATTGTTATGCCTTGCCTGTCGAAAGCACCAATATATCGCTCAGCCGGCTAGCTATCGGCTCAGGGGTAGTTCGACCGCGATATATTGGGCGGCAAGTTAACAAAAAAAATTTGTATTCTTTTATAAATAAAAAAAACAAATATTTCCATCAAACCAGTCCGCTCGCTGCTGTGTTGGCTGTGTGTATGTTGTACAGCCTGCGTGTCCCTCCCTTCCTTATGATTCCTCCTCTAAATTTCCTGGAGAAATTCCCTTTCATAATTATTTCTTTCTCGTTTGTTTCTTATGCCCTCATCTCACCCAATCACATTGATTTACCACTTGGCTTTAAAAGTGCGCATCACTGATTGACAAAATGAGCATCACTATTGCCTTGGTTAGGGCCGATCAGCTGTCTTTGGCTCACTCTGCCGTAATTAGGCGGGAAAAAACTCACTGATATGTTGATACAATCCGAGTCGTCTCACGGTCTCCGGGCTTTGATTTCTTGGTTCCTGAGTCCAGTTGGCCGATTTCCTCCTTGATGGTGGCGATGAATAGTTCCGCGTGTTACTGCCGCCGGTTTGTATGTTTTTATTTTATTATTTTTACTTTGTTTTCTATGTATTTATTTTACATTATTTTACTTTATATATAATTACTTCATAATTTTTTTACAACCAATTTATTTGAATTTCTTTTTTAAAACCTTCTCGCAGCGCATGCGCACGCGGTCTTTTTTTCTTCTTTCTTTTTTTTCTTTTCATCTTTCCTTTTTTTATTCTCCCTATTTTTCTGAAGATGGTCTCCCATCGATATCCTTCACCTATCGATCTTTCTGCCGACCATAACACCACACTACGGTTTCGAGATTCATTTCAGAGAAACAGGAGTGCTCTGTAGGTCTCGTGCGCTTGGGCTATCGCTACATTAATAGCCGACTTCAGTTCACTGGACAGCTCCACTGCGCTCCTGGTTTGTTGCGTTGTTGACGAGATACCCTCTACATCTTCTCGGCTACGTATTCCGACTGGATAAGACGTACTCTCCATTTCTTCGGTGGGTTTGGTAGTTTGTTCGCGAGCAGTTGGACGCATTCCCTCTTGCTCTCTATCTCTCTGAAAGTCCCCGCTACGCCGCACTTTCCTCGACTGCCTGGATACCCCTTCGCTCATGTAATTCTTAATTTTAAATATGTTTCAACATTCAACAAAAAAAAAACATAATTATTTAACCCCCAATTTTTTTCCCCAAGGGGGGGGGGGGGGTGTTGTCTCCGCTACTCTGGAGTCTGTTAGTAGACGAACTACTAAACAGACTTGCCAACAGTGGTATTCAATGTCAAGGTTATGCCGATGACATTGTTATCATAGCGCGAGGCACATTTGAAGAATCACTCTGTGACATAGTCCAGTCAGGGATAAGGATAACGTATGACTGGTGTAGGGAGGTTGGACTCAACCTAAACCCTACGAAAACAGTCATCGTCCCCTTTACCAGACGACATAAGTTACAGAGGATGAGACAAATATGGCTCTCAGGGACCCTACTAGAAACAAGTAGGGAGGTCAAATACCTGGGAGTCACTTTTGACAGCAGACTTAACTTTGGCACCCATGTGCAAAACACGATATTAAAAAGCTCCAGGGCGCTTTATACATGTCGTAGTATTGCCGGCAAATCATGGGGTACATCACCAAAGATATTAAGATGGCTGTACCTGATGGTAGTAAGACCCATGTTAACCTATGGGGTGGTTGCATGGGGTGACAGGGTGCGGATGATCACCGTGAAGAAACAACTCCAAAAGTTGCAAAGAATGGCCTGCGTATGTATGACAGGAGCTATGCGCACCTGCCCTACAATGGCCCTTGAAGTCTTAATGGAGCTCACACCACTCCACCATATCATAAGGCTCAAGCAGAAAGCTACGCTTCTCATGATATCAGTAGAAGGAGTTGGGGGCAACCATATCCTAAGCCATAAAGATGCCCAACTCCTTTCAAACGAACTACCCCTACTGACGGAACCTAGGGACGAAATGGCAGCCGAATACATATTCGAGCGAAATTTCACAGTTGGTATGAGTAGTAAAAGGGAATGGACAACTCGGGATGAAGTCCATCCCATGAAACCGCACACCATAAAATGGTACACCGATGGATCACTCACGAATCAGGGCACCGGCCTTGGAGTGGGCACACCAGCATATTTCAGGCTGAGGTGTGTGCGATAGGGAGATGTGCGGACATCAACATAGAACGTAACTATCGGAATACGGATATATCCATCCTATCCGATAGTCAAGCAGCATTGAAAGCTATAATGGGGACTAAGATAACATCGAAGGTAGTCCATGAAGTTCGTTCAAAGCTAGACCTGCTCGGGACTCACAACAGGCTCACCCTACGATGGGTCCCGGGTCACAGAGACATAGCTGGAAACGAGGCGGCTGACAAGCAAGCAAGAATGGGGGCAGAAAGGCCCCCAGGACCAGAACCGTATTGTGGCATAGGGAGACACACTATACGACTGGAACTTAGAAACGAGGAGAGACAGAGACGGCATCAGAGCTGGTCAGAGGCAGTAGGACTCCGACAAGCCAGATGCCTCCTTGGTGGTTATAATCTTGTACGTTTTAAACAGATTATAACCATGGGAAAGAACAACCTTAGGATACTTACCGGTCTATTGACAGGACACTGTAGACTAAGGAGTCACCTGACAAAATTGGGTATATATAGTAGCGATCTCTGCAGGTTTTGTGAAAGAGAGGAGGAATCCTCGATGCACATCCTGGCAGAATGTGTCGCCTTAATTAGAAGAAGAAGCAGCATCCTAGGGGCGTATGTTTTGAATTACAAAGACATAGTAGACCTCAACCCAACAAAGATCCTCACGTTCGTAAGGGAGTTGGGGCTGATGGAAGAGCTATAGGCTCAGAAGGGGGGCACAATAGATCAAATAGGTCGCGGTGCAGCTTCCCCCCTAATAATAATAATAACCCCCAATTTTCATAAATATACGTATATAGGTATATATGCATAAATATGTCTACGGAAAATAATTATCTGTACTTCTATGTATTAAATAAATGAATAACCAATAAATAACTCAGAAACAATTATATGTAACCTATTATAAATATTTGACTAACCTAATCTCTAAGTCAAAATTGTCTTGTAACAATAATATTGAGAACTAAGCTATCACTGAAAATCGACTTATCACAATATACTAACACTCAAACAATTCATACTCAGCACTCTCGGAAATACAATTTAAACATTAAGATGGGTGAGATGAGGGTAACACCGTATGACGCCACCTACAGGTAACAATCCATACAACAAGAAACGAAAATAATTTAATACCACACGCTAAAACACTCCTTTATCTTTCCAGCTCGCCTACAATTGTTCCTCTCTATTCTGAAATATTAATTAGTTCTATTGACTGCGCGCGTTCTCAAAGTCGGACAACGTTGACAATCACTAAACAGTAATGCACGGATCGCGACTCGAAAACTCGACGTACTCTGCAAACCCATTTCCAGGTATGTCATCTTTAAGAAATTTTAATTGGCCGGTATACTAATTATTAAATTCTATTTTTCTTTTTAGCTTCAGATCTACTTCAGCGGCAACGTGGCTCGGCCTTTTCTCCGGCTCACGGACCAGCTTCACTTTCACTACTAATGACCATTGAAAAATGTTCTTTGACCAAATCGGCAGGACTACTGTTTGTGACAGCGATGGACTCAGCATAGTATGGTGCTCATTTTGTCAATCAGTGATGCGCACTTTTAAAGCCAAATAATAGAAAAGAAAGAAACCTAAATGTTTTGTAAGCTTTAAATTAAGTAGATAGATAAAATTGTATTAAATATATATAAGAGAATTTAGTGTTGGCCAACAAAAAGGTTAGGGATCACGATGTTACATGTATCATATGAATTGTAAATTAAATAGTCTAAAAAAATGAACATGATGTGGTAAATCAATGTGATTGGGTGAGATGAGGGCATAAGAAGCAAACGAGAAAGAAATAATTATGAAAGGGAATTTCTCCAGGAAATTTAGAGGAGGAATCATAAGGAAGGGAGGGACACGCAGGCAGTACAAAATCCACACAGCCAACACAACAGCGAGCGGACTGGTTTGATGGAAATATTTGTTTTTTTTTTTATTTATAAAAGAATACAAATTTTGTTGTTAACTTGCCGCCCATTATATCGCGGTCGAACTACCCCTGAGCCGATATCTAGCCGGCTGAGCGATATATTGGTGCTTTCGACAGGCCAGGCATAACACAATAGATAGACAGATAATGCTTAGCCGTAGCAATCTTATTTCATATAGGCGGCATTTCGTTAATTGCTTATATATACATATTGATTATATATTTTATTACTTTTTATACCATTCCGCTGACTATCGGGTTGCATTATATAATAACGATGAGAATTGTAGTATTTTTTAATACCACGCTATCGAGGCGAATAACTACATAAAAGAAAGATGGACTTTGTTTCCTATTTATATATAAATATACATATACATTAACATCTTTCTCAATGATGATGCATTTGTATTCCAACTTGTTTTGTACATGGTTCTGATTCATTTCGATCCACTCAGTATAATTCCGATAATTTTCAGTTCACTATTAGATTTAGACATTCACTACGAAAATTTAAACATGTTTAACGAAGAAGTTAAAATTCTAAATGTTTATTTCTTTTATACATATGTTCACTTTTTTTAAGCCCATAGAAATGTTTAGGAAGGCTGCAATGTTGTTGTGTTGCATACCTAGTACTTGAACTTTAATTAGAAAAACTTCACAAGGCTTACAAGTATTCTTTATGGTACTTGTTCCTTTAACTATTCGTAATTTATGTCGACTCATTTTTATTTATCAAATTATCAACGTTTTCGTCCTAGCACCATTATTTTTCTATATCGTATGGGATATGTATTTTGTTAAATATAGAACTCTATTTTCTTCTACTATTCAATTTCAGAAATAGCAATTCGAATCAGAGCAAAGCTATTTCTTACTCTCGTTTTAATTTCATGGAGCCAACTTTTTATATTTTTTAGATGTCCACATATACAAGTTGGCAAATAGTTTTTTTCCTATTAGTTATATTAATTTATAATTATTACGTTGAGCCAAACGTGAAATCTGTCTTTTATATCAGTTACTGGTAATAATGCCTGCAAGAGTATTTACTTTTCGACGCACAAAAAATGTGAATTATTCTTTATTCATTTTAAGCGTACATGCAGAACAAAAATTTGATTAATACTGTGTACTCATACATATAAATATATATATTTGTATGCACAGTTTGTATGTATTTACTATTTTATTTTCCTTTCCATCTCACCTACTATATGCGAAAAATACTCAGATTCGCATGTTGACAAATTATGCTTTCTCGCTCTAACACAAGCGCTTTTCTATATCTACTGAAGACTCATCGCTAATAAAAATAAGTAAAGATCCACGTGTTTGTGCATTTTGCAATTTTAAATTCAATTCATATATGTAGTTGATTAAAAGTGCATATAGACAATTGAGCTCCCAGCCTAATTTGAGATATTTATCTGTAAACTACCGTATGTGGCGAGACGCTGCAGCTGAAATATATATTAAAACAAGTCAAGCAAAGTAAAAAACATGTACATGTACAGATGTACATATACGAGTATGTACATATGTAAGCCATTCGTGTTTGTATTTTTTCATCATTTAATTGATATTACTTCAATATATCATTACACTTTTCCAGTATCAGGTTGGTGGATGACAATTACCCCGATCAGCAAGCTTATTTATCCAAAGCAGTATTATTTTTGATGGCAATAACGCACTCTTCACCGCAGGCTCCCAGCACAGTGCACAAAAGATCCTTGCCGGCATCGTAGTCGGCGCGCAAAGAAGCTCCTAATGCGCCCTCTGGAATCTTAAGATCCTCGCGCAAGCCACCGCTGTCACTCATCAAGGTGAGGTAGCTATCATCGCTTATATCGGTGAGCTGGAAATCCTCGCGTTTTACGTGCGGCACATCCATGTTGTGAGTAGAGGGACAAATATCCTCGTACTTTTTCTGTGTAAATATGTCGATGCCAACAAGATGGACTTTGGCGTGGCCATGCTTGCCTGTCTTCGAGGTAGACATATCCACGATCTTGCAAGGGCGTCCCTTAAGCATTACATATCCGTTCTTGCGCAGCGCCGAACATTGCATCGGGTAGGTTTTGGATGCACCCGACTCGCCGCCACCAAAATGCTCCCCTTCAGAATCCGACATTTTGACAAAATTTTCTTGTTAAAAACTTTACACGCGGCACGCTGTGAAGAAAAGGGAACTGAAAGAGTGGTCACACTTTAGAGATGGAAAAATATCGAAACAACGCTGCTTTATTACAAATATCGATGTATTGGGGCGTCGCAGCGATTTGCACTACAATTTTAACCGCATTGTGCAACACTGAAAGGCGGTCAATGTGCCAACCATCGATGCACTAATTAATCGATATATTAATTATCCGACATTTTGAAAATGGTAGGGTTGTATTTTAGTAAGCTGGTTGTGTGTTTGTTTAGCATGTTTGTGTGTGCGTGAATCGTTCGGGTGCCATAAAAAGTGTACATTAATTTGCAATAATCCAAGTATTGAGTGTTTCCTTCAATTTAAAAAGTCTGTCTTTGAAATTATAAAAAGAGACAAAATCTTGTGCATAAGGGCGCACAAATCAACTCGCGTACACACACATAATTCATGTAAACTTGAGACCATTGTTCATTTGTGAAAATCGAAGCATCAAATAATTAGAAATAAGTACAGTTCAAAATTACCACTACATATTTACGATCTTAGTGTACCTATTTAAAGATGTTGCATATTGCAAACATTTGTAGCATGAACAAAATACGTGATCTACAAGGGTAAGTAATTTTCCTATATTGCAAAAAAAAAGGAAAGAAAAAAAAAAACAACTGCAGTTGCAAAGTGCGCATGTATGTACATATGAATGTACACATGAATACATATCGATATCTATGCATATGCATATATATAAATATGTATATCTGTGTGCACTCCGATGGGAACGAATTCTGAATTCGTACGAGTTTTAACAACTGTCTAGTGTTAAGATAAATAGGAATCTTTAAATTTCGCAGTATATTTGCAGACTGTAATTTTAATCAGTCTTTTTAACACATACACACTCACACACACACACGCTCACACACACACGCTCACACACACACGCTCACACACACACGCTCACACACACACGCTCACACACACACGCTCACACACACACGCTCACACACACACGCTCACACACACACACATACTCACACACACACACATACACCGTTCTTAATGAATGCTGGGCGTAGGCTTCGTCGCAGTAGACAAATCGCAGCCGTCGTATGCACTATGCACTATTGGGGGCCCAAAAAGATCCTGTTAGCATGTAATTAATGATTAATGCTGATGGAATATGTATGTATACAAGTATTTACGTATTGAAAACTTTGTATTTTCGATCTTCGTGACCTTTTTTTTGGACATATGGATATACATACATATGCAGATGGCATAAGTTGATTCTAAGACTTCATTAGCCTACGCTTTCAATATCAATGTCTATTGTCTGGCTGTTTTAAAATGAACTGATTTGCTTTGGTCTTTATCATAAAAATACAGAGGCCAATCAATTATTGCTACGCATACAAACTTAAATGCGTACATGTGTTCATGCGTACATACATAAATAAACACATAGATCTGTTTGTATAATGTACTCTGCAGATTGAAGTTTATCCAAATGCCGTGCTATCTGTAATTAATTTTCGTTTACATACGTACTGAAACACATTTCTCCTCCTGCACTCTAATGTAAATAAATATCAAAGTAGATTTTGTGCCCATTAGCCGAGCAAAAACATAAAGAAATCATATCTTTCTTCGGCAAATTTTATCCAGCAAATGTTCGGCTTTCGGTGCATAGCTCTTTTTTTTATTATTCGATACACTTGATACAATTATTTGTTACTGTGTACAGTTATACAGAAAATTGATGACTATATATGCATTATCTATATCCTCTTTATTTTGTATTTTTATATTCAGCTGCAGATAAGAGCATAATGTTGCAGCTCATAACTGGAAGTGGAAGCTGATGCGATACAAGTTGTAAAGTATACATATGTATATCTGTAGGTCTCATGAATATGGATAGAACAGAATTCGCTATTTAACCAATGCATCACATATCCATAGATTAAAAGTTGCTGCAATTTGTTATTTAATAAACAAATATTTAAAAAAAACGTGATTTGAGTGCGAATTGGATAACGCTGAAGCATAATAAGAAATTTTAAATCCTTCGCAAGGGATTACCACATATTGTTCGCATCGCCATTTTGGCGATTAACCTGTGACTGTGGAAATGAATATTCTACTTTGTTTACTGTTAATAACAATTGTGGGAAATCTAACATCAAATTCTGCCTACGGCCAAATACAATACACATCCAAAAATCATAATGACAAGCTTCATTCTGCATCGCCAATCGAGCAATCTGTACTGGCTCTTCGAGTTGACAGGGTGGGACGCAGTGAGGCGGCAGCCCCCAAGGTTAACTTAACTGAAAATGATTTGAATGGGCTGGCCAGAGATGTCTCTGGGAACTTCAGCAGCAGCATAATTACACATGTTGCCAAATTTGATACGACGCTCAATCACCTTCTTGTGGACACGATAACCGGACGAGTCTTTGTTGGCGGTGTGAATCGACTGTATCAGCTATCGCCAGACTTAGAGCTGCACGAAACTGTGAGGACGGGTCCACAAAATGATTCAGTCGAGTGCACGATACTTGACTGTCCTCTTAATGCTGTGCGAAAGCCCACGGATAACTTTAATAAGGTGCTGCTTATAGATCGTGCCACGTCACGGCTTATTGCTTGTGGCTCCTTATTCCAGGGTACGTGTACGGTCCGCAATCTTCAAAATGTTAGCATAGTTGAGCACGAGGTGCCGGACGCAGTTGTTGCCAATGATGCGAACTCGTCAACGGTGGCTTTTATTGCACCTGGACCTCCCCAACATCCAGTGACAAACGTAATGTATGTGGGTGTAACCTATACCAATAATTCACCGTACAGAAGCGAGATACCGGCAGTTGCGTCTCGATCACTGGAAAAGACTAAAATGTTTCAAATTGCCTCATCGGCTGTAACCACTGGCACGCGCACCTTCATCAATTCATACGCCCGCGAAACATATTTGGTTAACTATGTGTACGGGTTCAGCTCGGAGCGGTTTTCATACTTTCTCACCACCCAGTTGAAGCACAATCATCACTCGTCGCCTAAAGAGTATATAACTAAGCTGGTGAGGATTTGCCAAGAGGACTCCAACTATTATTCATACACTGAAATTCCGGTGGAGTGCATTAGTGACGCTCAGGGCGGTACTAAGTTTAACTTGGTTCAGGCTGGATTCCTGGGAAAACCTAGCTCGGATTTAGCTCAAAGTTTGGGCATCTCGATTCAAGATGATGTCCTTTTTGCTGCCTTCTCAAAGGGGGACAGCAACATTCCAACCAACAACTCGGCACTTTGCATATATTCCTTAAAGTCAATTCGTCGCAAATTTATGCAGAATATTAAATTATGCTTCAATGGAGTTGGATTGCGTGGCCTCGACTTTATCTCGCCCAGCATGCCTTGTGTTTTAACGGTATGTATGCCTTAAATGTTTATAAATATGTATTCGTATGTTCATATATATAGACATAGATAAATTTTGTGCATATATATGTAGAAAACTTATTTCCACAGGCATAATTTAAAGATTTATTATTTAAAGTAACCAAGTAGTAGACCAAATCAACCGTGTAGTTAGAAAATGAAGAAGAATGAAAATTGACTTTTTTGGGATTGAAAGATTGAAAAGATTAAGTAATATTAATGATGTCATTGCAGAAACTACAAACAATTGGTGAGGACTTTTGCGGATTGGACGTTAATTCGCCACTAGGAGGGGAGCAGCCAATCACAGCTGTTCCAGTGGCAATGTTTAATTCGAGGCTTACATCAGTGGCTGCGACCAGCACTAGTGGCTATACGGTGGTCTTTATTGGCACAGCTAACGGTTATATTAAGAAAGTAGTCGTTGAGTCCTCGACCGTTGCAAACGAATATGCAAGCCTGGCAGTGGATGTGGGCTCTCCCATAAAAAAGGACATGCAGTTCGATAACCAGAACCTATATGTTTACGCCATGTCCCAGCGCAAAGTGTCCAAAGTGAAGGTGTATGATTGCGCCGACTTTAAGACATGTGGCGAATGCCTGGGCGCCAAAGATCCATATTGTGGTTGGTGCTCACTGGAAAATAAGTGCAGCCCACGGTCGAACTGCCAAGATGACGCCAATGATCCATTATACTGGGTCAGTTACAAAACGGGAAAGTGTACAACAATAACAAGTGTTGTGCCCCATCAATTGCAGCGTACTACCGCTCGCACCTTAGAGCTTATCATCGATCACTTACCACAGCTGAAAGAGAATTTAATTTGTGCTTTCACCACCGAAGACAAGGCTCTGTTCACAAATGCCACTAAAAAGCGTAACGGTGTTAACTGTACTACGCCACGTACGGATATGCTACCACAAATTGAGCAGGGCAAACATCATTTCACGGCGAAACTGTCTGTGCGTACAAGAAACGGTCCAGACCTTGTATCAACGGACTTTACGTTCTTTGACTGCAGCACACACTCATCGTGTACACGCTGCGTATCATCGGAGTTTCCCTGTGACTGGTGCGTCGAGGCTCACCGCTGTACGCACGATACAGCCGAGAACTGCCGTAATGATATACTTGTGACTGGCGTTAGCCGAATAGGTCCAAGCTATCGCTCGGGCCCTGGCTTCTGTCCAACCATTAACGCCACCGGAGATGGCAGTGAGGTGCTTGTCGCTGCCGGAACTAGCAAATCGATTAAGGTCAAGGTTCACATAATTGGACAATTTATTGTGCAGACACGCTTTGTTTGCCAGTTCAACATTGAAGGCCGCGTGACCAGCTTAAACGCCCAATTGCTTGGCGACACTATCTACTGTGATAGCATGGAATTTCAATACACATCGCGATCCCCGAATTTAACTGCAACTTTTGCGGTCATTTGGGGCGGCTCCAAACCTCTTGATAACCCGCATAATATTCACGGTAAGTCTTTTGTTAATTAAATTCCTTAAGCCTTAATCCACCAACACTATTAAATATATAAGTATATATATGTATCGTTCATTTGCAGTTGTTATTTATCGCTGTCGCGACATGGCTGACAGCTGTGGGATATGCTTAGCATTGGCTGAGAAATACAATTGTGGCTGGTGTTCATCTACAAATACATGTGAGGTGGTGGAACAGTGTAACAAAAATAACGAAGGCAAGACGGATTGGCTGAATCGCAGTGAAATTTGTCCAAATCCAGAAATTCACTCTTTTGGTCCGAAAACTGGGCCCTGGGAAGGTGGTACGAACATAACAATAAAGGGCATAAATCTTGGAAAAAACTATAACGACATCTACTCGGGCGTTAGAATCGCTGGCATTAATTGCATGCCCTTTCAACAGTTTTACATAGACACAAAACAAATTGTGTGCACGGTGGATAGTCCCGGTGAGCAAATGTACAGGAATGGGCGTATTGTGGTACAAATAGGTGACTACCGCGGCGAATCAAAAGAAGATTATGAGTTTGTTGATCCGAAAATATCGAATTTTTATCCTCGATTTGGACCTACCTCTGGTGGTACACGAATACATATAATTGGCAAACATTTAAATGCCGGTTCACGTATACTGGCATTTATAAATGATCATTTGCCTTGTAAAATCATTAGCACTGACTCATCACAAGCAATTTGTCGGACTTCGCCGTCTCCTGGTATTATTCAAGGTGGACTGAAAATGTCATTTGACAATGGACCCCGAGAATTTAACGATTACAATTTTAAATATGTACTCGATCCAACTGTTGAACAGGTCAGTTCCGGACCCAGTGCCCAGATTAAAGTGCCAAAGGGCATTCCGGCTGGCGGGATCCGAATTGCAGTTACTGGTACACAATTTACTAGCATACAAGCACCAAGCATTTATGTTTTTTACAAAGGTCAAATGTATGTGAGTCAATGTCGAGTTCAGTCAGATTCGGAAATGGAATGCCCGTCTCCAATTATTGAAGCTGATAGCCAAATCTTAGACCCAGAGAACCCCACGTTGCTTGAGTATGGCTTTCTAATGGACAATGTGCTGGGAGTGCAAAACTTATCAAAGACGCATAACAATCATTTTGAGCTTTACCCAAATCCTGAATATTTCACGTTTGAGGAACGAGTCAAATACTTTAAAAGCGAATATCTGACCATAAATGGCCGCAATCTTGATCGCGCTTGCAAGGAAAGTGACGTCGAAGTTAAGATTGGTAATGGTTACTGCAATATTACGTCTCTATCACGACAGCAATTAACATGTCGGCCACCCACTGAATCGGCGGCTGCCAGTAACAGTCCCGGTGGACCAGAGGTTATTGTGCGTATTGGATCATCACTGCAATATCGTATTGGCATACTGAGTTACGAGTCTTCGAACTTAATCACGGATTGGGGAGATAACGTTGTATTTTTTGTAATAGCCGGCTGTGTAATTCTATTGCTGTTCTTTGTTGCGTTGCTTGTGGCATACAGAAAGAAAACTTCGGAGTCAAACCGTGTACTTCGCAACATGCAGGAACAGATGGATATTTTAGAATTACGTGTGGCTGCCGAATGTAAGGAAGCATTTGCCGAACTCCAAACGGAAATGACAGACTTAACGGGCGATCTAACTTCGGGTGGCATACCATTCTTGGATTATCGGTCGTATGCGATGAAAATACTGTTCCCAAATCATGAAGATCACGTCGTCTTGCAGTGGGAAAGGCCAGAACTGTTACGCAAAGAAAAAGGATTGCGCCTATTTGCACAACTGATAATGAATAAAACGTTCCTTCTTCTTTTTATAAGAACGCTCGAGTCGAATCGTTATTTCTCTATGCGTGAACGTGTTAATGTTGCTTCATTAATAATGGTCACATTGCAATCTAAACTGGAATATTGTACGGATATTTTGAAAACACTGTTGGGTGATCTTATTGAGAAATGCATTGAAGGAAAGAGTCACCCAAAACTATTACTTCGTCGCACCGAAAGTGTAGCAGAAAAAATGTTGAGTGCATGGTTTACGTTTCTCCTCTATAAATTTCTGAAAGAGTGTGCTGGAGAGCCTCTATATATGCTATTTCGGGCAGTTAAGGGCCAAGTGGATAAGGGCCCTGTTGATGCGTGCACCCACGAGGCCCGCTACTCTTTAAGTGAAGAGAAACTAATTCGTCAATCAATCGATTTTCGACCAATGACTGTGAATGCCAGCATCACACAGCAGCCAATATTTTGCAACAATTTGGATATGTTGCCATCGCACACTGAAAACGTGTCAGTTAAAGTGCTCGACTGCGACACAATCGGTCAAGTTAAAGAAAAATGTTTAGAAACAATTTATAGAAACATACCATCCAGCCAAAGGCCACGCAAAGATGATTTGGATTTGGGTATGTATACAGCAATTATTTGTAGTTATGTATTTGTACCTACTACTATATATATACATACTATAATACTTTTGATCCGTGTCTTACCTAATTAGAATGGCGAACTGGAGCAACAGGGCGAGTTATCTTGTATGATGAAGACGCTACTTCGAAAACGGAGAGTGAGTGGAAAAAATTAAATACATTGCAACACTACAACGTGCCAGATGGAGCTGGTCTGAGTTTAGTACCAAAGCAAAGTTCCATTTATAATTTTAGTATATTATCGGATAAAAACGAGAAATCTCACAAGTAAGTTAAAACAAGAAGGGGCAGTTATCTTCAGGATGCCGAAGATTAAATATTCTTTCAGACGTGTGTCAGATGAGCGAAATAAAAATAAAAATTATAAATAAAAAATATACAAGCACCCCACGAATCGTGTCAAAATTAAAACATGTTCTGAAAGGATATGAAAACTGTATACTGCTTCTTTGTTGAATATTTTGAAATGTGGCAAATTAATTTTGCATTTCTGCCGTTTAGGTATGAAACTCTAAATATATCGAAGTACACCTCCTCCTCACCGACATTCAGCCGCGCCGGCAGCCCTTTGAACAACGATATGCATGATAATGGACTAAAATATTGGCATTTGGTCAAACACCATGACAGCGATGTTCAAAAGGAAGGAGAACGTGTTAATAAATTGGTCTCCGAAATATACTTAACAAGACTGCTGGCGACTAAGGGTACTTTGCAGAAATTTGTAGATGACCTTTTTGAGACTATATTTAGCACCGCTCATCGTGGCTCTGCCTTGCCCTTGGCAATTAAATATATGTTTGACTTTTTGGATGACCAAGCCCTATTGCATGGAATTACAGATCCTGAAGTCGTGCACACTTGGAAAAGCAACAGCTTGCCTTTGCGGTATGTATATAGTTGCACGCATCATAAAAGTCTTTAGGAATCAGTCTTCATTAAATTGTTTCCATTTTTTTTTTTTTTTACAGTTTTTGGGTTAATTTAATAAAAAATCCTAATTTTGTATTTGATATACATAAATCAAATATTGTGGACTCCTGCCTGTCTGTTGTAGCTCAAACATTTATGGATTCTTGCTCAACTTCGGACCATCGATTGGGTAGGTGACACCATGCTTTAAACGTGAACTTTCCTAATAGTAATGAGCTTGCTTTTCTCCAGGCAAAGATTCGCCAAGCTCAAAGTTATTATATGCTAAAGATATACCCGAGTATCGCAAATGGGTTGACCGATATTACAGGGATATTCGGGATATGTCCTCAATTTCCGATCAAGACATGAATGCTATGCTCGCTGAAGAATCAAGGGTAAGTAAAGAGTGAACACAGAAATGTGAGCAACGGTTACCGTGCCGATCCTTGATGGCATATGGTCTAGATAGTATACGTTATTTTTTCTTTATTTATTTTATGATTTCAGCTTCACACCACGGAGTTCAATACGAATTGCGCATTACATGAACTCTACACTTACGCTGTTAAGTATAATGAGCAGCTAACGGTTACGCTGGAGGAGGATGAATTTTCACAAAAACAACGACTTGCCTTCAAATTAGAGCAGGTTCATAATATCATGTCGGCTGAATAAATCACAATACTCAAAAGGATAGAAATTATGATTTATAACTAAAGGAAAAAACGGTATCAAAGTTTTGTGCGTTATCCAATTACGATTAAATACGAAAGACAATTCTTTATATACATTTACTCGTACATAAAACATACCACCTATGCAAATATATAAATGTACGTGTGTGTAAGTTCCATGACTATAGTATCTGAATAATCTGCTTCGTACTTTATTTGTTCCAATTTCATCTAAATAATATAATAGTGTATGTGATGCAGCCATAAACATTTACAGCTGCAAAGTAGTACTGCCATAAAAGGATCAACGTTTCATATTCATTAACTTACACTAACAGCATTCCATTGAGAACACTACATGGAAAGGATTAAAATTTTTGTTTTTTTTTCTGTCATATGTGTAATTTGCTCATTGATATAGTATATGTATGTATGTTTATTGTACTATACTGCATGTCAGTAAAATATTATTGTCTAAGAATCTATATTCAATATATAATATAATCCAAACGCAAACGCAAAAATCGACTGATTTTAATATACATGAAAACTAATTAATATTTTAGTTTCAAAAGTATATGTAATATGTAATTTATAAATATGAATCTGCATCAAAATTGATAAAGATTGCAACTACAATGTCATGTGTAGTAAAACAGACGAAATTTTGTACTACATAAATTATTCTATCAGTGAATACTATGTTACCTGGTAACCCTGCGGAAACTAAACGTAGCAATACTAACCTAATCTTACCGTAAGGTCACTCGGGGCAAAACGGTTTTGCAGTAAATTGTATGGCATCCGCTAAATTTGTATTACAAAAGAAAAACATCAATGAATTTTAATCGATTGTCAGCAGATTCTTCGTAGATAGATTTATACATAAATATAACAGCACTTGATGGAATATGAACACTGTTATATTGTTTCATTTTATTAATTATACATTATACATATATGTGCATTATTGTTATAAGTATGTAATTACATGTATTAATGTCTGTATGTAATTATGATTACTTTTAATCAACGTGTGTATTTCATAACATTTGTATGTAAATTATTTATTTTTACTTCGAGAAATAGGGTATTTTAGACAACTATTGCTTACAATAAATTTTTTTAATTTAATTTGGCTTTGGGGATTATTTTGTTCATTTATTGTTTGAATTATTTAAAATTCTTTGTCTGTAGCTAATAAACTGTCCCCAAAACATGAAACATCAGCTTTCAGCTTTCTAAACAAGCCCAAGTGATTGATGATCCATATATAAAAAGCAACGGGTACATACCTATTGTCTATGTATGTGTGTATTCTGAGAATGCGCCATCTTTCCTTCCATTATACAACGAGTGGGATCTGGCTTAATTAAGCCCTATAACTTTGTGTTTTTGAGGTTTTCTTTAAATTAAAATAATGGTTCATCTGGTCAATTTCATAATTATACAACACATACATGATATGTGTGTATAAAGACATAAATATGTATGTATTTCATATTTATAACAAAATTGTAGAAAGTAAATGTATTGAATGTATGTTTGTATTAAGTAACCTGATTAGTAAGAATTACTGATTCACAATAGTTGTATGCATATAGACCGACGTGTAGTTTTTATGTTTGTAAAGTGTATGTTATTCATTGTATTAGTTTTCATTTTGTCTTGTATTACCCTTTTTTCACTGCACTTTATCCCAATAATTTTACGCAAGAAATTATATCGACCAAGGTGTCCATCCTCAACCAAATGATAACAAAGTTTTGTTAGTTAGTTTTGATATTTCTACATTAAAGTGAATCACGATTTCACACAGGACATTTCCGGGGTGAACAAAATAATAATAGCTGCTGCTGGCAGTACTTATGTCTGCCAGACTTAATTTAATGATAAAATTTAACTTAATTTTTGACGAGCCGAGGATCTCTGTTTTTTCTTATACTTACCATTTCGGTATTAAACGTGCATACTCCATCAGAATATGCATAAAGTCTAAAGTAAGCTACATCTACGTATAGTATGTATGTACTATTAAACCACCGATACAGGACCTGCACACAAAAGATACGTCAACATCCGACTAACGGTAAATAAATATGCGACGTGTAAGGTACACATTATTTTATCACCTTTTTATTTTTACTTACAATACATTTTATTTTCAATGCTTAGGACATATTTATAAAGACAAATATACATTATAAATAGTTATTTCAATTAAGATTTCATTACTGTACGGAGGGGTACTCTTTATTTTGTCGTGAATTTGTCGTGCCCGACTCCATCGAGTTAAATGTGTTTATTCTTGATCGATTATATATTTTATTACAAGTCTTATCGACTGACCGTCCGTATGGTTGCTTCGCCAACTTCGGCTATTCGAAAATCTCAGTTATTGTTTGTAGTTTTGGAAGATATTTGGGTTTTCATGTTTTAGTTTTCCAGTTGTCAAATAATTACTTATACTTATAGGTAAATATATATGTGTACATATATACATAATAAATTTATACATTTTTGTGGTTGTGCGTAAAAATATAACGATAGTCCATAAAATGTTGTACTTTAATGTCTAAGTACTCTAGCAATCGAATACTACAAGTGGAAATTAAGAATAACAGATTAAAATACCACTGTCATCTAGGTGTGCACAATCATTAAAGCATTACAACAGAAATTATAAATATAACGGCTAAAATAACTTGTGTAAACAATAAATGCAAAAATAATATAAAGCTTCCGCTATTATTAACATATCTGTTAGACATTGTACCATAAAAAAGCATTTATTTGAAAAGTACTTCTATAAATATACATTTAGTTTACGAAACGAATCATTTTTATTTGGATTTACATACCTAAAGTGAAGTTTTATAGCTACATATGTATTTATTGAACAAATACTAAATGCACACCATTTTGTAAGGCAAAAGTCAACTTAAATTTAATTATAACGATTTGTATTTTCTAATGCGAAGTATCCGAAAGAATTAAGTATGTTAAGTATGTGTATTTATACTTAATTCATTCGGATTTATCACCAAATTATTATACACAATGTAATTGACCTAAGGCGACTGAGTCATTCTCAAACCTATGTAACACGTATCAGAATATGATTATTGTATTTTCATCTATGTGTGTGTGTGCGTGTAAAGTATTTTAAAATATACGAATAAAATTTGTGAGAAACTGTCAACCCATGTCTTACAAGGACGTATTTTAATTTCCGTTTCCCTCAAAGATGTGATCAACGTTTCATATTGGAGTCTTCAGCTCTCTCTATTTGCTGGGGCGATCGTAAACGTAGCCTTAAGTCTTTAATCATTTTACCAATCCTCGGTTGGATTTATTTTCACAGCATGCATTGGATCCCAAGCGTAAGAGCGATGTGCACAGATTGCTAACCCAGACCCTCAAAGGTGAAACAAAATTAAGTATAATTGGGTGCTACAAGTATTTAATTATACTTGTCGTGTCTGTGTCCGCATATGAATTTATTATTTTCTTTGTTGAAATTATCAGACTAATACTAAAATGTTACATCGACTTGTTCTACATGTAAATTCGAACCATAATTTAAATACAATTGGTACATAAATATCGATTTTATAATTAGCTTTATTCAAATTAAATCTTATTCTAGGGAGGTTTTTCCGGATCATGGTTGGTATGGTTATAATTGTTGGAATTGGAATTCAAGCTTCGTTGCAATTCTTTTCGATTATTTGTATTTTTAAGTCATTCTATCTGTGGAGAAGAACGATCTATTTTCTGGCTTAACATTATTTAAGAGTATAAGAGTTATGACCTGGAAATAGGCTTAAGTTTCAAAGCTCCACTCAGTTTAAATACTTGGGAAAAGCCCCCGCCATACATTTTGTAATTTAAATACAAAGTAGCCCAGCCAATGTATATATATTTATTTAAATTGGATTGCTACAACTTTCCGGAAAAAACAATCCTCATGCCATTTAATATGTTATCGTAATTTTATTTATATAATTTTTAGAGAAATGGCTGAGATTGATAACGCGAAACAACTTAAATTATTTTGCCGAGCCTAAAACTTATTATAATTTAAAAGCCTCTCGTCTATTGTAATTTTACGTAACAAAAATTGGGTGAATTTATAACAAGTTTATCTGATCAAAATATAATCCGCATGATTTCAGAGTTATTAAATTTAAAACCTATCTACATAGTAGATGTTATCCAAATGGATACGACCCTGTCAATGAGTTAAATAAATAAATAAATTCTAATAAATAAATTATTTAGAATGTAATTCAAGTTGAAATTTATGATAAACTTAAAGAAACGTTCGTTAAATAAATTTAAGCAAAAGTCTTTCCGTATGATTTTTGGGAATTAATTTACGAATGACGGGAAAAGAATTTAAGTAGGTTGTTCACATCTTTGAGATGTTTTTAATTGTATCAAATTATAGATAGTTTTTTCTTATGCAAAGAGTGAATCCATATACTACTTAAGAAGCACCTCGCTAACGCGGACAAGGATCAAAGGACAAAGTGTTACTGTGCGCTAATTGATACAATAGTATAATTTATGATAGAAGATATAATGCAGTTTCCAGCTCTAACTACATAAATTTATTTTTATACATGCAAATAAACTTATGATGTCTTGTTGTATCCTTGAATTATTGTTTAAAGCCTTGCTGTAAGGCTACTGTGTTAAAAAATAGGATGGCAATGGGATAACGATTGAAACGTATGCGGAAATACTTGACATTGACTGTTAGAATGACAAGTCGAGCCCGAACCGATATACTTTGGGGGAGAAGATGATACAGATGATGATGTGGCATGTGGCGTTTGGTTCTGCCCAACGTATGTCTCTGGCAAGTTAAAGTATAGAGGTGAGCTTGGCGCCAAATGTGGTAATACAATTGGTGGGTTATCCATAGTGGGTTTACTAGCAACTGTATGCGTTTGTTGTTCTTCCACAACATGGGCTACAGCGACAGCAGTCACCGCTGCCGCTTTTGAAAGCAGATCTGTTGGCAAATTAAAGATTGAGGATCACTGAAGTCGCGGCCAATAATTGCTGCCAGTCAAATCCGAAACATTTTGAGTTGATATTTGTACAGGTACCGAAACGCCAGCAGATATTACGCCTGCAAAATACCATTCTCGTTAGTTAATTACCGTAAATAGAGATAAATCCACATATACCTGTGTTGGCTGTGCCTACTGCAGAGCCGTTTCCATAGACTCCGTGCTGTGGCGGCTGCTGGTGAGCCGCTGCTGGGTTACAAGCTGTATTTCGGGGGTGGGCAGCATAGGGAGATCCCAAGGACAACGGATCATGAAACATGTATGGATAACTATCCCTCTGTTGTAAACATGTCGGCGTCATTGAACTCAATGATTGTGTCATCGAGCTGTTCAAAAATTAAACAAACACAAATATCATTAGTAGGGCAAATTGTGATTAATTTACAAATGATAATAGAGAAGTCCTAATGCAAAATTATTCATTTTTAAAGACTTACTTGTAGTTTTCAGCCATGGTGGCGATCGGTTGCGGGATAGATGAGTACATTGTATTGAAACCAGTATTTAAGGGTAAACGGGGCGCTACAGCTTGCAAAGGTGGGCTATCGGAATTACTATGTACATTGCTCGCATCACCGCCAAGTATCTACGAATATTTTATTGTGCTGTTAGGCAATTTATTGTTTGAAGCTGAACTGTGTGCTTTCTTACTGTCGGCCCATTGGAGGTCTCGTTTGGGTTGTTGTTGCCTGCATGTACTGTTGATGCTCCCTCTGAGCCAGCTGATGTACCAATTCCGGATGTCGAATTGTTAGCCGTTGTGGCATTGGTAGGGACACTGCTTCCGGAGGGATTATTTGTGCTTGTACGTCCGCTGGTGCCCCCAACATTGTCGACTGAGCGTCTTTGGGTGCGCAACTTTTCTTCTCGACGCCATTTAGCTCGGCGGTTTGAGAACCAAACCTAATTATAAGGTTGTTAATACTCAAATACAAATACATACATACATGTACATGGGTCATTTAATCAACACAAAATGAAAGCACTTGTAACAGCAAATGTTAACATCAATTGCTGTTGCCATCCCATTTTCACATGAACGGCATGACATTAATAAATGCTTAAGAGCCGAATTGGTTCCACGATGCTCGTGGAATTGTCGTCAACATCATACAACATCAATAAAAACAATACATAGTTAAATCTACCGCTCGCTTAATACTCTGCTTGCAGTATACAAACAGTTAAAAGCATGTGGAAAGTCGCTTCTTAATTAAGCATTTGCTGACTAAAATAAACTTGACTCCTGCTTTAAAACTGTATTAGATATATATTTGCAGACCATTTAATTTTTAGTGCTCGTTGGTATACAAAAGACGAACTAGATCACAAAAGCAATATGCCCGTTTTCTGTTTGCGAACAGAATTCAAAAGAATATTCAGCCTCATCATGTAATAAAGCTTGAGCAGTTGCAGTTGAGGGACGCATTGGCTTGGACTGCGACTACTTATTTATGTTCTAGTGACAAAGGGGTGAATGAGGATTACAATATTTGTTGTACCTTCATATTTTTTTCAACATGACATTTATTACTTTGCGTTATTGTAGCCGAGACCACTCATCAGTTGGCGCGCTTGACAGAGCTCTTCAACAAATTTGCTTCCCCAGCGCGACAGCTCAATGTGAAAATCGCAAGTAGTTTCAAGTGTTTTTACAGTCAAATTGTTTTTATTCACTTATACAAATAATCATAAGCTGAACGAACCAAGCATAAAAAAGGAGCATTAGTAGCAAATAGTAACACAGGGGTGCATTTTGGGGGTTGACATTGACTTGCGACTCTGACTTGCGTGGCTAAAAGCCATGGCAATCACTTCAAACAATCGGTTACAAAATTCATCACCCCCGTTGATGCGGCCCGAGGAGGTTAGAGGGATAGAAGAATTGCACATAATTATGGCCCTTAGTGAAGGGCTTGTACAATGCATTTCCGTGGATGTCTCGAATGCAAAAAAGGAAGAGAACTAGCAACTTATCAATGCTTTAAAACATATAAAAATTTAAAAAAGAACCAATAATAAAAAAAGAAATAAAATAAAATAGAATTAAACAAAACTGAAAGACAAACCTGAATACGTGCCTCTGGCAAACCAATTTTTTCTGCTAGCCTCTCCCGTGCAAAAACATCAGGGTAATGCGTCCGTTCGAATTCTATAGTAAATATCAAGTTTTACAGTTTTTACATATATTTAAAAAACTAAATATTGTAATGTGTAACAGAATTTATGTTGAAGTCCCACCTTTTTCCAGGCTGTCAATTTGTTCGTTTGTAAATGAGGTTCGATTTCGCTGCAGTTTACGCTTCAGTCGTAGACGCATCTGTGAATCTTCGTCGCCCGAAGAATTGTGATCGGAATTACCGTCTGATGTACTCTCATGTGAATTGGGGTGAGAGAGATCCCCTGGATAAAGATCTAGAATTTGAAATACATGCACAATAATATATTGAATTCTGATATTATTGTAATTATAAATAATGGGTTAAAATTGTGTAACAAAGCCTATATATATTCTTGATCAGGATCAACGGCCAAGTTAATTTAGCCAAATTGGACTATCCATATTTTTTTCGGTCTATCCTTTTGTTCAAATTACCCGAAGTATTTAATTTTTGTACATTAAGTTAATTTGCAGTACAGTGGCATTTGTAAACTCATTCTACTGATTGCTCTTCCTTATCTTTGCGCAACATTTGCCTTGCACACACAAATACGTAATTATGTAAGTACATTTATATATATTTCTATGGCCATATAGAAGAATATTTGGGTGCGTATGTGGTTGGAGCGGTAATGTGATGGGATGGCATGCTGCCTGATAGCAATGGGACATATGTCAGCCTTATTTATTGATCGAAGAATAAATAAAAACAATTCAAGGCAGCAAAGCCTTCAGAATTAGGCTTCTCAATTAGATTTAATGGCAAATAACAAATGACCAACAAATTAACTATTTGTTTGTCCTGATGTTTGATCATCTGTGACAAAATGTTTTCAATGTCTCGAGTACGATTTGGGGTTGTTTTTTCTTTTGCTCTGTTGATTTGGGTATGCTGTTCTTCAGTGGTACCTCATAAGCCATTAGAAATAATTCCCAAATTGTATCGAAATAATTTTGTACTCTTGTAATTTGACAACAGACGGTTCCTATATGATAAAAACCAAAACCAAAAGATTTAGACTTGTTTAAATTAAAATCAGAGAAACTGAATCGTACTGAACATCCTTAAACCCTGAACATACCTAAACCTGTCCGTACAGAATGTAATACAACTTGCCTTGCTACTGCTACTGCTTTAAAGAGAATAGCCTGGAATATATATATATATATATAAATATTTTAAATCGTTAATTATTCTCACGAAAATGAAATACCAATATTCTTATTTTTTCTTAATTTTAAATTTAAATATTTTGTTAATTGACATTTTTAACCGTTAATGTGTGCATATAAATTTAATCAATACAATAACAAAATGTTTTATCCGACATGAATTATGTTCCTATGTTGCATTAAATAGAAATGCAAGCAACGGAAATTTGAAGTTAAAAATTGTCTACAATTTTACCTCGTTTTTGAACTTCATCACGGGTTATCTGCCCAGATAAATTCGTGGGTACCGCCGTGGGCGTTGGTGGTAATGCCAAGTGGGCCGTCGTCGTATTTCCTGGATACCAGGCCCAGCCGCCAGTTTGTCCATTGAACATTCGAAGCTTTTCATAAACAGACTCGTTTTGCTGCTGCGCCTGCTGCTCCTTTTGTGACGCTAAATTGCGTAGCACCCGATTAATAGATGAAACCTGCAATTAAAGCCAAAGTACAAAGGCGTACATTTGCACATATTGTGAATACAAGTATATGAGTATAGGGTAGTGTTAGTACTAGACGTGCTTATTGCCGTCATGTTTACTTCTCAGTTTTACCCTAAATACTAATGCAATGCAAGCTGCTGCCATTGGCTATGAAGTAACAACCAATCACGCGCTGTTGTTCAAGAGCAAGATGGCAATATAACACTGTTGGGCATTTCATATAGCGTACGCAGTGTACTACGCATACATACAGACACACACTCGCACTCACACTCGCGTAACAACACTTTTACAAACAAGTCGGACAATTTTACATGCATACAACTGTGGGCTTGAGCATAATATACGAATGTTTGTATATACATACATACATGTATATGTACTTGTATAAATACAACCATGCAAATAATTAAAATTTTTGTGTTATTATTAAGCTGCCATATTACAAAAGTGTGGGTTAACCTAACTTCAGATAACTAAATACATACAAAAATTAGTATGTGTGAATGATTACATTACAATATGAATTTTGTTAGTTTAATTACCAATTTTAAACTTTCTGAAAATAAATAATATCTAGAAATCGATTTTCGGTAGACACACTAATTATTGTGAGGAGCTGGACTTTGGGAATATTGAAGTGGCAAACCCAATATTTTAGTTAATTGAAATTCGAATAAAACGCCAGCGAACTTTTTTTGATCAGCTTTATATATATATTAAAATGTATGTATTTAAATACATACGCTGTAAAATAGGCTAAGTGAGCTGCTGTGACCCCACATATATAGCTAAAATCCTTTGATGTCTTTTGAAGTCTTTATGCTTAAATACAAAACAGCCCGTAATTCATTGTAATCGCAACACTGCAGCCAACGTCAATGAGGGAGACCGAACCGAGCATCCAATGCAAAGAAATGTCAAGACCAATGCGCCAGACACGTGCCAACACTTAAAGTCCAAAGTGCCGTTTCCATGTTCTTGTTAATGGGTGCAAACAGAGTAAAAGAACATATTCAAACCATAATCTCGTCGTATCGCAAAACCCCCACTCACACTTCTGCAACTAAACATTCTTATTTGTATATATTTATGCATGTATTTTTGCATGTCCTTATGCACATAAATCTACTGTCATAATCTACTGATTATTATTATTTGCCAGCTGTGTTTCTGGAATATCGATATATTTCGATTTCTGATGCCATAATATCAGAAGTATTTGCTTCTTATTGATATATAATGTGCAGTGATATATTGTTGATCAACTGTACAAATATAACCAAGATCTGATAGGGAAAATCAAATTTACGATCAGTAGGCGCAATCACTTTCTGTATGCATAAAATTACGCGACGCGAGCGTGTGTATTCTACATCGCCCCGACTATCTTCGATTGCTTGTACCCCCCCTTTTTTTTGTATGCGTGCATATGCAAATGTTTGTCGCTAGCCAGTGATTGCAATTGGACTTATCAATGAAAACAACATGCGGTGCCTTGGCTTTTTTATACTTTGGTAACGAAAGTATCATTGGTTTGCATATTGGATTTGTATCATGTCCGTCATTCTATCTGTCTCTCTGACCGTCTGTCCGCCTGTATGAACGCAACTTTCTTCGACACCCTTAGAGATAGGGACTTGAAACTTGGAACATATACTGGTCTGTGCCCGCGTCAGACAAAGTGGAGTGCTACGTTAACTGGAGCTTGGAAATCGATATTCGCAACTTGATAAAGCCACATATCTCACACAATTTTAAGGCTACAGTCACCAAATTTGGTTAACATATTGATGGCTCGTATATCTCCTACAATTTTCAAGATAAAATGAGCAAACTTGGAAGATAACTTGCTGGAATGCTCCTTCAAAGATCGGCGTTTACATTTTCAGACCTCGCCCACACTCGCCGCTCCAAGGAACTTCGGCCTGGTAACTTCCTTACGAGATCGATACAAAATTGAATGGCCACTACGCCTCCCTAAACTGATACACCTGATAATGTAAATCGAACAGACCATATATCTCACACAATTTGAAAGCTAGTCAGCAAATTTGAAAGCTATATTGCTAGTAACACCCTTAAAGAATCCAGAAATAAAAGTTGGATCACGCCCACTTCCGCCCCCAAATCTCCCGCAATTTAAGAGCTCCAGTTACCAAACTTGGAAGGAAGGTTACCAGGAAATTCTTCCAAAAATTATTTTTCGGCCGCACCCACTCCGGCCCCCGAAATTCACAAAAGCCTATATAAACCGCAATTTTAATTGCAAATTTTGACAGTATTTCTTGGCTACACTCACCCTGTTATTTGCTACCTATTCTCGGCTGGTATATCTTCTGATATTTAAGTATATCGCAGTCGGTTGCGCCCGACTGCAAAATTGTATTTCGTTTTACTCTGCACTGTCTGTGCTGACATAAGAAATGAGAGCAATTTAAAGGAAATTTGGCACTAAAACTAGAATATATTTTATCGTATATCTATACTTCTTAGTTGTTTTTTTTTTTAATAATTTTCTTTATTGTTTTGTTGCGATATGCTGATATGCTCAATTGTATCAGGCCTAAGCAGAGTTACCAAATATCCATTGCGGAACTAGGATTAGGTGATTTTTCGATAAGAAACAGTGGATGAAACTATCTAAATTTTAATCCACTTTAAAGCGCTGCTTCGGCATTGTTTGGAAATTACTTAATCCATTGTGTCCGCCGGTTCAACGTTAGTTTCTTTACGTTTGGTTCTACTTTGGCAGAATCTTGATAGCAGACTCAGGCCTTGCACCCGGTTTTCTTTCTCTCTTTTGTATGTGTAGAAAATCAACCCTCCATTCATCAAAGTTGAAGTATTCGGAGTAGTGTCTTTATATAAATAAATCTTAGCAGAAACTATACTTAATGCTTTACCTAGTCATAAATTTGCAAGCCACTTAAAAATGCGCCTGCTTAAAAATATAAATTAATTTTTATATAGGATAGCATTTACAAAACACTTACGCTTGGAATATTATCACTATTGCATACTTGCTCCGAAAGCAGTCGATCCCGAATTTCCCATGCAAATATGCTGGGACATTCCCTTTTATAATCAGCTATTTTTTGTACGACAGGTGTTGTAGCTACTCGTGGCTTTGAACCACCTATTGCTCGGGGTTTTATTGATCCAGTTTCGTAATATCTATAAATAGGAAAATAAGTAAATATTGACAAATTGACAGAAGCGCTGTATCTCAAAATCGCATTAAAATACTGATTAATTGATACTTTTATATAATTGCCTGAATTCAACTATTCCTTACAATAATAATAAAAATAATATAACTATATAATTCGACATTTTTCATATATTACGTATATAAATAAGATTCTTATTTCCATATAATTTCACTCCTCTCCTCTTCACAATTTCTAATTGTAATATATATTTACTTAGCGAAAGACTTTGATTGTTTTACTTTATAAGTGTATTTTCATTATTTGGCGTTATTGATTTGAGTACAGCCGGCGGTTATTTGTTTCTCCGTTATAAAGTATTGTTGACTTTATGGAAATAAAAGTGTCTTCTTTGTTTAGCTCACTTAAAACTGTTTTTTCGAGATGCAAGATAGCTAACGAAATGGTTGTAGCCATGATTGTCTCACCTGCCCAAGATTTTGCTAACGCAGCCGTTAGAAACTTGAAGTATTCGAGAAATATCACATGGACGTGCGCCGGAGTGAGCCAACTCAACAATTTTTTGGCGTGTTGAATCGGGGAGGGGTCTGCCGTTAACATACACACCACCTAACTGGTTAATTCCACTGTGTCCAGCTGTCGAGCATCCGAATAGCGCACTTTGGCCCATTCCCACTCCCACAGATGAGTGGGGATGTCCATGCATGATGTGCTCCGTTGTTAGCATCATGATTCCCAATTGTCGAGTGTCGAGTTTGTTTAAGTATTGGTATTGGAATTGAGAAATTTTTTCAATTGTTTTCTTTTCCTATTTGCTTTGGTATTATTGCATTAGCAAATATTTTCGATATACTTCGATAATTAAATTGAAGAAAGCACTGACAAAGTCGTATCCTTATGCATTAAGCCTTAATGTTCATTTCGATGTTAGATTTTGTACTTGTAAATATTTATGTATTTGTATGTTCCACTTTATAAATAAACTAGAAATTACACTACGTTACAGTTCCGAGTTGAGAGGCATCATCGGATTTCGGCGGGTTTGTTATCGATTTCGTTATGGTATCCATTATTTAATTTTCTTTATTTTTTCCAATTTTTTTTATTTGTATTTAGTTACACTTGTATTTGATTTGCGACTTCATTAACCTTTTGCCACGTATCTTGGTCGATTACTCCTGAACTTGAGGAATGCACATCGGTGCCGATCTGCCGTAGGCAGCCAGCGATCCGGCGGCAACGCCACGGATTGCGTGCCCGTCACTTCTCTAACAATTTGTTTGCTTCAAAATGCAAAATAATCAGAATTGCGGCGGCGGTGTTAGTGAGCCCTGAACGAAATAGTGTACGACTAACTGGTTAGCCAAGCGAAACGATAATGAGCTCTCAAGCGAAAGACCAAACCTGCACAAACAGGGTAGCGCATATAAGAGGCAACAGTAAATGCGGCCAGCGCGGCCATTTTGAGTAGATGTTTGCCGTAGTGCGAACGGGACGACTGTATGTTTACTGGCTGGAGTGCCGAGAGGAATAGCGATAGTAGCTCGAACCGAGTACAAGAGGGATGACCGTAGAATGTGCTTTTTGGTATAGCAGGACGCAGAATCATCCCAGTTCTCGCAGCCATTTACAATATACAAATCGCAAGGAAATTTTATAGGAACGTTGGGAAACTGAATTACATACATACATCGTAAATACATACTCAAATACATATGAAAATTTGTATATACATACACACATATATACGAAAATATATACGCTCTCGCACATCCACATATATATGCAGTGAACACGAGCAGTACTCGTTGAGGTTGAGGGTTCCTCTGTAGTATCATGGACTTTTAAATTTGTATTTCGAATACCCTGTGCCCACTCAACTATGTAAAAGGCGTATCTCATGCTGACTGCAGTCAATGCAAATAAAAACAGCAACTAATAATTTTGTCCTTGTCTTACTTATCTGAGCTTCGTTACAGTTTAGGATTCTATTGTTTTATTTATTATTTATTTTCTTTATATTTATTTATTAATTTATTATGTTAATGCTTTAACGCTGTGTGAATTGGCTTATAGAATAAAAATACCGTTAACAATGATAGATTGTTATTACGTTGCTTTTTCTACTTAAAATCAGAGAACAGGGTATTTCTTAGTCGGAGTCTGTTGATTATAGTATTCATACTCCTTGTTCTAGTCGCTGGCTTTTTGCTTGTGCAGCCACATATTTAAATACACTGAGATAAAACTTTGTGGCACGATTTAAACATCTTTTTTCATTAAAAAAAAATGGTTGATTTTACATTAAAAGAGATTCTAAAATGGACGTTTTCGATTTACAAACGAGAACACAGCCACTTTTCCACTGAGCTCTAATTTTATAAAATTATTTCATAAGCATTCTTCCCTTTACAGTGCACTGACATACGCGTATCTTCGTGAAGTAAATATATTTGTGTAAATGTTTGGATTTTTGTAAATGTTCGTGCACATATGTGAGAGCAGACACGCACAATGCCAATACATACGTAAGCATACGTGTACATTGTGTACGTATACACACACATTTGGTAAAAGAGTTTGTAATGACCAAAATTTACATACATTGTTGAGGACTACGAACCAGAAATCGAGCAACAGAAGATCTGGAAGCCGCATAATTATGATTAAATAGGGCCTCCTAAATAATTTAGTGATAAAAGTCATCTCGTAACGGATGTTCTAATAAACACGTCCATCTTACACAAATGTATCTTGTTCTACTCCTGTAAAATACTTAACGTGCGTTGTCCGTTGTCGATAATTTGAGAATTTTTATTCTTTATACATACAGAGAGAGCTAAGCACTGTTTATATTTCACAGGAACTAACTACTAAAATGATCACAGACTGTTATACAATTCGTTTTTATCGTATTATACTTTTAGTTACTACAAAAAAGAAAATAAAACCCCAGTTACATCTTCAAATTGTGCCATATCATAAGCCATTTCCAACCCCAAAACGATTGCGGAAGCATCCACATAACACAATTCAAACCCCAACCCCATTACAACTTGCGCCAGCCTTAGTAAAAATCTCTCGCAACACTCATTCTATCTCAGAACCGGCGGCAGTTACGGCTTGGGCCACGAGAACGTCAAATTTAACATGCGGACCGACACGTTTTTGGGATTTTTGAAGTCACACGCATCAACGGTCGCTCTGTCGCCCACACTGTCGGCATCAGACCAGCAAAAGAGTCGAGGGTTTCTTCAAAGCGAAATTCCTGGCACGGTCCTGGAGTGTGGTGAAAATTTCATGGAGAATTGTGAAGGTGACGAATCTGATTTATCTGGAATGTGTGAAACATTTTAATTTATTTCATATTACATTATAAAAAAAAAACAGTAAACTGGTATACCCAACAAATAGGGAAGATTGTACGCTATAGCTTTGAGACAACATGCAAAGAAATACATATATTTATCAGTGTTATACTGTGATAATGCCACATGTAGAAACAGGAGTCTCAATTTCTGTAGCTACGAGTGTATACAAGTTAGGTGAGAGCTATCTGCCCCAAGACACACTTGTTCCTTTTTCTCATACATGGGGTACGACAAAACACTATTTCCGAGGCCGAAGCCAAAAGTCGAATGGCTGTCGGCCACCGGGGCACGAGTAAGGGTTTTGGGTTTTTGGTGTGCAGGGAGGCTGGCCTATTGATTACCTCTGGCATCAAATCGCTGACGATCCAGAGGTGCCGATAGAAACGAGTTTCCAAACAACAGTGCACTATTATTTTCATTGTGCTGCGGAAGAGAACAAACAAAAGATAATATGCGTAACATCGGCCAAAAACCAAACATCGGTATATCGACCCCGACCCGAAGGAAGACCTCTCTCTCTCTCATGGTCCAGGCTGAAACATAAGCCACAGACTCAGCCGCAGTTACAGTCAACGTAAGTCGGAGGCTTATTAGAAAAGAAAAAAAAAACGAATGAATAGAAAATGCAATATCCAGAGCATCTATTGAGGGACAAGAGGAGCGAGGAGGACAAGAGTATAATTTAGCTTAGACAACAAAGACGAAGACCAAAAAACCGCAGCCGATGCTGACAACAGACAACAGAAACTGATGGTGATGGCAAGGTTCTATGTATAATAACTAATAACAATAGAGGTCAAAGTAGTTACACTGCATACTCTCAATAGAAGTATATATGTTTGCACAGTATACAGATAGAGATACAGACATAGAGATACGAGTACTCTGAGTACTCGCCGTGAAGCAGTAATGCAGTTTGTCGGCGGTTTGTTAGACAGATGTAGGGGCAGACTCGCTTTGACAGTCAGCCTCTACTTAGGGGTGCGTTGAGCTGAGCCGAGCCGAGCCGATCCGAGCCAAGCCTACCCTTGAAGTAAACAATTAAGCGAAATCATGCCATTGTGTGTGGACTTCGGCTTGACTAAAAATGCATACTACTGTTGCCGTTATTGTTATTATTGTGAAAGGGCGGGATAGGGATGTGTCAACGCCAGCCTTTCCATACCTGAGGCTCAAATCATTCTCATTCGTCTCTCACGCACTCGTTAATATCAATATCGATTAAGAATATATACATGCATAACATGTACGTGTGAAGTGAAGGCTCAACTTTTATAAAATATCACCTTAACATATATATTTATTTATTTTTTAATTACATTTTGTTCAATTTATGTTGTTTATATCTAAACTTTTCTAAACAGAATCAGAGACTTGTATGTATATATATTGAACTGACATTATCGAAAATTACCATCGGTAAATCGAAATCATTGCTTGACTGAGCTCCTATTTGAATTTTAAGTATATCGAAGATTCGTTCTCGTCAGCTATCTGAGCTGTTCCGAACAATGACAATGATAACCATAAACCGGCCCAAGCTTCTAGGTCTGAATGATCCAGTAGCTCGGTCTGCACGCGTCGCTTATTACTTGCCGGAATCGGAAATATTATTTTAAATAACTGCGCACAATCATAGAGGCCCGACGTCCTGCACGCCATTTTACCAGAGGAATGGAATGGTGTACAACAGTTTGTCAGATTGCTGGCATTGTGTCCGTGAAGTGTATTCGGACTCGGGGGTGGACGTGTGCGTGTGCACGGGAAATTAACAAAGAAGCGTGCCGAATCTGATTCGAAATATTTGCTTACTAAAAGCTACCATAATTTATTAATTTATTGCTGGGATTTATAGCGTGCTCACGAGCCTTTTTACTTTCGCAAACCAAAATTCCAAAAAAAAAGCATAGGATAAACGTTTTTGTAGACACACTTTAGACTCGTCAGCTGCCCAACATTTTGATATGTATAATATATAAATGCCACTTTACAAGTATATGTATATTTAATTCTAATAAGAAACTATCAAACTTGAGATAGACACCTTAATTGGTTCATTAATAAATGCAGTGAAAAAAGTAATAACAATAATAATCAGCAAACCTCCCTTGTTCTGGGTGGCGTTAAATATTTGATAATCTGTGTTTACTGAAATCTAATAAAAGCCACGTGTTGGCATTTTAATCATACAACGGGTTTACACCTCAACGTATTTCATATTTTTCTCGAAACTCTTGAACACGATGCTTGCATTATGTCTTAGAAGAGCTCTCAGCGCCATTCGTATTTGTATCAATGTGTTAAGCCAAGAAAACAAGCATTCTACTAATGGTCAATAGTTTGATTTGAAGCCTAGCTATGTTTGCTAAAAAAAATAATCAAATTTCGAAGCTTTTCTGATGCCAGAATTATATAAAACATCTACAGCATATTTAAATCAAACGAAAAGACCTCTTCTTTATAATATTGGTATCGACAGTAAATTGAAACTAATTTCAATGGCTTATTAAAATGTTTTTCTCACAGCATTGTGAAAATGAGCAGGAGTCATTCTCCAACTGTGCGCAACGAACGGATGTGCAAAAATCTGGCACATGCCGAGACACCATTTGGAGTTGGATCCTGTCAAAGGGTTCAGCATCGTCAAAATAAATGACAATTCTCCAAGGAGAAATTAAGGTGGCATACGGTTGAAATGAGCTCCTCCTCTCACTAAAGAGAAAGAAAGAATTGCAGTATATGAATAAATATAGATCGAATAATAGCATATTAACGTTTATCCATCGCGTTGACAACCACAAGCAGACTGACCATTTTCAGCCCGTACGGGCGTGTAAATCTCTATTTAGTGCACCTCACTGGCAGCACTATTTCTAAGCGGTAAGGGTTACTCTGCTCTTATGATGATGCTGCTGCTGTTACTGAGACTTTACGTCACCGGCACAGTCGGACGTCGGTCGTCGGTCGACGGTCGACGGTCCCCAACCCACTCCAAGAAACAACCGCCTGCTGTTGCCAACGAACTAGAAGGAACAGTCGTTCGGCCACGTGTCGCTGACAAACTGCTTAAACACGCCGTTGATGAATTCAAATAGAGTTGTTGCGCTCATTGCACGGGTTGCCGGGGCTGCCTCGGCTGCTTTGTACTACCGTTTGAATCATTTGTCCCAGTCCCTGTTCTCGACAAATTACACACTTTGCGGCATTTTGCGCTTTTAACAATTTTATTGTTATCGATCGATGGTCGCCTGGCTGCCAATTATCAAGTGCCAGAGCAGACAAGGACCAATTGTGTTAATCAGACATATCGACATTCTTTTTTTTTCTTTTTTTTGGGCACGGTGTGGGGGTGGAACGGGGTAGGCCAAAAGTCCAATGACTAGGCCCGCCAGTCGAGATGAAGAATCGCCGATAAGGCCCAACAAAATTTACATATATCAAGCATACAAAATGCAATTAATTATATGGACGGCTGGCTATGATAATCACACATATTTGTTTTGAGCCCCCAATTCAATGACAAACATCCAATACATGCCCAAACAAACTGATACATATGTACGTATATATACACACATATTGGATGTATGTAAATATGTACATACTTTCGAAACATGCACGTGTAAAAGGGATTAGTAGGTGGTCACCATAGCTAAGCTGTAGGTCGACATGAAATTAAGGATTACACGAGTTCTTTTAATTGCCTGTGTAGTCGGCAATATTTTAGGTCAAGCTACCTATTTTATGTTTTGATTAGTAGGAAGACATTGAACTTATTTATTTATTTATTTAATGTGAACTGAAAACAGGTCACAATTTAAAGAGAAATAAATAAAATAAAGAATATAATAATCAAATCAAATTAATGACATGCGTTTTATATATTTGTAATAAGCTTAGAATATACAACTATATGTAAAATATTAAAAATGTTGATCGGCAAAAATTGGGACAATTGTCTGGCCACCTGTCCGTTTCTGCTTACCAGTAAATAATTTATGTCATTAAGTAAAGAGAGAAACATTCTCAATAAATATTTGATCATTGATGCGATTCACGTTGACACATCCAACTGATTCTTATCACCTTGCAAGATGATTGAATGGGAAACAGGGGAGAGGAGCGCCAGCTATTAAATACACCTGGAATGCTCCTTTACGTTGACGTCTTGACGGTCGAATCTACCAGAAGACTACCACTGCGTTTCTGAATAGAGACAGATGTGTTATTTTTTTTGTGGTAACATTTTGTTAGTACGATGAACGATTACCGATTAAAGTTGTGCAGTTGTAAATAACAGGCATCAATATATTTCGTTATTATATATTTCTCGCCTTATATGCAAAGTAATCGTCTGAATGACTTGTCGAAGTATGAATTTCTGAATTAGGAACTGTCTGCTCTTCAGGTTTTATTATTTCAGCATGTGATATTCCTGTGAACAGTGGACAAAGCAGAAAAAATTAAATTATTGTATAACAAATGTTACGCCAATTTCCATGAATTCAAAATCATTGAAATGAAATAATGGAAATCCCAAAAACAATCAAAAAGATACCCACTCCATAGAATGCATAACGGTACGTTTTTTACCATCTATTGGAGGGCGGCAAATGCTGAGCATTCAATACGAATGAGGTGTTTATCGCCGACTGGCCCACCACCGCAGATACTCCTGATCCTGCGCCTGTTTGGGGTGTGTCTGTGCCTATGTCTGTGCCTGTGCACGCGTGCGTGTTTGTTGGTGAGCCACACAAATTCCTGTTCTTTAAACACTAATGTTCATCATATCGAGAAAAAGGCGTAATTTTGTTGATTAAGTTAAATTAGCAGTCGGACATTGCATATGCTTGTCCAACCCTGTACGAATTATACTATTATTAAGTATATATTTAATCACTATATATATATATATATTTACATATATATATATATATATATATATATATATATATATAAGGGTAAGCGAGTTGCGAACAATGCTTCGTTTCATTATTATTATTTTCTTTAAACGCAATAATGAACAACACAGCAATCGCTTATACAATAACAATGCGATGCGCCCAGACGAGTATAAGGATGACGATGGGCTATGACGACAATTACAATGAGGATTTGGTCGCGACTGCGGTGGATGGCCGTCATCACCGTGGCCCAGAGACCAGAGAGTCCTATAATATAACTCCAGCTCAACTCGCTCTCTCTCACTCAGAGCTGGGAGCTGCCAGTTGACTGGGCAATTAACCATTGAGTTGGAAAAGGAAAAAGGGAGCTTCACCAACAGCATCACAAAGCTGCTCAAAGTAAATTTTGTGAATTCTGCACCCTAGACCTAACCTCAACGAATTCCAGGCAATGCGCACTCGCACTCGCTCCTGGTATTCGCCCTGGTAATTGGCAGACATACTGGCAGATTCACATTCAGATTCAGATTCAGATTGCAACGGGCACTATTTTTACGAATGGGGGATAGTTGGGGGTAGTTGGGGCTCTTAGCATAGTGTAATTATAAGCAGGCCTGTCTTGTCTGTCATTTGTAGGTCTAGATTAATATTAGAATCACTCTGGCAATAAGACGTTAACAAAAAGTTGCAGGTTAATCAGTTTCGACAGCTTATCGTGGTATTTACATAGGAACTTCTATATATATATATATATATATATATATATATATATATATATATATATATATATATATATATATATATATATATATATATATGAATGTATGCAAACCAGTTCTTGTTTGTGTCGTGTATATATATATATATAAATATTTATAATTTTGGTATCGGGATTATTAACAAGTCAAGCAGAGCTAATGCGTTTTATTGCTGTGCTGAAGCGTCAAATATTTGACGTTAATAAAATGTTGAGTTTGCCAGTTCGAGATTGGGATTTAAGTTGCTGATCAAATGCGACACCAATTCCAAACAAAACGAAAAATATAACATATACCCAAAAAATGAGAACATATATATTTGTAGGACTATATTCAAAAAGATTCAGCGGCTTGCTGCGAATTCCTCTCACCTAATTAATTAGATTTGCATACTCATAGCTTTTTAACCTCTAACAATAATTAATAATTAATATTCTACAATTGGTTTTGTTATTAATAAAACTCAGCAACAACTACTAACTATTAGTATTAATAATTATTAAACCACTACTACTAAATATGCTTATTAATAATTAAGGCCCTACGTCTTATAAATAAATAATAATATAATTAATTTTCAAATATTAAAATGATGTCTTCTTACTTGTTTTATTATTAATTAAGCTAAAGCGAGTTTTTTTTTCCTTTTCTTTAAACTTAAACTTATTTTAAACTCTGCACCAGAAGCGAGCTGCTTAAAATGTATTGCATAATTGCAATCGTGGAGAGTTTCACTGTTTCATTGTTTTTTTTTTTTTGTTATTTGTTGGTTGGCTCGCAATATTGCTGATGTCTATAATCCAACAAGTGTTGTTGACAGCATCACTTTCCACATTTCATTTGTGTGTCATTAATTTTCGAGTCGAACGAACCGCAACGTGAAAAATAACAGCTGATCCCGCTTGGCTTTACGCTTTGCGCCCGACATCAACCCATCAAGTGGAACTAAATTGACATGTGATAAGAATTTTCAAGATAAATCTCAATACCCTCACAGTGTGGAGTGTATGCAATATGTAGTCTGGGCCACATTCGTAGTTGATTCCCTTGTCACAGTTGATTCCCTTTAACCTGCTTCGAGTTTCAGCAAGCATTCTGCTTAAGGAATTCTTTTAGGTCAATGGATTAGGATAACAGAAATTATAACAAAATACTATTGAGAGGAACGTTGCCAGTTTTCAACTGATCTGCAACATTTTTTAAAAAGCAACCCCATCTGATAATAATTTAGGGTAAGCCATTTGGGTCTATATTTATAAATAACCCCACAAAAATGAATATTTTATGCGCAACAAATTCATCATGGGAGTTTCTCCACTTGTTCATTTCTGACTTATTTCATTTTTTTAAGACTTACACATACATTTGTTATGAATACTTAATTAATTCAATATGCCAAATAAATAAAAGTGCGCTATTTGAAAATAAGTTGTTCATAAATGTTCATCTAAATTGAGATGTGGGAAAAGCTGCCTTCCATCAACCTCCTCACCAATACAACCATCTACAGACACTCCGAATTTATTCCGAGATTACGGAAAATGGCATGCAAACATCAAGCTGGGACACAAACCAAATAGCGCTTAGCCAATTAATATACTATCTTTGCTGACAAAAGCTTGGAGGATTTGTAAAACAGTTACACGCCTAAGCACAGTGTAAGTCAACATATGAACAATAGGTGGCGGAGTTAGGTTTTGAAGATTACACAAAATAATGGCTTTTATTACCAAAATTAGAAAAAACAGGGAAGTAAAATGTACTAGCTTAAACTGTGTCCACACTTGACGAAACAAGGCATGGACACAAACCAAATATTGGAATCCATTGATAATACACTAGCTTAGATAAAGCATTGCTTATAGTCAAATAATAAACTATGGTTGAAGTATAAACTTTACCTATTGCTGACAAAAGCTTTGGGGGCTTATACAAAAATATATGGAGTATTGACAGTAACCGTTGTACAACAGTTACGGGGACAACGGTTGTAAAATTTACATCTCATGGCGTTCCCATACTGACAGCTTGATTGGATTGCATATTTTATTTCTATAGCCAAGACCAGAGACCAATCTGGCAATACGTATTTACACGAGCTACCAACGTTGTCGAATATACGCCAAAAGTACTGCCAGATACGAGGAAACACCTGCCAGAGTTTATTCGTAAAAAATGTTAGCGAGCATGCCTGGCAACAGTCAGGCTGGTTTATCTACAACATAAATAAATTGTTGTGTGTTTGGTGTATAAATTGCTTGCTTTCATTTATTTTACAAATGCTTATAATGTTTTTGTTACAATGTTGCAAATGGGTTGGAGGGATTCTGTTCATATTTAATGCTCAACAGCCGGCCAAAAATAAATTTAATAACCAATTAACGATACTTATTACCAGGCTAATTATGTGAACATTCACGTTCTGCGTGTAATTTAAAGCATGCAAATATATAATGAAATGAACTACCCCGAAAGGCCGCATTCTTTTCACAGAGATTTAGTTGTCATGCACACTTATCGAGACCAAAAAATCATGTAAAAGATTCCTAGTCGCGAGTTCTCATTTAAGAAATACGGTGAATTGAAGTACCCTAGTCCCGTATTCGTATTATATTCATTTGGACACAAATACATAAATCTGCACACAAAAATGCTTTAATTGAAGCTTAAACTTTTAGATACAAGCAACGTCTGCGCTTCTTTTATCTTTTTATACATTATTATGCGTTACTGTAAGCGCTTGTACAGCAAAATATTAAAATATGCATTCATTAAATGCAAATTACTTTTTAAATGTGACTATTCTTTAAATTTATTTAGACTGTGGCACATAATTAATAATGTCGTACTGACACTTAGCTTAACGCTCAGCTTAACAAATATTAATAAGTATTTAATTTTTCCGCACAGATTGCAAAGATATGCAATATTGGAGTTTTATAAACGCCTCTAAATCTCATAAATAAATAAATAAATTTTGCTGAATTGCAGTTTAACAATGCAATGAAAGAATGAATATGGTGATGAGCTGCATATTCAAAGTTTACTTCTCCAATACAGTTGCAGCAATGCGGACCGATGTATTATTATTACACTGCTTTTATTGTTTGCTTAATGTTAATTTAATTAAATGCCAACAAAACGAATTAAGACCAATAAACAATGAACAGTTTGAAAATTTTAAGGTATGATAAGTAACACAGTTGTTTGATTTTTTCTAGTAATTTATTTCGTTTACAGAAAATAAACAACAAAAGCTATATGCGTTTACATGATGAAATACGCAGCTATAAATCCTTTGAAGAAAACATAAGAATTGTCAACGAACACAATAAATTTTACGAAACTGGAAAGAGCAGCTTTAGATTATCAACAAACACAATGGCAGATATGGTATTTATGTTTACACTTTCGTATAACAGAATTTGTATATTTTGTTTTTCACAGAACACCGATTCTTATCTGCAAGGTTTTTTACGTTTACTGCGGAGCCCACCGAATTCTACTACGGATAATATTGCTGATATTGTAGGATCTCCGTTAATGAATAATGTTCCTGAGAGTTTTGACTGGCGTAAAAAAGGCTTTAATACTCCACCGTATAATCAACAGAGCTGTGGCTCCTGTTATGCATTCAGTGTAGCTCAGAGTATCGAAGGACAAGTTTTCAAGCGCACCGGAAAATTACTGGCACTTAGTGAACAACAGATTGTCGATTGCAGTGTATCTCATGGTAACCATGGTTGCATAGGCGGTTCATTGCGAAACACCCTGACGTATCTACAGGCCACCGGTGGTCTCATGAGATCACTTGACTACAAATATGCGGCAAAGGTAATCAAATTGGATCCCATTACGATCAATTTCAATAAATAGAAACATAGAAAAAGAACTCACCTCTGTTTTTCCCATTCTCTAAGCATACGCAAATATATTCAGAAATATGTGTTCTTCTAGAAAGGAGACTGTCAGTTTGTCAAGGAACTGGCCGTGGTCAATGTGACCTCCTGGGCGATTTTACCCGCAAATGATGAGAACGCCATTCAAGCAGCTGTGGTTCACGTTGGTCCAGTTGCCGTTTCCATCAATGCAACTCCAAAAACATTTCAATTATATAGGTAAGGCATATAATAAACAGTCTTAAGTAATCAGTAACTCTGTTTAACTTTTCGCAGTGCCGGAATTTATGACGACGTTGCCTGTAGTTCAACTTCTGTAAATCATGCTATGCTCTTGATTGGATTTGACAAAGACTTTTGGATTCTGAAGAACTGGTGGGGAGAATTATGGGGTGAATCCGGTTTTATGAGAATACGCAAGGGTATCAACTTATGTGGGATCGCAAACTATGCAGCTTATGCCATTGTATAATAATCTTAATTTGTGTTAAAGCTGCAATTATATTGATTAATTGTATTTAGAATGCTTTGCAGTAAAAAAAGGATTTCTAAGCATATTTACATGATATGTAAATACGTATGCGTAATAAGTCTCACATATACAATAATGTATAAAATCATATTATATGTGTAATATAAACACGAGAAAATGTATTAACACGCTGCCTCGACTCCTGCCCAATGGCTTAATTTAATTTTCATGCCACAATTTTGTTGGAAAAGTTAATTAAATTAAAAGCAATATTCACAGTTCGTTGAATACAAAATACAAAATACGTGTTATTGGCAAATTATGGGCTGAGATGCCAAAGTAAGGGTGAGTGTTGGAATTTACTGTGTGCTTTTTGAGGGTTGTCTCGAAAATTGCGCATGCGTATCGAATTTCAAACACGCCCACACTGTGAATCTTGCTCCAATTGGTGAGCAATATTCCGGATACACAGAATTCTTATACAGGCAGTGGTTCAGCGTGTTTCTTATTGGTTGATATTTCTATCCGCTGTCTATTTATTGGACAGTCCTCTTGCAATATTTGAAATGGTGAATTCAAGAAAGTCGGACAAACGGCAATTGAAAAGCTTTTCCCATTCAGTCTTCATAGTTAATTCGTGACGCGAGATTTCGTGAATTTTTGACAAAATTCAATAGTTAAATTTGGGATTTCCTAAACATTTAAACAATTTTGCTTAAAAAAGCGAATTTTATAGAAAAAGCACAATGCAAATAAAGAAATGATATATAATTCAACCACCATTATTGCAGCTCTTAATAATAATTTTATTACAAATTAAACAAGGTGATCAAGCTATTCGGTTATTTAATCTTAAAATAAAGGCAGATTCTCAGAATAACGCATGTCCTGAGAATCGACTCTATCTACTCCCATCAAAACAAGAAAGTAAGAAAGAAAGAACGGAGTCAACCTGCCGACAAATATAAATTTCACTATTAATTAAAAAAAAAACCAACCGCTAAATTAAATAGTATTTCGATGTTGATAAAGTTCTTAAGGCTGTTAAAAAACAGAAATTGTTAAGGAAAACGAATGGTCGTCTGTAAGTATTACTTTGTGATGGGATTTTTACAAATCGATTTTTATTATACCCTGAACTAATTGAAACTGGGTATAAAAAAGGGTATAATGGAGACCATAACAGCTCGGGAGTCCAAATCTGGAACATGGTTCTCGTAATCCAACTTGAATTAATGTTTGCCTGTTATATTTTTGCAACATTTTACTCTGCTATTAATTTATGTCAAAGCCAAAATCGAGTTGGGTATTTAAATTACAAAGTCACAAAAAATTGATCATGTTGAGAATTGTAAAATGCAAGATGGTGAAGTCAATATCAAATTCTAAAAGAGGATAAGAATCAAACAAATACATATATGCTTGTGTGCTTGCGAAGAATTCGAAACAGGTACTAGCGCGCAGCTAAGGTAATAGATGATCAACGCGCAACGAATACAACTGCATTTACTGTAAATTCAATTTGACTTATAATGAAGCTGCACCTGTTGCAAAATGCAAACATGCATATCGAAAATAAAATCAAATAAAATCGCAAAATGATCAAATTGAATTTAACAATAAGACTAGAATATTTTTACGGTAGTTTTTGAAGCGATATTATTTCTTGTTAATGCGGGCAATGCGTTGTTTACTGTACTAAAATCAAGTTAATTGTGTAGCTCTTTAATTCTGTTTTTCTATGGCAACAAGTAAAATTACCTGTGGAAAAGTACTTGTAATTAGACAAAGTAAACTCAATTATCCGAGCATTTCATTTCTAAATGTTAATCGCCCAGCAATTTAACCCAATTAAACATGCATGATGTTTTACGTGTAAACAAAAGACCATCAACGGCATCAGTGTAATAATGATTACCCGCCCTCAAATTGAACGAACACCTACTATTATTTGCCTGTTGACAGTAACCACTCAGCCGAATTATTGCCAACTCATCAGTGGGTATTTTAGTCTTTATCTGCCTCTATGCCCCTGTACCCCGCTGATTTTGTCAAAGGACATATGCTTTCAAATTTCAACCACCCTTGGGATTGGGACCGCGACCGGGCATTGCCTTACTGTAATCGTTTTCAATTTCAATAGCCTATCGCATACAGGCAAATGCCTATATGTAGATGTTGATGTGCTTGTATTTAGATTGTTGCCCATGTGCATGTCATACTTTTGTTTTTTAACGGGAAATATGAGAAGTGGGTAAGATCCAGGCGTGGACACGGGCAGAACACCCTATATAAACAAAGCACTTAAATTAATTTACGGTAATTGCATTCGCAATACAGACCTGATGTGTAATCTCCTTCCTAAATTCATTCATTCATTAATTAACCAATGAAATACAAACTAATTCATTTCTACACCTGTATTTTTGATATTTGTACAAATACTATCGATAACAAATTTCATAAAATTTGACTAACTAGGGAAAGTGCCCGAATAGGAGATAAACTGTATTCATATTTTTATTAGATATATAACAATCGATCGAAAATGAAGTTTTTGCCACTGAAATCGAAATATATTAATATATTAATATTTCGATATCAACCCCGTTCAAAATATGCCTTGAACAAACATCCCTCGATTATTTTTTACTGACTAACTAAGTACATCTGGCAGATTGTTAACAATCTGCTGTTTTTCTAAATACTAACATAATTTTGTCATTATTTACCTCACTGGTTTGTAATTCGTTCAACCCTCTGGCGGATTTCTCTCCCCTTATATAAGTTAAGAAGTCTCGTAATCATTTGTTTCGCTTTAGGTTTGTGTTTGCAGCAAAGGTATGGAACACATTGGCATTAAGCTTAACAATTGTGCTTTGTTACTTTTTTTGTAACCTTATTATCTTTAACGAATAGTCTCCAGGGACAATCTTCTTTTCAATTATGCCATTCACACGCATAATATAATTGAATGTATGGGAGTTCGCATAAGGGGCGGATTTGCACAGATTGAATAAATTTGTACTAGAGTGAAATATAACAATTTATATATATATATATATATATATATATATATATACAGGATATACCAAGAGCTCAAATAAACATGTTTTAAATTATTCTGAGTACACATAATAGATCTTCTTGTTTTCTACTTTTCTTTTCCAGAAATTGCACTAAATGGCATTCGCTGAGTCTATTCAAAGATCTACTCGGCCGTCAACTCCACCTAATGGAATGGAAAACAGCCAAATATCCGTTTCCCAAAAATCAAATCACGTATGTTACCTTTAACAAAATTAACTCGTTAAAACTTGATTTTATTTTAAATAAAAGATACAAAATATTGTATATTATTAGCAAACGGATAATTTAACACTTATAATTCAAATAATCAATGGGCTATGGGTATAAAAAGATAAAAACCTAAAACAAAGATTTAGCTACTTAAAAATATCAAGCGTATATTGTGGAAGGGGAGGGGTTGTTTTTTACACACAGAAAATAAATCGAAAACAGACAAATGTTTCCCTTGAGATATTGGATTTTACGTGCTTTGATTCTTTATTTTATTTGAAAAACAAAAACGACATAGCCAAAAAATTGTCAATGACAGGACCGCCTTTTTTGTCATTACGAGAATAAATATATTATGGAAAAAGAAAAAAATGCTTTACAACTGACAATTATCGATTACCAGAATGTGAGGAACCGAGATAATAGACAACAAAACGGATATTAATTTTTTGAAGACAAAACAAGCAACTATTGAATATTGTTTTGAGAGCGTAATTAAGAAAGTCAATGTTGATTGGATTTAAATATAACGAGATAATTTGCATGTGTTTTTTAGGTGAGCACAGTACTGCTTTACGGTATACCCATTGTGTCATTGTACATTGAGGGGCAGGAGCGTCTGTGCCTAGCTCAAATCTCCAATACTCTCCTAAAACAATTCAGCTACAATGAGATTCACAATCGACGTGTGGCTCTGGGAATAACCTGCGTTCAGTGCACACCCGTCCAGTTGGAGATACTGCGAAGAGCCGGAGCAATGCCAGTCAGTTCGCGACGCTGCGGCATGATAACGCGCCGCGAGGCTGAGCGGCTGTGCAAGAGTTTTTTGGGGGATAATACGCCGCCGCGGTTGCCAGACGATTTCGCGTTTAATGTGCAGCATAAGTGCGCGTGGGGCTGTCGCGGCTCATTTTTGCCTTCCCGCTACAATTCGTCGCGTGCCAAATGTATCAAGTGCAGCTATTGCGGCATGTTCTTCTCGCCCAACAAATTCATATTTCATTCGCATCGCATTACAACCAACGACAGGTATATACAGCCCGATGCGGCCAATTTCAATTCGTGGCGACGCCACATGACGCTCAGTGGCCACGGCCAGGACGAGGAAATCACCCATGCTTGGGAGGATGTCAAGGCGATGTTCAATGGCGGCACCAGAAAGCGGCTAGTCAGCTGCAATGGCAATAATAATGGCAACAATCGAAATCGCAGCACGACAAGCAGCACATCATTAGCGACATTATCGAAAACAAGTGCAGTTATCGATAACACGTGCGATTCGCCATTAATCAATTGTGAAAGTCAGACAAAAGCGATATCACCGCCATGTTTAAAGCGCACAGCACTCGATCATCCATACAATTATAGCACGGTGACAGCCGCGGCTGCCGTGGTTGGAGTCACCGCAGTGGCTGCTACCGTCGGGGTGCCGTTCAACTTGCACCGGTCGGCGGTGATATCGCCATTGCAATCACTGCGTAACGAGCACGATTTGTCAATAATGCCGCTTTCCCGTAATTTTGTCGTTGACTACACCATGTGGCAGCAACAGAATAATCAGCATACAAAAAAACTCAATGCTAACGAAACGATAAACTCATTTGAAACGTGTCCAACGCCATGGGGCAGGCCGGAAATTACTGTATCAGCAACAGCAGCAGGTGAAAACTCAATTCGGCTGATCGAGCATAATCCATTTAATATAATCAAAAACGAACCCAACTCTGCGTCCATTTGTGGCGTGCCAAAGAGTCGAAAGTTACCCGATGGAGATCGTACTGATTTTAATATGCCATCGCTGCTAAATTCTTCTGCATTTAAGCCTGTTGTCGCCTCGGCAGCGATTGTGTCCACGTCGTTGTATGCAACGCGCTCGAATTATTCGAATAACAACATCTACATAAGTCCGGCACAGCCGACGAGAACAACCACAGTTTTTACCCACAACAGCATTACGACAGCCGAATCCCATGGAGCAATATTCAATTCAGCATCGAGTGCATTTCCACCGATCTTGGACTCCATCCAATTGTGCACAGAAAACGAGGAATCCGAGTCGACGCCAGCAGATGCTAATAATCCACAATCAGTGAATTTAGTAATCGCTGATAATTCGGACAAATCACCTTCGTCAGACCAAATTTATATTAATTCGAATATTTGCCGAAATACCGATGAAGATGATCAGGATAACGACGACGATGACGAAGTGGTCGACATTGAAACGACCGAGGATGATGTCCAAACAATGAATGCTTCTCTCAACATGTGTCCCCCCCACTCGCCAACTGATGGGGATTTATCCTCGCGCAGTGCAAGCCATTCCCATTCCGCGAGTCCCAACGATGATGTTGATGTCGATGGTTTTACAACGGATACCGAAGATCAATTTGATGTAAAGTCAAACATTTGCTCATACGACATCAACATCACCCGCTCAAACTTTAAGATTTACAACAATGAAAAGGAGAAGATATCGACAACGGAGGAGGAACTGCTTCAAAATTACAAAAAGAAAAATTGTGCGGTAAGAAATGGTGCGAAATGAGTGTATGCGATTTATTTACTGAACTTTCTATACCGTAAATGAATAAAAAGTGTATAATGAAGTCATTCAAAGATCGACATATTTATTTTAAAAATGTATTCTTAAAGTATTAATTTTATTTAAAATATAATATTCTTTTCAGGACATGAATGGATTAAAAAGGTTGTCCCGTCGCAGGTGCTCAAATCAACATAAACATCGTCAATTCTTAAAAAAGGACGGATCCAAGCTGGAAAAGGATTCATTTTTCTCTGCCCAACCCAGCTTACATATTCAGCAACGAGTCTCATTTCCAGTATTTTTAAAGGCTCATCTTAACTCATTTCGGCAGCGCCAACACCGACAACCCAGTCCCAGTACACCTAGACAGCTATATTGCTATGATACGTCACAAAGAACTAGTGAGAATAGCGTTGACTAAATAAATATTCTTATAACATATAGATTTAAGTTATTTGTCAAGTTGCAAATAACACTTATATTCCGGTATTGAAATTCACGGTTCAATAAATTGACTAAACCAGAAGATTAATTGTTTTTCTTTTTCAGTTCTGATTAAAAATTAATGAAAATTAATTTAACTATATGAAATACAATTGTACAATTCGTATTTATTTATATTATTAATATAATATTCTATTTAGTACATATTGTTCGCAGTGACTATTAATATATATTTTTTCCAAGTCCCTAAGTTATTAATAAAATAACAATATAAATAACAAATTTATCCACTTTATCCGCAATTAATAAAATTGATTTAAAAAATACAAAATATATATGTAGATAATATATAGAATCTATCTATATATATAATTTGTTATATATTTATATTATTAATATTATATTTTGTACTTATTGTGCATTGCCACTATATATATATATATTTTTTTCCTTAGCAGATTCCCGAGATATAAATAATACAAAAGATGTGTATCACTCTTATTAACTTTGCGTCTAGGTTATCTAAATGTTTACACCGCTACTTGGTATATTTTCTTGTAGTTAAGTTATCTAATTATCTGAGTCTTCTTGGCCTTTCTTACGACTCACCAAATTTGAACTCGGTGCATGACAAGCTGCTTAAGCATAATCAAAATAGGCATTTCCACCCTCCTTTTGGTATTTATTATGTTGTCTCTGCCGAGTAGCGGGCCGGTCGCGTATCTGGTCACACTTTCAGGTTTGAACAACAAATCGGAAAACGTATGAAATAAATAAGATACACATTTGAATTATTATATATATATTTAAATAAATATCTAAGTTTACAATAATGTGTATTTACACACATATTCTACACGCAGAAAAAAATACCAGCTGAATATTAAAATGCAGGCTTGCTTAAATGCATTTTCGAACTATCGCTTACGTACATATCGATATAAATAGTCTTAGATATGTATTGAGTTTACATGCTCAATTGAACAAGTTCAATGTTAAGCATAAGTCTCAAAAAAGTGAATATTTTATGAAAAGCGAATATTAATGCACCCCAGCATAAGCCACATAATTAAAATCGGTAAAATCTACATAGATATGCAGAAGATGTGAGCCGTATAGAAGTAAACAAAATCAGTAGTACCTTTTTGAATCACTAATTTTCGATATACACACAGAGTTACATACATTCATATACGTGCATGTCCGAATGTATATATATATATATATATATATGTATACATATAAATATATCTGTTGGAGAGGCATAACAACAACGATTGTACGCTTTGAAATACATATATTTTTTGAACATGTTAAAAAGCGTATTTAATCTAATCAGCTTGGATTATTAAGTATATACACAATTTCATTTAATTGTGCACATATCACGAAAAGCACACACACACAAAAATTACATATATAAACGTTGCTAAGAGTTGCTAAAGAAAAAAATGGTATAAATGTGTGTATGCTAATTCACACAAACAGCACATATATACATATATATATGAGCGTGTATGTATGTATGTACGTATATGTGTATATCCAAAATTGTTTTTAAAGTGCAGCAAACAAGCGAGGGCTACACATTGATAAAATCACATAATGGACACAACTGAAGATAACTCAAGGTAACAAATATATTGCCATATTTTTATTCTATTCAATATAAATATGTAAGTTGGACAGAAACACGTCTTTGGAAATCGAAAGGGAAACTAGAAATATGTATTTATTGTTTTTTTTAGCGGGTCAAATAGTGTCAAACTTTCTCCAATAATCTTTACATACAAATGCAAATAAAATGTTAATTATATATGCATTCTATCAATTTTACGCTGTATTTTGTTCTATCCTTAGATATTCTCGGGTTGATCTGCTGGCGCTACGCTACGAGGATAGTTCGCGACGACGTCCCAGCTGTGCAAATCGGACGGAGTTGCAAAAGTTAAATTTTTGGAAAATCAACGGACTTCCATCGAATTTGAGTAACAACAACAGCAACAGCTGCAGCAGCTACGGGAATAAAACTGGCCTATCTCCTGAAAGGGAAAACGTTTCCCTTACCAGTTCCAATGGACTACTCAGTTCGAGGCGCGCGTTACGCAATCGGGAAAGAGCTCACAATTATTATCAACGCTTTACTGCTGGCGATCAGATTGGCGAAGATGCACAGGCCAGCTTAGCGTCATTGAGTGGCGGTAATCTATGCAGTGCATCATACAAGTCAGCCAACATAGATCATCGCAGCATTTCCTCATCGCATTTAATGCCCGCATTTGCCAAGCGACGCTTTGTGGTTGCAATTGGTCCAAATGAAACACAAAGTGAGAAGGCAAACTATGAAGATGGCCTCGGCTCGAGTGCTAAAGAGAACACGTCAATTTCGTGCCAAGCCAATGCCGATCTGAAGAATACAACACGCTCCACGTTGAGTTCCCCCATGCGGCGGACTCCGGCTGCATCTGCGGAGTGGGAACGCAGTGAGAAACATTCAAACTTTCAGCCGGATAGTGAACAGTTGTTGGCATTGTCGCCAACATTCTTGTCGGGCAAGCAGGGCACAAACTTAAATGTTCAAGAGAGACGGATTGGCAGTGGACGACTTCTACCACGAAACGATAACTGGGAATATAAGAATAAGGATGCAGATTCTTCATTAGCCAATCTGGAAAAGGACAGACCACAAAATGGTGGCATTGTCATTCAGCAGCGACAGCGAACATGTTCGACAAAACACAGCGACAGATCGAATGATATTCTGGGAGACCGCGATAGGGATCGGGATAGAGAGCGAGATCGTGATCGCGATCGTCGTATCAACGAACGTAGTCGGGACCCAAATGAGGGCAAAAAGAATATGCTGAGCGGACGACGCGCAACCAACAGAGACAAATTCAATTTCGGTGATAGCACAATGCAGAATCGAGGCAAACGCATGAACATGTATCAAACGCATGATAGACACGAACCCGAATGGTTTAGCGCTGGTCCCACATCTCAGCATGAAACTATCGATTTGCACGGCTTCGAGGACTATGAAAACGATAGTGCTGCCGATGTAAAACCCGCTAAGGAGGATGTGAATAAGGAATTTGTTGCGCTGACAAACCAAATAGGTAGCCCCACATCGAGAAGTAGCAGCATTGCCAGCCTACACGTTATCGATTCGTCGAATGACAGCAATGAGATGACTTCGTCAAACGGGCCGCCCAGCAAACGAAGTAACGATAATCCAATTCCAAAATCTGAAGTTGAGTTCAATTTTGATGCGTTCCTTAACATGGATCCAATGGTAAGTGCTAAAAATACCGATCTACCTTCCACTTTGATTAAAAACTGCACCGTCTGTTTCCAGGGCAATGATGGCGAGGTCCAAGGCGAGGTAAAGGGAACTTCACGGTTTAGCCGCTGGTTTGCATCCAAAGAACCAACATGTGGTAGCGAGCTCGGATCTTATGGCAGCTCTACTACATTAGATAGGCAAGGTAAGAAATAATCCAATTTATTATATGTTATGTTAATATGTTATATATACTGCATAAAAATGTTCGCTCTTTTGTCTTTCAGAAATTCCTAGTGTTAAGGACTTGGAAGCACAAATGAAAAAAGTGGATTTGCGACCTGAATATGAAATTATCAACACAATGCGAAACGCACAGCAGTCAACTCAAGCGGAGGCAAGAGACAACTCTGTTACTAGAGATACCGAAGGATTTAAAAGACTCTTGCAGCAGTTGGGCTCCCAAAACCATGCGCAACCAACCCCGTCGTACCCCTTAATTCCGAATGTGCCCGTGGTGCGCAGCGAGCCACGTGCCAATCCTCATGACCGCCATCAGCACATGGCTCGAGGTCCGGAAGATGATCTGCAACAATACCAGCAACAACGTCATAAAAAGAATGACTCCTTGCCACACAGGCATATGGATGTGGTTCCCCAAAGTCCTCTACATTCCGCATTGGCGCCGGGCATCCATGATCCAAACGTAGCTGGACTCCTATCTTTGCAATCGCAAACACGGATGGAAATTCAACATTTGCTTCAGGGTAAGTAGCTTAAATAAATATCTGATTTAAGTACGACTTTAATTTAATTTATCATGTGCTGCATTGGCACTTACAAATGTCATAATTTATTTATTTTTCTTTTAATTTCAGGCATTGTTCGCGGTGATGTGTCTCTTGAATTTTTGGAAAAGGAAATAAGCAATCCGAACACAACAGCTCAGTCGAGGGAGATTATTGGAGCAGTTCTTTATGAGTGTTCCAATTCCAATCGAAACGCTGTGCAACAGAAACTAAATCATCCGAACGACTTAAATCCCCATAATGCTATTAAAAATCATCAGTTTTTTAATAAGAATGTTTCCGAAGGTACGTCTGTTCTCGTTTTTTTTTTTTTTTTTTTTTTTTTGTGACCTCTTTTTTAATTGCGTTTTTCAGATTTATTCTGTCAGAACACGCAAAGTCCTAGCTTAAGCCAACAACACCTCAGGCACAGTAATTCGCCGACACCGTTGGCATTTACACCAACATCTGTGTTAAGGAAAATGACAGCTGATAAGGAATCAACACCGTCGCAAAATAACAGTGCCATTAACCAACAATATCATCAATATCAACAACTATCCACGCAGTATCCGAAACCAACAGTACACAATCTAATGAATGAGTCACCGGTAATACCTGCTATTAACCAACTGCAACCGAGGATGATCTTGGGCGGCAACTACGCTATGCAACACCAGCATCAGCATCAATTAAATCCAAATAGCCCACAAATGTCGCCTAAATTACCTCCACAGTTGTCTCAACAGCGAAGTCAGCCAAACAAATGGCCGCCTGGCAACATGCAAGCGTTGCACGGGGCCAAGTCTTTTGGTAATTCAAGATACATTAAGGACAAACATAGTACCTATAAATATATCTATCTAAATTTGCAGGTCGACCAATTCTGAAAGGAACTCTCAGCTCTGGCTCTCAGCAAATGGCCCCAGTAACATTTTCAACAAACAATGAATTACAACAGATCCATCAGCAAAGACTTAAATCCATGCAACCAACAGAAACTATAAATAGCGAAAACATTCACGGTGGAGGACCACCACCTATACAAAATGTTCCATATACTGACGGAATCTCCCAGATGCAGCAGCATCATTATATGCAACAGCAGCAGCAGCAACGAGCGCATCACCGACATCGATTATTTCATGGGGACATGCATAGGCAAACTAATATGTCGATGCAGTCGTCAGGTAACATGGCCGGTAATTTATTTATATTTACATTATATATAAATACATACATAAATTATTGACTATATGAATTTATCAACAGGAGGACCCGACAGCGCCGAATCTACTAATTTAATGAAAAATAATAACCTCGGTCCCATGAACTGTCATCGAGATGAACGCTTATCGCCGACAACAAATCAATTGGCCCAATGGTTTTCCCCAGAATTGCTTGCCAGAGCATCAGCTGGTAAATTGCCGCTTTTAAATGTGAACCAGGCGCTGAGCTTGGAAGAATTCGAACGTAGTATGCAACATTCCTCAGCCACAGTGCTCAATTGAAGACTAAGAGTGAATCTACTTTAAAAGAGACTTAAATGCAACTAGTTGAAATGAATGCTGTTTTATTTAACAGAAGTTATCCTGCAGTTTCTTTTAAAAATGATTTCAAGCAGTTATATTCATTTGTGTGTTCGTTGCACAGGACTTTTCTTCTTTTTTTTTATATCAAAATTATGCTCACAACAGCATATATTTATAAACACTCTGATAGTTTCGTAAAAATTGAAAATAAAACTCTGAATATTTAAAATAATTATTAATCGTAGATTGTATTGTGAAACAAAACATTTTTCTGTACATAATACTAATAAATAAAAGAGAAAATAAACGAAACTATAGCATATTAATCGAAAAATTAATAAAACACGTTTTCTGGAAATTCAAATTGAATTAATACACGATTATGCAAATATTGAGCTAGGTACTATTTGTATTTAATTTATTCAATGCTTAGATATTAATTATACGTAGTTACATTGGCTTTTAATTTATAAAAATTTAATCAAATAATTCAATTGGAATCTTTCCCTGGGAATAAATAATCGATCAATTCAAAGAACCAATTACACTATATATATACACACATATTTAGATTTTTCGGCACAGAATATTTGTTTCAAATTGTATTTTTTATATGTGTTTAGTATTTATGCATTTAATTCAATTTGTAGGTGGGGTAATCTGTGACTAATTCTATATACTAGCTGAGCGACTAGACTTATTGCAATAATCTACAAACATACTTTGATATGTACCTAAATGTGTTCGTATGCATTAATGAAGAAATTCAAAGGGATATTAGCAACGTAATGTGTGGTAAACTCTCTGTAAGGGTAACAGATTATTCAGCTTTGCAATAATCTACAAACATACTTTGATATGTACCGAAATGTGTTCGTATGCATTAATAAAGAAATTCAAAGGGATATTAGCAACGTAATGTGTGGTAAACTCTCTGTAAGGGTAACAGATTATTCAGCTTTAATCAATTTCAGACAAGTTTCGGTCACATTTTGGGCGGTAAATCTCAATAGGTCCCGCTGGCTTAAAGCTAGCTTTTCTTAACTACGGATAATCACATTCAAAAATTAACATAAATGATTTCCGACAGCGCCATCAACATTTATCTCAATTCTTAATGATTTCTAATTAATCTGCCCAACAGTTTTTATATTTTGTGGAATATTATATTTTTTCTAGTTGCTCGTAATTATTGATCGTTGAACAACCATTGTTGACCGCATAATAAATAACACTGATAATTATTCACTACCTATGGGAAATGGTGCATATTTATTAGAATTTCCTTTGTTAAACTATGAAGAAACGGATGCCATGTGGAACAGTCAATTATCATACATATTATGTACATTTGTTATTTAGTGACAGCGCTATATATTTACTAATTAATTATTTAACGAAGTTACAGTTCCTATTGTGGTATTAACGGGATTATTCACTTAACTTTGTTTACCTGGTGTTATTTACACCATTTATATTTAACTATTACAATGATTTTAGACTTTTTTTTTAAATAATGCAACAATTTGAGTGAGTTGATTGAGTGTATAATAAGCGATGTGCTATCGAATGTAGCAAATATTTAGATCTTATAATAATTCGATTAAATACGCAGGTCCGTTATATTAACGTTTTTGTCATTTTTAGAAGCGATAAAGCTTTATATTTTTAATATACTCGTGTATACACACACATATATACCTAAACATTTCTGTATCATTTCCTAGACAGTTTTATGCAGCTCAGTAATTTGATGAAATTTCGAATGCATCGTTATATATTTTCTGGATTCTTAATCTTGAGTCTTGGCGATGCAGGATGGTTCAACGATGCCAATGACGCAATCGCATTTGCCCGATGTGGGAGCAGCACCATTAAAGCATTCCTCATTCTTATGTATAATAACTGTTTGATTTTGGTCCAGCTCAGAACAAGGACTGCCATTTTGGCTACCATTCTGAGACGGTCGATCGCTGGGTGTGGCAATTGTGGCTGCAACACCCGTACCGACACCAACATCTGTGGCATTTAATCCGACGGGTGTACGACTATATCCGGAACTTGTGGGCATACCCTGTGCGCCCGCCGTTGTCGCCGATCGTCTATAGACCGTGCTATTCATTGTCAGCTTACGCACATTCTTATCGGGATGAAAGACCAAAATGTACACCTTGGGCGAGTAGAGGCAAATCAATGCCACCGAAGCACTTAAGCTAATCGAGATGCACAACGTGGTTATTTGGATCTGCATGGGAAAGTCGTATATATATGTCGCACATACTGCACAGTTGAATGTCAGTTCGTATTTACCTCATATGAGTTGCCAGTGCCAAAGTATATTGGGACAAATGCCAGCCAAATTATGCATGTTGTGTACATTGTGAAGCCAATAAATTTGGATTCGTTAAAATTTTCGGGTATTTTGCGTGTTTTGATCGCATACACCGTGCATATCGTAATAAGTATCATGTTGTACAGCTGGGAGAAGAGGAAGGACATGTCCTGTATTTTGCATTTTAAAATCACCTCGGTACGGTCGGGATAATAAAATCTAGTCCCCGGTGGCTCCACAATCATCCAAATCATCGTGATTAAAACTTGTATTGCTAAAGAGATAAACGTATTTTTAAAGGGTAAACTACACACGCTAGTAATAAATTTAATTATCAATTTACAAACTTAAAAGCAAAATAATAAAACAAAAAGATGGTGTCAAATTTTGGATATGTATTATGCTTTAATCGTCAATCTTTAATATAAATATTGAGATACCTACCAATTAGCGAGGTTGTGATCACCACCTGCGACTGCGGACTGATGTACTTGAGACGTTGTGCCGATTTTGAGGCCGAATGGAAAATTCGCGATATACGATTTGTTTTCGTTAATAGAGCGCTATAAATAATTGAGAAGCCAACACCTATCCCAAACCTCTGAAGGACACATGAACCAATCGTTGGCTTCGCGATTAGGGCAAATGTGTTGCAATAACAAACTAAAATACCAAATAGCAGAGTATAGCTCAGCTCTCGACCCGAGGCACGGACGAGGGGAGTATCGTGATTCTTGGCAAACAGCACAATAACCACAATGGTCATCGTGATGCCGAGTATTGCGATTGCAAATGGCACCAGGGCAAATAGCGAATTCCAGCGCATATACTGGATATTTAGGGCAAAGCAGGAGAGCTTATCGGGATATGGCCACAGGCCCGGACCACAATCTCTGCACGTAAACTCATCGTAGACATATTCGTATGGCTCGCAGCTGTCACAGATCCAGCAACAGGTGTCACCCTGTAAATATAATATATTTTTATATAAATAAATGTAATATAGAAATTATAATTTGAATTACCTGTTGTTTTTTAATCATTCCAGCCTCACAGGGTAGTGAGCATGCGGAGGTCGGCATTTCTTGTTCCTTGTTCCACACAACGGTTTCCAAATTGAGTTCCAGATAATTAAACCATTTTCCAATTACCTACAAGCACAATAAATGTGTATATTATACATTTTTTGGGGATAAGCTTTTTATATATTTATAATTTACAAAAGGCTGCAAACGTTAATAACTAGTACTGGTACCTTGTACTGATATCCCGATGAATTATCAAGACGCTGATAGTTTAAAATATCATATCTGGCCAGGCCATCGCCCTGTCGATCAAACTTCACTTCACTGCCAGCCAAATCTAAACAGAGCAGTTAGATTGTTGGTAATTGATAAAGATATTATATAATATAGATTCGATTAGATACTGTACCCACAAAGGAGACGTTTAGTAAGTAGTTGTTGTAAAAGTCCTTGCCATCGTAGCTGGCCATATCGGGACAGGCCTGCGAATGGCTATCGACTGGCTTTCGATACCAAACCGATTCGCTGTGCTGATGATGCTTCTGCTGGCCAATATTCTGATCGTTTTGGGTGCACAAATCGCTGTGCAAATTGTGCAGGGCATGGGCGAAGGCATAAACAGCGTCCACAACGAATTGCGTCTTCGATTCCTGCTCATATCTAAAGTATATAGGCGATATGTATTTATTTTATGTGAACAACAAAACTTATTAAATTTGATTAAAAATCAAATGTAAAATTACATTTAAATGATAAGAAATATTTATAGGATTAATAATAATTAATAATTAAAACACTCATAGTAATAATTAATACATATATGCAACTCTACTCTCTAAATAAAAATAAACTCACCCGACTTTCTCCGAGAGCCTTAAACTATCATCGCAAATGGTTTTCTCCTTTTCGTTTCCAGACTTTGAATGACCATCCTCGCCATCTATTGCCAACTTGGCGTCCACTGAGCCTAAAGATAGGACACAATTGAAGGTATCCTCCCAGTACTCGGCGAACCAGGGATTGCGCTGATTGGACCTTGGCGTTAATTGCATCATATATCGATCAAAGTCTTCGATTATTTCCGATTGCAACTCAACAGTAATGGCGCCCTCGGCAATCTCCTCCAATCCCTCGAGCAGCTTCTGTTGCTTGCCCCAGCCATCGCTGGCCACCCAATGGAATGGCTGCGAGAGATTGGCACGCTTCGCTGCTAGCAGAATGCGACGTGCATCCTCGGCTCGGGTGAATAAGATGACACCTCGAGCATTTGGCTTCTTGAGCAGTTTACTGATAATCGAATCGAAGATTTTGTCATCGGATGCACTGGGCACCTTTTCGGCGGCGGCAATACAAACGTGTCGCTCGGTGGCCTCCTTGTGAAAGGCCTCGATGCCATACTCGCCGTAGGAGCCCTCCGAGTGAATCGTGGACACATAGGACCAGTTCAGGTTCTTGATAATGTCCACAAGGGCGACCGATTGAAATGTATCTGGCGGCACGGTGCGTGCAAATAAATCGAAGCGTGATTTGTCGGAAAGCGTTTTGGCCGTCGAAGCTGGCGAAATTTGCGGTATGTGAAAGAGTCTCAAGAGATTGGCCACCTGCAAGGATACCGAACTGTACGAGCCACCGATGACACCAAAAACGGGGCCAGATGTTGCATTCTTGCGTAGCTGCGGCGTCGATGTGTCCGAGCACTCGAAGACGGATGTGTCCATGTTATTGAGGGAAGCGCGCACAAATTGCAGCGACTGATTGAGGGCGTAGGTGTCCCGAGAGCAGGTGTCCAGGATATGAACACCTATCGTTATGCCTGGCAGTAGATTTGTGTCATTGTTCACCCGATCGATGGCATACAGCATCGCCTCCAGGCGCTGAACACCCCGATTATAGACCTTGGGCCCGCACGGCGGGGCTCCCTCGCCCTTCTCGTGCACGGGAAACAGTCCGCCCAGTATTATATCGCCGGGCAGGAAGACAGACACCGAGTCATGGGACTGCGATGAGCCAGCACCAGAAAGTTGGGGTAAACAGCTCCAGAGAGTAACTACCATCAGCATAAGTCTAATTGGAATATTACTGCCATAGTTATTGGAGTTGGCTTTGAACGCTTCTCGCATATTGGTCAATTTGTCAAATCGTCAATTGCACATTTATCTCAACGATTTATTCATTTGGATTTCTTTTCTTGGGTTAGTCTTTGAGCTTTGAGACTCTATAATAATCCTTGGGTTTTGAGTCGTCCATGGCCATTTTAAATAATCTGCAATGGAAACGCGATAGCAGATATTTTATGTTCAACCTATTAGTAACCAGACTTAGCATTTATTTTATAATTATTAATTTATTAATTGCAATATATAAGCCGAATAAATATAATTAAATCTTTTATTGCGATTTCTAAATAATTATATAGCATTATTTTTAGTTTTATTAAATATAATATGTAAATCAAATAAATATACTTAAATCAATTAATTTATTTGAAATTTTAATTATTTAAAAAGCTACTTAAAATCATTTAGTCAGTGACACTCGAGCAACTTAAGATGGCTAAGACAAGTCATCTGTTGGCAAGGATGCTTGCTTAAATTACGATTCTCTTAAGTTAATGAGAGAGGGACAGAGGGAGAGGGCAAGAGAAAGTGAGAGAGAGGGAGAAAGCTGGCAAATGAGAGAGGACAAGGAAAAGAGAATCATAAGTAGGGGATGCTTTCCACGAGAAAATACGAGAAAATGTTGCCCAAGCTTAATGTTCATGCAGAACCAGAGTCCGACTATATACACACTCATATATTTGTGTGTGCGTGTGTGTGTATGTGTGGAAAGTAACAATGGCGACCCAGAAAAAGCTTCGATGCCAGAACTTTACCAGAAGTACCAATACAAGAATGGTACCGATGATGCTGATGATGGCAACGGCGGCGCAAAGGACCGAAATCTGCAAGCATATATATATATAAATATATGTGTAAATATATATATATATATATGTATAGATATGCATATATAATCGTCACAAAAATTATTAACAGGAGTACCCTACACATATGCACGATAGATGTACGAGAAAAGTATGTGTGTGTAGGTACAAAAGACTTGTTCAATTTCCAAAGCCCGACATAACTAGAATTATATATATATACATCTATTTTTTTCAAATGATTTTGAGCAACTGTAACTGTGTGGGTGTTAACGTTCATACCAACACAGCAATACAGTAATACCAATACATACACACAGAGATATATGTTAAATGTACCCTATACACAGACATATATACATACAGCGAGTACTTAAATATACACGTACATATTTATGTAAGTCTGCATTGCAAGTGTTAATTTAAGTATGTTAGAAAATGGAAAAAACATGCATTTACATACCATTTAACTGTGTAGTTGTATTTGTAGAGTCGTTATTTTTTTAAATTACAAATTATTTTAGTCACGAGCGAGGAGTGCACACATCTGTTCATAGCATTAACTGTAGATAAACTGATTTCCTCTTGATAAGCTCAAGCAGCAGTTCTTGTACAAGCAGCAGCAGCAGCGACCACGAAAAAGAACAACAGCAACAGCAGCAGCAGCAGCAACAACACCCACAGCAGCCATCTAACTGTCCATCTCTCCTTGAATGGCCATTTTTCGGGAGCGCAAGCATCGCTGCAGCAGCAGCCGTAACGGATCTCAAAGAGTAAGAATAAAAACTAGCAGCTAAAAAAAAAGAAAAAACGTTAATAACTCTTACGTCCTATATATATATCGTAGGTCCGCCTGCAGCATTACTTAAGAGCGCCAAAAAAAGCTGACTAAAGCTCGTCTTCAAGCTTTCGCGTAGCTCTCTTAAGGCTCTCCCGATTTTTGACCACGCAAATGTGTGTGTATGTATATTTGTAAATGTATTAGTTATGGCATCTATAGTACACATAATCTTTTAATTATTTACTAATTTTTTAATTTTAATTTAATTCAAAATTGCATTTTTAATTTAATTTAATCAATTTTTAGTTACATTTTATATAGTAAATATAAAACTGTGTTGCTCATTTGTTACATTTAATTTTAAACGTTATTTTTGATTTAATTTAATCAATTTTTCACTTTTTGTATTACTTGTGTCGTCTGACTTTATTTGCCATAATTAAATAAGTATATAAATATATTTATAGTATGATATAATTATGAAGCTCCCATAATCCTATCTTCATTTTTAATTATAAACCTTACCGTTAATTTAAATAAACCGCAGTAATTCATTTAATTAAAGAAAATCTAATTATATATGGTTGGAATCATTGACTGCCCGACTTATCTGATGATTTTAATAAATTAAGACCAAAAATATTTAATTGCATGAGACTAAATCTTGTTTTTCACCTCAAATATAAATAATAATTGCCCAATTTAAATTTAAATTTATTTCTTTAAATATTATCGATGTATTCGATATTAAATAAAACGATTTATCAATGTTTACCGTATTTACATTTGATTTTTATATTTATCCAGCCATCAATTTATTTGATTTTAGTTATTATTTATTATTATTTTGCATTAAGATGAATATTCATTAGAAGCTTGCTTGTAAGGATAATATGTTAAAAATACTAAAAAATAATACTATAAGGTGTCAAATCGAAAACCAACCATGTGCAAATTTAGGTATTTTGACTCTGCTCCAGAAAGTTAAAGCCATTAGTTTTTTTTTGCTTTCAAAACATGATTCATATGCCATTTAGGAATAGTTAAATTCGGAATTGTTCTATAAAACTAACTTTGAACAAATCAACTATTAATAATTATCGCAAGACACATCGATTAGGGAAGACATCAACATTGTGATGAAATTGGTTTGCTAAATAGATATATCGATGTATATCGATATACCATTCCTAAGCAGCACATTTCATGTGGAATGAAATTGATATAAAATTTGTTTTTGGAAATAAACAAAGAAAGTCGAGTATAGCTTAGTTAACGACTGTGCAAGTATAGTGAAGTGTGGCAATTGTTTTCTGTTGTATTGTATATAATTGCTAGCTAATCATACATATATATATATATACTGGTCTCGAATGCTCCAGGTAAAATAATGTTAAGAATGAGAACGAGACGGAGTTCAACTAAAAATTACATGATGACATTTACTACGACATCCAATTTGACTATGACGTTGCCGTTGACGTTGCTCTTTGTGCGTTACATATCAAATATATAGAGAAATACGTGTACGATATATGCATTTCTCGATTAGTTGTTAAAGTTAGTGAATTATGAAATATAAGTTAATGCGGATTTTTTTTCTACACACATTTTTTGTGCAAGACTTGAGTCGAGGCGAGTCGTTCGCTCGGTCGATCATTCTCTCTCTTACCTTCTACGCTAGATTTTAGAAAGCAAATGCATTCGATTAATATGTGTACTACGATTTATATATTTAAATATGTTAGTTAATTATTATAATACATATGCTACTTATTTTAAATGGTTTATATTGTATTTTTTCCTTTTGCCTTGCAGGTTGGCTTTTTATTTACAACTTACGAGAATTGCTTCGCAGAAATTTTTTATACAATAAAACTAAACTTTTGCAGGTAAGACAGCCTGCCAACACTCGCAACATTCTCAAAATTCACAGTTTCCACAGAAGAAGAATCCGATGGTTGTGTAACGGATTCGACGCGGGTCAAAAATAGCCCAAAACGGGGAAAAGCAACCGTTTGACGTTTGACAAACGCTTAACCGTAAACTAGATCGGTCCTTTCGGAATGCAACCAGCTGCTTCAGCACTATCAACACAATTTTATATCGCTAAAAACATGCAGCCCCAAAATTTGGTATGTTGCCACTTTTTTCTTTGTATTTCGTTCTAGTTTCTATCAATAGTATTCGGTTTTTCGAATGTCAAAATATGTATTTAATTTCGAAAGTTTTGTTTAATTTCATTTTAATTAGATGTTTAAGCATAAAATACTTTAAAATATATCTTAGTTTTTAATCCCAATTAAATTTTATTTAAAATTTATTGTTTAAAATATTCACACACATTTAACAAACGAGAGGAGAGAAGCAAGTTTTGGATTCCAGTTTTATAATTTATTTGCTTGGCTAAATATTGACCTCAACTTATTATTGAGTTATTAGTTTATTAATTATAGATTTTCATTTTAGTTGCTGATTTTGTTGTTCGTTTTCGTATTCTATTTCGGCCAAAGTTCAAATTATGTGCTATACTTAATAGGCAAAAAAATAAATCTTCCCACTTTTTTGCAATCTGTATTATTTTTGCCTTCGAATAAAAAGAGCAAAAAATATGTTTCGCAAACGCCGCCAATGAAGCAGCAACAGTCGCTGCCACAACACAGCACTACACAGCCACAGTTTCAGATAAACAAGGCCCACAACGTTGTCTCCATACTAAAAACAGCAACGACATCAGTCACGCAACAACAGTCCTCAACAGTCACAGCAGCAACAAAGCTATGCAAATGTTGTAAATCGAGCGCCAGCTATTTCAGCTGCAACCCAACAGCAGCAACAATCGATTGTCATTTGCAGCGGTGGCAACATAATGACCGTCAGCAGTTGTCAATTGAATACGGGTGATTTGAGCTCTGCTGCCATCTATAATCTGACTGGACACAGACCACAATTGACGGCTGGCATCGACTCCAATTGTCGCTATTTGGCAGCGGAGTTGTCGTCGAAAGGTGTTGCAGTTTCGAATAATGGTACACAAGTAGGAGGCGGTGGTGGCGGTGCCGCAAGTGCCACAAATAGCAACAGTGCCAGCAGCAGCAGCATTAACGGTGCCAGCAACAATCAGAGCCTCATGACGCTAACATTGGGCTCGAGCAGTGGCCCCTATATGCACGAGAAGAGCTTGTTGGGGGGCGTTGGAGTTGGCGTTGGCGTCACTTGTATCGATAGTAGAAAATACGACTGTAAAAATAATAATCTGCTGTCAAACAGCAGCTTCCAAACAGCCCAAGAGGTAAAAATCAACAAACAACAAGAACAAAACTTTGGTCGCGAAAAAAAATTAAAAGTTTATAGAAATTTGTACGAATTTTATAAATCGATTGCTCGATTAATCGACTACGTTTGTTCCGCTATCTGAAATTGTCCGAATGTTCAGCTGCGGTCAAAATAATAGTGGACGCATATGTTTTGAAAAAATTTAAAAACAAAAAAATACTTAAAATATGGTTAAAAGTTATGAAAACTTCATTTAAACACAAGTAGTAAATACTGGTAAAAAATTAAACGTTAAAAGTTGGCATAGCTATCAAATTGATTAACAAAAAAACAAATTTATAATTTATATATATTTATTTTTAAATTATATAAATTTATGAAATGCTTTGAGAAGCTGCAGTATTATTATTTTGACCGCAAAAATAAAATCCAGAAAAACTTAAAAAATTATAAACTAAGCCTTAGATTTAAAATTGGTAAAGGTAATTTTCGCATAAGTCAAAGCTGTATGTAAGTTCAGTTAATATAGATTTGTGGATTTTTTCAGTATGTGTCATCGGGCAATAACAGTGCTGGCAACACCCGTTCAAATCAACAGAGTGGAATATTTCGGGGACCGCCGTCGACTGCGAATGCGCCACGTGGCACGGGCGCCGTAGGGACCTCGCCACCTGCACATGCCGGCAATGTATCCGAATGTGGTGCTGCAACAGTACTCACAATATGGCCAGCGACAGCCGACGTTCCAAACGCCACAAATACAATATGGACCTGCGCCCATTCCCTACTATCCGTATCAATATATCCCGTCGCTGCAGCAACAGCCTCCGCCGCCGCCACAGCATTCGCGTAGCGGTGTTGCCACAAACGCTAGTGTCAAAATCGGTGGCAACACGATGCCTGTCCCGAGGCCTGTCTGGTCCCGGGGCTACAACGTCCCAACTGCAGCTGTTCACGGGCAGTGTACAGACCGGCGCGAATACCGCGCTTGGCGTTAGCTCCACTGGTAGCGGGCAGGTCGGTGTACCGCCAATGGTTAATGTTGCAAGTGGTGGCAATGGCGAGTAGGCGTCGCCATCGGCACAGTTTGCAGATCATTCATCCCGAAACGAAAAAGAATATTCTCGGAGAGCTGGATAAGGTACGTTTATTGCTATTTATATATATATACATATATTGTTGATTGTTATCGATATTAAAGTCAATGGGTTTAACATGAGCACCTGCCGTAATGGCTTAATCTCACGGTGCCGAGCACTGGAATTAATTTAAGCGTCAATTACCGCCCCATTGGATCAAATATTCCGCAGGTACCAATTTGAAGTCATTTCTGTTTGGTCGTGAACTTCCACCTAGGTTTGGAGTGCCGCCTATCTAAAACAACTTCCGATCTATGGGTCACGGCACCCTGTTGTAACATACGCAACATCATGCCGAGTCTAAACCTCTACCCGCATTTGGGTGTCAAACCATAGCCACCACGATACTCCCCGAAGGGCCGCAACCAAAAACCAGGACGGAACTGAGTTCCGCGGGCTCCTGATTACCAGTGGTACCGGAAACAAGCCTCCGGTCAGGCCTCGTACCCGTAGGGTACTCCCAATTTAAACTCCAAACAGTTAGGGGTTGGTGGCCCCGGTGTTATCGATATATAGAGCAGGAGCAACAAGCAGGCGCTGTTGTTGGAACAACTGTAACTACGACAACAGCCGCCGTTGTCCAACCAAACCCAGATGTCCCAATCTGCATTTCCCAGCCAGATGCTGCTGGCATCTGCCTAACGAATAACATGCTAACTCAAGGCCCGGACTCAAGAGCCAGTGCCCAGTTCAAATTAGGTATATTAATTAACATCCAAAATGTATATTAATATACACTGTAATATATTTTATTACTTGTCACAAGTTGTATCGAGATCAAATTCCCGCTCACCGGCCAGATATTATAATGGGTCAGACCCCAGTGGTCTCAGCGATGTCGGATGCCCCATCTGTAGAAATATTGCCGACGCCCCAAAAGACCAAGAGTAAAAAGTAAGTGATTCTAACAGAATCAATATTTAATTTGTATTGTTATATTATATATTTTTCCTTCCCTTCTTTCTTAGAATCCCTATAGTCTCTCCAAAAGATATCTCTGATTCATCTACAGCTTTTTCATCTGGTAAGTACTGTAAGAAATATTATTGGGTTGAATATTTTTAATTTAGTTTGTCAGCAATCTCAAAAAATAAATAAAACTCGTTATTCTGCAAAAAAAAGAGATATAGGTTTTAGTTCAGCACATTATTATTATATAGTATAAAATATAGTTACTATATTTGCACATACATTTTTGATGTAGAATATAGGCAAAAGCTTTATAACAACATTCTATATATATTCTAAGATTGCTTTTGATTTTATGCGGAGTGCCAAATAGGCGAACATTGAAAAAAAAAGCAGAGAATGTTGTTCCTCGAGGAACTCAAAGCATTTCTAATATTTACAGATTTAAAATAAGTTTATTTGTACTTGTTTTGATTTATTTTTTATAAGTTAAACACATTAAAAAAGCAGTGACTTGTAGCTCGCATACTGCACTCATATCGGTAACGTTATACGGAGCACCCAAAAGCGAAAACGGAATATGAAAAAAAAGGAAAGTTTTGCCCGAAATTTCTATCAGAAATATTCATTTTATAGAAGACTTTTATGTCAATTCCACGCAGCTGCTGCGTTCTTGTTTTCTTCTACAAATCTATTCGATTAAAACAGTGTGTGTGCGCGTGTGCGTGTGCATATTTTGCGCTTAAGCTTGTCCGCTTATCTATGAATGTGTATGTGAATGTACGATGTTCATCTATATGTAGGTGTGCTGACCATAAGACGGACACACACATACATATGTATTTGTCGAATTGCTTGGCTCTTGCGTTTGCTTCCCAGATGTATGTTTTTAAATCGATCCAACGCAAACACGTGCTTTCTACACTGTCTTCTGTGTCTGTACATGGACATATTAAGCATGTGTGCGTGCGTCACAGAGAGAGAGAGAGAGCGAGAAATTGGGAGTGCGTGTGTGTGCAAACATTTTCACTTTTGCTTGTAGCACTGCTGTGACTAGTGACTTGTTGTTTGACGCTGCTTTTTGGCTGGCCGTTATTGCTTGTCCGTATTTCTGTTTGCCTCGTTTGTGCAGCAATTTCAGTTGCGAACACTGCGCGCTGTTCTATTGAGGCTCGATGCTCAAACGTCGCTAGCCTCTCGATGCGATCATTTTTTTGGTTGTTGTGTTAGCGTTAGTGCGATGTTTTGTGCGATTCGATATCGTAGTTCAGTGTATGTGTGTGTGTGTCTATGCCTATGTGTCTATCTATAGCGCTAGGCAACAAAGCGATAATTGCTTGGACGGACACACACACACAGACAAGTTTTGATGAGATAAAAATTGAATAGAGTCAAATAAATATATATGCCCACGTGCATTTTGAAATATTTCGAAAAGAAAAAAATACATGTGCAAAGTTAAAGCAAATAAGTTAATTAATTTCTTATATATATGTTTTTATATGTGTATATATATATTTTTGTACAAATATGTATATATATATATTTTTGTACAAATATGTATATATATATATTTTTGTACAAATATGTATATATATATATTTTTGTACAAATATTTTCAAATAATGAAAAGAATTTGGCATTTAATAAAATATATATATATTTTGGACTGTTAAATAATGTACATAATTACAAGGCGATAAGGATAGTTCTGTATAACGCTTTCAAGGTGTTTCTAAAAATAAAAAACAAATCAAAAATTCAAATTCAATGCAATACAAAAGCGATAACGACTGAGCAACTAATATCGATATGGACTAACTGTTATAAATAGTTTACAATTTTAAAAGTACATCTAGACGTTCGTATACCTTTTATAGGTAGCTATAATATGTTTATAACTAATCTAGATTTTCTATTAAATGTAGTCAAATTGGATGATGCAGAAGCAGCGAAAACAAACGTTAAAGCGACTGTCGAGATTAATCAACAGATACAAACGGACTCTGTGCTACAGCAAAAGAATCAGTTAAACTTGGCACATCCACAAGCGATACAGCTACAGTCACAGATACACATAGATCAGCAACATTCTCAGTACCTGGCGCATGTGGCAACTCCAACGTCTGAATTTGAGCACGCTGTGGATGACGCTTCTGTGTCATCGTCGCAGAGCGAACTATTCACAAATTGTCCACTGCCTAATATCGAGGCTAAGCCAGAGACAACCGTAGATATTGCAAGGGTGGCAACAGCAGCCCAAACCCAAGCCAATATAGAAGTCTCATCTGAAGGCGAATCGACTGTCATGCAAATAGTGGATCAAAGCAGCAAAATTTAGGCATCAGAGTCACCTGCTGCTGTTGCACTTACACCAACAGCACATAGCACACACGAGAGCACCCCAGATGAGACTGATCAAGCCGGGAATACACAATTCAATGAAGCGCCTATAAGGGCCAATGATAATGTTGATATCGGAGTAGACACATCCAAGAACAGTAAACAACTACAAATAACACAATGGAACAGAACAGGAAAAAGAACAAGGGCTGGAGCTGGAGCTGGAGCTTAAGGAATCAGTGGGAGATGGAAAGGAGCCTAGATCAAAGACAGTTGAACAATAAACTGCCGCCTCACCACCAACTGCTGCCATAGAAACGGATCCGATCTCATCGCTGATCAATTACAACGAAGCAAAAGCATCCCGCGTGCAGCCCGAGGTGAAGAACGTGGCGATCTTGCCACATCCGAATCTGATGCCAACATTTATGCGCAACATCAACAACAATAACAATAAGCGTGTCCAGTCGATGGTGGGCATGATTGATAGTAATCGCAACAGTGATGCGTCCAGCAATTTCGTGGGCAAACAGGTGTCCATGTCCGGGGTGCAGGGCAGCGGCCGTAGCAGCATGAAGGGCATGATCCATTTGAATCTATCGCTAATTTAATTTAATCCATTTTTAGTTAAATTATATAAAGTAAATATAAAACTGTGTTGCTCATTTTTACATTTAATTTTAAATTGATTTAATTTAATCAATTTTGCACTTTTTGTATTACTTGTGTCATCTGACTTTATTTGTCATAATTAAATATGTAAATAAATATATTTATAGTATGATATAATTATGAAGCTCCCATAATCCTACCTTCATTTTTAATTATAAACCTTACCGTTAATTTAAATAAACCTCTAATTCATTTAATTAAAGAAAATCTAATTATATATGGTTGGAATCATTGACTGCCCGACTTATCTGATCAATTTAATAAATTAAGATCAAAAATATTTAATTGCATGAGACTAAATCTTGTTTTTCACCTCAAATATAAATAACAATTGCCCAATTTAAATTTAAATTTATTTCTTTAAATATTATCGATGTATTCGATATTAATTAAAACGTTTTATCAATTTTTACCGTATTTACATTCGATTTTTATATCTATCCAGCCATCAATTTATTTGAAGTTTATCTGTTGATTTTAGTTATTATTTATTATTATTTTGCATTAACAGGAATATTCATTAGAAGCTTGCTTGTAAGGATAATATGCTAAAAATACTAAAAAATAATACTATAAGGTGTCAAATCGAAAACCAACCATGTGCAAATTTAGGTATTTTGACTCTGCTCCAGAAAGTTAAAGCCATTAGTTTTTTTTTTGCTTTCAAAACATGATTCATATGCCATTTAGTAATAGTTAACTTCGGAATTGTTCTATAAAACTAACTTTGAACAAATCAACTATTAATAATTATCGCAAGACACATCGATTAGGGAAGACATCAACATTGTGATGAAATTGGTTTGCTAAATAGATATATCGATGTATATCGATATACAATGTTACCATTCCTAAGCAGCACATTGCATGTGGAATGAAATTGATATAAAATTTGTTTTTGGAAATAAACATAAAGAAAGTCGAGTATAGCTTAGTTAACGACTGTGCAAGTATAGTGAAGTGCGGCAATTGTTTTCTGTTGTATTGTATATAATTGCTAGCTAATATATACATATATATATATATATATACTGGTCTCGAATGCTCCAGGTAAAATAATGTTGAGAATGAGAACGAGACGGAGTTCAACTAAAAATTACATGATGACATTTACTACGACAATGCAATTTGACTATGACGTTGCCGTTGACGTTGCTCTTTGTGCGTTACATATCAAATATATAGAGAAATACATGTATGATATATGCATTTCTCGATTAGTTGTTAAAGTTAGTGAATGTTGAAATATAAGTTAATGCGGATTTTTTTTGTGCACACATTTTCTTTGTGCAAGACTTGAGTCGAGGCGAGTCGTTCGCTCGGTCGGTCATTCTCTCTCTTACCTTCTACGCTAGATTCTCTCATTTGCTCTCGCTCGCTCGCTCGCAAATACGACGTCAACGTCGCAACGTCGGCAAATGGTTGAAGAAAGCATGATTATAAAAAAAGAGCTCTACTTAAATAAATTGAGGCTTGCACCTGTTTAATAACTCCCCAAATGCAGTAATAAAGTGAACAAAAAAATACAAATAAATAGGCAAAAGAAAAATTTAATAATAATATATATATATAAGTTATATACATACATATTATGTGCATGCAATCATAAATTAGATTTTAGAAAGCAAATGCATTCGATTAATATGTGTACTACGATTTATATATTTAAATATGTTAGTTAATTATTATAATACATATGCTACTTATTTTAAATGGTTTATATTGTATTTTTTCCTTTTGCCTTGCAGGTTGGCTTTTTATTTACAACTTACGAGAATTGCTTCGCAGAAATTTTTTATACAATAAAACTAAACTTTTGCAGGTAAGACAGCCTGCCAACACTCGCAACATTCTCAAAATTCACAGTTTCCACAGAAGAAGAATCCGATGGTTGTGTGACGGATTCGACGCGGGTCAAAAATAGCCCAAAACGGGGAAAAGCAACCGTTTGACGTTTGACAAACGCTTAACCGTAAACTAGATCGGTCCTTTCGTAATGCAACCAGCTGCTTCAGCACTATCAACACAATCTGATATCGCTAAAAACATGCAGCCCCAAAATTTGGTATGTTGCCACTTTTTTCTTTGTATTTCGTTCTAGTTTCTATCAATAGTATTCGGTTTTTCGAATGTCAAAATATGTATTTAATTTCGAAAGTTTTGTTTAATTTCATTTTAATTAGATGTTTAAGCATAAAAATACTTTAAAATATATCTTAGTTTTTAATCCCAATTAAATTTTATTTAAAATTTATTGTTTAAAATATTCACACACATTTAACAAACGAGAGGAGAGAAGCAAGTTTTGGATTCCAGTTTTATAATTTGTTTGCTTGGCTAAATATTGACCTCAACTTACTTATTATTGAGTTATTAGTTTATTAATTATAGATTTTCATTTTAGTTGCTGATTTCGTTGTTCGTTTTCGTATTCTATTTCGGCCAAAGTTCAAATTTTGTGCTATACTTAATAGGCAAAAAAAAATCTTCCAACTTCTTTGCAATCTGTTTGTAGATTTTGCCTTCGAATAAAAAGAGCAAAAAATATGTTTCGCAAACGCCGCCAACGAAGCAGCAACAGCCGCTGCCACAACACAGCACTACACAGCCACAGTTTCAGATAAACAAGGCCTACAACGTTGTTTCCATACTAAAAACAGCAACGACATCAGTCACGCAACAACAGTCCTCAACACACATGCAGCAGCCACATCATCTGCAACAGCAGCAACAGTCGCAGCAGCAACAAAGCTATGCAAATGTTGTAAATCGAGCGCCAGCTATTTCAGCTGCAACCCAACAGCAGCAACAATCGACTGTCATTTGCAGCGGTGGCAACATAATGACCGTCAGCAGTTGTCAATTGAATACGGGTGATTTGAGCTCTGCTGCCATCTATAATCTGACTGGACACAGACCACAATTGACGGCTGGCATCGACTCCAATTGTCGCTATTTGGCAGCGGAGTTGTCGTCGAAAGGTGTTGCAGTTTCGAATAATGGTACACAAGTAGGAGGCGGTGGTGGCGGTGCCGCAAGTGCCACAAATAGCAACAGTGCCAGCAGCAGCAGCATTAACGGTGCCAGCAACAATCAGAGCCTCATGACGCTAACATTGGGCTCGAGCAGTGGCCCCTATATGCACGAGAAGAGCTTGTTGGGGGGCGTTGGAGTTGGCGTTGGCGTCACTTGTATCGATAGTAGAAAATACGACTGTAAAAATAATAATCTGCTGTCAAACAGCAGCTTCCAAACAGCCCAAGAGGTAAAAATCAACAAACAACAAGAACAAAACTTTGGTCGCGAAAAAAAATTAAAAGTTTATAGAAATTTGTACGAATTTTATAAATCGATTGCTCGATTAATCGACTACGTTTGTTCCGCTATCTGAAATTGTCCGAATGTTCAGCTGCGGTCAAAATAATAGTGGACGCATATGTTTTGAAAAAATTTAAAAACAAAAAAATACTTAAAATATGGTTAAAAGTTATGAAAACTTCATTTAAACACAAGTAGTAAATACTGGTAAAAAATTAAACGTTAAAAGTTGGCATAGCTATCAAATTGATTAACAAAAAAACAAATTTATAATTTATATATATTTATTTTTAAATTATATAAATTTATGAAATGCTTTGAGAAGCTGCGGTATTATTATTTTGACCGCAAAAATAAAATCCAGAGAAACTTAAAAAATTATAAACTAAGCCTTAGATTTAAAATTGGTAAAGGTAATTTTCGCATAAGTCAAAGCTATTTGTAAGTTCAGTTAATATAGATTTGTGGATTTTTTTCAGTATGTGTCATCGGGCAATAACAGTGCTGGCAACACCCGTTCAAATCAACAGAGTGGAATATTTCGGGGACCGCCGCCGACTGCGAATGCGCCACGTGGCACGGGCGCCGGGGGACCTCGCCACCTGCACATGCCGGCAATGTATCCGAATGTGGTGCTGCAACAGTACTCACAATATGGCCAGCGACAGCCGACGTTCCAAACGCCACACATACAATATGGACCTGCGCCCATTCCCTACTATCCGTATCAATATCTGCCGTCGCTGCAGCAACAGCCTCCGCCGCCGCCACAGCATTCGCGCAGCGGTGTTGCCACAAACGCTAGTGTCAACATCGGTGGCAACACGATGCCTGTGCAGACCGGCCCAAATGGACAGCTGGCTGGTCCCGGGGCTACAACGTCCCAACTGCAGCTGCTCACGGGCAGTGTTCAGACCGGCGCGAATACCGTAATTGGCGTTGGCGCCACTGGTAGCGGGCAGGTCGGTGTACCACCAATGGTTAGTGTTATGCCACCGAATGTGGCACAACAGCCGGTACAAGTGGTGGCACCGGCGAGTAGGCGTCGCCATCAACACCGTTTGCAGATCATTCATCCCGAAACGAAAAAGAATATTCTCGATGAGCTGGATAAGGTACGTTTATTGCTATTTGTATCTATATATATATATGTATATATATATATTATTATTAGTATATATATTGTTGATTGTTGTTGATATATAGAGCAATTCGAATGTGGACAATGAGTACCAGGAGCAACAAGGAGGCGCTGTTGTTGGAACAACAGTAACTACGACAACAGCCGCCGTTGTCCAACCAAACCCAGATGTCCCAATCTGCATTTCCCAGCCAGATGCTGCTAGCATCTGTCTAGCGAATAACATGCTAATTCAAGGCCCGGACTCAAGGGCCAATGCCCAGTTCAAATTAGGTATATTAATTAACATCCAAAATGTATATTAATATACACTCTAATAAATTTTATTACTTCTCACAATTTGTATTTAGATCAAATTCCCGCTCACCGGCCAGATATTATAATGGGTCAGACCCCAGTGGTCTCAGCGATGTCGGATGCCCCATCTGTAGAAATATTGCCGACGCCCCAGAAGACCAAGAGTAAAAAGTAAGTGATTCTAACAGAATCAATATTTAATTTGTATTGTTATATTATATATTTTTCCTTCCCTTCTTTCTTAGAATCCCTATAGTCTCTCCAAAAGATATCTCTGATTCATCTACAGCTTTTTCATCTGGTAAGTACTGTAAGAAATATTATTGGGTTGAATATTTTTAATTTAGTTTGTCAGCAATCTCAAAAAATAAATAAAACTCGTTATTCTGCAAAAAAAAGAGATATAGGTTTTAGTTCAGCACATTATTATTATATAGTATAAAATATAGTTACTATATTTGCACATACATTTTTGATGTAGAATATAGGCAAAAGCTTTATAACAACATTCTTTATATATTCTAAGATTGCTTTTGATTTTATGCGGAGTGCCAAATAGGCGAACATTGAAAAAAAAAGCAGAGAATGTTGTTCCTCGAGGAACTCAAAGCATTTCTAATATTTACAGATTTAAAATAAGTTTATTTGTACTTGTTTTGATTTATTTTTTATAAGTTAAACACATTAAAAAAGCAGTGACTTGTAGCTCGCATACTGCACTCATATCGGTAACGTTATACGGAGCACCCAAAAGCGAAAACGGAATATGAAAAAAAAGGAAAGTTTTGCCCGAAATTTCTATCAGAAATATGCATTTTATAGAAGACTTTTATGTCCAAATTCCAGGCAGCTGCTGCGTTCTTGTTTTCTTCTACAAATCTATTCGATTAAAACAGTGTGTGTGCGCGTGTGCGTGTGCATATTGCGCTTAAGCTTGACCGCTTATCTATGAATGTGTATGTGAATGTACGATGTTCATCTATATGTAGGTGTGCTGACCATAAGACGGACACACACATGCATATGTATTTGGCGAACTCGATCGATGTGCGTGTATGTGCGTGCGTGTTAGATTATAGACGAACCGCTCATTCACTCTCTCTCTATCTCTCACTTGTCTTGTTGGCTCTCTTATAAGTTGTGAATGATCACATCACATTGCTTGGCTCTTGCGTTTGCCAGATGTATGTTTTTAAATCGATCCAACGCAAACACGTGCTTTCTACACTGTCTTCTGTGTCTGTACATGGATATATTAAGCATGTGTGCGTGCGTCACAGAGAGAGAGAGAGAGAGAGAGAGAGCGAGAAATTGGGAGTGCGTGTGTGTGCAAACATTTTCACTTTTGCTTGTAGCACTGCTGTGACTAGTGACTTGTTGTTTGACGCTGCTTTTTGGCTGGCCGTTATTGCTTGTCCGTATTTCTGTTTGCCTCGTTTGTGCAGCAATTTCAGTTGCGAACACTGCGCGCTGTTCTATCGATGCTCGATGCTCAAACGTCGCTAGCCTCTCGATGCGATCATTTTTTTGGTTGTTGTGTTAGTGTTAGTGCGATGTTTTGTGCGATTCGATATCGTAGTTCAGTGTATGTGTGTGTGTGTCTATGCCTATGTGTCTATCTATAGCGCTAGGCAACAAAGCGATAATTGCTTGGACGGACACACACACACAGACAAGTTTTGATGAGATAAAAATTGAATAGAGTCAAATAAATATTATATATGCCCACGTGCATTTTGAAATATTTCGAAAAAAAAAAATACATGTGCAAAGTTATGATACCACTTGTGGGTTAATAACTACTCGACAATAATCAGTATCAAAAATTAAATACAAATAAGTTAATTAATTTCTTATATATATGTTTTTATATGTGTATAAATATATTTTTGTACAAATATGTATATATATATACTTTTGTATAAATATGTATATATATATATTTTTGTACAAATATTTTCAAATAATGCAAAGAATTTGGCATTTAATAAAATATCTATATTTTGGACTATTAAATAATGTGCATAATTACAAGGCGATAAGGATAGTTCTGTATAACGCTTTCAAGGTGTTTCTAAAAATAAAAAACAAATCAAAAGATTCAAATTCAATGCAATACAAAAGCGATAACGACTGAGCAACTAATATCGATATGGACTAACTGTTATAAATAGTTTACAATTTTAAAAGTACATCTAGACGTTCGTATACCTTTTATAGGTAGCTATAATATGTTTATAACTAATCTAGATTTTCTATTAAATGTAGTCAAATTGGATGATGCAGAAGCAGCGAAAGCAAACGTTAAAGCGACTGTCGAGATTAATCAACAGATACAAACGGACTCTGTGCTACAGCAAAAGAATCAGTTAAACTTGGCACATCCACAAGCGATACAGCAACAGTCACAGATACACATACAGCAGCAACATTCTCAGTACATGGCGCATGTGGCAACTCCAACGCCTGAATTTGAGCACGCTGTGGATGACGCTTCTGTGTCATCGTCGCAGAGCGAACTATTCACAAATTGTCCACTACAAAATATCGAGGCTGAGCCAGAGACAACCGTAGATATTGCAAAGATTGCAACAGCAGCCCAAACCCAAACCAATGTAGAAGTCTCATCTGAAGGCGAATCGACTGCTATGCAAATAGTGGATCAAAGCAGCGAAATTGAGGCAGCAGAGTCGCCTGCGGCTGTTGCACTTACACCAACAGCACATAGCACACACGAGAGCACCCCAGATGAGACTGATCGAGCCGGGAATACACAATTCAATGAAGCGCCTATAAAGGCCAATGATAATGTTGATATCGGAGTTGACACCTCCATGCACAGTAAACAACTGGCTACAAATAACACAATGGATGGAACAGAACAGGAAGTAAAACAAGAACAAGAACAAGAACAAGACCTGGAGCTGGAGCTGGAGCTGGAGCTTAAGGAATCAGTGGGAGATGGAAAGGAGCCTAGATCAAAGACAGTTGAACAACAAACTGCCACCTCACCACCAACTGCTGCCATAGAAACAGATCCGATCTCATCGCTAATCAATTACAACGATGGTCAATGGTCTCCGAGTAATCCGAGTGGCAAGAAGCAATATGATCGCCAGCAATTGTTGCAGTTGCGCGAGGCAAAAGCATCCCGCGTGCAGCCCGAGGTGAAGAACGTGGCGATCTTGCCACATCCGAATCTGATGCCAACATTTATGCGCAACATCAACAACAATAACAATAAGCGTGTCCAGTCGATGGTGGGCATGATTGGTAGTAATCGCAACAGTGATGCGTCCAGCAATTTCGTGGGCAAACAGGTGTCCATGTCCGGGGTGCAGGGCGGCGGCCGTAGCAGCATGAAGGGCATGATCCATGTGAATCTATCGCTGAACCAGGACGTCAAACTCAACGAGACGGAGAATGCGTGGCGGCCACGACTGACCAACAAAGCGGAAACGGATGCCAGCTCCGATGGCAAGTCCGTTCACGAGAAAGATGAACTTGTGCGTCGCGTGCGTGGAATTCTAAATAAACTAACGCCAGAGAGATTTGATACACTCGTCGAGGAGATAGTCAAACTGAAGATTGATACGCCAGATAAGATGGACGAAGTGATTGTGCTTGTCTTCGAGAAAGCGATCGATGAGCCAAATTTCTCCGTTTCCTATGCGCGACTGTGCCATCGTCTGATTAGCGAGGTGAAGGCACGCGATGAACGCATGGAGAGTGGCACCAAATCCAATCTGCAACACTTCCGCAATGCACTTCTCGACAAAACGGAGAAGGAGTTTACCCAGAATGTGTCCCAGGGTGCTGCGAAGGAGAAGAAATTGCAGCCCATTGTGGAGAAGATCAAAAAGTGTACAGATCCAAATGAAAAAGCTGAGATCGAAGCTCTCCTTGAGGAGGAGGAGCGCAAGATACGGCGTCGCTCTGGCGGCACAGTGCGATTCATTGGCGAACTCTTTAAAATCTCCATGTTAACTGGTAAAATCATTTACTCTTGCATCGATACACTGCTAAATCCGCATTCGGAGGACATGCTCGAATGCCTGTGCAAGCTGCTCACAACGGTGGGTGCAAAGTTCGAGCAAACACCAGTGATAACCAGGGAGCCGAGTCGCTGCTACTCACTGGATAAGCCCATAACCCGCATGCAGGCGATTGCCTCGCGAACTGACAAGGATGGTGCTAAAGTCAGTTCCCGTGTCCGATTCATGCTGCAGGATGTCATCGATTTGCGCAAGAACAAGTGGCAATCGGCGCGCAATGAGGCGCCCAAAACGATGGGCCAGATCGAGAAGGAGGCCAAAAATGAGCAGCTGTCCGCGCAATACATGAACTACAGCGGCTCCCTGTCCACATCCAGTTCGAATGGACCCCAGTCGGGTGCCGGCAAGCGGGATGAACGCACTGGCGGCGCTCGCTATAGCGATTCTCGTTCCGCCGGATACGGTGGCAGTCACAGTCAGCGCGGCGATGGTAGCAACAATGTGCGCCACCAGCAACCGAACAGCGGCGGTAGTGGCAACAGTGGCAACAGTGGCGGCGGCACCAATGCCAACTCCAATGGCAACAATGACGATAACACGTGGCACGTCCAGACCAGCAAAGGCGGCCGCTCCCAGGCGGTGGATACCAATAAACTGGAGGGTTTGGTAAGCTATCCCTCATCTTTAAACTGTATCTTTTCATTTATTTTTGTATTCTTATTCATAGTCATTACAGCTCAATCAAAATTTGGATACGAAAAAGATGGGCGGACTTAATCAATTTATTTGGAATCACACTACAAATAGACAATCCTCGACGCCAACGACAACACCTTCTAATTCATTTGCCGTGCTCTCATCGTTAAACGATAAGAACAGCATTGATCGAGATCGGGATCGTGATCGCGACCGTAGTGGGCCCCGCAACAAGAGCTCATTTAACAAGGGTTCCATGGAGCGTGATCGTTATGGAGATCGAGGTGAGTAAATGCGATATTTATATATGGGGATAAACCTGATATCATAACTTAATAAAATAGGCATACATTCGCGAACGGGATCGTCGCAAGGATCGCGCGAGAACTCCTCGTCGCGCGTTGGTCAAAATCAACAGGGTCGCGGCATGATGAACGCTTCATTACAAAAATCTGCTAGTCACTCAAAATACACCCAACAGGCGCAGCCAAGCCGACTTTCCAACAAGGTATTTATCTAAAATATATATATATATTATTTATATATATAAGAATTAGTGTTCTTAATAGTCTAATTCCTTACAGGCTATGGGTTCTTCCATGAACAGCTCGACCGCTGGTGTTGGCGGCATTTACCGAGGCGGCGATCAGCAGCAGCAGCAGCCACCTTCCAGCTCTGCTACACCGCCTGCGAAAAGCTTAGCGCCACAGACGATGTACATCAAGCCCCAAGATAATGATATTAAGCTGTTTAAGACAGTCGTCACGGATATCATTGATCAGGAGTCGGCCTCGAAATCTGTCACTCCAACGGTTGTCGAATGCATCAAGCGAATACCAGAGCCACAGCGTTGCGGCTTCATGTACTATATATTAACTGATTATTTGCATTTATCGAAGGTGGGCAAACAGTACAGGAGATACCTGGCCATCACAATTGCCCACCTCATACAGCAGAACTACATGTCTGTGGACCATTTTAAGCTGGCGTACAGGGAGTTTAGCGTGTTTGCCCACGATTTACTTGTTGATGTTCCTGAAATGTGGCTTTATATTTTCCAATTTGCTGGTAAATATATTCTATATTTGTTATTTATGCGATATACTCCTATGCGATATACTAAAAACGTATATAAATTATTTTGTTTAGGTCCATTAATAGTCAAGAAAGTGTTGACTGTGTCAGATCTGTGGAACAACAATTTAAGAGACCACCACATGGGTAAACAGTTCCTTAAAGCCTACTTGACATATTGTACGAGGGAAGTGGGACCGAACTTCACCCGCAGCATGTGGAAGAAATTTAACATGCACTGGTCCGATTTTATGCCCGAAAGCGAAGCTATCGCCTTTATTGAATCGAATGTAAGTTCTCACTGTGTTTTTAATATTTTCTATATTATCATCGAAATATATATCTATATATATTATGCAGAGATTAGAGTATGTGGAGAATGAGTCGAAGGCGCCAGTGATTGAAGACCGCGAGTCACCTGAAAAGCATGTAAAAAATGTGATAGATCATATTGAGCACCTGCTGAAGGAAGGAGCAACTGCAGATTGCATAATTGATTATTGCAATGTAAGGATATTTCAAATACCTTACTTTGATTTAAAAGTCTAAGTATTTAATAATATAATTTGCAGGGCAACATTGTCTTGCCCGATAAGCTATTTATCAGAGGCCTGACAACGATTTTAAGCAACTTCGCAATTGTCTACAAGGATAATGATATAAGCTATAAGCTGGAGCCCGAAGTTTTTCAGAAGATTTGCATACCAGTTTTTCAGCGCTACATTGATTCCAATGAAGACCTTCAGCTCGAGTGTTTGTATGGAGTACAACTACTTGTTCACGGCTACGAACATCCGAGAGGTTTGTCATTACTCAGCAATTAATAATAAATACTATAATAATGAATTATACTTACTCTAGGGTTGTTGAATGAACTCTTCGGTGAGCTTTACGATGGCTTTGTAATACACAAGGAGTCACTCTACAAATGGCGCGATTCAAAGGATCAGTCAGCTGGCAAAGGTACAGTTCTGTTTTAATTTAAATTTGTTGTTTATTTAAATTATGCAATTATCCCTTTTTATTCTATATAGGTGTGGCTGTGAAGAGTCTTAATACCTTCTTTAACTCATTAAATGATGATGTCAATTAAATCGTCATTATACTTGTAGAGCTGACAGAAATAGTGAGTTAGGGCAAAAGAAAACAACACAACTAATTAAAAACAAAAGAAAACAAAACAATTGCACTTTGAAGCAGAACATAATATACTTTCATATATAATAAGAAAGAAATGTGAAGATCGGGTGTTAGAACCAGAGAAAATATATTCTACTACAATATATGTATGCATATAAGCTACTTTGCGCGATCTTACACTACGATATATATGCAATAATAAGTTAGTATATAAACAACTGTGTATGCATGTATGTACTATGAAATAAAGCAAACCTGAAGGAAATTTCTAGTTGTAATTGGTTGCTGTCAATGCTTATATTATTGAGAAGATCGCCTTAAAGTTGATTCGGGTGGCAGCGCAGCTATGAAGCTATTAGTTTCTCATCAAAAGAAAGGAGAATGGAAAATGGAAAATGGAAAATGGCATAAAAGAAGACACATCAAATATGATTGTAGGCAAAATTTAATTGTGGAGAAAGCAAAAGAAACACGATTCAAAAATAAGAAATTCAATCCAACCCCAAACCATAAGTAATCTTATAAAATTTTTGACTTAATTGCCTAATCGTTTATATTTGTATCTCTAAGAGATTATCAATATATTTGTAATTTAAAGAGGAAATGATACAACCCGTTTTAAATATAATGTTTTTAAAAGTGAGCAAAAAAACCATAGCTGTTGTTGCATTTGTGTTTTATTTTGACTAAACTTTACCTTACGGAATATGTAGCTAAACATCATCGAGGTCATATAAAATATATCACTGTAATTACTAAAACTGACTAAAAACCTGCTGCATATTTTTTCTGTGACCGTGGGTCTTATTCTGCTTCGCGTCTTGGAAGTAGCGACCCGAAGACAACGCGTCGAAAACTTTACGGGACTCGAGCAGCGAGCGTTCGCTGTCATTGTCTGAAATTAAATACGCAGATAAAAAATGGCACTAATCGTGGTCTAGGTTAAAAATGCTTTATTTGCAGCTATTTAATTATCATAAATTGATTTTTAATAATATTATAACAGGTATATAACAAATATGTAATTTCAAGGTGGGTTGAATTTTCGATTTTTCGTTTTTTAAACTCAGTTTCATCAATTATAATTTTTTATTTTATTGTTTAACTCTTAATTTTTAATCTCATTTTTTACGTTTGCACTTTTCATCTCAGTAGACGCTTGTTCCGGCAATGGTTGGCTAATTTCTTTACAGTTACTATTAATTTGTTCAATATATTTATACTCTAATTGCCTTTTCTAATATATTAATATATTATAACCTACAGCCTATCATTCTAAATAGTTTCGGTTTAAACTAGGTTTATTTAAGATTAACATGTCATTTTCACACTTTTATTTTCTTTTATTATAAAAGAAACAACAATTCGCAATTTAAGTAACTTGTAACAATGTCGTTTTACGAGTTAATATTAGAATCTAATAATAACAATTAACTTTTATTATTTACATGTATTTCAATATGTCGATAATCTATTTCGCTTGCGTGAAATTTTTATCATTCTTCATACACGTATTTTAAGTTACACTACTTTGCAGATTAATTAAGCTAATCAATTATGTGTTCATATATGCAAAAACACTTTAACATAGAAATCAAATAGTGAAATACCTTCCCAGCAGAATATAATATTGGTGTTGTGCAATCCTTTATTTCAAAATGAAAAACTCCTGATAACTTTACGCAATCCAACTGCAACCTAATACTTCCTGCCAGGTAGTTTCTTCTCAACGAAACAGCCTAATATATATATGTATATATAATATTTATATATATATATATATGTCCGCCAATCTTACCTGTTATTTTTGCTCTCATTACAAATCAGAGTATTGTGCTAAATTATACTCCTATTGATTTCAACTAATTTTGTAGTACAGAGATGCAATTAAATAAATATAGAAATTTAGAGACAATTCATATTTCTTCTACTATTTTGGTATACTGGATACTGAGGTCATTCCATTAGCATTTAGCATTTATCGCATGTGGCAGGCCAGAAATACCAATAAACTTTAGCAAACTGGGAACTACATCAACAAAAAAAAAGAAAAATGGAAAATACAACCGATAAAATGAATAGGCTCGATTGTATGCACATTCCATTTTTTTTGTTCAACTAGCATTTTAAGTCAATTTGTTGTAATTGGGAATATAATTTGCGACTGCCCATCCGATATTTGTTAGTACAATTTTGAGCTTGAAACTAAACTGACTAAAGTAGCCCAGAATTTTGAAAATACTCAAACACATGGTATGGTAAGATAAGCGCGGCTGACAAAACAATGTCCTCGATTTTCTTTTTTTTTCTGCTTTTATATTTTTTCTTATCTTAATAGTCGATTCAGCTTCAAGCTCTGATTACAAAGGCATAGGGAGCGATATAGAAATGTGTTTGTATAATTTATGCACAAATAAAAGCAATATGCTATTGCTGTGCGTTTATCAATTTCTTATAGTTTTTTTTTTTTTTTTCTTTTAAATATTACGCAATGTGTGCGATGTCTTAGTCTGTGCGCAGCCTGTTTAAACTCTGCTAAACAGTTATTATTTCTGTCAGAATCATATTTAAATATGTATATGCATTTACGTATGCATTTGTATGAATTTATTATTATTATATCCGAGATCGACTTGATTAACACCAATATTTATTCTGGCTTTAGGCGGTGCCATTGTACTACAGTTTGCTTGGGTTTCGAGATCATATCCTGCCAATGTTTCGTCTCGGAGGCACCTGAACCGTTTTTACCTGTGAGAAGTATTATTATATATTCTCCATCATCTGCTTTTCGCTGAAACCAATTAATAGCGCATTTTTCATAGCAATTTTCGCTTACCAGCCAACAATATTCTACCGATCAGCTCGTTTCGTCCAATATTATCGAAATCCATAACCATGACATCCAGAGAACATTCTCGTATCTTTTCCCAGGGAACATTAAAGCTAAATGATTCATTGAAAACTGGATTTAACGTGCAGGTAAAAATAGGCGTTTTTCTCTTTTCTACGCGCTTATCTCCAAATTGTAGCCAGACCTTTACATAAGGATCTGTAAAATAATTTTTAATATTTATAATATAGGGCAAAATCGGGCTTTTTTTTGTGCAAAATACTAGAAATAACTTAACAGTTTTGATCGGGAAAATTTACCTGATTTTCCATTAATATCCTTAGCTTTTAGATTTCGTGCTTTAATCAATGTCAATGTTAAAATTGAATTTGAAGGATGATAGCATAGCGAAGACAAGAGTTCACCGCATTTATCCTTTGCCGGGGGCTTCAAAGCTTTCCAAAATGACTGTTTTCCAGCAAAATCAACCTAAAAGCATATAAATATATAAGGAATTATAATAAATATCCTAAGTAAGTCATATCAGCATAGGACTTTGTTATATTTTAAGACTATTTACCTGACATAGCGGCAAAAACACTTCTCCAATAGAATCATCTCTTGAAAAACGATCATAATCAAAGACATGCAAATGCAGAACCTAAAAATTTAGATTTATTCCTCAAATATGAGTTTTTTGTATTATAATTTTATAATATTTGTCAACTTACACGCGACTGAAGCTTTTGAATGGGAAATCCTTCGAAATAAAATGTTTCATTCCAGCGTGGATTTAAGGTTCTTCGTTTGATTTTGGTTTCCAAACGGTGTTTTTTGTCTGGCAACAATGTAACTCGCACATAAGGATCGGAGGTGCCGCTCAAATCTTTGGCTGGTAGTTCTTTGCCTTGTAGAACTTTTAAGATTAGGGTCGTATTTTGAAAATCATATTCCAAAGAGAAATGTATTTGTCCAACGTTTTCACTCGGATCATTGCTATCGAGGTACATGTCGGTCATTGAGATGCTTTTATTCTACAATTTGTGAAATATGCCAATTAATTAAGTAAAATATAACTAATAAATAAAATAATATATATAATAAATACTCGAAGTCTGTTCACAGTTATAAGTCATTTAAATATATAAATATTTATAAATTGTGATCCAAAATAATTATTTCATTAGGATACGCACCGCGGAATCCTTAGATGTACCGTCATTTGCACCTACCCCTGCAGCAGCACTGGAAGGTTTTATCGGTGTAGACGTTGAACCGCTCCTATAAGAAGGACTTTACTTAATATGCGAGAATACGAAATTATGGATAGTTGGTAAATCGCAACGCTATTCTTTTAAATTCAAATATAAGTATATATATTTTATTATTATAATAAAGAGTCGTACCCAATAAGAGGCGTCCTGAGACTGAGAAAGCCATTCAGTTTTCGATTAATATTATTTTGTAGAGGAGTCGTAATCGCTTGAGCAACTGGCACTTGTGGCTTATTTGGCGGATTTCCAGAGTCCACAATGTCCTGCGTTGCCCTGTTGTAAAATATTAAAGCACATTTTAAATACATTACATTTCTAAATTTCACTTCCGATCCAGCTTTCCCAGCAAAAAAATTGTAAAATTATTTAATTATAGTAAGTCATTAATAGGGACATTTTTCCACAATTCCACTTAAAGAATTAATTATTGCTTAAGCCAAATGGTATAAAAGTTAGACTTAAGAATTGTTTTGAAACTAACCTTAAACTATAGCTGCTAGATTCCTCGTCTTCGTTTGGTTCAATAAACTGTAACTGTGACCTTTTATGCCTCCACCAAAGGTAGCCACCGGCTAAAAAAAGCGCTATCGCAATGATTAGACCCAATATCGCTAGGCAAGCTATTAATATTATGCTCGCCATATCTGAAAATAGGTCCCAAAGCTTGTAAGTATTGTGAATTATGTACATACATATATAAAATTATGCATTTATATAATCTATATGTATGTATATGAGATACTTATGGGTATACATACACAAATATATATATATATATATATATATATATATATATGGATATATACACATTTACATATACATATAAATTTAATATAACATACGACTAAAAAAGAACTGAGAAGAATTAGAATTTGGCTGTGCTACAACCGATACATATATATAGTATTGTATTTTTTCTTTTACCTTTTTAATGTGGTCATATGAATGTGTAAACGTTTTCGAGAAGCAGGATTTACGACTGTACCATTTATACGCATTAGCTCATGGAATAATAACAGTTTTAGGCACACATATGAAAACAATACTTTTATGTTTTTGTTTTCTGTTTTTTTTTAATTATTATTATTTATATTTAAACAGTGTTTTCATTTTAGTTTTATCTCCATTTTTATTTTTATAAAACACTTTACTTCGACGACTTATGTATGTATAAGTAAATGTAAAATAGAAGGGGATGACGATGACAGTAACAGAGTACTGTAAAGAGCAAACTGAAAAAACTGAAAGCTCATCAAACCAATGAGAGTCAGAGTTGATATCGGAAAATACTGACACATCTTGCTACAGTACACCCATACATACATATATATATATATATGAATAACAAAGACAATATGTCAATAGTTACCCCCAATTTATGAAAGTGCTTAGTGTAAATTAAAATTGACCAACTGGTAGAAAACTCTGATTAACTACTAGCATTGTGAATATGACGTACGAATGGAAATGTGTATTTCCTCTATTTATTATAAGAGTTCTAACTGTGTAAAGCACATCACTTGGAAGCTTCTTTTTGTAAGGGTTTACTGCGCATGCCGCATTATCCTGTGTACCGATAATCCTATTCCCAAACTAGTCGACCTGAAAACACTCTTGATTTGCTATTTATGTATATTAGTTCTTATGAATTATTTTTATTATTATTATTGTGAACAGCTTCATCCCTTTTACTAACAGATGTGTGTTGGTAAATAAAGTATTTCCAAATTCCATTTTGGAATTAAAATTTTAATATTAGTTTCATGATTAAATTTCATACAATTGAATTTTCAATTTTGTCATTTTGGTAGCTTAAAGTGAAAATTTCGAAAGCCTTCACTGCGATATTAATTATTACTGGGTGCTTGTCTGTTTCTTATAAGGGAGACAGGCAGAGAAAGACATAGTGGGAGAGAGATAAACTGAGAGAGGGAGAGAGAGAGCTCTCACTAAATTTCTCTCTAGGGCCATTCTTTCGCATGCGCGCTGTGAATTTAAATGTCTGCGCATGTCATCTGGTACACTACTAACCGATTGTGTGACGTTACTCCACCAACAGAGTGGAGAATTTTCCATTTTTAGAACGTTTGAACTTGCTTACTTAGCACAAAACATTTGGCTAGCAAACAAACGGTTTCTACAAAAAACATAAATTACGTCTTGTAAACCAAAGAGACACCATTAAAAATAAAAAGAGCGAGTGAGAGAGAGAGAGAAAAGATATATGTATATATATATTTACCATGTGCGGCTCCTCCGATAGAAATGTCTAATTTTAAATTTAGTCGAATGGTATCCGTTTTGCACAACGCACCTAGTCTGTTACTACTTGGGTTGTGCTGAGTGCTTCAGAATAATGTATGTATATGTATGTCTCCTATATAGCCCCAGTGCATTTTCCTGTTACGCCTGTACATGTTCTAAATCTATGTATATATACATATATGTATGTGTTTTTTATCAAAACATAAGTGCATATGTATGAAGTGAATTAAATAGGTGCATCAGCTTATAATTGACTACGCAGACATAGACATCATTAAATATGTGTGAGTATTGTGTAATAATTGTGTAATGGTCCAAATAAAACTCGAAGATGTTGTTTTATTTCCTGAAGGGCATACATATATAAATATATATATACACATGATTATTCAATCAATGCATTAAAGAAACAATTCAAAACTTGCCTTCATATTTCTAAGCAAATAAGTTATGTTTTTTGCAGACTTTTATTCAAAGCCCCTAGATACATAAATAAAGGGAGAGGAAGCAAAAGCTAGACATTGGCAACTAATTGTTTCACATTCAGTTTTGTTGTGATTACAGCAACTACGGCTCCAAAATGACTTTCAATTTGGCAATACAATAGAATATAAAGAAACCAACGAAAGAAACAAGCAACAAATATATCACAAATAAATAAAAGACATGCGAGAAATGGATAAAATATGCAGGTAAATTGCTCTAAAATCAAGTAACTCCTCATATTATTTATTTCATATATTATTTGTATTTGTATTAGATTGTTGTCGATGCAATCGGGCTTATAAGAAATTCAATGATAATTAAACTGCGCAAGGTATGTTTATACCAGATACACTGAGAAGCTGTATGATCGAGACGGACGTATCTTCCTATTTACAAACATCGTCAACTGGACAGGTAAGGAATTCGGCATTCGACATAAACACAATGTTGCTAATTATAAAAAAATAGATAACACTCAAAGTGGTTAAATTCTGTATATACGTTCAAAGGTCCATAAAACAGAAATGTATAATTAAGCAGGTGGTTTAGCTTCTCGTTAGATCTAGCCATTAATCGTAATAATGAAAATAAAAAATTAATTCATTTGCCATGGAATTAATAGTATATTTTTAAAGGAGTTTCTAATTTTAATCATAAATGTATTATTTACATTTTACACAGTCATTTAATAACAATACTTACATAATGCTCATAAGTGTGATAACATGCAACTAATCGAAGTTAACTAATTCTATTGTTAGGTATAAAAATTGCTCTGGATGGTTACGAAAAGCATTCCGAATATCATGAATCAATAATATTTCAAATGTAATTAACAAATTTTATGATACTTTGGGTTTTAAATTCAAATTCTTGGTGTCTCTTGATGTTGATATATGTATACATTTAAAATTAAAAAAAAAAGTTCACACATGTGTATGTTGACTGCATCTTGTCGCCTTTTCACATTTTTTGTTTTTTCATTGTGCAAGAGTGTCTCTCGTCATTATCATAACCGTTCTCATTTACTATGTATGTTTTACCCTTTTCACCTATATAGAATAAATTAAACTGTTGTTGTTTGTCGGGGACCGACTTTCAAGGACGTTTTCTTTAATGACTTACTCCATATTCAACTGTTTTAAAATGATAAATAAATAATACCAAAATGTTGTTCTTGTAATTATTTAGTAAAGCAAGAAAACGTCCTAAGTTAGTATATAAATTTATATAGGTATGTGTATATGTATATATTAAATATGTTGTGCATTTCACAAATCGGCGGTGTCTTTCAAATTTTATAGATAATATATCGTTGAAAAAACTGCTGATTATGCTGAACTCACAACACACATGTTTCCGCGTAAAACATACCAGTAGCTTTTAGCCTTGTGTCATATATATTTATTACTAGTATACAAACATCATAGCTAAGTCACTTAAACATTTGCAAATATATTCGCACTATATATTCGTATATTTGCAAATGTTTAAGTATATATATATATATATATATATATAAATATATATATTTATACAAATATATATAATTAATATGTGTATTTGTATCGGAGTTTTATTCACAATCAATTCTAATTATGTTTGCTCCATTCAAAATTAATTTGTTCTCTGTATGTGTACTACTAATTATTTATGAATGCTTTAATTGAAATGCGTTTCGGTGTATCACACTTTTCTTTATTAAAGTGAACCATTATAGAGATATTCCTTACATTTATTCAGCAGCAGCAGACAGAAGCTTTCACTTTTCGTAAATATTATTGAATTGATTTCGTTGAGAGTGCTGATAATTTGAAAACTTTCGAATGCTGTGTAAACAAAGTGAAATACAATTTGTTATATACATATATATATATATATATATATATATATATATATATGTAACTGTGTATTTGTGATTATCTTTTTAATGTAGGATGAATTTCACCCCTTCATTGAGGCATTATTACCATACGTCAAATCATTCTCGTACTCTTGGTTTAACTTGCAAGCTGCTAAACGAAAGTATTACAAGAAACACGAGAAGCGTATGTCATTGGAGGAAGAAAGGCATTGCAAAGACGAGCTACAGGTATATATGTATATAAATGCAATATAAAATAAATCTTAAAATTATATTTATTATATATATATTTGACAGAATGAGAAAACAGAAGTGAAACAGAAATGGGCGTCTCGCCTTTTGGGCAAGCTGAGAAAGGACATAACGCAGGAGAGCAGGGAGGATTTTGTGCAATCGATAATCGGTAAACGCAAATCGATTTGTGTTCTCTCCAATCCCGATCAAAAAGGCAAAATGCGGCGCATAGATTGCCTGAGACAAGCCGATAAGGTGTGGCGTCTGGATCTGGTTATGGTTATTCTGTTCAAGGCCATACCATTGGAGAGTACGGATGGGGAGCGCCTAGAAAAGAATCCGGAATGCCTTCATCCTGGCCTCTGTGTAAATCCATATCATATTAATGTCTCTGTCAGAGAATTGGATTTATATTTGGCAAACTTTATTAATACGCATAACTCATCGACACTGATAGCTGCAAGATCGCCACAACTTGCTATTTTCAGTCATAATCGCAACAATAATTTGGCAATTGAAAGAAAAGCGGACACGGAGAGTGAGGCAAAAAATAAAGGACTCAGACACAATCCATACAATGGCGTTGTTTGCAATGATATTATTCTAGCGACTGGAGTATTTTCTTCGCAAGAACTGTGGACATTATCCAGAGGTAGGCCATTATTTATTTCAATTAATTAATTATGTAAGTGATAAATATTGAGTATATCTATGGTAGACCAGTATTTATTTAAATTGATTAAACTAAACATCAGTTAATTTAAATGAATCAAATTAAATTTAATTATTTTTAGTTAAATGAGCTAAATTAAATACCAATATTTATTGAAATAAATTAACTATAATAATGATAAGTATTGTGTTTATCAATGGTATGCCAGTATTTATTATAAAAAATTAATTATGGTAATAATAAATATTGTGTATATCAAAGGTATATCAGTATTTATTTTAATTTAAATTAAGTAATAATGATCTTTCAGATTCAATACTAGATGAGGCCAATGACAACAATTTGCATACGAACATCATCAAGAGAGAAAATCTGGGCGCTGCTTACGACTGCAACACAACATATCAACTAACGCCAGATTCACCAATTCCCAGCTCACAGATCCAGGCACAGGCTGGCGCCATTGTCGCCAATCCAATTCCAGGTGGTTATAGCAGTGAGTAGCTTGAGTAGATCTATTTACACTGTATTATTTTCAATTCGTCATAAAACACAACTACAGCGCCCTGTGCTTTTCATAATTTCAGTTGACTTCGTCGATCAGAATCATAGAAATGTGCATTTATCACAGTCTCCGCTGCTGCGCACTGATGCAACAAATGGCTCCATAGATGGTTGCAAAATCGACCACAGCTCATCGCCGCCAGTTATTTCGCGTACAACGACAGCCACAGAACACTGTGCCACAGGCAGTTTCTCTGTCATTCTGCGACCGGCGGACGGCATCAATTCCAACGGTGATGCAACTGTTGCCGAATCCCCAATATCGTTGCATCGGTATACACCGTTGAATAGCAGGCCGCTGGCTGCCACCATGCCCCAAATTCGTTCCGCAGAAAGTAATAATATATAAATAATAATAATAATAGTAATACATAATAATAAATTAATAATAAAATATAAATAACAAGAATGTAATAACGCAAAATAGCAGAATGGTAAAAGCGGAACCCATATTGGTTAGTTCAATTAGCGCCAATTTACAATTCTGCATTCTTTCTTCCTAAATTTCGGTAACGATAAAATCATAAAATTGCCTTTTTCCTTTTTTCTATTTTTGGCTACTGTTAATTCACGTGATCGACTTGCGCTAGGCCGGGCCACGCACACACGCACGCACGCTTACTTACACACATGCACTGGAATGCAGTCTAGCTGCTTCAAGCTTCGTCCAGCGTGCGTTTGTCATTGCGTAAGCCTAATATACTTGCGGCGATCTGGCAAGTGAGTGTGTGAATTGTGGCGTGGCCAAGCACAAGTGTAAGTGAAGAAGGTAATGATATATAAAAATAATAATAATAACCGCAGAAGCTTATAATATTTAAATAATAATAGTAAAACAAATATATAATTAATAGTATATGTATAAACATTAAATATTAATTTAAATACCCCATTATTTCTCTCTTTCTCTTTTTCTCAGCCATATTGCACCACAACTGTTCTACGCTGCTGGCAAGTTCAGTTAGCCCCGTGAATACCCTATATTATCCACAGCATGGCAGTCCACGACTTCAGGAGCACGAACATGCACAAACACAGACACAAACGCAACAACAACAACAGCAGCACCAACAGCAGCAACAACATACTGACAGCCATGATATATCTGATTTTGTGACTTATGTTTGTCAGGATGCTGGCCATTCGGTGAGTTTGGCAGCTGGTGGGGGCTCTATAGAGAATCCAGGGTTTCAGCATACCCACTCGCATCAGTTGGCCCCGCACAGCCACTCACCGCACTATCAAATTCACCCACAATTGAGGAGCTCAAAGTTGAATGCAGCTCCCTCGACCCACTATCATAGCACAATGTTGCCACCAATGTTGCCGCCGATGGCACGCCCTGTTGCCATTATACGATCGAGTGGAGATCTGTCAATGGTTCAATCGCCTCCAACATCGACAGCCAATCAGTCGTCGAGCCTTTGCTTGCCAAAGGCCACCTTGGTTGACGATGAGAATCGCAACGAACCAGTTAACACCATGGAGAGCACTCATAGCCCAATTAACAGCTCCGAAGCGGATCCAAATACAAATACGGATTGCACCATACTTGTGGCGAGGACTTCGCCGCAACCAAATCCCTCAACGAGTCCACATATTTCTGCCGAAGTGGGTCGCTGTAAAATACCACCAATTGGCTCAAATGCTCTCACTCGCATCGCAGCACCAATGTATCCCTCAACCAATAGTCGGGAGTACTTCAATCACTTTCACACTCAATCCTCATCGGTAAGTCAAGTTGTACTTACTAATATCAATTAAATATACCTGAAAGCTGTATTCTCATATTGAACTTGCAGTTACTGGGCTATGCTGGATCTATATCGACAATGTCAGGTGTCATAAGTCCGACAAATCTAAGCCTGTACTCAACACCAACAATGGCTGTGACTTCAGCGCATCGTTCGAGTAGTGGCAGGTCCCGTTGGAACACTACACTTACAGAAGACGAGTTCAACTTAATTCCGCACTCTGTAACTAGTACAAATATAGAAAATACACAAGTTATATTAATGGAAGATTGTAAGTATTATTCCCTATTTATTATTATTTAAAACAATACAGATTCACAAGTATTTTAATTTAACTACAGCAACGGGCCGTTTTACTGATGAATACTCTACTAATCCGAATCGGGACTACGTATCGTGATTTATTATTAGAAAATCTGGGCTTTAGGCAAGCGATTACTGATATAGATATAAATACAAATATTTACACATATTGTACGTTGCTAAGTTGATAACTTAAGGAATTGTACATAGTAATATTTAAAGTAATTAATATATAAAAAAAATGAAGGCATACTACATTAGCTACTTATGGAATATAAAGATATGGCAGATACATGATATGCATGAGCTTGTCAATGGTCTAACGATAAGCACATGCTTTCATATATCTGTAATATATATATATATATATATATATATATATATATATATATATACATATATACATATACATATATACATATATATATATACATATATATTTCGGAATACATCTAAGAATGTGTGCTTTGTTATTCGCATGCATACATATTTCGAAATAAACTGAAATATGGTAATGACTGAATATATATTAAGGTCAAGTCAAAATTACATACATAAATATGTACAGATGTAGAATATGGGATGTACACTTTTATTAATAATTTCGATGAAATGACATTAGTAATACAACAGCAATATACAAAAATCGATGTTTTGGAGGCACATCAATTAAATGTTTTGTAAAATACATAATTTTAATATGATTTTTATGTACATACATTAATTAAAAAAGAAAATTAAAACCTTATTCTAGACTACCTATTTCTACCTATTTAATTATAAGAGCTCTAGGAAATCCGCCCATATTTTTTATATTAATTTATTTTTGTGTTTATAGTTAGATAGTTTCGCGTGCGTCTCCAATATTCAAATTTACTTCACTTAATTACTGTACTTAATTGGATGTTTATATATAGTTAATCAGACATATTTATGTATGTAATTATGTTTTCGTACGGTAAGGCTTAGGATAAGATTACTTAAAACAGATAAAATGATAAAGATAAATGAAAACATGTGAGAAATAAATATAATGTAATATATTTAAGTAGGCTAATTTATTTAATTTGAAGACTAACAACGCACAGCAATATATAAATATATATACAGATATTATATATATATAGATATGTAGCTGCATATTGCAAAGAAATGAATGTAGATTTAATTGCGACAATATTTAGACATAGTAACAATTGTGACAAATAAAAACATATGCATACATAGGTACATATGTGCAAATACATATGTATGTATAGGTCATGCTAACTGTGAGTTTGCAATGTAAAATGATACATACTCACTCATACACATGTAATTTAATAGTCTGTAGGTATTTACATGCATATGTATTTGACATATATATACTATATACAATATACTGATTTTAAATAACAAACTCGAGTAGCCTTGAAGCCTACAGACAATGGTCAATATATATATAAGTATATTTAATACAAGAATCGAATTTTGATAATCATGGAATAATTTTAAATATCTATCAGTCGAATGCATAAGCATTCAATGCATTTTCATACATATATATTGACTATGTATGTATAAATATGCCCGTATGCTATATATAATAACTAACTAACTAATTGTTTAAAAATATAACAAAGTTACTTAGTACAATAATAGTCGTAAGACAAATGGCAAAGGGCATGTGCAAAACATTTTAAAAACATTTATTGTACGTTGACAAATTGGCTGTGAGCATAGTCTATTGCTAAAAATGCTGGTAAGTAAAATACTCACTTATGAAGGCATTATTATTACACATCTGTACATAAGTCGATTATGTATCTATCATTTATAAAAAAAATTCAAAATACAACATGAACGAGTGTTATCAGTTACTTTATTAGTACATAGCTAAACGATAATTCTATGTATTTAAATTACAAAATTGTAAAGCTAAATAAAAGCATACATCAAATTAAAATAGAAGCAAACAAACCGTATTTTATAAACAGGCTTTGCCAATTTTCTGCTGTGGGTTGGGGAAGGAAAATAGCTCTAAATTAGTTAAATGCTGAAATGCTTAGAGCACTGCAAGAAAACACTTCAAAGACTTAAAGAGTGATCAAAACATAGCTAAAATTTTAATTTCAAGCAACAGGTAAATATATTCTTATATTATTTTTATCATATTTTATATATATAGCTTGTATTTTACAAACGACAATTTGCTTTGTCAATTTAGAAAGGGCAACACAATCTGTACGATTCTCGATTAAAAAAAGAAAATCTAAAATAAAGACATCTGGAAAAAAATGGATGAGCGAAAATACATTTCGTATGAAGCGCTGAAGACATACTCATAAATTAATCATCTATTAGTATAAACTAGAGAAGCACCTCAAACATACTCACTTACAATATGTGTATGCAGATATTTCAACATTTGTATTTATCACTTTATATTTAAATACACATATAGACACACATACATACATCAATATACGAATATATTCATAGGAATTTTCACTTAATGAACGTATGAACATAAGTCCACACAAATATTTACATATATATATGTAGAATGTCTGCGAGAGAGTGTATTAATGCCTGTGTATGTGTGTAGACTCACATGTCCGCATATATACTTATGTGTGTTTATGAGTGTATGTATGTATTTATAAACATATGTATACATACAGCCATATTTTCTCAAGAATAAACTGATTTTCTTTTTTTTTATGTATTCTATCTTTTTATGCGTGCTCTCAAAATATTTTACGTTATTCTCGAGATATGAGTTTGTTGAACAGTCTAAATCGTTGTGTTTTTAAGTTTTGTAAAATAAGAAATATCAACTTGCAGAGATCTTTGTTTTATTTTTTTTTTTTTTTGGGTTTTAAACAAACGCATTCCAACCAAAAATGTGTTGCATAAAATTTTAAATGAATTACAATAACAAATTACAAAGTCGGCATAAAAATATTCCTCCTATTTGGATATAATAACGTAATAATTACTGTAAGTATTAGTCCACAAATTTTTCTGAACTTCAATACATATAAATATAAATATATATATATATATGCTAAACGACAATTCTTCTATATTCATTTGTACATATGCAAAAAGAGAAGAAAATCAAATCAAATCAAAGTGAAATTACGTATTTTTGAAGATGTGCGTATGTTTAAATATATGCATATTAAAAAAATATATAAAATTAAACATATATTAAATACTCAAGCGTATTTTGTGGATGAAATAATAAATTGTTGACATTGTTTAATTAATTGTGAATTTGAATTTGAAATAAGTTTAGCTTAGAAAAAAGTTTAGCATTGGCAATTCTTAAGCGTATTCCTTATACGGATACTTAAGATCGGTGTTGATTTTGAGCATGTTTAAATAAGTGATTTCTTTTTGTGTATTTAATTGCACAAGGTAAGTAAAGTAAGTGTTTCTGGGCTGTATTTGATTTTAAAGGAAGTCTTCCATTCCTGCTCTATACATATATATACATATATACATATATATCTTCAATGACCATTATGCATTTTTTAAAGGTATCTAAGCCATAATAAATAACTATGGTGGGCTATTAAATGCATAGGACACATATCGAACCTGGTAATATTATTCATGGATTATGTTCGTTTCAGATGGCATCATCAAACACAAAAAAACAAGCAAATAAAATGATTGGTTCGGCGGGACAGGCGACGACTACTTTGCGTCGACCCGTAACAGTGATAAAAAAACGATCGGGTCCATTAGATGGTATGATCGATGAGCTCAAACGTGCCGAGGATGCAACTACAACAATTACCACAAACGTCTCGACAACGAACCGGAACCCGAACTCCAACGCGAACACGAACGTGAACTCGAACTCCAGCTCGAAATTCAACTCGAACGTAAGTGACAGTAATCAGATGGAGCGAGAGAGAGCAACAATAACGTGGCTTGCTTCGGGCAGAAATTCGCCAACTTCAGCTGGACGCCGGCGTTGCCATACCAAGGAAAAGGAGAAAAAACGGGAACGTTGGCTTTTAACGCGCAAAACATGGCGATATATGACAGATGCTGGTCGAAAACTGCTACCAGATGGCATACAACATGGGGCGGATAGTCTGCCCCACATCGAGGAGCAGTTTCAGCGTGTCTGCTCCTCGGAGCAACGATTTATATTATGGCGGCGAAAGTCCTCCTTTCCGGGTGCATCGAAAAATTCCAGGAAACGACTTAAATTATTATCGCGACATCGGAGTAGTTATGCGGCCTACTCAAAGTCGGGCGAAAGCGAACTCAATGAGAATGTAGATCAAACAATTGAACTATTGCAAACCTATCTTAAAATACGCGATTCTTATAAAACAACAACGCTGCTGGGCACCAAAACGGTTCGGCCCGATCAGACATCATCGCCCAGTTCTCAGCGCCCCAATTACGGTAAATCACTATTGAGTTCGAAGAGTTCGTCGAGTTCGTCGGCTGCATTCGATTCGAATTCAATTTCGAACGAGCAGCAGCAAATCGAGTCTGTGCTTTTGGAGCGTTTGAAATTTCTAAAAAGTTCCTCACTCAGCGTTATCCAAATAGGCAATGTGACACCGGAAATATTAGAAGATAAAGCCCATCTAAGGAAAATCTATAATATATTAAAGAAACAGCAACTGCATCGCATTCTACATTCCTCAGAGCCAAAAACAAAGTCGAACCTCAGCGGAGCAACATCATTTTCGAGTCTATTTAATTTTAACACTAATTACGAAAATAACCCAACAGAATTGTGTAATTTTGAGGAGAGTAAGGCACAAAACCCCATATTAGAAGGCCACCATGATCTTAGTGCAAAATTATTACAAAGCCTAAAAACAAAAACACAAACAACAACAACAAAACGCCAACAAATTCCCCCAGAATCGCTGGAGCTCATTCACAGTACAAGAAATATATCTAACAAGACTCCAATTGGATATGCCAGACCAGTACAAAAATCCACCAATTCGTGTGGAACGCAAACAAATTTTATACAACTAAGCGAAATTAAAATACTGGCAAGAAACTATGAATTAATGCTGGAAAACTCCGAGCTATCGGAGGCCGAAGAGGGGGCGGCGGCGGGAGGTAATTCAAGTCGGCGAAGAAGTTCCATTGATAACGAGGATGTATCCCAATCCGTGAGCGATACAATTAAGCGATATCTGAGAATGGCGAGGAAGAAAAGCGTACACGACGGCGATGCGAGTCGCTTTAAGTCGGTGAACTATGATCGGAATCTGAGAAATATCAAGGCAAAGGGGGAAATAAATCCCCCGGGCATGGATGAGGATAATCATAAGGCAGTACAAACATTGGATGCTTGGGCACTGGTCGCCTTGGACTTTATTCGGGGCAATGAGAATCCAAGGAACTTACAGAATGCACACATCGCCTGGCAAAAGGAGCTCGACGAGCGCATTCGCAAGCGGAACGAGTGGGAAATGAACCGGCAACAGGAGCGAGACAATGAAATCGCCAATCAGTCCAAGAATCACTTCCAACCCGCCTCGGCTCCAACCTCGCCAACGAGATCTATGCACAGTCCCAAGGAGAAGACTGGAAAAACGGCGGGCGCCTTACTCAGTTCGAGTTCCCAGTTTTTATCCAATTTGTGGAACACAAACCCAACTGAACAATCCACTTCGCAAAACTATAAAAACGGGAATGTAAATGAGACATATCTAAGTAAGTAATACTATTAACAATATAGTAATTAGTTTACAGCAAATTTAACTGTTTTTATATTGAGAATGTAACAAATAATAAAACTCATTCACAGCAATAATGTTTTAAATTGTGGGCAATATATTTATATATTATATGACAACTAAAGTCAGTCGACGCAGAAAACTACAAAAAATATATATGGAAAAAAACCTTTAAAATTAAATATAAATTTAAAAAAAAAGAAGGGATATCGACATTTCATCAATTTAAAAAATACAAAATCGTTACGTGCCTTAATTTCCTGCTTTGATTTGATTTTTATGAATCTCCTTCCAAATTTTATGTTTTGTAATTATTTTTTAATAATTTAAACTCTTTGTCATTACATATATATGTATTATAGATTCTAAAAATGAAACAACCAATATGCAAAAATCAAAATCGTTGTCAAATGTTGGGCAATACGTTTCAAGAAAGATTTGGGGAAGTCGCTCCAAATGTCAGAGCAGGCAGGATCACAGCCAGGACTTTCTGGCGCAGCGTGAAAAATGGGTACCATCGGTAAGAAATAAATATCCACCAACCTATTATTTCTTTGAATTTATAATAAAACCTTTCGGACTTTTTAGGAGAACTGCACATGGATATCGACGCAAGGACAGATCCTTCAATTAACGGACACATCCTTGGAAAAACTATCCGATGTCGAAGCAGAGATGCTTATGCACATTGCTTTAGAAAAGATTAAAGAACTTAATATTGGAATGAATATTGGTAAATTTATTAAGCTAAATAAAATTAATGTTAATTAATAAATTCCAATTTCATAGATTTACAACGCAAAGCTCCAAAAAGACGAGTAATCTCAAAGAAAAGAGCTCTGACAACAAGTTTCTTTGATATTGGCAAAAAGGATGAAAACAGTAAGCGATAAAATAATTTTGATATATATTTCTTGAATTAATTAATTAATGATTACTAAAACATAATAACTGCTTAGCTTTAATTTATCCTTATGTCATACAGTTTTATTTAACGTATGTTTAATTAAATAAGATGGACGTGATATTTTATTTGGGGCCCCGCTGGAAAATTGCTTGTCGAGGGATAGAAAACGAGCCGGAGATTCAGAGTGCGGCTCAAAACATTCGCTGACTTCAGTCTTTCATAGTAACAACGACAACCGCTGTCGTCGAGGTGGACAATCCAATGATAATGTAAGAAATTCTTTAGTTGTTATTTTATTTATATAATTAATTAAGTTGCTTATTTTATAGATACGTTCCTATGAAAGTTTACCAACGAAATCCTTGGATTGCGGTCGCAGTAGTCCCTCCGAGCAGTTTATGGAGCTTAAGAAATCATCATCGATATCAAAAAAAATGTCCTGTAGCCAGTTTGATATGCGACACGTTGAACTGGATCTCGATCGAATCTTATTCGAAGAATCTAAAAATAGTTTCATGCTAAATGTGCCGATATTTGTAATGATCTGCATAGAATATCTGGAGGAGCACGGACTACAGAAAGTGGGTCTCTTTCGCGTTGGTACATCCAAAAAACGTGTTAAGCAAGTAAGTCGAGCATACTAAATAAGATATCCAATAATTTGTCTTGTCTTATTTTATTAAAAGTAAATGTAATTTTTAATTTATTAAATCTATTTACATATTTATGTATACTTATTGATAACGATTTGTGCTGGCCTATTGCAGCTCCGTGATGAATTTGATAGGAATAATAGCATGTGTATTCCTGACAATACCTGTCCACATGATGTGGCAACATTGCTCAAAGAGTTCTTAAGGGATCTACCAGAACCCCTGCTCTGCAAAAGATTATATACAGCATTTTTGGAGACTCAACGTAAGGATAACAGATTTAATAAATACTGATAAATAGTGATATTTTTTTTATTTATTTATTTTTAGGTATACGGAATCGTCGCCTGCAGCTGGAAGCCATATCACATCTTATTAAATTGCTACCGATTGTGCATCGTGATACATTATATGTTTTGCTCAAGTTCCTGGGAAATGTTGCAGCCCATTGTGATGATATCTGTGCTAGAGATGGAACTGTTCAAGTGATCGGCAACAAAATGGATAGCAATAATTTATCCACAGTCTTTGCGCCAAATATTTTGCGTGATTCGACGCCAAAAGCAGCTGAATATAAAGAGCAGGGAAATATGGGGGACGCAATTAATGTTATTAGGTATAATACGCTTAATATATATCGAAATATAAATATAATTCTCATGTTCACATTTTTTCACAGAATAATGATTGATCACTGTGAGGAAATCTTTAAAGTGCCTGTTGAAATTATGGATGTGCTTTACTCTCATATGCTGGATACTTGTCCAGAAAAACTGTACGACTTAATAATAAACAAAGTGGATCAGTCATTAAGGTATAAACTTTATATTCTCACATATGCTATATATGTTGTATTTATATTTTAATATTATTTACCCATGCGCAGTAATCAAATTGAAAGCTCTACGTCAATTAGGAGCCCGGTTCACTTAAGCGACGCTAGCTATAATTCGGCTATTTTATCTGATGAGAGGCGACAATCAACTCCAGTTTTACTTGATCATTTGAATGTATTCTCAGCCCGTCTACAAATATCAGTGCCGGCGGAGGGCTCTCTACAAATAGCCAAGCCAGCCGCTCTCAAGGGTAATACTTCTATGTAAATAAATCACAACAAGATTGCAAATTTAAATATTTATCATCTAGAGAGTAAAATACAAAGTGTGACTACGGAACCCAAACTACCAGCGAGTATATCCAATATTGGTGGGGCAACAATGCATGCAAAGACTGCGGAATTTGAGAAAACGCCGCCTGGTAACAATACCATTTATAATGGGACACAAATGCCAACATCCAAAGCGAGACCACTCTATAAACGGCAGCAATTAATACCTAGTGCAAGACGAAGAAATTAATACATTAATTACATTATATATATATGTACATATATATATATAATGTATATATATAATATATATATATATAATGTATATAATATATAATATATATATATATAATGTATATTATAATATAATATATATATGTATATGTATATATATGAAACAAATCAAGTAATAGTAGAAATACTTATAAACAGAACACGATTTAGTCAAGATTGAAAATGGAACATAATTTTGGATATATGTATATGTATGTTATTAACAAGAAATTTTTGTATCTGTATACGTATATAAGTATTTATTATTATTGTAAGTTTTATTACATAAGACTATAGGAATTATACTTAATATGTGGTATCTATTGTATATTAAACTTTCTGTAAACTTGTTCTTTTACAATCGTTCCATTGGAATATACTTCTCTTATCTATATATAAGTATATAAATGTAATAGAAAGAAATTCAGTTTAATTAAATATAATAGCTATTTGAATTTGAATGGTATACCTTTTAAAGAACATCTTGGGTCTATGGCTAAATGAACTAAGTTAGTCATCTTGAACTTCGATGTACGAGTATGTATTCGGCTAGGCTTAAAGTGTTAAACAACAACAATACTTCTTCTGATATGATAATCCAACACGTAATTCGGATTGCAATCGATACACTTAAAATATTTCCAATGCTCGTTTGCATTGCAGCCGGCTGCTCACCTATAACATATTTAAATAAATTCCAAAAAATTATTAATTAATTAAAAAAATGTATAGAAAATCCGAGGATCATTTACCAGTGAGCACGTGAACACGCACAGAGGCCGGTACGGCTGCATTGGGTACGCATGTATAATTTCCGGAGTCTCGCAGCGAGGCACGTGTCAACATTAATCGGCTCGTTGTGCCAACTTCGGTTTTTTCCGTTTCCAAACTGATGCCGCCTCGCAACGAATCAAAGTCAACAATCGCCGATCCATGATACCTTTAAAGATTATAATTATTTACACTGGCGAAAAAGAAAGTAATATTTATGCAAGCATACCACAGCACGGATGAGGCGTGTATATTGACGGAACAGGCGAGTGCAATTGTACTATCTCGTTTCACGTGTATCTCTGTAGAACCCAGTATTTTCGCACGTGCCGCTTTAATTTATTCAAGTATATATTACATAATTATTAAAAGTTGGAATTGTTATAGTTTAATAAGCATAAATCAAACCTTTTGAGTCATAATAGAGTTTCTCCGAGTTTCTTTCTCTCACATCACTTTCAGCTGCAAATAAAACAAAATAACAATGAATGATATAGGCGATAGAGTTCATCCAGAGGCACCAAGTTTATTAAAAACTGATCCAGTTAATGCCTAGGTTTGTTTGCATGCGTGTGCATCTGTGTCCGTCGCGAGAAAACCAAGAATTTGCAATGCGGATACAATGATACTCTATTACATTTGCAGCAATCATTCTGCGCTCTATGCTCACAACAATTAAGCTACCTACTTTGCAAGAGAGAAAGAGATGAAAGACACGCAAAAACAAGCACAGAGAGTGCTGCTGCTGCTGCACACAGTGAAGGATCTGCCATAGAAGGCATACTCATAAAAACTGCTGGCTCTCTCCGATCGCCCAGAACATGCCGTCACAACGAAGAATGATCTGCGTTAGCTGCTCAACACACGAGGCCTGCTAAACTCGACGCGTGACATTCGGTTCGCCGATCTCAGCACCCGAAGCGCAGCCGACGATTTTTCGACCATGCAGAGAAAAGGCAACCCGCCGAAAAAGCAATCAGTTTTTAGTGCCAGAAACCTTAATACTCTCTTTAATTTTATTTACCTGTGATTTCTAAAGTAATTGCCAAATTGATTTTGGGCTCCGTGTTCACTTGGCACTCGTAAATGCCACTGTCCCTGGCTTGGGCGTAATCGATCTTCAAGTCCCAGTCTTCGCTGATTGGCGTATGAATTACAGAGAATCGTTGGTCACCGGTATACGTATAAATGTTCGTAGTCAAAATGTGAAGATCCCGTTTGCGCATCCATGAAACCTGCTCATTAAACTCATTAATACCATAGATATGCGAAAGATCTTCTAATGGTATATATACGCTTACAGTTCGATTGCCTTTATTCTTAACGCGGCATCTCAAAATCGCCGTTTCGTCGACAACAGCTGAAATATTTCTAGGGCTTATGTCATCAAAATAAGGTTGATCCATATTGACCAAGTCTATAAAAAAATGTTTGACTTATTTTAAAACCTAGTTGATAATTAATTCCAGTTAATTAATATACTACCATTGGCATTTAAGAAGGAGGATGCGCTGATATGCTGGATACGACTATTAAAATGCAAAATGAATACAATGATTTGTTTTATTTGATTTCTATACGAAGACATTATTTTTGTTCACGTGAGTTCCTCTATTATTATTGTATTGACGTTTGAATCTGCAAAACAGAAAATTCTCTTTAATTTCCGGCGTTCAGTTTAAATTCACATTGTACATATGTATAGATATATATATACATTAACTTGGTATATACATTTTTGGTTGCTTATAAACAAGCCATACAAATTATGGGCATGTGAAATTTGGAAATACATAAGTAAAAGCTGCTTGGATTTAGCTGAAAATCTCTTAATAGAATAATAACTTGATAATATAATATTATAGTTGCTATTTGCTTACTTTTTCAATAGCTTGAAACCCTAACCATCCTTTTTATGAGATATATATTATAAAATATGTTTTTTGCATTCTCCATCCACATGTTTTTTCCTTTTATGATTTTAACGAACGCTTCTGAGCACTGATAAAGTTTAATAACATTTTCTGTATTTTTTTTAATGTTTAAGGAATTTTTTGGCTTTGATTTGATGAGGAAAAACTTGTTCAATATAATTTTTATTCTTACAATTTGTATGCACAATTTATTTGGTGGGTTTAGTGCGCATCTCGGCTTTGTTCAACCACCAAATTTACATCGGGCCCAACTCGGAATTTCCGAGAGAGAGAGAGAGAGAGAGAGAGCTTTTCTAGAAAGCTTCTGTAAAGGGGCAAAAGTTTTTTCTTGGTGTGTATTAGGTATACTTTTCATATAGAGCTGAAGATATCGCTCAAAGTCTGAGCAAATGCCTAATTAAATCTAAACAAACAATATTGCCTGTCTCCCTCTCCCTCTCTGTCTAATGAATACGCACTAATTGTTTTCATAATTATTTATTATTATTTAAAAGACGCAAATAAACAATCGCAATGAATATAAACATATATATATATATATATATATATATATATATTATCGTATATATTTAACAAGAGCATATACACATAAACCGTTAGGTATTTGATATATGGTATATAGATTTATTGTTGAACTAAAGATAGAAAGCAAGTCGTAATTCGTAAATCGCTTAAAAAATGTCCAAAACTTTCGTTACTTTAAAAGTCAGAATAGGGCAGACCCTCTGCAACAACTGGAACCCTTGGGCAATAGATATTTCGTTGGGGCACCGTCGAACCTGCGCTCCAGCCCCGTGCGCTATTATTAAAGCACTGACCTGGAGCGGAACGCACTTTAGGCGACATTGTTAGTGGGGCGCTGTGTGTAATGTTCTGACCATAGCCGCCAAAATGCTGTTGCGGCGATTTTATTGGCGTTGATCGATGATCAATATTGCCAGTAGATCCAAAGGGAGTTGGAGATGCATTGCGTACACCGCTACCATATCTTGACATCTGATTGTTCACATTCAGATATAGTTGATTTGGAGCCGATTCCTGAAATTTCGCCAACTTATCAAAGGACAATGGTGAAGGATTAAAATTGACCTGGGGTGCTGATTGCATCGAGATGGGCGGCACCTTCTGGTAACTTTGTGGGCCGTACAATTGTTGTTTGGGTGGCACTGATGAATATGGGTTCGTTGGGGTCGATATGGGAAACTCAGTCGGCGAATTTTGATAGCTCTGCGAATAGTCAACGTTGGTTGAGCCCGGGAAATTATAGCTGCGCTGCTGCTGATCCCTCGACTGGACGGGCGGAGGTGCATAGCTCGATAATGAGATTTCCTTGGGCACATATAAGCCTAAATGTATTTAAAACCAAAGAAAATAAAAGAAAGTTTAAGAATTAATGGAGTGATAAAAATATATACATAAACATATACATTTATGAGATCGTTTTATAAAAATATGTTAAGAATTAAAGAAAGACAATTTGTTAATTTAGTTAAAACATCCCACATTAATTAGATATACGCAGAGATGAAACTAAATTGGTTTTATTTAGGATTTTGTGATTTTCCCATCACATAGCTCTAAACCTTAACAGGAGATATATTTTAATATTTATTTAGACGTTCCAGCACACAACTCTTAACTGTAGCAGGAGATACATATGTTAGTAATAGGAACACATATTTATTATTTATTATCAAAGGCATGGAACAAGAGTTCAGGGGTCTTGAAATTCGTGCCTTCGCTTTGATTTAACTCCTTTTCCAATTCGCAATTGTCTTCGCTCATTCGCTTTTGCCATCGATTTATTCGCAATTCTTCCTGTTCTTTTAGCGATTGTTGCTCAAATGAATAAATCAATTCACGAACATTAACTGGTTCATTAATATCATCGTCTGTATCTGCTGCACTCTCTGTTAATATTACTTTACTTGGTGCTGGCATAGTTGTAGTATTTGAAAGAGTATTTTTTATATTTATTGGATTAATATATTTAGATTGTTGACCTCTATCAATAGTTATTATATTTTTATAATCCCTATTAAGAGCAGCCATTCTTTGCTGTTGCATAAAGCATTGCTGAAATTGTTCTAATTGTTGTAGCCGCTGCTGAATGTCATCGTTGGAATTCCGAGCTAGAACATATTCATTTATATTATCGATATTCTGGGTTTCCCACTCTTGAGAATAATATTCTGTAAATATTTAATTTGCCATTAAATGGAAAAAATAAATAGCTGCTTAAGAACAAGTTTGTTAATTTTTACGAATTCTTTATACTATATCTATATAACTATTCTAATTATAATATTAAAAAAAAAAACAGTTCTTTGACATTTACCTCTTGGTAATTCAACGTTTCGACCGCCCCAGCCCTGGGCCACAGTTGGCTTATAAGCCAGTTCCCTCTGGGGATTGCACGCCTGAATTGGTGTATCAAATTTCTAAAAAATAAAGAAATAAATGAAGGAAGACAAAATGACAAAGACTAACCGTTTTATTAAAGAGATTCTGTTCGATGCAAGGCGATGGACTGCACTTGGATGCCGATGGTAAGCCCTGGTGGTAATCGATGACATCCTGATTAAAGTTCACCGGTGATGCCAGTGAAGCTGTTGGTGTCTGGCTGCGATAATTGGAACCATCCAAAAATGCTGTGCTTGCCGAACCGGTCTGAAGAGCCGCTTCCCAAGGGGACTTCACAACTTGAACGCCGGGCTTTGAATATTTCTCAATCAGTTGATCCTGATGCAGATTTAGCTGGACACGATGCTTGCCCGCATCCGAATAGGCGGGTAGGAGATTGGGAGAAGTTGGGGGTCTTGCCTGATATTGTTGGTAATCTGGAAGACCAGACGGACTGTAAATGCCGGCATTTGTCTCATCGACTACCCAATTTTCCGCCTTTCTACGACGTTTGGCAAAGAGCTCAGCTCCTTGAAAGCGATTTGATATTTCATTTAGATTTGTTTTATTTGTTTTTGTATTTATTTGATTATTGTTGAGAATAGCGCGCAGATAAGCAGACCGAGGCAGTGGCAGGTAAAGCGGATTTATTGTGAGGTACATGTTTGAAGAAATTACAGATTGATTCATTATTTCTTGTCAAAAATGTTATATTCATAAAAATAAACAACAGGCTGTCAGTAATTAATTAACTTAATTAAAACACTAAAAAAGGCAAATAACTACTAAATTTATTTCTTAATTTCGTTCTATAATCGGTAATGACTAATATGCAGTCAACCACTTAATTTAAAATCGTGAAAATGCTGGCGCTTCTATTTATCGTTAATCGACTTCGATAACGGAGAAACGGCAGCAGTTATTGACCTAAAGACTGACAGATAAACCCCACGAGAGTACCAAGAAAGAAAACAGCTTACGCTTAATACTATAATTAGTAATAGCTTTTTAATAATTAATATTAATAATAATTAAATATAATAGTAACAAAAATAATTACTCAAATATTAATAATTATTATAGTAACTAGATGTTTTAAATGATACATGTTGTTATTATTAATAATTATTACCTCGGCCCTTATGCAGTTGCAGCGCAGTTATTAGCTCAGCGCAATTGTCAGGTGATAAGAGGCCCGATTCAATATTTATCGATTCTTTCAGTGAGTTATAGTCGCGCATTTGACCCCGTGGATTCATGACAAGTTTTAATGGCGTTTTTTCCGGCGGCTTGGTTAGTTCCGTCATCATCAAATTTGATTCGGCATTTTCTTTATTTAATGATTGCGTTTCAATTATATCATCTTCTCCTATATTTATGCAATACCGGTATTCATTAATTAAAGATTTTAATATAATACTTTCATAACATTTAATAAATCACAATGAATTTTTTAATTATCTTAAACATTTACCTTGAATGTATGAAGAAGTTTTCTTAATAAAATACTTAAGTGTGCAAGTGGAATAGTGTAAAGAATTTTATAGTTTAAAATTTAGTCTTTATGCTATTTGAACTCCATTTAAGTCGGTAGACCTAAAGCTATTTAAGAGAAGATGATTTTAGTTAGTTACATCTTTTAAATGCAATTACAAAAAAAAGTTTAATGACTTGCAATTATTTATATAATATATATTAAATATGAGTACTATAACTAACATATATATGTATATATATATATAGTACTCAAATTTAAGACAAAACAAACATGGCAAATGACCAAATTTGTATTCATAAATTATACTTAATATAACTGTACTGAAATCAAATGCTTCAATGTGATTTTTTATTATTATTATTAACTGTATTATCTGAAAATTGTCCAACACTTGAGAAGTCTGCCTTTTCAATGACTCGTTTCCAAACTTGTTGTGTGCGAATATGGAATTTTTACATCACATCATAATAATAATAGGATAGGATAGGTCCTTAAGCATGCATTGACAATTCTATTACCTTGACCACTAGCCTCGTGTACCCATTTAACAGAGCGTTTCTTCCGATTCACATACATTGATTGACCCTTTGATTTCTGATTGCTAATGTCACTCAATGAATGTGAGATTCGGCGAGCGAGCTCAACCTGGTCCTCCACAGTGGGATGCAGTGTTGGCGAATAAAATGCCGATGAGGCATATAGCTTTCCTAACAAATTGAAACAAATTTAACATCAATTCAAAAAAGTAGTCGGTAGATAGTTAAAAGGCGATACGTAATCCACTCTGTGTAAGGCCTAAATAAGCAAAAGCGAATTGCAAATAGAATGCATGCAATATACGTAATTATTATATATACAGTTGCGGTCACAATCAGAGTAATGCTGCTTCTCAAAGTTTTTAATAAAAAACATGACTAATTTTCCAAATATTAAACATAGTCAAATATAACCACCCATCAAATCAAGTTTATAGAAACATTATTTAGGGAGAAATCTTCATTATTATTCCACTACTACTATAATGATCCATTTCAATAAAAATTTCATTAAATTAAATATATAATAATTATTCAATATAAAACTTGAATTGTTTTTTTTTTTGTTAATAAATTCGATAACAATGCCAACTTTTAATGTTAACTTATATTCCAGTATTTACTGCTTCTGTTTAAATAAAATTTTCATAATTTTTCAACTCTATTTTAAGTATATGTAGATTTTCCAAAAACATATGTGTGCACTACTATTATTTTGATCGCAGCTGTATTTGGGTGATCTTAATGATGAAAATAGCAGAAAACAATGTAAAAGGCATTGGCATAAATTGGGTAGCCTTAGCAATAAATATTTGTTGATGGGTATTCAAAGTATAAACATTTGCATTTATGTTAATAATCTGAATCTTCCTTTTTTGTATTTATTATTTTACGTATCACCCTTTGTTGTTGTAGTTTGTTACTTACGGTTCTTGGGCAATATTTGGGGTGCATCGGTAGCTGGAGTAAATATTTTGCGCAAATCAAATGTCCTCGACATGTTTGATGATTCCTATATATTAATTACATACATACATACATACATGGTTTCTAATTCAAATGTTGTATGATTTATCATGCACATATATATATTTCTATATATATATATATATATATATACATTTGTGTATCTTTGATTTGATTTTGGTAGCAGCAGAGCTACGTACATTTTTTCTTTGCCACAGTTTTTTGCTTAGCTCGAGTAAAATTCTCTTTTTATGTTCGTCGTAACGATCGCTGGGACGAAAACCACGTTTCCGATCTATTGACGAGTTCTTGGAACATGTAGATTGGGGTAGTCCCCCCCTATAATGGCTGGGTGTGCAGCCTTTTTGCATGTTAGTCAATTAACTCGCCTCAAGCAAATCATAAAATCTGCTATATTTTTTCGATACTAGCCGTTCGTACAGATCAAATTGTTTTAAAAACCGAATCATTCACACACACAATTAAGAAATTTGAATGTAGTTGTTGGGAATAGACTCTCTCTCTCTCTTCGATGCTAATTATAGAGACACTCAGAGAGAGAGAGAGAGAGAGTGTGGGTAAAATGAACTCGGATAGTACGATATATGTATATATACAATACAATACAATATATATATATATATGTATGCGTATAAACAGAAACCAAAATATTCATTATATATACATATATAGGAGAAGTGTACATAAGCATGTACTTATATCTCTTATATATAGATATAACTAATTGCTTATAGCTGATAGCTTATATACTATAAAAACAAATTATTAATTTAACGTATCATATTAGGAACGGTTTAAGGGGAGTTTTTAAAAGGGACCAACTTGGAAAAAATATATATATTTATATTTAATATTTTATATTATTATTATTATATATATATACATATTTTTTTTTTTTTTTTTGGGTACTTACCTTTGAGTCGTAGGAATCTTCTTGGCGGCTATAAGATTTTGTATATTCCTGCGTTAGTTTTGGAGCTGCCTCCTGCTGAGGCAAGAACTGCTGATGCTGCTGCTGCTGTGGCAGTTGCTGCTGTTGCATTTGCTGTTGTTGCAACTCTTGTTCCTGCAATCGATTCTGGGCAATGAGCCTTTGAGCCAGCAACTGTTGCTGCTGTATTTGATTGGCCAACTCCTGCTGCTTCTGTATGAGTTGAAGCTCCTGCTCCTTGAGCTGAGTTATCTTTTCTTGCGCCTTTATATTGATATCAATGTCAGATATAATGTTTTCAATTTGATTATTAATATCCTTCTGTAAATGAAAAAAAAATTGAGTACAATATTTAAATACTTGCAATATATATAAAATATATATTGCAGTAGTAGTTTTAATATACGATTACTAACATGAGCTTTTCCATCTGTCTCAACTTCCGCATTGTTAACTTCCTGCTCAGCAATCTTAGCTTGAACGTCCACATCTTCGATCTATTATTGAAAAATAATTATTCAAATCAATTAATGCAAATAAATAATTGAACGATTTCCCGGCTAAATATTTTCCATTAAAAATTTTAATAAATAACTTAAATATTTTCCATTTAAGGTAATAATCAAAATTATAAATAAATTAATGAATAAAATAGTTATTGAAGCAATTGCATTAGGGGATATGAAAATGCGCATATTAATTTCATAGTTAATTAAAATATATTTATACTTTTTCCGTATTGATCTTCGGCTCCGGCTGAGGCTCTGGCTCCATCTCAGCCTCCGCCTCTGTCTCCTCCTCCTCCTCCTCTTCCACCTCCTCTTCCACCTCCTCTTCACTCACACTTTCCTCGGATTCGTCAGCGACAACTGCAGCTGCAACGGGAATCGTTTTCTTCTCCAATTCCGTTTTCTCCTCCTTTTCTTCTTTCACATTCTCGTTTTCCTCCTCCTCCTCAGCTTTCGACTTTTTCGAAATGACAACTGTTGTCATAATTTCGTTCTCTGTTGGAACCGCTTCGCCCTTCGTAACAATAACTGTACTTGTTGTTGTTGTGGTTGTTGTCTTCGCTTCTTCTTCTGCTTCGTTTGCATCGTCCTCCTTCTTCGTCACAATAACTGTTGTTGTGGTTTTTGTCTCTGTTTGGGGCTCTGCTTCGACATTCTCCTTCTTAGTGATTGTCACCGTTGCTGTTGTCGTTTCTTCTTCTTCACCATTCTCGCTTGCAGCGGCGACGACAGTCGCAATCGCAGAAATAACGGTGTCTGCTTCACTGGCAACACTCTCCGCGACTTTATCGCTCGATTCGCTTATCTCCTCCTTTTGAGCTGTCTGTTGCTCACCTGTTTTATCAATTGCATTTTCTTTGGACTCATTTGCCACTGGCAAACTTTCCGTTTCATTCACCTTTGTCTTCATCGTTGGAATAAAAAACAATAACAAACAGTTATATACAAAAAAAAACCAAATAATTCGTTGTAAGCAAGAAGAAGCAGCATTCACTTGAAATAGCAATAAAGTTTAAAACTCGGACCACAATCATATGGAAATTAATGAAACACATTTGTATAAATCTGTTTAAACGTCCATTTGAACACAACTAATAATTACATATTTCTCAATTAATTATACAATAAAGTTAAAGCTAAGTTCTATTGCAAAAGATTAGGAAATTTTGTTAAAGTGTGTTTATTCCAGAATTAAGACAACATACAAACAAAATTCAATAAAATATTCAGTTTAGAAAAAAATACTTCCAAAGAAAGCTGTAAAAATTAATATAAATACAGCAAGTAATTTTCAGCAGTAAAGCAACTTGCTTGAGCATATTAAATTAAATAAATAATAAATCATGATATAAATAATATATCATATCAAATAATATTTGATCATGCTATCTTAAACTCACCACGCCCTCAGACTCCATTGCTTACGATAAAATCAAGTATAATTCTCTGAAAAAATAAATAAAATGTTTGCAAATTATAATAACAAAATATAATAACAATAATAATAAGTAGATAATAATTAAATAATAATAAAATTATTTAATTATGCATCGCATTGCAAGAAATATATATATCTATATATATATATATATATATATATATATATATATATAATGCATAAATTTATATTATTTTAAGCATGTTTTAGAAAATACATTTGCGTGTTTTCAAAAATTGCATTTAGCACCTGTTGACACCTGTCAGTCGATATTAAAAACGCTATATATCCATACGTATATCTGTATATATATTTATATTTTTTTTAATGGAAGTATCTATTTATATACAAATATTTTTGCGAGTTTTTATAAAATATTAAAAACGTTTATAGAAATGTATGTGCATTTTTAATTATTTAATGCCCTTAAATGTAAATGGTAAAAAAAGACTGATGTTTACCACTGTCCATTATATAATCCCTGTTTATTTTAATTCATATATTTTTAATTCACTACTTTTTTATCCATATTTCTTACATCACTTTATGTACTTAATTATTTACTTACCACAGTTAATATTTTTTTAAATTTATGAAATTTGCAAGTGAATTGCTGCAACTTAAATTTAAGATACGAAATAAAATTAAATTCGGACCGTACTTATTTAAATAATGACCTCGAATGAATAAAGTTTAGCTACATATAGATATGTATGTCGTACATAAATATATGTATATATATATATATATTGCCGATTTATATGCCGATTCAAAGAATATGAGTGCACATCAAAGATAGCGTCCACACTGTCCACATTCTATTTATTTACTACATTGCCAGCCAGAATTTCCGCGCACATTCACAATATCGTATTCAAATCATGTATGCATGCATGTGTGTGCGTGTGTGTATCCATTCAAACATACACACAAATCGAACACACACACACGTAAATTATTTTTCATTTAATACCCCATTTAAAAATACATGCACATAAAATCTGGCTACAAAAATACATATATACATTCATATATAAATATATATATGGATATGATACATGAATGCTGCTATTTAAACAGTTGCCGCATTATACTTGGCATTAGTTGACAAGATGGAAGGATAAATTCTGCATAAATTGTTATAATAAAAAAGCATCTGAAAACAATTATTCTATATTTTCTCTTTTCCCTGGCTGTTGCAATAAGAATATTTAATTCAAGAACTCAAAATAACGGTGAATGATCTTAGCAGCGCATATGTCAGCATTGTTGGTTTGCATTTGACGGCATAACTCGATTAATCATTTTAACAGCATATTTTTGAGTAATTTACGGAATTACTCTCTCCTATTTATTTAAGCGTGGAAAATGGTTAGATATTTTTCAAATTTTTGTCGAACACTCCCATTCATTTATCCGTATGTGTATGTTGACAGTTTCCAAGCAATCTGTTAGAAATAAAGAAAACTAACAGCTGTGAACTATTCGCTCTCAACAGAGCGCAATGAGCAGCAGTAAACAAAAGATGTTCTCGCATTTTAAAAGCGAGTTTTCAATTGGGAATATTTTGCCAACAATAGAAATAGCCACTATAAGCTTAAATTAAAATTTAAAATAAAAACGACTTTAAAAAAAAAAAACATAAAACGCCCCTGGCCGTTGTACATTTGAGCTTTAGATGCGCAACAGAGTGCTATGTTAACATTGAACTGCGCCAGCTGGTTGCTAAAATTCATATCTGTTCAAATCAATGGAAGTAGATTTTACACCTATCGATGTATCGATACAAGAGCAGCATCCCTAAGCAAAGTTGTGGAAACACAATGTAAGAAAAACAGAAACAGCAAAAAAAAAGAAATAACAAAAAAAAAATGGGGGCAACGATGGTAAAAAATGGCAATTTACTGGATGCCTTGCCATCACAGGTCAGCCATTAACATAAACTTAACATTTATAAATTGTACAGCAATCTGATATTTACAGGGAACGCTGCACGTAGTCATGCTAGGCCTGGATTCAGCTGGCAAAACAACAGCGCTTTACAGACTCAAATTTGATCAGTATTTAAACACAGTGCCCACAATTGGCTTCAATTGTGAGAAGGTAAACGATTAAAAAAAAAAATGCAAATCAAGAGATAAATATTTATATTTTGCAGGTACAGGGCACGCTGGGAAAGGCGAAGGGGGTTCACTTTCTTGTTTGGGATGTGGGCGGACAGGAAAAACTACGACCGCTCTGGCGAAGCTATACGCGGTGCGAATTAAATATATTTAGTTCAGCTTATATTTATTTTTATACTTCAATTTTTAATTTATATTTATATTGTTCATTTTGTAGCTGCACAGATGGCATTCTATTTGTTGTGGACTCTGTGGACACTGAACGCATGGAGGAGGCAAAAATGGAGCTAATGCGCACTGCCAAATGTCCAGATAATCAGGTAAGTCTATAAATAACATATAATTTATGTACTTTTTTTAATATAATTTTCAGGGCGTGCCGGTGCTGATATTGGCCAATAAACAAGATCTACCAAATGCTTGTTGCGCCAAGCAGCTTGAAAAGTTGCTGGGCTTGCAGGAACTACACAATCCAATTTCGCATATATCAACAGCCAACTCAACATCGACAGGCAACATTGCTGGCTATAATAATAGTAGTAGTAGTAATTGTACGTCAAACCAAAGTTATATAAAAACCGATCTGGATGAGGACAGCGATAAGCGCAGGGACAAGGCTGCCAGTTTGCCACACGGTGCACCACTTGCAACAGCCACAACGGGAATAAACTCCTCCTCCTCCTCGCAGTTTACAATAAAGCACAATAGCTTCAGCGCCTCTTCCTCCGCCTCCTCGTCGATGCAGCTAAAGGGCTGGTATATCCAACCAGCCTGTGCTATAACTGGCGAGGGTCTGCAAGAAGGACTCGATGCTCTATATGAGATGATATTAAAGCGACGTAAAATTAGCAAGTCTCATAAAAAGAATAAACGGTAATAGTGTTTTTAATTTATATATATAGAGTTTTAGAAATTAAAGTCTGCTTAGCACAATTAACAAAATGTACATGCACTACAAATAAATATCGCCTGTGTACAAATGTACGTAATCAAGATTTTTTCAATAATTAGGGAATTATCCGGATTCTCAGCTCAATCCACATTAGTGATTTCTGCACTTAATTAAAATGCTTCTTATTTATTTTCACTATTTAAGGGATTCTCTGAAATAGTTGCGAAATAAGAAATCTGCAATAATAATTAAAACACTAGTTATTTATTTTGTATTATTCGCTTTTTATTTTTGAAAGATCCAATACAAAAATAATTGATTCTGTTAAGCCAGTTAGACATATATTATGTATATGATGTTATGTATATATCATTAACTAGAATTTAGAAGCGTTCTCCAAAATCAACGTTCTCAATTAAAATAGTTGTAATGAACGCCCAAATTTGGCATTGTTGTAACGGGGACATAGGTGGACCCAGGAGCACATTTTAAGCAATCCCGTTTTATGGCTGGTCTCTGCTTGGACTTGGAACCCTGGCAGTGCATCGCGAAGCGCAGCTCCTCGGCCATTTCCGAGCACAAGGATTGATTGTCGGTGTGCAAGTTCTTCTTGGAATTCCAACAAAACTCAAAAATGGCCACAACAACAGCCAGCGCCAGGCCGCAAAGTAGAACAACGAATACGCCACCTAAAATAAAAGATATAATTTAATCAAATTAACTATTAAATATATATGAATATAAATAAATACATTTTTAAGCTATCGATAACAAAAGACAAGATATAAATTAATTATATTAAGTATTATATATATGTATATATATATTTTTAGATATCGATAACTTACCGATATTTTCCACACCCAACGCATTGGCTTTTGATTCTTTGCTTTTGTCATCTCTGTTACACACATCTCCCGTATTTTTCCACCATTTGTCGTACAATATCTGAATTATGCCTTTTTCTTGCAGCTCCAATATTGCTAATGATATTTTATCGCGCCATGGCGAACCTTTTGGTGTTGCAATACCATAACCCTTGGAGTCCAGCAAACCACCAATTTGTGTTAAATTACAATCCCGCTGAACAGCATAATCCAACATAGTAGATTCCATTAGGAAGGCATAATTTCCCTCCATAACACGTTTAATGCCGTCTTCGTAGGTCTTCACAAATACAGACGACTTACGGTTCTCCATATAACGCCACATCTTTTGATATATACCAATCTTGGAATCCTGCGATAAATAATATTAATAATGTCTAAAATTATTTTCCACAAATCTTCACCCTAAAAAAAGTCATTGTCGAACCACCCTCCAAGGTGCCATAGGATATTTCCGTTTGATCTGCCAGATCGGACGCACTTTCAATCGGGGTTATCATACGCTCCACAGTTAGAAATGCAGCTAAATTAGCTGTATATGATGAGATTATAATCAGACAAAAGAAAAACCAGCAGCCGCCAACGATTCGCGTAGAAGTGGCCTAAAAATTTAATGAGAAAAGAATTTGATTTAAATATAAATCAGTAGAAATATATATTTATAAATATATATATCTTTATTGTGCCAACCAATTTCCCTTGGCTTTCGCTGAATTACTTAATATTTTATGGAATACATATTACTAATTAATTGGGATTTAATTTAAAATATTAATTTCAATTCAATTCAAATAATGTTTGTACTTTTTCTATTTTTTTTGTTGACATTGAATAAATAAATAGAAATAGAAATTAAATAAATGAATACCCTAGGATATAAATCGGCTCCCTGCTGCATTAGGGCGCCAATTGCAAACCAGAAACTATTTTTCAGTGTAAAATCATTTTGGACGTTAACCAGCTCCAAAGTGTCCTCGAAATCGTTATCGTTATAGTTATCGGTATTATCATTATGCTTGTCGGCAGGAAAAACTGGCTGTTTTCTTGTTGTTTTTGTCAGGCAATCCACAAGATCAGTATCAGCATTATCTTTATAATCATTATTTAATTTTTCATTAGCACTCGTTAACGACTTCAGTTCCAATTGATCGTATATATAATTGGCTTTTCGTATTTTATGCAACATATGATCGCAGGCCATGGAACAGGCTGGTTTGGAACGAACCCATTCGACTGGAGATAATCGGGCCACAATCCAGATACAGATCGAGACTAGAATGTAGCCAAATGCTATATATAACCATATTTCGATCGCAAGCGGATTCATAAAAGAGAAAAACTTCGTTTGAGCACGATCTGAGATCTGAAAAATAATACAAAACTCATAATAATAAAAGCATAAAAAAAAAAAAAATGAATAAATGCATAATTTAGCCATGTGGAAAATAGATACACAATACTCTATTTAAATTTAAATACGAACCTTATTATTCACAGAAATCTCAGTAGCTGAACTTACCTTTGGATTTAGACCGGATCCTTGTCGTAAGAATGTGCCCGTTATAAACCAAAAACTGTTGGAAATAGAAAACTGATTCTCAACGATATCGGTTTCCTTGTAACAGGGATGTGGATTTTTCCATTCGTACGGCGAGAAACGAGCCATCACAAATAGTGCGAACGATACTAGGATATAAGCAGCTAGCACATAAAGCCATATCTCGATTGCCAATGGGTTCATAAAGGAAAACAGTCGTGTGGGTTGACTTGTCGGTACCTAAACGATTACAGGCGACACACATTTTAAATACTTCCATCTAAATTAACTGATATTCATATATATAAATATATATATATATATGGGTATTTACATAGCAATTAAGAGCTGAACTTATTTACCTTGAAGAGTATGCCAATTCCGAGATTCATAAATGGTTTTGTAAAATCAATAACACTTTCCCTCGCATAATTTATGGTCATTGAGGCCACAGCCAAATCTGCGCGCTGAAATTTCAAAGCTACTATTAATTAATTTAGTTCAGCTAAAAACCAGAAATTATTAACAGAGATTACTAAATTTAATTACAATTCTTATTTAATGTAGTTCACAAAATAAAAAACAGAAATTACTATATATAATATATATATAAATAAAATACTCGCCCTTTCCATTAGCTCCTGTACGATGCCATTCCAGGAATTGGTTTCCGGTATATAAACCCCATACATATTATCTGGCACCAATTCAATTTTATATTGAAATCCCACCTGCTGTGCGATGGCCTTTAAGAGATCAATGCAGAAGCCCTCAAATCTGGCATTTCCTGTTAGGTTAGTGTCCTCCTTAACCATTACATACGGCCGTTCCTAAAAATACCCAATATATATGTAGATATATATACGTATGTATTTATGAAACTATTTAAACAAACCTCTCGAGTCATGACGACCAGTGTTATATTTGCAATATTCGAGTCGTAGAATGCTGTGGGATCTGATATATTAACACCCATATCTGGTTGCCAATAGCCAACTTTTTGTATTATTTCTTGCTTCAATTTGAGTATATCAATTTTGAATTTATTGCGTCGCCCCTCCATAAAATTAACCCTGCCAGTCATGCCATCAACGGTGGCCTAAATAGCAAAAATATAAATAATTACAAATAAACAAAGATTTTTTTTATATCCTACCGAATTGATATAATTATATAGTGAGAGTCCATCGCTCCAGACTTGATCGGAGTTGCAGGAAAGATTCTTGAAAGACAAAGTATGACTGCTATCCAAATGTTTTAGGCCATAGGCAAATGCATAAACCGAATCAAACATCAGGGCCGATTCCGTCTGAAATAGTATTATAAATACAGATATATTGTAGAAGAAGATTCTGAAGCTAACCTGTATGTAGGGTATGCCATTGATAATATCTAGACCGCTGTGCTGCAGCTTTTGCATCTGATCTATAACTTCCTGGTAACGTTTACTGCCGACATCAACCAGACGAAAAGCGGTGATATTTACGCTGTTATAGCGAAAGTCCTCAAGATCATACGTCTCCAGATCCTATGAACTTAATTTATAGAACTCATATCCTTATAATGACTATCCATTTACTTACGAATGTTGTAAACATATAATGATAGCGATGATCATTCATTTGCAGCTGTAGAATCTGAAATACCATACCGAAATATGTATAAACTTTCTCATATTATCTATATATATATGTGGCTTATAAATATGTATGCATCTAATAATAAGAATAATATTGCAAATAAAATGTAGATGATTTAAGAAAGAAAATGAAGCGATCAATGGATCGGGTATTAAAAATGGTTTTAGCAGCTGTTAATTATTTATTAATATTAATAAATATGTTTCTTAGATCACAGATGCATACATACATATATACGAATAAGTAATTACATATATATATATATAATATACAAATAATAATTTATGCATTTTGCGTACAGATCGAAAAAATGCTTTGATATTTGTTGGATTTGTGTCAACAATGATTTTGTAAATTTCCTTTTGGCGAATTGCGCGTAAAACTTGTCGATAAGTCTCCGGATTTGCTTGCCTTATATACATTTCAGTTCTCATCTCCGCCGATGAGTGAATCAGGTCCTGCTGTTTGAAAAGTCCTGGAAAGCCATTTTAGACTGTTAGTAGAGTAATGTAAATTTAGGAAATAGTTACCATAGTCTTCTTCGTAAATAATTGCAACTTTTGTCCAGTTGAGATACATCATCAAGTCCCTATACGCCAAATTCATAATGTTTTGGGACGGATGCAAATTGATGGAAAACTCCTTGACACTCATTTCCAAATCAATTCGAACTTCTATGTGCGGAATATCAAAGGCTTCACAAATCGATTGAACATGGGCTGCGAGCAGTGGATCTGTGGGTCCAAAGATGGCTTGGACACCATCCTCCAACTGACGACAGACTTTTTTGGTGGTTCTGAATGAATCATCTCGGGGCACATATTCAATATCATAGACAAGTTGAGTGTGGGGCAGCAGAGATTTCTCCTTGTTGATGCGATAAATGGCATATTTAAAGGCCGACTCAATGCCACCCTCACGTTCGTCCTCTGTAAAAACAGCTCCTAAATAAAATATAAAAAATAAATATATAATATAATATTATCATAATATATAAATAATTTACTTACCAACTCGTATTACTGGTGGCAGTGCATTGGCAACCAAAAGCATTGATAGCAAAACAATATATATCATATAGTAGATCCCGTAGGATGCGTTCAAATTAAGGGGCTCCCCTCTCATTAAGGTAGATCTATGCTGTCCATTAATATTAGCTAAGCATTTGGTATAACCATCTTGCATATTTTCATCTGTTTCACTCTGAAAACTTAATTTCAAACTGTCTTACGCCATTTCCATATATAATATAATATGAAATCTCCAATATATATAATATATATATTATTTCAGTATATATTATTAAGTGTGCAAATTGGATTTAAGCAACCACAAAACTGTAAATTGTTTCACATTTTATTTTATTGGGCAAGCTTTCATATGGCTTTAAAAAGCCTTCAGTGCTCACTAAGCAAAGCGCATGCTTGAAAGCTCAGCCACTGAAGCAACGGTAAAATTTGAGTTCATTACACTACATGCACTCTTATACCAAATTATAAGTGTCATATAATTATGAATATTGCATTATTTAAAGAGCCTCGTGCAATGTTTAACTACAGATTTTTGTGCTTATGTATTAAAGTTGATCGATTATCGAAGGAAAACTAAACAATACAATTAATTGTACTTACATACGTACCCACATACATATATATGACCTTGTAATTATTATGCATTCAACCACACATGAAAATAAATAAAAGCGATGTAGTGGACACTGACACTACGTGATACTCTAACAATATAGTTGCCAACCATGTAATACACCTAAACAGAGCAGTAACAGCTGAAAACATTTCTATCTGAGGACAGCTGTTAAAAGTCTATGCCAACTATGTCACTATGTGATACCGTGACAACCGAGCTGCCACATGATACTCTGTCAGCAGCAACAGCTGCCTCACACAAAAGAGGTAACACAGAAACTCTGTTGTCCTAATTTGCGAACAGTAAAATTTCAAAATGCCATAACCTTGTCAGAACGATTTACAAAAACAATGAATGTAGGCCCTTCAAAGTTGAAAACATGATCAGTTCGAACAATATACTCTTTTACTGTAACACAACAACAGAGTATAATTACAACTATTATACTTGCATGTTTTGTCTGAATGTGTGTGTATAAAGTATAGATGTTTGGTAAGTACCACGTTTGAATATTGGTTCAAGTTCAGGTCATTGATTGCTCAACACGGCCAGCTAGTATAAAATGTGCTTTCCACATTATCGCATTGCAAAACACGGTCAACAATATTAGGGGAAAAAATGGGCGAAAATGTTAAAGTCATTGTGCGTTGTCGTCCCATGAATCTAAAGGAAATCGGCAGCAAGTGTAATGTATGTGTTTTTAAGTAAATAAATAATAATTAATAAATAAATAAAAATAAATTAATGAATGAAGTAAATTAAATAAATAAATATATATTAATAAATATCAGCGAAATTATTCTAAAAAAAATTTGCTTTTTGAATGAATAAATAATAATAAATAAATACAAATAAATAAATACAAATAAATAAGTTAATTGTATAAACCTTGTGTTTGTGAACATTTGCCTACGTATGATACATCAGAGAAATTAATCGAAAGAAAATTACTAGTAAGTGAATAAATAAATAATAAATAATAAATAAAACAAATAAAAATAAATAAAATAAATCAGTTAAGTTTACAACACAACACACAACACAAGTTTGTAAAATAATAACAATAATGATAAAGAAATGAATGTTTTTTTTTTAAATAAATAAATAATAATAAATTAATAAAATTAATAAGTTTGAAAATATTTAGTCTTATTATTTCCGATAAATTAAGCTGCTCTTCATTATCGATTACCCTCCTCAAAAAAACAACTTTATTCATGTACCTTTTATATTTAATTCCATATATAATTTATATTTTTTTAATTCCCAGAGCATTGTGGAAATTGGTGACTACGTTGTCTCTGTGTTAAATCCCTCGGCGCGTAGTGCACCAAGAAAATCATTTACATTCGATAGCGTTTACGATGGACACTCAAAGACGGAAACAATCTATAATGATATGTGTTATTCGTTGGTCGAAAGTACCTTGGAGGGCTATAATGGCACCATTTTTGCCTATGGCCAAACTGGATGCGGCAAAACACACACAATGCAGGTAGGTAATTAATTGATTAAAAATATGTATATAACATATCATTAATAAATTTCCAATTTCAAAAAAGGGTGACGGATATTCCGGGGCTGTTGAAAACAATGGTATTATTCAGCGTTGCTTTGATCATATATTTGAAACCATTTCGATGGCAACAAGTGTAAGATATTTGGCATTGGTCAGCTACTTGGAGATTTACAATGAGAGTATAAGGGATCTGTTGAGTGCTAATAATCCGACAAGCATTAAAAACCATCCACTTAAAGATGTGCCAGGCTTGGGAGTCATGGTTCCAACATTAACCACTCAAGCAGTGATGAGTGCAACGGATTGTTATAATTGGCTAAATATTGGTAATAAAAATCGGGTCACAGCTGCCACCTTAATGAATGATAAGAGCTCGAGATCTCATACAATATTCACCATAAGTTTGGAACAGATTCAAGAAACGTGCTCGCCAGGAACAAATCCAATAATTGGGGGTATACGTAGAGGAAAATTAAACCTTGTCGATCTGGCGGGCTCCGAGAGACAGTGTAAAACGGGCGCTTTTGGTGAGAGATTAAAAGAGGCAACAAAAATTAATTTATCCCTATCGGCGCTGGGAAATGTAATCTCAGCATTGGTGGATGGCAAATCAAAGCATATACCATACAGAGACTCAAAACTAACTAGACTACTACAGGTATTAATAATCTATTTACATAAAATATATATTATAAATTAAATTTAAATAAATATTTAGGATTCCCTGGGTGGCAATACAAAAACTCTAATGGTATCCTGTGTATCGCCAGCCGATAACAGCTACGATGAGACTTTATCCACTCTACGATATGCCTGCCGGGCGAAGAGTATATCAAATATACCCACCATCAACGAGGATCCCAAGGATGCACAGCTGCGACAATATCAGGAGGAGATTATGAGCCTGAAACGCATGCTAGATGAGAATCAACAGGAGAATATTTTACTCAACGATAGAAACAAGAAATTATGGCTGGAGGAGGAAAAGGCCAAGATGCGACAACAAATGCAGGACGAAATAAACGACAAAGAAACCGAAAGGGAGCAAGGAGAGGAAGGAGTGGAAAGAGATGAGATTAAGGAGAGAGATGACGATTTTCAGTTGCATGCACGCAAACGCATCGATTTAATAAAACATGCACTCATTGGTGGGGAAAGAGTCAACGATATACAGCTGCGAGAGCGGCACAGAATGCGCAAATTGGAGGCACAACGTCATCTAAGTGCCATTGCCCATGCCCTGAGCCGCATGCAGAGCGAAGATCGGGATTTGTTGCAGGGACATTATGCCAGCATTCAACAGGAGATCAATAGCAAAAATGAACGAATTAAAATATCCAGCCAGAAAATCAAAATGTTGGAACGAGAAGTTGCTGATCTCAATTCAGAGTTCCAATTGGATAGGGAGGATTATTTGGATGAAATTAGGCATTTGGGTCGTAATCTTAAGTTTTATCAATTACTCCTTCTTAAAGCGCAACCAATTTTACGCAAAAATGGCAAAAATTGGTAAATATAATAATAATCGTATAAATATGCTCAATATTTTAATTCAAACTTCTTTCATTAGGAATCCAGAGAAACTTATGGAAAACTCTTTGTGGAATGATGATATTAAGTCGTGGAAGCTACCCAATGATATAGAAAATAATATCAAATTACCACCAGCGGATCTGAGAGTAGCTTTTCAAAAAATCAACTTTATCGAACACAAAAATTTGGACTTGGAGGCACGCAATGGAAAAGATATAGGTTATACAGAATCGGAAGATAGTACAGTAAGTATTATTATTATTCTTGCGAATCTAATTTAATTTAATGATTTTATTATTTTTTAGTTAATAACTGAGGAATCACCCGAATCTTACAAGTCAAATATATTAAAAAATTACTTTCGACCAAATCGTAAGTTAAATGATCAGTTACTGCAACGAACTAAAAGCTCGCAAGTCTACATGGGAGGTAAATATATAAGATATGGAATCTAATTGATATATATATAGATTTCAATTTCTTTACAGATTTCGCATTACGCAAAAATACGCCGCTGCCTATTAATGAGAATCAACTGAATACAACCTATAAATATGATTTACCTAGAACAAATCATCAAATAAACACCCTATAAAATAAAACTGTAAAAATTAAAGATTCAAATATAAGTGCTATATACATTTTAAAGATCTAAAAATAATGAAAGGAACAGCAGTCGGAAAAATGCAAAAATGTTTATATAAATTTGTATTCTATTTAATAGTAATCATCTTTTGAGAAAATAAACGTGTCTTAACTAACCTACACAGATAGTTTACCTTAATATATACAAACACTATGTACCTATTATAATTATTAATAATATTATACTTAAATGTAGTACTCCTAATGAATAAGGATGTTAATCGGCATACATTACAAACGAGGCGGCGGCATGGGTATTATCTGAAATCGTGGTAGTATTATTTGTATCACGCAATTCGACTTTAATTAAATTTCTAGAACTATCGCCGGGACTCAGAGGCTCTGAGTTGTTGAGACAATTATTATGGCGCGGAGTGCCCGTATTTCGCCTGCAAAAAACAAAATTTGTATATATATTATACATATAGATATATATATATTTATATTTGCTTACTTGGCCTTGGCATGGGTTAAAATGTGTGATTTTAAGTTAGTGGACTGTGCAAATTTCTTATTGCAGGCATCGAAAGGACAAACAAAAGGACGATCTCCCGTGTGGATTCTGACATGTGTTCTACAGAGAAACAGATAACATATATATATATTTATATAAATATATATATTATATATATGATTTATACCTTAAGTTAAAGTCAAGAGAGAAGCGTTTGCCGCAGCCTTCGAAGGTACACTGAAATGGTTTTTCGCCCGTGTGAACCAGTTGATGCCTCTTCAACTTGGAGCTCTCCACAAATGCCTTGCCACATTCGGCACAAACGTGCACCCGCGGCCCGTGTGTATGCAAATGTTTGCGCATTGCGGACGAATCCCGAAAGTATTTGTGACAACCCTTGTGCGGACAGGCGATCTTCTTATCATTGCTGTACTGAGAGAAATCTGAGACATCCCCAGCAGCAACAGCAGCAGCTCCATTTTCAGCCGAGTCTGTAGCTAAAATTAATAAATAAATTAATATAATACAATAATTTAATATTTATCTGTTTATTTCAAGTATATATATATATCGAGAGTTGAAAATATAGTACAATAATTTCTTTTTTATTTATTAATTTAGTTAATGTCAACTAAAGTCAAGAAGTATACAAATACAAATTTATTCAGTTAAATTGATAAATAAGATTTAAAAGTAACTTCAATTAAAAAAGAAATAAGAAATAGTTATAAAATTTCTACCAAAAAAAATTTGAATTAAATTAAATCAATTTTAGGACTTTTTTCAAATCAGTATCATAAAAAAACGCACAAAATCTTTTAAATATTTTTTATAGTTTAAAATTAAATTGAATTTTAAATTTTAGCAAGGAATATTTAATAGTAAACTGATTAAGAGAAATGAATTCTGCTCATCACAATAACTAATACTTAATATTTCATAATTACAACTAAGCTATGACTTACCTGAACGCACTATGCTATAGTTTGAGAGTGTTGTTCCAGAATTAGTCGTCTCATTATGCTGATTGATCAGATCACAATCATTATCGTTGCTTAATATGGATTGATTTCCGATTGGAAGAATTCCGCTGGAATCACTGCTAATTAGTTGACAATCCTGCGACGAAATTACAGCAAACGTTGACGAAGGTGTTGTTGAATTTCGCTTCGATTGTTGCTGTCGATTATTGCATTTATCTGTTGCTGATGTTGTTGTTGCTGTTGCTAGAGTTGTGCCAGTTAAAGGCAGTACCAAATGGGGTTGTAATTGAAGAAATTGCTCCTGCTGGAATAGCAATTGTTGCTGCTGTTGCTGTTGATTTAATACTGTCTCTGTTTTTCGTATATCTGTTTGTTCTGCGGCAGCATTTAAATAATCAATTTCATCAGCATTTTGCTCGGAACCAGAATATTCATCATCTGATGTCCCAGATGCCCACATTGTGACACTAAATTCCCCCTCCATTGTCTTGATTTGAACGAGTTTCTGTTCCCAGCGTCGACATTTGCCACTCTTTCGATCCATTATATCAACGTCTTTAATTTCCACCTTTTGTTGTTGCTGTTGTTGTTGCAACTGTTGCATGCAGTTGACCAAATCTTCGTCGTCTTCTTCGGTTCTTTTCGAGGATTCGTTTTGCTTTCTTTGACTGCTACAAATGAGTGCTAAATAATGAATCAATTAATTAAATTCAATTAACATTTTTTTTTGTTGAGATTTTTATCAAAAACGATGAATTGAAATAAGTTTAAGCGGTTATTTAACTCCATAAAAAACATACGTTTCTGTCTACTTACCATCATTTAAATGCTGTACATTTAATGTGTTTAGTTCATCGGCCTTTGAAATATCATCGTCATCGTTTTGAACTAATATACCATAATGTTCATAGGCAAAATTAGTTGGATCCATTACAGGCTGGTTTACATCAATTGTACAGTGCATTTACATATGTTATATTTACATATGTTCTCCTTACAGTTTACTGATTATGTTATTTACATATGTAAAGCGCTTATTCGCAATGCTTGCAGCGTTTCCTGAGCGTTGTTCGCTACACATACACATGCATATATATGTGTTTATGTTATTTACATATGTTATGCGCTTATTCGTTTTGCTTGAAGCGTTTCGCTTACATTTATTAATGGTTGTTGTTATGGCTCGTTTCTTAGATTAATTTGCTAAATTTGTACATTTTTGCATTTGGCGAGATCAAGAGAAGTTAATTAAATGTGGTCCATCCAGTTGCAGATATTTTCATACGAGACAAAAATGCCAGCCAAATTCATGCAAAACACTCCACAGAAAAATACGATGCTCTGTTATGGTGTCCGTCTGTGTATGTGTTTGTCCTTTGGCAGGGTTTTTAAAAGTAGCTTTGCTTATGCCTTGTTGGGAGCCGATTAACATAATAATATATTGTAAAATATTTGTGTTGAGAAGACAAACAATTGTGAACTTTATTTCGATCGCGAAAATAATTTAAAAGTAACTAAGCGAACAAAAATGGATGCGATGAATAACTGACGGTGTGACCAGAGTTTTAACGCCGTAAAATACCACGCTCTTTTATCAACACAAATTTCACAAAAACAGTGCTGATAAGCTGGTTGTTTATTTGCTTAATGGAACAATTGCGACGTTATGACAAACGAAACTGCTTTAATCAATTATTAGAGATTTATTATTATTATTAACATTAAATATTAAATGTTAACTAAGGAATTTAATGCTTTGTTTATTGTAGTTTTGTGATGTAAAACGTTGACAACATTTATTTAATTATTTAAATACAAAGTTCTACATTTATTGAGCTACACAACAAAAATTATATATAGGAGCTGTAAGTGATTAATCTAAATGTAATGTTAATTGGTTTACTAATTTAAAATAATAAAAACTATCACAAATTGTAGAATCTTGATAATTTCATTAATTTGAAATAATTCATTTATTATAATATTTGTTTTATTACATTAAAATAAACTAAAAACTGTAGCAAAACAGCATTTGATTATAAAATATGGTTATTTCGATTAATTTCATATTCATATTCATTCATAAACAATTTTTAAATCACATATTAAAATTATATGTATCTAAGCTGTTTCATTTCTCCCAAAGTTCCAATTACGTTTTTGTATTAATTATAAATCGCAAAGTGTAGCATGTCTTTTTTGGACAACTAACAACACTGTTTGCTGGCTGCCATCTTTTGACAGTTGTGCCAACGTGACTACCTTTTCCGGTTCAGGCGTTCACCATGGCGGTCGGCAAGAATAAGGGTCTCTCCAAAGGCGGCAAGAAAGGTGGCAAAAAGAAGGTGATCGATCCCTTCTCGCGCAAGGATTGGTACGATGTCAAGGCACCAAACATGTTCCAAACACGCCAAATTGGCAAAACCCTCGTGAATCGTACGCAGGGCCAACGCATTGCGTCCGACTATTTGAAAGGTCGCGTTTTTGAAGTTTCGCTGGCTGATTTGCAGAAAGACATCGATCCCGAGCGCTCGTTCCGCAAGTTCCGCCTGATTGCCGAAGATGTGCAGGATCGCAATGTGCTGTGCAATTTTCATGGCATGGATTTGACCACCGATAAATACAGGTATGTGTGTGTGTAGAGTATTTAAATATATGTGTGTATGGCAGTGTATAATAAAATAATAAAAAAAAATATATATAATTAAACATCCGAAAGACAAACTTGTGCATGACTTCTGTTACCATTTACATTAACATTTTCCATTCTGCAAACACAGGTCGATGGTTAAGAAGTGGCAAACACTCATCGAGGCCATTGTCGAGGCCAAAACAAGCGACGGTTATTTGTTGCGTATATTCTGCATCGGATTCACATCGAAGGATCAACAGTCGCAGCGTAAAACGTGCTACGCTCAGCAGTCGCAGGTGCGCAAGATTCGCGCCCGCATGACTGACATTATTACGAACGAGGTGAGCGGAGTCGATTTGAAGCAGCTGGTCAATAAGCTGGCCTTGGACTCGATTGCCAAGGACATTGAGAAGAGTTGTCAGCGCATTTATCCGCTGCACGATGTCTACATTCGCAAGGTAAAGGTGCTCAAGAAGCCCCGCTTCGATGTCTCCAAATTGCTCGAACTTCATAACGATGGCGGTGGCAAAACCACAGAAGCCGTCGTCTCCGCCGAGGGTGCCGTCATCGATCGCCCCGAGGGCTATGAGCCACCTGTCCAGGAGGCCGTTTAAATAACTAAATTATACACTTTGAATTCCCATTTCAAAATGTCAAACAATTAAAAAAAAAAAATTATATTTTGTTTACAATTATTGGGCATTTTTTCGGGTTTCTTTTTATTATTTCTTTTCAGGCATTTCCTCTAAAATTTGACGGCCTTTTGGAAAGGTGAGTGTAAAACTAATTATTTTTGATATTTAATTAATTTATGATTTATTTATAACATGATCTTATTTATTTTCCGTCTATTTTTCTTTTATTTTATCAGACTTTTCTAAAATTTGACGGCCTTTTAAAAATGGGTGAGTTTAAAATGTTTATTTATTAATTTCACATATTTATTTTTGAACATGATGTTTTTTAAAATTATTTTTCGTCTCTGTATAATTAATTGATGAGAATCTAAAATTAAGCTGAAAGCGATACAGCAATTTTGATCTTCCATCTTTTATCTAACTTTATTTATTATTAATTCAAGTGTTTTTAATTATTTTTGCAGCAATTCATTCATCATTCTTCATTTTCTTCCAAAAATGGTAAGCTGTCTTTTTATATATTTATTTATTATTATATACATTTACTGATGATCTTTTATTTGCTACTCTTGAATAACTAAATTGATGAAACTTTTCACCTTTGTAACTGATGAATCTCTATTTGAATTAAATATTTTTATTTATTGACAATGGTTATTAAATTTAGAACTGTTTTTCTATTTTTTTTTTTTTTACAGAATTGCACACAAATTGAATATAAGTAAATTAAATCTGCAAATGGTGAGTTGTTTATATTTTTAAATGTTTATTTTAGTTCTACTGATGATTTTTTATTTATTTGCTACTCTTGAAAATTCACTCTGATGAAACTTGTCACCTTTGCAACTGAGCTTAAATTCATTTTTTTGTAGTTTCACTTTTTCTACAATATTTAAATCAATCTTCTCTATTTTTTCAGATATATACCTTCTTTTGTACATATGCTCGCTCTACATTGGAAAAAAAAGGTTTGTTAGTTTAATTTTTTTAAATTGAAACTATTTTATAATGATGACAAACTTACCCAGCTCGCTTTGATTTATCATGAAGAGAACTGTTCCAAATCCAACGCAAACTAATTAATTGCTGATATTGAATTTTAAATAATTAATAAATAAATAAAATAAAACCTGCTAATTGCGCTTTATACACTTTTTGAATTACAGTGTGTGGCATGACGCGAAAAATATTTTCTACATTTAAAAGTAAGTTTTTAATAAATATTTAAGAAATATGAATATGAATATTAAATATGATGATTTATCTACGGATTCCCCATCATTTGTGCAATAAATGACAAATCCAACTACTGAATTAAAATTTTAAATGTTTACTATTTATCAATTTATATATATAAGTTATCTTTATATTTATTTTCGTTTGCTTGCAGTTGGAAACTTCTGGTTTCTGGAAATTTATTGTGATTTGCTTGTTAAAAAAGTAAGTAAAAATAAATAACTATTAAAAAACTGTATTAAATTAATGATGAACATTCAATCGTATTTGAATTAATCATGTGAACGATTTTGTTTAAGATAGTAGAACTGATTAGCATATTGATTGTTTAAGTTAGTTGTAGTTACTTTGAAATATCTTAATGAGCATTATTTTCAATTTTTTTTTAGCAACGACAACATTTATTGTGGAAAGAAAGGTTCGTTTTATATTGTTTTATAATTGTTTTAAATCCAATACAAATTCTGATGACAAACTTACCCAGCTCGCTTCGATAAGCCATGAAGAGAACTGTTACAAATCCAACGCAAATTAATTAATTGCTGATATTATTTATAAAAAGTATTAAAAGCTCCTTTACAAAAAATCTGCTAATTTATCTTTTTTTATAATTTTCTCTTTTATAGCATGAAGGAGGCTATTTTATTTCTAGCGGAAATTTACCGTAGGTAAAAGGTAAACTAATTAAAATGCTTAATTTGAATTATGATTTATCTACGGATTCCCCATCACTTACACCATAAATGACAAAACCGGATCTGCTGAAATTAAAATGGCATTTAAGCCATAAGTTTTTTATTTAAAATGAATACTTTATTTGGGAAGCTGAAATGAACTGTTTGCATCCCAAATAAAATTAAAAGCAGCAGTTATTTCTTATATATTAAACAATTAAAACAATTCCTGTTGCGATATAGTAAATGAATAAATATTTAAATACAAGAAAACAACTGATAATTAATTTTTGGTCTCTTTCATACATTCATGGACAATGTTTGGCTTTTTTCCAGATTTTTGTTTTAGAAAGTATCGTGGCAGAAAAATTTGTAAAAGTATTTTCGGCTTCAAATTAAATATCGATAATATGAATTTCAGCTCGTTTTGGCTGCTAACAACATTATGATTTACGCGATATAATCGATAGCAAGTAACTTGTGCAAGTTGAAATGATCGATATTTCAACTGTCAAATATCAGCTGTTTTCTGTGCCGCAGCGAGTACTGCTTGTTAACAGCTGAAGCAACTCGTCTGTCATAGTAACAGTGCCGTTTTGAAATATGTACACAGCGCTAGCTGTTATTCCTAACAGCTTTCAGTTGTGTTACGGAAGCGTTCGACGCTCTGTTAATTTCTCAGTTTTTGTTGCGCGAGGTTTGGCGAGCTGGCTGTGTGTGATATTTTCAAGCGTTTTTTAATATTAAATTTACCGCATTTCAAAAATTGCACTTACTACAGAAAAAGTCGTAACTCTTTAATGGTAATTTAAAATTAAAATTTATATGCAAAATGAGGTAAATAATTGATTATATGCACGAATTAAGTAACGAAAGAAAGAAGGATCGTGCCGACGAAATTTTACTTCTTGACAAAATAAAGATACATATAAATATATATACACTGGTGTGTATATAAATGTATGTGAATGTGAATGTACACACATGTAAAACAGCAGAAAATACTTATGCATACACACATATGAATGTATCGCGTGAGTATGTGTCAATGTGTGTGTAACGTGTGGCGTTTTTGATCGGGATCGTCGTCATCGTAGCGTCTGTGTGTATGTATATGTGTGTGTCTGTTTATATATATATATGCTTTGGTTCTGTCAATGTATTGGTGGCATGTGCGTTTGACGAGTAAAAGTTGACAAAAAAGAAAATAAAATACAAAACAAGTAAAAAAAAGTGCGATAAATTCAAATCAAATCAAAATAAATAAAAATTGTGTGTAACAGAAATAAAAATAAATATAAAAAAAGTGTGTTCCACAAATCAAATGTAATATTGTTTTAGATATAACAATTTACATATGAATGTGCAAGTGTATTAGTGTATATGTGTATGCGAATGAATATGAAACATACACAAAAAATATAGATAAAAATCTAAATAATTAAATATAAATCTACATACAACGAGTGCCAATTAAAAGTCAAATAAAAACGCATCTGTGTTACCGACGGCAATTACAATTTTCAAAACGTAAGTTTTTTATATATTGTATCTAAATACTTAGCCCAAATTGTAATTCTTTGAATTCACACAATGCTGTTTGTTTATAAGCGTGTGTGTGTGTATGGGTTTATTTGCTGAAAATACAAAATACAAATCATTTTTCATATTCTCTGCTCTTTGATTTTGAGTTGTTTTTTTTCTGTTCGTCTACCTGTTGATATTTTATCCTACAATCACGTCTCTAAATAGAAACTCGTTGTGTCATTAGCAGTAGTGTTGTTGTTGTTGTTTTGGGTTCGCTTGTTACCTTGAACTAATAGTTAACCTTATTCCCTGCTGTGCACACACACATACGCAGAGACCCGCACCTCATCAGGTACATGCGTATGTTTGTTGTATGTATGTGTGTGTATGAAAATAGACGAAGCAATGTTCGAAACTTCAGCATAAGCCCTACGCGCACACGCACACACAGGCACACACTACAAATACATACCTACAGATATTGCGCTTGTGTATGGTCGTTTTCCATTCTTTCGTTGTCTCTTCGAAAGAGACAGTGACAGCAGAAGCAGCGGCGGCGTCTCGGGCTCGACTCGGCTTCGTTCGGATCCGCATGACTCCTCGGCTCTACACACTAAAAGCAGACAGCAGAAGAAGAAACATAACACAAACACACACATGCACAAATACAAATGCAAACAGTGATGAGATTGTTCTAGGAAGTCGTTTCATTATCGACTGGCCGTAGTCGAAGACGAAGACGCAGGCAAAGGCGCAAAAAGGCCTTGTGCATTTTTACTTTTAACGAAAATGATGACAAGTAGGACATCGAAAATACATTCATACAAACACATGCTTATATATGTTTAGCATAGAAACTGATACTGATAAATACAAATTTCTGTCTGTATAAATATTTGCTTTTCTGCAGTGATTAAAACAATTTTTTTTTTTAGTTGAGAAACAACACACAGCTGATTGTCTTAGGCACATTTCGAACTATTCTTCAGGGGACAACTAACTGAGCTTTTGCCGCTGCTCAGCAAATTATATATACATCTGCATAATGGGAATGCATATTACAGCAATTCAATTGGAAGTCTACTCCATTAACATTAAAGAAATGGCAAATGTTACCAATTATCGGTTATTTTTGGTAATAGGACAGTAATAGCTCTGTCCGTTTAACAGTCCATATATACATTAACATATTAATTACATGTAATTTTTTTGATCAGCGGTAAATAACCAAGCACAAAACAACTTATGAAAGAAGAAGAAAAAGCGTCACTAAAAGGACGGTTTATGTGTGTCATATACTTTTAAAATGCATTGCTTATACAGAACATTAATATAAGAATATAATTATAAGAGTATAAGAGAATTAATAACTTATAAGATGTTGTAGGTTGTGGTATAAGACACAAATATTAATGGAAATCTTTTTATTGTTTACAGGCGTGCATATGTGGACGAAATTTAATGTAAAGACGCATTAAGGAATTATTTGTTTCTGTTTTTTGTTTGTTTTTATTTTGTAAATCCGCCGGTAAATGCGCTTGAAGCGATATGGCCGGCAAATTAGTCAATCCGGTTATAATCCAACTGAAGCACTTTAAATACGGAATAGTAGTTGTGATGATGACGCTGATGATGACGTCATATTATGCAGCATTTAGCAACAGCTTCCCGAAGGCAATATTAAAATAAATTTCGCTCGCACTACTAAACAACCTGGAAGGTGACTGGAAAGTGTCTGGCTGCTGCTGCTGGTGGTGGTGGGAAGAGTATTAAAACATGCCTCATACACATTCGCGTCATGGTGCATCCGGTGATGATTTAGGCAGCACCGACGAGGTAAAGATATTCAAAGATGAAGGCGATCGCGAAGATGAGAAAATATCATCCGAGAACCTTTTAGTCGAAGAGAAATCAAGCCTTATCGATTTAACAGAGAGTGAGGTAAATTATACTTGTTGAAAATTAATTTCTTTATTAAATTACATTCATTAATTATATATATTATAATATTAATAGAATATTAAATTTAATTGAATTAAATTTATTAATTATGTATATTTAATAGTAATCGAATATTAAATTTAATAAATTACATTTATTATTTATGTATTTTTTTAACAGGAAAAGGGCAGCAAAACAGTGACGAGGCCGGATCACAGTCCCGTATTCAGTAAGTGCCATTAATTTATTTTAATATTTATATTATTTTTATCTATACATCTATATACACCCACCCACACATACATACATACACATATTTATGGAAATAAATAACATTTATTATTAGGGGGGAAGCTGCACCGCGGCCTATTTGATCTATTGTGCCCCCCTTCTGAGTCTATAGCTCTTCCATCAGCCCCAACTCCCTTACGAACGTGAGGATCTTTGTTGGGTTGAGGTCTACTATGTTCTTGCAATTCAAAACATGCGCCCCTAGGATGCTGCTTCTTCTTCTAATTAAGGCGACACATTCTGCCAGGATGTGCATCGAGGATTCCTCCCCTCTTTCACAAAACCTGCAGAGATCGCTACTATATATACCCAATTTTGTCAGGTGACTCTTTGAACGAACTTCATGGACTACCTTGGATGTTATCTTAGTCCCCATTATAGCTTTCAATGCTGCTTGACTATCGGATAGGATGGATATATCCGTATTCCGATAGTTACGTTCTATGTTGATGTCCGCACATCTCCCTATCGCACCTACCTCAGCCTGAAATATGCTGGTGTGCGTTCCCAGGGATTCATGGTAAGATACCCGAGGACCCACCACTCCAAGGCCGGTTTCATGGGATGGACTTCATCCAGAGTTGTCCATTCCCTTTTACTACTCATACGAACTGTGAAATTTCGCTCGAATATGTATTCCGCTGCCATTTCGTCCCTAGGTTGCGTAAGTAGGGGTAGTTCGTTTGAAAGGAGTTGGGCATCTTTATGGCTTAGGATATGGTTGCCCCCAACTCCTTCTGCTGATATCCTGAAAAGCGTGGCTTTCTGCTTGAGCCTTATGATATGGTGGACTGGTGTGAGCTCCATTAAGGCTCCAAGGGCAATTGTTGGGCAGGTGCGCATACCTCCTGTCATACATACGCATGCCATTTGCAATTTTTGTAGTTGTTTCTTCACGGTGATCATCCGCACCCTGTCACCCCATGCAACCACCCCATAGGTTAACATGGGTCTTACTATCATCAGGTACAGTCATATCTTTGGTGATGTACCCCATGATTTGCCGGCAATACTACGACATGTATAAAGCGCCCTGGAGCACTTTAATATCGTGTTTATATAAATAAATAACATAGAAACATAACTGTTATTTTGACCATTTCGAGTAAAAGCTGCACTGCCCATCGCTACTTGATTTCTTATTGTTATTCGGTGGGGAACTGTGCATAGATAAAATTAAATGCAAGCTGATCGGCAGCAGTCTGTACATATTATTTGCCACCGACTGCGGCTTGCGAGAAATTAGTGTAGAAAAACTATCAAATCTAATTAGAACTAAGCAAAAAGATTATAGGCAGGCAACCTGAAAGAAGCAGAAGAAGAGCTGCTGATTGCTTAGCATTGACAACTAATAAATATATATATATATATATATATAAATATATATATATATATATATATATATATAATACAAGCATGAACGAGCAACGCATTCGTCATGCACTGTTTTTATAAACAAACTTAAATGAGACAGGCGGCAAACATGTGCTTATATTTTGAAGCCACAGTTGTTGTTGGGGCGGATAAATAACCGGCTGCTGCTGCCGACGCCTCTGCTGCTGCTGTTGCCTCGGTTACTTCCAGCGCTGCTGCCAGCGTCGCTTTAGCTTTTTAGTATTTGTTGCGTTCGTTTTCGTTCCATGGTTGGTGCTAACAAGGTGATGCAGATCGCCTCGTCGACACGCTACTTCATTTCTTGTTTTCTTGTTGTTTCTTGTTTTTTCTGTTTTCTGTTTGCTATATTTTGCTTTCTTTTCGCCGTCAGCGCGGCTTATTCGGAGCATGTCAGTGTGTATGTGTGTTTGTTCTTTTGAAAAGAACGAGTAAATGTATGTATGTGTTTTTATCAGTATATGCATGTGTTAGTGCATGTTTGTATGTATGATTTTCGGTTTGCTTGCAAGCCAAATTAAAAAGCGAACACACACACACGTTACATATGCATATGTATGTATGTTTGTATGTATGCAAGCGCTTTAAATTTAATTTGTGTTTGCAGTTGATTGTTTAAACAGAAATAACCACTGCCAACATAAAATTTGGATATTTATTATTGATTTGTGCACAAATATAACACTGAATTCACATTCAGCTTATTTTCTAAAATGACGATTGTGACAAGTGTGAAATTATTTCCCTTTACCTGGCATTTAATCTGTTATTTTACAGTAAATGTATTACATACATAATGCTTAATATAAGAATATTTTAAGCGATCACTACTTACCACTGCAAAGTTCACATTTGTACTTTCTTATTAACAGTGCATAAGCACGTAATGCTTAACATAAGCATGCTTTAAGCATCTGCATACAACGATCAATACTTAACATTGCACAGCACAGTTCACATGCACATAAATTGCACCTATGTACATTTGTACCAACTTATATATGTACATTTATAAATACATATCTACACACACATATGTATGTGCTCACTTTGCAGCAAGCGTCGATTGCGACTGCTAGACAGGCAGACAGACATGCATAACTTGTTAACAACCCGACGCCGCCGTCTACACATTTTTTTTTTGTTTTTGCTGTTTTTTTTAAAGCCCATAACAAAACAGTTAACGAGCTTTTTACCTTTGGTTCCTTGACCACACTCTGCAGGAGAATTCTGCTAAACAATGTTAAGCAGAAGAAGCTGCAGAAGAAGAAGAGGCGTAATCAGCCCAGTGGCTTATTTGAGAAGGGTTGCTTTTTGTGTGGCGCCAAAATTAATACAAAAAGATATATAAATAAAATTACATGAGCACTTTTAAATATTTATGTATATTAAATTTTAAAACTTTATAATTTGTTATATATGCATAATCCCTTGCACTTTAAATCGCGACGACCCTGAAATCCCATGTGTGTGTGTGAGCATTGAAAACATTTTATTCATGTATACACAAATACATAAAAACATACATACAAGCGCAAATAGTATGTGTTTTGTTGAGGCCAAACTCACATAAACACACACCTACACACAAAAATACATACAAATGCAAGTCGCACACTGGAATTATGAGCATGAATTGGAATTTAATTGTATATAATACAATTGCAGCAAATTGTATTTTAGATATGTATATAAAAATAAATATAATTCAAATTAATAATATATTAAATGTCAGCTGCTTTACGCAACAGCATTCGTCTTGCCTGAAAACATCTTATTAAATTACGTGACAATTTCAAACTACTTTGCCCACTGTGCGTCGATCAGTTCAGCTTAATACTGAGTTTGCTTGCATGCAAGTATGATTGTAGCCCTTCTTCTTCTATAAGCGACTTGCGGATGCATGTGTGTGTATGTTTGTATTCATATACGTATTCCGAAGTACGTCTGCCTTGCTTGGGTATTGTGTATCCTTGGAAATTAATGAGTTTTCGTAGAATCGACGAGCCGCTGCCGCCGCCGCTGCCGGCGTGTGTGTGTTTGGAAGTTCTTGCTGGCTGGATGGTTAGCAGACGCTTGTTGTTTCCAGAACGCCTGGATTATTTTGTTACCCAGTATTTTTTTTTTGTACCTTTCGTACCTTCGTTGCTTGTGTGTGTATATTGGCTGCTTCTCATTCCGCGTTTGCGGCTTCCTTCTCTCCTCCTACTTCTCCTGCTTAACATTTTGATTTAAGAAGATATTTCTTTTTTTGTTTTGCTTTTGTTTTGTGCATTGCTGCTTGTGTTTTTGGTTTTTTTTTGTGGATATTTTAGCGTGTTTTTTGTGCTTGCTTTTCTAACAAGCTGTGAATTATTTAATGGTAGGACTGTGATATTTTCCCAATGGTAACATCATCTTTGCTCTCTGTGTGTGCATGTATATTTGCATATGCATATGTGTGTATATAAGAAGAAGAGTAATCAGCGCTGGGAAAAATCCCTATTAATTCGTGCTTCTTCTTTTGCCAGTTTGCGTAACAAATTAAAGCAAGAGACAGAAAGATAGAGGAGAGAGTGTGATAGGGGGAGTTTGTAGAATTAAGCATAGAGAAATAAATGTCGGTCAGCAACTTAATTTGAATTCTCGAATGCTTTTATTAATTGTTTTAAAGTGCGAGCTATAACTAGTACACACACATAAATACACACACATGCATACAACTGAACGAAGGCCACAGAGAGAGAGAGACAGAGAGAGAGAGAGAGAGACAGAGAGAGAGAGACAGAGAGAGAGAGAGAGCGAGATAGATTACTCCACATCAACGCTTCCACACAAATTGTCCTCGTTTATCTCTTCCTCTTCCCCGCCACCATCTTTCCCTTTTCAATTTCATTATATTAATGTTATTCATCTCTTCTAATAATATGCGTTTATTGCTGCCTTAAAAAATGATCGAAAAAAAGATTTAGTTTCCTGTTTTTAATTTTTTTTTAATAGTTACACATTTAATTGGCTCGTTCCCAAATTTCAGATAAACTCGAGCCGCATACACCTACCTTCAATATGGGCTATTTGGTGTCTCCCTACTCATATGCTAATGGTGCACCGGGTGGGCTGCCCGTAACAATGGTAAGAACTCTCTACAAATTGTATTATTACATCAATAAATTGATAAAACAAAAGAAAATTTATACAGAAATCAAATACAGTCTAAATTAAATAGAATAATAAAAAAAAAATGGTCATGCATAAGTCAAAAATTTTCTAAATAGTACTAAATAGTCATAAATAAATAAAAGAAAAGCCATATATGCGTTAAAAAAATCTAAATGGTTATCAATAATAAATAAATAAAGAAAAGAAAAGTTATATAGAATAAATTAAAATTAAAAATTTTAAAACGATCTAACCAGTCATAAATAAATCAAAAAATTAAAAAAATGTATACTTAAATCAAAAATAGTCTAAATACAATTAAATATATTAACAGAAAGTCATATATAAATTAAATAATTAATATTAAATATTCAATAAAATGTTTCCTTTTTTTGGAAATGTTACATTGTATATTTATATTTTAAGTTTAGGGCTGCGACCATATAAAATGTCAAGGGATGATTTTATTATATAGTTTACATTATACTTACTTATTATCAACAACAAAAAAAAGGGTAATTACATTTAAAGTCCTCTTTGAATGATAGGTTATTAGGGGAGGGTTTTCTCAACGTTTTATATTTGTCTCCCTTTTTATATATTTTTTTTACGGCATTTGCCCATCCTGTCCTGAAATTAAAACTACTCACATGTGTGTCAATATCATATCACCATCATCATCAGCATCAACAGCATTTGTTGATTGCCCCCGCATACTGATTAAAAAATAACAATTCTCTGCAATTTTTTAGAGTTTGAATAGAAGAAAAAATAAATCTATTGGTATTTTAATATTACTGTTAAATATAGGCATAGATTTTAAAAATAAACTGTTTTAATAGTTGGAATTGATTATATATTTGTATTAAAAACATTATGCATAATTTAAAAATAGAAAAACTTAAGTTTCGAACTTGATTATTTTTGGTATTCGTTTTATTTAATAAATGCAATGTCGAAAAAATAATAACACCACTTGAAAGGTGTCTTTTCTTGAATTTAACGATCTTGTTAAAAAAAAGTGAGAAACAAAAAAAAGTCAACAACTTGCAACTTAGTTAAATTTAATTAAAATTAATATTATATAAATTAAATTCAGTGAAAAGTCTGAAATTTAACGGTTAAAATAATATAATTTATAATTATAAATATTATAAATAATTAAATGATTTCTAGAAAGTGCTTTTTTTCTTTTGCGCTACTTTTTGTCAAAAAGAGAAACATATATGTAAATATATTGGAAAGAACTTTAATTTATACGAGTATACCCTAAAAATTGAATTAAATGTTAACACTTAATTTCAAAAATAATGATTTGTTTTGCTCATGCATTTTTAGCTAGTGGTGCTATTATTTTGACCACAACCGTTGGCGATGAAGCCCTTTCCGTTTGAGTTTGGGTTTTGGATTAGGAACGGATATATATTCGATTATAGCCAAACCACTGATGCCAATTGCGAATTTGTTGTTGGTGTCAATTTAATTTTTGGGCGTTCAACCAACGACAAACAAAAAATACATTTAATGTATTTGCGAAGGCAACGACTAGAAATAAACGACAACAACAAAAAGTACGCACGCCGACAAATAAATCCAAATGGTCAGCTTGTTGCTTCTTCTTCTTCTTCTTCTTCATCATCTTCTGAGCGCCTGAGCGCTTTTTTTGTTGTTCCTGTTGTCAAACATTAGTTTTGTGTGGAGCTTTGCACCATTTCAGACAGTGATAACAAAGAAAGGTTAAGTACAAAACACCGGCAGCAAACATCCTCTAAACCAAAAAAAGAAAAAAACGTGCAGGAAAAGCAGCAGGCCTTTCCAGCCCGCAACAGGTTCACTCTATTGACTGGAAGGGGGCTTTTCTTGGTAAGAAATTGCCCTTGTAGAAAATGTCCCTTTCCATTTATATTATTAATATTAATATTAATTATAGTTATAATTCATTTTATTATCAGAAAACGCAATTTGTTTATTTTATATAAAACACTGCATTAATTTTAAACATAGGTTAAGAAAAGAAATGAAAATTAAATTTATATTTAAAGTTGCACTTAAAATTATATAAAATGATAATTAATTATAATATTTAAATTATTAAATTTATAAATGTACAACGTTTATAAATGAATAGGAAATCCAATTGTTATTAGTGCATAATTTAATTATTTTATTAAATGTAAATTAAAACAACAGTCAACAAATTTTAAAAAGATTTACAAAACAATTGTAATTTAAATTTACACTTTAAATGAAAGAAGATTAAAAATTATTAATTAAATTTAAATTCACAATGTATTAATGTGAATATTTATTTATATTTAATAATTTAATTGAGTTATTTTATTAAATGTGGTTTATCAATGGAATTTCAAATTCAAGTTTAAGTTGCTGTTCAAATGATTTAAAATTAAAAATAAATTATAATGCATAATTCCTAAAAGTGAATAGTTGTAAACATTTTGTTATTTATTTTGTATTTAATGTGGACTATCAGTTTTTTATTCAATTTTAAATATAAATTACCGTTTTTATCAATGGAATTTCAAATTCAAGTTTAAGTTGCTGTTCAAATGATTTAAAATTAAAAATAAATTATAATGCATAATTCCTAAAAGTGAATAGTTGTAAACATTTTGTTATTTATTTTGTATTTAATGTGGACTATCAGTTTTTTATTCAATTTTAAATATAAATTACCGTTTTTTATGTCAGCTTTAAGACTAAGAATTATGCATTTAAAAATCGATTTTACTCGTTAGTTCGCTTTGAATCAGTTAATAAAAAATGTAGCTTTGAGACATCTATTTGGAAAAAATACAGCAACAAAATGAAGTATTTTAATTTATATCTCTTTAATCGATGCACGGCGAACAACGAACAGTGTTGCACAGTGCAGCACACAACACCCCCAAAAAAAGAGAGGAATGAGCTTTGCTTTGCTTTGCTTCACCCTCTCCTCCGCCTCGGTTGCTATCGGTTCGCTTTACGTCGTTGGTGGTGGTGCCTGTTGTTGTTGTTGGTACTTTAGCATTTTTCTTCGTTACACACACACATGTATACACGCATACATACAGACGTCGTTGACTCTCTTTTGCGTTCCCTTTCTCACTCACGCTCTCGTGTTCGTGTGTATAAACATAATCAACGGATTCACATGCACACTAACTACTACTACTCCTACTACTACACATTCAGACACAGAGAACTAGCGTCGTTGTGTGCGTGCCTTGTTCCGCACAAAAAAACCCCAAGAAATCCAAAAATATAAAAAAGCGTACGCCGACTAATACAACTACAAATACTAAGCAGCGGCAGCATAGCAGAAGCAGAACAACAGCAGCAGAGCAGCAGCGAAAGAAAAAACAGCAGCAGAACCACAGCACGGCAGCGGCAGCAGCATCAGAAACTGAAGAAGAAGCAGCAGAAAAGCAGAGCAGCAGCAGAAACAGAGAAGAAGGAGCAACTGTGCAGCAGCCAGCAACAAGCAACAACCACCCGAAAGTGATTGCCGAGTGCTGAGTGCTGCTGTTGATATGCCTTTTTTAATGCGAGAGAAAGAGATAGAAACAAAGAACAACCCCAAAAAAAAGAAAAAAAAAACATCTTGCGCTGCAGTTTTACAGTTTTAAACAATGGCGTCCAATTCCAATTCTTACAGCATCTCCTTCTCCCCATTCAAGTCATTTTTAAAACCATTTACAAAAAGGGGTTAAAGCACAATAATTAATGCTGAATATGATTTAAGAAAATAAAGAAACTATGCATTTTCTAATGAAATATAATTGCCAACAGTTAAGATAATAAGTACAATAGTAGTGTAATAATAGAAATATTAAATTTTGCTGTATTTTTAAGAACGTTTCCAATTCTTGTTGATGTAAAAACAAAAGGGCTAAAGCTAAATAATTGTATTATGAATATGATAAAAATAAATAAATACAGATATATAAATAAATACAAAAATAAATATAAACATATATTATTTCTGTAATAAATATTACATTTTTATATACATTTATTTATTGTTTATTATTTAATACTTATCATTTATTCTGATGAAAAATATTAGATAATAGATAAGTTAATTAAAGTAGCAAACTCAAATTAATTTTATAGTAAATAATAAATATTAAACAAATAAGTAAATTTATGCAGTTTCTAATAAAACAAGTAAGAGTACTGTAGTCGAGCTCACCCGACTACGATTTACCCTGAACCCAGTTGTTAAATATTTCTAGTTATATTGGGAAATTTCCCTTTAAAAGTTTTGCATCAAAATGTGAGCAGGTCTGCAAGTGCGCTCTGCCGACAAACACGTGAATGTGCATACATACATACAAATATACGTACACGCAATCGTATCGGGGTAACGACGGTACAGACGGCGGGCGGACAGACGGAGATAGCTATATCGACTCGGCTGTTGACCCTGATCAAGAATATATATACTTTATGAAGTCGGAGATGTTTCCTTCCGCCTTTTACATAAATTTGCACAAAATCATACCTTTTTTTTTACCCATTTTTAATGGGTTCAGGGTATACAGGGTATCTTAGATAATAGTTAAGATAATATCTATATATCATTTACAATAAATAAATAAATCTATGCCTTTTCTGATTAAAAATAATAGTTAAAAGATAAGACAATAAACATAGCAAAGTAAGAGTAATAAATAATATAACAAAATATATGTAAAAATGAAAATCTTTAAAAATTGAGTATATTGCCCAAAGTTTAATAACAATAGTTAAGGACGATTTAAAGCACTCCCCATACATCCCATGCAAAAGTGTCTTATCAAGAGAAAGGAATGAAAGATGAAATGAAAAAAGCTTTCTGCTTCGCTCTGCAAATGTAAATACACTGTTAAATGTTTAAGATCAATAGCAATCTGCTTCGTCTTCTGCCTCGTCTCGTGGTCTTCATTCGTTTTTTGCATAGTTTCACTTCCAACATTCCATTTCATTAATTTCGTAAAGCTATTATGAGAGCATCGAGTAACTGTAAATAATAAATATGTATGTATTAATAAGCTTTAAAATTATGTATATATAAATATGTACACTTAAAGCAAAAGCTGATTTATGTGTATTTTTAATTAAATGCAAACAGAGTTGATTTAAATTATAACTATTTATTTATTATATCTGCTAATAACAGCATGTAAAATGTGTTTTTCTATTTAAAGGTCCAATTAACAGCGTGTTAACAAACAGCTGTGTATTTAAATGGGCACTGCACCAATATTAATATTAAATATATATAGATGCAGATAAATATCAGCGCACAATAAACGCTTAAAAATTGGAATTGTAGCTGCGTTAGTTTTAACCTTAAATTAAAACGAAAAAAAAAAAACAAAAACAGCACAATCACAAATGACGCAAAAAAATATTTAAAAAAAACCCAAGCAGACATTGAGACTACGCAGCTGGGGGAGGGGGCTGGCAATGTTGTATAGCGGGTGGAGGGAAAGCTACGGCGGCAGCGTTGGCGGCACTTTTTATATTCGTTTAGCGGCGGCAAACATTAAAGACATATTTTCGGTTTCGCTTGCTTTGTAGCCGCTGCTTGCTGCTGCCGTCGCTTGTTATTATTCTTGTTTTTGTTATTGTTGTTTTTGTAGTTTTATTCATCAAGCCACATGTACAACAACAACAAAAACATTGGTGATAATACGCAACAAACTTACAAATATTCATTAAACACACACACACACATTGCACTATCTAACTGCATATTTGTGTATATGCATATATGTATGTTTGTATTGTTGTCAGTTTGAATTTTTTTTGTTAACTACATTGAACATACAAAGTTGACAATAACAACTTGAAAACTGAAATGATCTATGAGTAGAGAGAGAGCTGTTCTTTTTTTATGTGGTAAAAGTGTAACGGGGATACTTAAAGCAATACAAAATATAGAGAGTGTGAGAGAGGAGGAGAGTACTAATTAAGAGCGCGCTTTAAATATTTTTAGCCATATTTAAGTTGCATCAACAAATGCAATATAACTATTTTCGCTTGCATTTAAAAGAGTAGAAAAAGGCAGCGAGCTCAATTCGAGAGAGAACCTTTTCCATTTTTATCTATGCAGAGATCAAACTAATCGATCTAGAAGGCAGCAAATGTAAAGTAGACATGTGAAGGAAGAGAGAGTGAGAGACGAATAGAGCTCTAGTCAACGGGAAAGAGAGCTTTAACTTTTTTATTATTTATTTTTATTTATTCACTAAACTCACAGCTTAAATAAATGTTGTTTTATGCTTAATGGCGATATTATAAATTGAAAACTTTCAAAAGAACGCTCGAAACAATTTATCATAGATGATTATACAATAATTAATTAAATTAAAATAAACAATTAAATTAAGTAGATATATATATATATATATATAGAGTTTTGACCTTTTTTATTCATGCCGAGCTCAAATTAAGTGATCTAATAAGCTGTACGAATGAACGGAGTAGAGAATAGTGCGGAGCAGGTAACTCTAATAGAGAAAGAGCTTTTATCAATTTTATTCATGCAGATCTCCAAACTAATTGATCTAGAAAGCTGTAAAAATGTAAAGCAGAAACTCAAAGGAATGGAGAGCATTTGCATTTTCAATCCAATCAATGAACGCAAAATTGAATGGATAGATTTTCGATCACATTCATTGCCCAAGCTCACAACTATTTATCATAGATGATTATATAAAATAGTACATTAATGTGGACTTTAAATTGATAATGTGTACTTTGTTAACAATGCCTGCTTAATGATAAGGTCCAGGGAAAGAGAGGAAGGCATAGAGAAGCTGCTTGCATAAGTAAGGAAGAGGGGTGGGGAAGTACACAGCATACTCCGTTCTGTTTACCAATTGTCCGCTCTCCTTTCAGCCTCTCTCTCTTTCCCTCTCCCACTCCTTTTCACCCGTTGTTTATCTGTGCGCATTTCTGCATTGCCTGCGTCGGCTGCAGTTGCTGCCAGGTTAAGCGAAGTCACCGCTAGAGGTCAACAAAAGTCCAATGAACTCTGACTCGGACTCGAACTCGAACTATTTAAAGTTTGTAATGTTGAAATGTTCTCATTACAGTTTTCATAATTTATACACACTCTCAATGAAGCTTGAAAAGCTTTAATCGATTAATGTTAATGCTAAATATGTTACTCATTATGTTTGACTCGGTTATCTAGCACAGTATCGAAATCGCTTATATTAATATAACATAATTAATTAAGTTATCGAAATGTTCTCTGTTCATGTCTAGTACATATTATTCACCACAATTATTGAATTTTATCACTGTTATTAAACATAACATAATTAGTTTATGTTATCGAAATGTTATATTGATTTTTTTTTACATATTTACACAAATTATTTATTTAACTTTAAATGTGTTTTTTGATTTCTTATTTGCAGGCAAATAAAATTGGGCTGCCTCCTTTCTTTTGCCACAATGGAGATCCGCTAACAACACCACCGCCCGCCCACTGTGGAATACCTCCCTATCAGCTGGATCCCAAAGCAATTGGTGAGCAAAAAAATAATACTTTTGTAATTATTTAAACTTGCTGTTGTGATTCTTGCATGCCTTATTATAATTATTATTCAAGAGATCGAAAATAAGTCATATGTAAATAAATATATATAAATAAATAAATTTAAAAAATAAACCATTAATAATGTAAATACAATAACAGAAAGATACATTTAATTTAAAAAAAGTAACGAAAATAAATCACATAAAGAAAGATAAATATGAAAATACTAATAATATAAATATAATAATAATCTTAGACAGGGCTTAGTTTATCATTCTTATATATAAATCTATAAATAAATACCATCTTCCTGTTCTTAAAATTTTTTTACACATTATTTAAATACATTTGTGATCTGTTAAATACAATTCTGAAGCATGATTTGAAGGCTAATTATAATCGGAATGCTTTTCCTTTTCCCTGTCTTTATAACCTCTTTTGCTCTCTCTCTCTCTCTATCCCCCCACCCCACCTCCCACTCCACCGATTAATTGCAATGCAAATTTTATTCCATCTCGAATTCGTCAGGCTCAGCGTAAAATGACATGAATATGATAATTATTTGGCAATTGGGTGGAAAATTGCAATCATTGTTTTAAGTACTTGAAAATCGAATGCACACATATATATAATATGTATTTGGGCAATCTTATGTAAATGTGGATAAGAGGCTTGAAAATGCCAAGGAATACCTTTAAATGTATTTAATTTTACATATATTTAATGTTTGTAAAAGGTTTTAATAAATAAATAAAAATAAAAAACAGAAAATAAATTAAATATTATATAAATAAAATATTATATAAATTAAATACAAAGGGCAGAAATGAAATTAAATATATTTGTTACACAAGTAAATAATACATAATCTACGGGTATTAGATGTAAAATGCTGCAATAATTATTGCTAGGACTGAGGAAACCCAGCGCAAATAAAATAAAAAATGCTTTAAAAATAAGGGAGAACGTATTATATTACTAAAACGTAGACATTTTTCTCAATAATAGATATTTAAATTAAGCTTTGATTTGAATATTCTTTTAGTTTTATATTAAACGAATCTTAAAACTAGTTGTGCTATTTTTAAGGATTATTTACTATTATTAAGAAATATATTTCTAAACAAGTAGAACTGCAAATACTTATATTTTAATACAGCTCAATAATCGAAATTATATATATATATATATATATATATATATAATAACGGATAAATTGATGCTTTGATTGATTGATTATTGATGACTCCTTTCTTCTTCTTCAAGTTGGTGATCACACCAATGATCGATATCGATATTATATGTTAATTACATAGTTGTATGTTAAGTTAAAGATGTTATATTACAGTCGTAGTACTACACTTGTGGCCTGCTACGACAAATAAATATATATGTATTAATAAATTATGCATGCGTAATTTAAATAATAATTGCACACACGCTAAGCCCACTTAAAAAAGCACTCGCAACAAGCAATTAATATGTTGAGGATCTCAGTTTTTTATATATAGGGTAAGAAGAACTACCCAACAAACCTAACAAACAACAATAAAAAGTAACCCAACCGCAAAGTTATTGACTTTCTCACCCTTCACCTCTGCAGCTCTCTCTCTCTCTCTCTGTCGCTCTCTCTAGATACGAAATTCAAACAAATTATGAAATAATAATTGCACAAGATGAGATTTTTCTTACTATGCTCGATTACGGCGAATAAATTCATACGGCATTCATTCTGCAAAATTTCCCTCGCTTCAAAAATGTGTCCTGGGGTTTTTTTCTGTTTTTTTTTTTTTTTTTTTTTTTTGGTGGTTGGCCGCTTAAGGGCTCTGTTAATGGTCCGTCTGCATGTCTGTCCGTCTGGTCGGATCTAATGAGTACCAACGGCGTAAATAAAAGGCATGCACTTAAGAGCCTGCCTGGCGGATTACACGGCATTATGATCCTTAACAATGCCAAACTGCCATACTAATAATTGAATAACACAATAAAATCTCAGCCAGCTTCTCTCTACTGGTTTGTTTGCTTGTTGGTCGAGGGGGGAGTTGAATAATGCCAAATAATAATTCATATGTTTGTGGGGGGATTTTATATATGTAATTATGCGAGTGGCGTGTAATTTATTATGATTATTTTGCTGATTATGCGTTGACAAAATGTCTTGTTTTTTTTTAGAGATATGAAACTATTTGTTGAGTGATAAGTGTGGAATTTTTAATACATAAATAAATATAAATATATAAAGCAAATATAAAAGTATAAATAAAAATAAATAAATAAAAAAAATATTAATGTGAAAATAGAAATAGATAAATATAAATAATTAATATAAAATATTAATTGTAGCAAGAGCTATAAAAATCTTGATCAGCATCTGAGCCGAGTTGAAGTAAATATAAATATATAAATAAAAAATATCTATGTCCAAATAAATTTATTTATTTATTTATTATGAATTATTTAATATAATTTAATACAAACATGTAAGCATAAATAAATATAAATACTCGTTTACCATTCACCGTTCTATATATATATATATATATATATATATATATATATATATGTATAATATTTATTATTACAACTCCACTCAGAAAGAAGACATATTTAAATGGTGTATTTTGACAAAATCTGTTAGCGCTACATTATGATTAAACGCCTAATTGCTGGACTATTAGTAGTGCTGAAAAGGGGGCGTTTTTTCTTTCAGTTTTCACCCCGCAGCCTATTCAAACTGGAACTGTGAACGCCCCTTCGATTTTCCCTTTTGTCTTTTGTCTGTTGAACGCCACTCCAGAAAAGGACCTCGTGGTGTGTGTTGTGTGTGTGTAATCAACCCTCGTGACCCTGAGTACTGAGCTCTCTCTCTCTCTGGTTCCTCAGGATCGCAATCGCAATCGCAATCGGCACATGCCTCTTTTTAGCTAAGAGATGAAATAGTAATGATATGCGCAGCTCAGCTTAAATATTACCCAAGCATTGCCTGGGTTTGGGCTTGGGATTGGGTTTGGGTTTGGTATTTCGAACGGACTCTGCCCATTTTAAAGTAATAAGCCTTAATACGACATTTTTCAGTGAGGGGTTGACAATTTAAAGCTGCCAAATTGTTATCTGAATTGTGGAGCTGACTAAATAATACTCTATATTTAAATATTATATCAGACTTAGTAATTGAAAATTTAATAATAATATAAAAGCGTTTATATAAACAATTTAATTTTTAGTTATTAAATTTCCAACTTTAAAAGAATTTATTCAATATTACTTAGTTATTTATTTTAACTCCATATATTTATAAAAAATGAATGATTTAGAAATATATTGAAAAATAATTTTTATAGAATAGCAGATTTAATAAATATAGAAAAATTATTTCTTGTAGCAGAACAAACTATGAATATAGAAAAACAGCAGATTCCATATCACAACACAGTTGAGGGTTGTCTGACAGTAAGGGTATTCCCTATTCCCTTACATATATAGTATATCAGTATCACTAATACGGCTCGGCTCATTCAACTTGAAATCTAAAATACAACAGAGAAAAAAATATAAGAAAAAACGCCTAATGAATAAAAAAACATGTTGCAACACACCCCAATAATATGATGACGACATCCTTTTGTCGTCACTAGAATTGTAAACCCGTACCCCTACCCCTACCCCTACCCACTCACCCCTCAATCCTGCTGAGGCGGCACACGCACTTCGCCCGCGGCTGATTGCTGGGAATAGTCGCCCTATCCAGAACAGAATATAACCCTAGAGCGTTTTGTACACCCCTTTCCTATCTCAACCCATCCTTTCGTCCTTTCTCATGTGACAACCGCTTATTTTTTCTTTTTTTTTTTTACAACCAACTTTGGTTTACTACAATAAAACTTGAAAATGACAACAAATGATGACAAAAGGGGGAGCGAAAGATGTGACAACAATTTTTCAATTAAAATGAAAATGACACTAGAAGATATAGATATATATATATATATATATATAGATAGAATGAAGAACGTACAAATCGCTAAATAATCCGATATTTACACGACTATTTTAAGCTCTATATGCAGACAAACAGACATCCAGCAGAAAGAGGACAGCTTTTCCTCCCCTTTTGTTGGTGTTATCGGTCTTATCTGCATATTATTATATATATATATATATATATATATATAATATATATACATCTCTCTCTCGCTCTCTGATTTTTCCTTTAGATAAACAAATGTTCACAAAAATGTTATTTTGAGTATATTCAGTTTTTAATGTATAAATAAGATTTGCAATTTGATATATTACTTAAGTTAAATTATATATAGTTGTTGAATGATTAACTAAAAACTAAAACTAATTTTCAACTTTTAAATTCAGCTGTCAGCATATTGCCTAACTTATTTTAATTACACTTTAAATTAACTTTATTTAATATTTATTTTTCTTTTTTTTTTAGGTCTTACACGTCCAGCTTTATATCCATTTGCTGCCAGTCAATATCCTTATCCGATGCTAAGTCCCGACATGTCTCAAGTAGCATCCTGGTGAGTTTATAATGCAAACAGATGAATAATTAATAATATATATATATATATATATATATATATATATATAATATATTCCTCAAATTAAATATGTATTAAATATTAACAGACTTTATGTATATCTGCAGTTTAGTATTTATTCAATTAAAAATGTTAAACCTATTTATATAAGTACAGATTAATATTTACTAAATTACATAAATTAATAGGCAAAATACAGATTAACATTTATTAAATTTAAAATGTTTTAAATATTAACAGACTTACTTATTTTTACAGATTAATATTTATTAAATTATATAATTCTTAAATATTAATAGACTTATTTAAATATGAACAGATTAATTTGTATTAAATTACATATTTATTAAATATTAATAGACTTATTCAAATATGTACAGACTTATTTAAATATGCAGATATAAATATTTATTATGTTGTCTACTATCTTCTGCATCTGATTTGATTTATATTTAATTAATGTGGTTATTAATTAATTTCAGGCACACACCGTCGGTTTACTCAGCATCTAGTTTTAGAACACCTTATCCCTCCTCATTACCGATAAATACAACGTTGTCCAGGTGACTATAACTAGTCATATATATGTCTGATATATGCATATATATTTATTTTGTATATATTTACATTTTAAACTTAAATTTTTAGCGATTTCCCATTTCGATTCTCACCGAGTTTGTTGCCTTCTGTGCATGCCACACCGCATCACGTTTTAAGTTCGCATCCGGCAATTGTGGCGTCTAGTTCTAAACAGGATTGCGGCGTACAGGATAACACAACGAACAATCGATATTCAAGGTGAGATCTGCACATATATATAATAATTTAATATAATTATATATAATATGTAAATTATAGAAAAACATAAATAAATTTAGAGAAGGCGATTTATCTTTATCTTTTTTATACAGATTTATATACATAATCCTTAATCTCTAAACTTAAATGAGAAATAAATGAAATTTAAATAATATATTTACGAAATAATTAATTTACAAATGTACAGATTAATATCTATTAAATTAAATATGTATTACATATTTACAACGAACTAATTCGAATATAGAGCAACAGATTGAAGTACATCTATATTATTTTATATACTTACGTAATCCTTAGACTATATAGAGCATATATTATAAATATAATTCTTAATCTTTAAATATAAATATAGAGCAAGAGATTAATTTGCATCTGTATTCTATATTTTTATATTTTAAAATAAATATAGAGAAATAGATTCAATTTAAAAGATATTTATACATTAAATATAGATATAAAAATAAAGCAAGATATTAAATTTTTGAAAATAGATATACACAATTCTTAAGGTATAAATTAAAGTAAGAAATAACTTGAACTTAAATAGTTATTATATAAACAATTCTTAACCTATTATTATATGTTTTTAGAGCAACAGCTTAAATTACATTAAATTAAATACAAATTGAAGTTAAGGTTGCTGCTGCTTATTTTAAAGTCGTACACTCTGCTTATGATTGCACTCTAGTTTTTGCTTACTTATTTATTTACTATTGTTTTGTTTTGCTTTTTATTTTATGTTTTCTGTTGTTTTTTCTGATCCCCAATCGGCTAGTTTCACACTCGGTCATTAAAACACACACAAATACGCACACACTTGCACATGCATGTATACATACGCACACACACCAATAGTTGAATGTGTGGGTACATTCTGCTTACAGACGCCATATTTAATTTTAACCCCCGCTTCACACTATACATAAGTACGTATGTATATGTATAGGTATGTATGTATGCGTGTTTATGTATGTGTATGTATGTACACCCTTACATAAATACCAAGTTTGCCATTGGCCAATTGTCGATTGGTTTGCGTCTGCGCCTTTAAAAATTCAAAGCTTGCAACCCTTAGAAAGGAATCATTCCCTTTTAATATATTGCAAGATGGAATTTAAGCATACAAAAAAAAAATAGAAGAAAACCCCAAGTATATTTTGTAAAGATATTTTAAGACTTGTGTTTTATTTATAAAATCCAAATTCAGTTTTTGGTTTATTTATATTTGAATATGTATTTTTATTTCCATAATTTCATATTGAAATTGAATTAATTCATTTCTCTCTTGCAATATTTTTTGCACTTATAAAAAATGTTTGGCTCTGTTATCAAAGCTGAAAGCAGAAATTTATATTTTATCTTATCTGTTTTTTTCCTTTAATAAAACAACACACAGACACACAATAACACACACGTAAATAACATAAACAGGGAAATTTCCAATTGTTTTTCCCTTAATACAGTGGAAAAAATTCGTGCAATAGATGGCGTTGCCAGTGTATTTCTACCAACAGTTCCACAACTGTTTGCATTAACGAACGGCAATTTATCAGTATTCCATTCTCTGGTCTGGTGAAGTTTGTGAAATATTGTTAGTTTACAGTTAGTAGTTGAATTAAAGCTATAAATAAATAAATAAATATCCGTATTTTTTATTAGCTAGTGTTGAGTAAGAACGCAATTAGTTTGAGTGCTTTTTAATAATTATAATAATATATGTTCAAATTAAATTACTTTTACATGCATTTTTGTCTGCTGTCTTCCTTGAGCAGCTCTCTCTCTCTCAGCTGCCGCTAGAGGCTTGCTGGACACAAAACTAACTAATAAATTGCTAATTCGACATTGCACTCCTCGTCACAGATGGCGCCACCTGCCCCTGCTCTAATTCTTAGGCGCTCTTACACACACGCTTTCTCTCTCGCTTACAAACGCTCTCTCACGGCGCAAACCTTTGCTGCACTAGCGCCCGCCGGCCTCTCTCTCTCTCTCTCTCTCTCTCTCTCTCTCTCTCTCTCTCTCTCTCTCTCTCTCTCTCTCTCTCCGAAGCGAGAGAAGGACAGAAACGGTCCAGGCGAATAGAGTCTCGAATAGCAGTGCAAATTGCTAGCTTAAAAAGCCCCCAAAGTCGGAAGTAATTCGTCAAATTGATGGGCAGACAGTTTTATACTTGTTAGCTAAAATACCAAAAAAATATATATATAAATACAAATGCAAATAAAAATATATGCAGTGTGCAAAGAAAAGACAACAGTTTCTAATTATAATAAATCTATTGAAATCGTAAAATGTTGCAATGCAAAAAATATTCTCAACATATGCTGAAAATCAAAGCAAAGCAAAACGAAATTTGGCTCTGAATGCATTCGATGCACAAGTGTGTGTGTGTGTGTGAGTGCCTCTTTGAGTGTGTGTGTGTGTGCAATACAGTGAAATAATTTATTTAATTGTAAATTGCATAACTGTGAAATGCATACAAAAATGCCTTTAATATTATCTAATAAAAAAAATACGACTTGTCTGCTTTAATTAGAGAAAATGTATCTACATTAAATTAGCATACACACATACACACATATTAATTGTGTTTAAAGCGTCAGCCATAAATCAGCTCACACACACATAAATACATTGACAACAGGGATACCTAACAAAGTTACACACACAAACACGAGCACACGTTTTATAGTTGCTCGACAGCGGCAAAGAGACATTATCGTAATACAATCATAACAGCTGAATGCTGTCTGTAAAGTAGAATGTGAAATTGGAATTGGCATAAAATGCAGTTGTTGTTTTTATCTATTTATGCAGTTATAATTGCTTTATTTTTATTTAAATATATAAATGTAAATTAGCTGAAAAGTACAACAATTAGGTAAACACTTATCATTTTATTTACATGCATTGTACACACTGTTTAACCGTTTGTATGTATGCACGCCTGTGTACATGTATGCATGTGTGTGTGTGTGTGTAACCATGCTCTCAAAGATATGCTTGAAATCCGCAACAGGCAGGCAACAGGGTTATATGGTTAAGGCTACTGCGCCTGTCGCTCTCTCTCGCGCAACTAATCTCGCAAGTGGGAAATGAGAATAAGGGTAAAATAAAATGCGTGTGCGAGAGAACTTTTTAAAAGAGAGCGTAAGCAAGCATAAAGAGAGGCATGCAAATTAATAAGCTGCAGTATCTTTATGCGGGACTGTTTGCTCTTAATATAATAATAGCCGCAGTGTATATGTGAAAATGAAGAATAAGCATAAGGGCAAAATAATCAGCTACTCTTTGTGTAGGACTGTGCGCTCTTAATGTGAATAGTGCAGGTCAAGACAAAAATAAAAAATAATGCATTGACTTAAAAATAAAAACAAATTGTGACATATACAAAAAAAATTAAAAACAAGGATTATTATCTCAACTGTAGCGCTGTTATGGATACAGCGAGTGCGAAGGATAAAACAGATTATAATGAAAAATCAACGATTGAAAATAGCAAGGATCAAGAAGAAGAACAGCAGCCAAAGGACTTTTCCAAGCCAGTTGGCAAATTAATAGAAGATAATAATAATATAAACAATAATAATAATAATAAAAATAATAATAATAATAATTATAATATTAATAATAATAATTATAATTATAATTATAATTGTAATAATAATAATAGTAATAATATGGATGCCAGAATGGAGGATCACATTTTCCACACTCCGCAAACTGCCAGCTCAAGTTTAATGTCCGAGTTACTTTTGAGGCAACAACAGGATTTGTTGCAACAATGGTCTAAATTGGAAGAACCACAACGCAACTGGGAATTGGAGAAGCAACAACAACAACAACAACTTTTGGCCACACAAATGTTGTATGCGCAATTTCTTCAAGCGCCGCAATTAAATTTTGAACAGGAGCGAGAAAGAAGAGTTCATATCTTAGAATTCTCTGGCTTGAGCAAATCTGCATTTGGAGCAGGGGGAGGAAGAGGAGGAGGAGGAGTAGCTACAGTCTCATCCTTGCAACAAGATAATAATAATAATAATAGAAATTTAAATGAGAGCAAAAATCAGGCTCCCAATCAGAAACTTTCCAATCAGGATATAGTGTCCTTAAATGCCAACTGGCAACCCAAAATCAAGCCCACAACTAGCAAATCGAAAAAGGATATTCAAACAGTAGCAAATGCTTCAAAATCCTATTTCTTTCAGGCGCAAAAAAAAGTGCTGTTTGATGTTAAAAAGGGCTTGGAGCAATTAACAATGCTCTCTACACAATTTCAGCTGAATTTGCAGGACAACTCCTCCAGTTCCAGTTCCAGTTCCAGTTCCAACTTGGAGCTGACTGTGCAACGTCAGCTGGCCACAAACCGTTGTAAGATCGAGGCGATGCTGCTGCAAGTGCGTTGCCTCTATCAACAGTGGAGCAGCGCGGAACTTTACTATTTGCGCAGTCTGCAGAGATTGGGCTTGAATCCGATTACGACCAGGAGCAATCAGCAATACACAGCCACGCATGATGTTATGGCGCTGGCAGCAATTGCCTTGTCGGCGGAAAACCCAGCTGAGGATGTGCCGGAGCAGCAGGCAGAACAGGAGCAGCAGAACCAAAACTCAACACGCAGCTTGCAGGACATTGAGAATTTAATATTGCAGCAGGCAGCAGCAGCTGTGGTGAAGAATGGTTACAGTGAGAGCATAGCCAGCAGTGACTCAAATCCAACAGAGGAGGGAGATGAGCAGGCGGAGCAGGAGCAGACAGAAGACGAGCAGCAGCTGCAGCTGGAGCTGGAACTGGAACTGGAGCAGTCTTCCCCTTCAACGCCGTCCTGCATTTGGCATAGTAAATATAATAGTAAAAATCCAGCCGAAATCAAGCCAGAAAATTGCAATACCGCCGCTGAAATTCTACTCGAATATGCAACGCAAGCAAAGCTGCAGGACACGACGGCAGGCACTACAACAGCACTACAGCACTCCAGCAAAATACCAGAGAATCGTTGCCGCACTGCTACCACCAATGACTCTGTGTATTTAACCGAGATACAATTCCCGCCTACACCCACAACACCTCCGACGAGCAGCAACAGCAGTTGTTCCACCGTTACTGCCGCAACCGTACCGGCAACGAGTGCCTCGCATAAATACCATCATCGTCGCAAATCGAGATATGCGCGACGCATCGACACAAATAATCCAAACACAATCCAAAATGCAAATTCAAACGCGGCCTCAGCCTCAACTCTGACAGCGAATCAGGAGTTGAGTCCGAGCATTACTAGCTACAAGGTGCTCGCTATTTTGCCAAGCAGCTCCTCCACTACGGCACCGCCTGTTTTTAGAGATGCCTCTGCCTCCTCCTCGACAGCTGCTGCTCTCCAGGAACGGGCCATTTCGGACATGTTTAAGGCACAGTTTAATGCCCTGACTGCAGCAGCGGGCATTGGCGGCGGCGGGTGTCCTCCAGCAGCAAGTGTCCTTCATCCAATCCAAGCCAATTCAGCGGACAGCTGTGTTGACGGCATCTCCTCCTTGTCGTCCTTGTCCTCAGATGCACCCTACGATCTGAGCATTGGCAGCAGGCTTAAAAAAATGTAATATATAATATAATATTTTAAATATATGATATTATGTCAATTTGCTAACAAACTAGCAAACATATAAATATTTATATACATATATACGAGCATATATATATAAAATATATAAAAACATTTAAACATTTATATAAATATTTATACATATTAATCAGACTTGATTAATAAATATTTGAATAATAAAATGAATAATAAAAATTTAAATTTTTATAGACTAGAGAATATTTGAAATATATATAAAAAATTAAATTGAATATAAGCAAATACATAAATATTTATATATACAGAAGACTTGAAAAATTTAAATTTAATATAAATATATATGCAGATTTATATATATATATATATAAGACTGGAATGCCTTACACAACCTAAGTACTAATGCAGTTAGTAAATTAATTAATTTAATAGTAATCTAATTCATAATTCAATAATTTAGATTAAATAGTATTCTAATTCAGTAATTTATTTTAAATAGTATTCAAACTCAGATTAATTTATTATTTTTATATTCTAGTTTAATTAATTAATTCAGATTTAATAGAATTCTTATTCAATTATTCAGAATAAATAAAATTTGAATTCGGCAATTCAGATTTCATAAAATTCGACACACAAATTCAGATTAAATAGTATATTTTAGTTATTTTTTTATTTATTTATAAAATAAAATTAAAAATAAAGTATTTTTTATAATATATTATTTATTTGTAATAAAAATGTACAAAATATATATGCAAATATGCTTAGTAATACATACATAAAATAATTGATATGCTGGTTTTAATTGCAGAAACTTGGATATGAAAAGCTCATCGAATTCGCAGGGAAATAGCAACGATTGTAAGGATAGTTCCAGTAGTGATAAAAAGAAGCCGCATATCAAGAAACCTCTAAATGCATTTATGCTCTACATGAAGGAGATGCGTGCCAAGGTCGTCGCCGAGTGCACACTCAAGGAGTCGGCGGCGATCAATCAGATACTGGGGCGACGGGTAAGCTAACCGACCGACCAATCCATATATATATATATATATATATATATATATATATATTAAATATATATATTCACAAAATGAAATGAAGATCTAATAAAAAAACGTATAGTTTTTAGAGGGAGGCGGGAAACAAAAATATTCAAAGCTTTGCGAATGTGTTTCTCAATTGTTTCGGTGAACAACTCACTCAATAATGACAAAACTAACTGAAGGACTTGCAGATTAGAGGGCTCCCATTAAAAATGAAAAAGAAACACAGCATTTGCAAACAAAAAACGAACAAAACAACAAAATCGTTGTATAAATAATCAAAACTAATAATTCAAAATCAATTTTTAAGTTGTGTTTTTGGTTTTGTTTTTGTGTTTTGATATGGAAAATTAATGATGATGATGATAATGATGATGATTAATTTTGTAGTGGCACGAACTATCCCGCGAAGAACAAAGCAAATATTACGAAAAGGCGCGACAAGAGCGCCAATTGCATATGGAATTGTATCCGGGGTGGAGCGCACGAGATAACTACGGTTACGTCTCGAAAAAGAAAAAGCGTAAAAAAGACAGATCGACAGCGGATTCGGGAGGTATTGCACTAAAAAAAAAAACAAAAAATAAAAAAAACACCAACAAAAATTATGCTCAAATTTGTAAAACGATTTTCTTTATTATTATTCTATTACTCTCTATCTCACTCTCTCTCTCTCTCTCTCTCTCTATCAATTTCTCTCTTTCTCTCTAACCGCATTGAAATTTTATGTTTTTCGTTTCGATTTCCATTAAAACTACATAAAAATCATGCATACAACAAAAATAACAACACACAACAAGCAAAAACAAGCACATTATTTCAAATTTAGTACAACTAACAAATTAAAAATTAAAATTTAAAACTAAAAAAATGTAACTATTTTTATTGTAATTTGTGTAAATAATTAGCATACATTTAACACTTGTAAAATACCCCAAAAATAACAAAAAAAAAAGCCCTCGAAAACCAACAAAATTAAAACTAGACTAGACTTAGACCTAGACACAGACTATAGTTAATATATATAAATATTTAGCTGCTTCTACGTATATTTTTGGATTTAGAATAAAGCTTGTGTAAATTATTATATTATTATATTACATTTTGGTTGTTTGTTTGGTTGTTTTTTCTTTTCCAGACTTAATTATAATTAATAATATATATTTTTTTTGTATTTGGTTTTGGTTCATGATTTGGTTTTGAATTCTTTAGATTAAAAATTATACATATATATTTAACTAATATGCAGCTTAGGGTTTAAGGAATAGACTTTATAATTTCCTTTTAAAGGAAATAAATTTAGTATATTTTCCTACTTGGCATACAACATCTATAAGAAGGGAAGAAGGGAAAGAGAAATACCCCATCAAATTCTACTCTTCATCTTCGTTTGATAAACTCTTGATTATATGTAATTAAGAGAGCAGTTAATATTTATTTATATAGGGCTACATACTTCTATATATCTCTAAGGGGTTTCAATTGGCAATTATAATCACTGTAATAGTAATAATAATAATAATGAAACACACTCTCACGCTCACACACAAAAAAGATATATACACAAAAATATATATATATACAATTATTGTATTTATTGGCAAGCAAAAGTCCAAAAAACAAAACGGGAAAAGATAGAAAAAAAACCAAAACGAAAACGAAAACTTCATTTTATTTAATGCTTTCATTTCCATAGAAATCAGATATATATGTATATACATATATACTGAAACTGAATATATACTCTCTGTGTGGACTTTCAATTGGCGAATGCATGCATACCCGAAACCGTCTACCAGATCGATCCGTCAAAGCTTTTCAACAACAAAAACAATAATAACTACTACTACTACTATATTTTGCGCAGTGTAAAAACGTTTAAGAACCGATACTTTCCGTTACCAGTACCAAATAGTCGTCAGATAACATAAACTATCTCAAATTAGCATGTAAAAGAAATAGCAAACAAAAACTGAACCAACGTTTGATTAATTTGTTTACATCTATCTTTATTTTTTCAATATTTTCCAATTGCGCTTATCGCAAAAAAAAATCGAAAACAAATCTAAAAATACGAATATACAAACTATATATATTTGTCGCGTAAATCCCTTCGACTCACCCCTCCCCCCGCCCCTCTTGAAACCCCACCCATGCAGTGGCATGCGCTGGGCCGCGAGGAGCAGGCGAAATATTATGAGCTGGCCAGAAGGGAGCGTCAGCTGCACATGCAAATGTATCCCGATTGGAGTTCGCGCACAAATGCCACACGTGGCAAGAAGCGGAAACGGAAACAAGATGCAAACAGCAGCAACAGCAGCGATGCAGGCGGTGGAGGTTAGATTTCCCTCACTATATATACATCTATAAATATTCTCTCTCTCTCTCTGTATAAGAAGATATATATATATATTTATATATATATATATATATATATATATATATTTATATATATATATATATATATATTTATATATATATATATTTATATATATATATATATATATATAAATATATATACCAACTACCAAAGAAGAAAAAGGAATCTGATCCAACAAAATATCATTATAATCTGTGTTTTTTTTTTTTTATTATATATATATAAATGAAATGATGTACATAAATGAGAAATAATTAGAAATACTTATTGTGGTCCAGGCTTTGCAATTGAAATCAAATAAGAATAAAATCAAACGATTAGCAAAATTTATGATTAATTATATAAATGATTTAGCCGACTTTTGCCTATATATATATATATATATATATATATATTTATTCTTATATATATATACACATATATACATATATATATATATATATATATATATATATATTATATATATGAGTGTGTGAGGGCAATTTTTGTTTTCGGCACCAGTCGAAAGAAAATCATGCAAAAAGAAAAAAAATAATACACATATGCATATACATCATACATCATGCATTAATCATGCAATTAACCGCTCAATCATTCATCAAGCATTGTGAGCTATTTTTCTATTAGAAATGAAGTGAAAGTAAAAATTAACATGAATATGGCATACATAGAATATAAATTTGTATTTATTTAAGTACATCGTTTAGTGCATGCGTATATGTATTGTATGTATACGCCCAAGAATTATATATAATTAACCAACTAATTAACGGTCGCTTAATTAGTAATTAGCTGATGCGTGTATTAGTCAAATAATTAATAGCTAAATTCCACTGATAAATAAATTATAATTAATATTCATAAATATAAATACAAAAATAACAATTAAATATTATGCATAAATAGTTTTAATTGCTTATTAAATTAAATAACTTTATGTTATTATTTATTATACATCTATTAGAGGAAATAATAAATATAAAGATAAATACCAAAATAATAATTAAACATAAAACTCTACATAATTTTAAATGCTTATTTAATTATTTATCAAGTGGAAAATAGCTATAGAAAACAATAATAATAATAAATAATTAATTATTAATTGCCGTAATTAAAATGTCTAATTAATTTGTGGAGTTGTGTGTGTAATAAGAAAAGGCTACAGCTATAAATTAATTACTAATATCTGTACATATTGATCAATTGTTTTTCTGTCCTCATTTCTTGTAGTGTATATCTCTTCTCTCACTCTCCTTTTCTCACTGTGTATGTGTGTGTGCTTAAGACTTAATTAAATTTAGTGATTACAGTGATTGTAGTGAATGCTTCTCTGTGAGTAAATGTTCTGCTGCCCCCAAACAACAACTAACTAACAAAACAACTACCATATTATGCCCATTAACCAATTAATATTATATTCAATTACTATTATATTAAACATACGTATATTATATATTCTACCAGGCAACAATATGAAAAAGTGTCGAGCGCGTTTCGGTTTGGATCAGCAAAATCAGTGGTGCAAACCCTGCAGGTAAATTATCTATTGTTTAAACAAAAAAATTATTTATTATTATTATTTACTGCGCTTATGTCTTAATTAAATATTAAATAAAATGTGCTCATGTAAATTTCAAATTAGTCTTAATCAGCCAATCAATCATGAATCATAAGCGCAGTAAGAAATCCTCTATGTACATACCATAAAAAAACATTCAAGCGTACATCTATATTAGAGTTGTGCGTGGTAAAAACTAAAATTAAAATCTTTCAAATTCACAATTCAAAGTTTACAATTAAAAATGCATAATTTAATATTCACAATTATGTGAATAAGCCAAAATCAACTGTCCCTCTCTCTCACTCTCTCTCTCTTTCCCTCTCTCTGATTGCTTAAAAGTTAATTTATTTATATATATGTATATATAATAAATAATATATGATCTATGATATATACACATATCGCATAAGTCACCCAATTTTTTATTTAGACTATGCTCAATTAATTACTGATCAAGAATATTTGCTCTTTGAAAGCATTTTTAAATAAATATATACTGCAGGCAATATTATATGTTATTTAATAATTTAATTATTTGAAATGATATTCAAAAAGCAACTAATTAGGAAAATTAACAATTTGTGTTATTTTAACAAAAAAATGAACAATTTGCTATTTTATACTAAAAGTAGGGTTTTTAGTGGGAGTAGTTGCAGAGCAGTAAAATGTAAATAAATAATTTAAATAAGTACTATAAATACAATAAATAAAATAAATACAATTAGTAAATAATAAATATAAATTCAAATATATAAAATCAGGTTTAATTCAAATAGATATATTAAATTCGTATATCTAAAATCGGCAAATATTAAAATATTAAAACTCTGGCCATTAAATATTCATAGTCTTCGACTATATTCAATTCTTTTACAACTCTAATATAAATGTATATATTATATATATATATCATATATATATATATATATATATATATATATATATATATATATATATATATATATATATATATATATATATATATATGTATTATAAAGGCAAAGGCCCAAATTAAATCCCTTCAATTTAAATAATATATATAAAGTATGTATTTTATATATATAAAGTAGACAATAACACACACACCTTATAAGTATTCCACACCCCTTTATCTACACCACATACCGTTTTAAGTCGTACCAGAAATACACATACACACAACAATATATATATTCAAATAAATCGGTAAAACTAACGAAAAAAGGCCATTTTGCATGCAAAACAAAAATTAAAAACTAAGTGCCTGCGCTCTCCTACCTGCCACCCTGCTCCTTCCCCCTGCACAGGATCAAATATCTTATTAAATTTGTCATATATATATATATATATATATAACTATATATATATAACTATATATTGATATCTGAAGAGTGAATCTTTAAGTGAATATAGCAACTTTCCTCTTGACTTCTGCTGATAAGGGGTTTTTTCAATGGGAAGGAATATTTAAATTTAAATAATTCAATGAGCTTTTCAATTTAAAATTTAAATTAAATGTGGCAGGCATTCAATATTTAAAAAAATCCTGTAAATCCCTATTAGATCTCTCAGAGTAAATTGATTATTGGTCAGCTTTGCCAGCCAAGTCTGCCAATTTTTCTGAGCTATTTTTTTTTAAATTTGCATAATATGCATATTATATATGTTATAGGAACTGTTGATTGATAATATGAGTTTGTATAATTTCCAGTTTTTCTAGGATAGCTCAAATTTATAGAGTTCTTTCTCTAAAGCTATAAAGTTGTAAAGTTGGTAACTGTGGACTGTACTGAGACGATTTCTATGCAGAAATATAGTCTACTTACACATAATTCTCTCTGGATTTTTTTGAAGTAATAGCTTTGCTTTGCTAGATTTTCCACTCGATTATTGATTTAATATAATTTTTTTTATTGTAAGATGAGTTCTTGGCTGAGGAACCTTTTAGTTTTCTTTCTTTTTTTGGTTTGGAAAGATTTTTGGGATATGTTTCTACGATAGCTGCCAATAGCTAGAGAATTAATTCTTGTGGAACACCTGCATTCAGTTTATATTTCGAAAATTGCGTCTCAAATCAAATGTTTATCTGCAGAAACAAATAAATTTGATGGTTATTCTTCTTCTAATAACTAACTATTGGATGAATTGTTGAAAAGTTGCCCATTTTCAAATGATGCTTGCATTAAAACGATCCTTAATTAAACACACACACACAGACAATATACACACAGCTACACTGGAACAAAAACCAGAATATTTTGAGCGCTCTTTTGCTATAAACTAAATCCTTTAACTACTCAATTCAATTGTTAAGCAAATCTGTTTGAACCAACATAAAAATTGCTCTCTCAAACTCTCCAATTACCAACTCTCAACTCTGCAATTATCAACTGTACAACTGTCAACACTCCAAATCTCAACTGGAAACTCTCCAAATTTTAATTGTGAACTCTCCAATTATGAAATTATTACAACTGGAAACTCTCCAATTACCAACACCTCAATTATTAACTGAAAACTCTCCAACTATCAATTCTCCAAAACTAAATTTTAAACTCTCCAAATCATAAATGTGAACTCTCCAATTATGAAATTACAACTGGAAACTCTCCAATAACCAACAACTCAATTATCAACTGGGAACTTTCCAACTATCAACTCTCCAAATCACAACTGGAAACTCTCCACTCGAAACTGTCCACTCTCCACTCTCAGTCCCAATGTTGGCTTGGGCAACAGCAGCAGCAGCAACATTGGCGGCATACTTACTCACACCCCAGCCGGTGGCATGGTAGGTGTTGGTGGCATCGGCATCGGTGTCGGTGTCAATGTGATGAATAGCATAAGTAGCATAGGCATGCTCAATCCGACGACGACGACGCCAACGACGACGCCAACAACGACGGTCATGTTGCCCAATTCATCGTCGAGTTCCTCATCCTCATCGACATCCTCTTCGCTTACGACGCATCTCCAAATGATGGCCAGCACTGGCAATACAGCAGCAGCACCTTTAAATGGGGGAGGAGGCGGGGGAGGGGGTGGGAGTGGGAGTGGCGCCTCTGCCAGCAATCAACAGCTCTCGCCCCAAGCGCCGCCAACTTATGTAAATTTGTAAAAAAAAATAAGAGACAAAAGATAAAAGAAGATCATCATCATCCCCCTCCCGCCCCTGCCCCCCTGCCCCGTCCCCCTCAAGTGGACGGACAACATGCAACATGCATTGCACACCTAATTCAAAATCAGCTCGAAGCGAGGCTGGCGTATCTCAATCAGCATTTAAAAAGCCAGTAAATAAATAAAATATTAACTCTACAATTAAAATTTTTGTTGTATGCCAATAAAAATTGTTATGTTCTTTGCCAAACAAAATAAGTAAGCCGCATTAGCAACAATTATTTGTTTGTTATTTTATGTGTATGTATTTAATATTTATTTAATATTCATTTAATATAGTTTGTAGCAAGAGCACACACTTTAAAATCAAAGAAAAACTTTATTTAATCTTTGAATGCAGTCGGCTTTTCCCAGTTTTATTTAATTGCAAATTTCCGTATTTTATTAATTTAAATACAAGCTTCAGCATCTTCAAAAATAAATTAAAAGCAAATCTAGTTTTCATTATTTTTCATTATTTTAATTTAAGTTTTCATTATTTTAATTTAAAATTTGAGGCTTTAATTAATTTAATTACAAATTTCTGCTGTTTTAATTTAAAGCCAACTCGGTTGTAGGAAAAAAAAAAAATTAAGGAAACGAAAAGGAAAATATTGTAATTAAATTAGACTAATTAAATTGTGCTGATGCGGCATTTAAATATGACTTTTATATACATGTCGTATATATATACAACTGATTCCTAATTACTTCGATGTACATACAAATTTTATTTGCTGTTTTATAAACCAAAGTTTGTTGTATATATATATATATATATATATATATATATATATATATATATATATATAATTAATGGAGGCCTATACATATATTTATATAATTATTTATATATTTGATTATATATTTATATACATATATCGTTGATAATTAATGAATTAATTAAATTGAATTAATTAATCAAATCCATTTACAACGAACTTTAATTTAAATTTTTTGCTAGAGCTGTTTGATATTGTTGTTGTTGTCGTTGTTGCCGTTGTTGTTGTTGTTGTTGCAGTTGTTTGCCTTTTGTTTTTTTTTTTATCTTTGAATTTTGTTTCTTTAACGAACAAGTTGTTTTTATATTTATTGTTGATTAGCCAACAATTTATGCTAATTTAATATTCGATATTCGATTCCTACGAGTGAGTTGAATATTTTTTAATTTACGGTTTGCTTATGCCCCCAACTAACTTTATATATATATATATATATATATATATATATATATATATTTATTTGTTTTGTTGTCTAAAAAATTGTTTTTGTATTGATATTTTTCGAATTGGAATGTTTGGAGACCACTGCGAATCTTTTTCAATTTACCTCAATTACCAAAGTTAGTTGCTTTTATTTATTTATAATTAATAGCTAATTCAAGTTTGAAGACGGATTTCAATACTTAAATCATGTTTAAGAATTGTTAATTTCTCAAATACATATTAAAATAATTAATATAGAAAATTAATTCTTAAATATACGTGAATGAAAATAATTGATACGGACAAAATAAGTATTGATTTCTTAAATATATATATACAAATAATTGCTTTAATGATGCGATTAATGCAGTCCGGTTTATTTATTATGTGCTTCTCGGCTAATCTTTCTAATAATCATAAGAAAGAATTTTGTTGCCTTGTTTTGAAATTGTTATTGTTTTTTTTTTGTTATGTGAAATTCCTGCATGCAGTTATTAAAATAATAAACATAGGAATTATATATATATATATGTAAATATATAAAATATATATATGGTGAGAGGGCCCAATTAATTGATAGAAAACAAGTTGATATATATTTTATTATTTGGCATTTATATTTAAATTTAAAATGCGGGAGAAATCGCGAAATAATAAATATATATTTAGACAGTCAATGCAGAGCTTTAACATGTACCGCATTGGGAGCACCCATATACTTTTGAAAAAGGAAAGCCCAAAAAGCGGCTCGCTTTTTAATTGATTTTTTTGGCGTAGCATTTATTTGTTGCACGGTTGAATTTGTTTATTTAAGCATGCATTCATTTATTAATTTATCAATCAATTCTCAATGATCATTTTGTGCATTTGTTGTGTGGAATGCCTTAAACATATATATATATATATATATATATATATATATATATATATATATATATGTATGTATATATGTATTTGCATAGAGCACCTTTTAAATAATGAATTTTCAACGCTGACTCCAACTAATTAAGCATTTTCTCTCTATATCTCTCTTTCTATATGCTTTATTTCCATTTTTCTTCGCATGACCAGACGCAAAAAGAAATGCATTCGTTATATGGAAGCGCTAAATGGAAATGGCGGCGGCAGCCATGAAGATGGCAGCGGTATGGATGACACTGGAAATCTGAGTCAGATGAGCGACGATGACGAGGACGATGATGATTTGATCGGTGGCGCCGGCGACATCAGCTGCGGCAGCGGTGACGAAACGGAAACTACAACAACAACGACGACGACGACGAATAAAATACCAGCGGATAACGAGGACAACGAATCAATGAGTCAATCGCTTTCCAGTCCGGGCTGTTTGAGCGGCCTTTCCAGTCTGCAGAGTCCCTCGACAACGGCCAGTTTGGCCAGTCCACTTAACATGAACATGTTAACTAGTCCAGCGACGCCAGCCGTCGGCAGCAACAGCAGCAACAACAATATGCTCTCCCTCTCGCTCTCACTGGCAGTGGCTGAGAGCAATAATAACAGCAGCAGTCAACAGCCGTCAAGGTTAACAGCAACGGCGGGCACGACTTCCAGCAGCGGCGGCTCTTCGAGCAGTAGCCTTAACAGCAGCAGCAATACCCCGAATACCTCAACAACAACAACAGTAACAAGCACTGCGTCTCCGGCGACGTCTGCAGCAGCGTCAACGTCAGCGTCTGAGCGAGCCATGATGCTTGGCACACGCTTCAGCCATTTGGGCATGGGCCTCAGCCTGCAGGCAGCAGAGCAGCAGCAGCAGCTGTTTCCAGCTGCTAATAGCAGCAGCAATAACAGCGCCAGCAGCAATAACAGCGCCAACCACAATAACAGCAGCCTGCTACCTACGAACGGTTTTAGCGGGTACGCCTGCTTAAAAATAACAGCGCCAACAGCAGCGACTTCACTGCCGCTCGCCGCTGCCAGCAGTTTGCATCGCAATCCAATTGGTGCGAATCCGCGGGACATAAACAATCCGCTGAGCATTAATCAGCTGACCAAGCGGCGAGAGGAGCACAACAATATTGCATTAATCGCTGAGGCGCAACAACAGCAGTCAATTTTGCGACACAATCCCTATGCGCATCATCAACAGCATGCACACCAGCATACACATGCACAACAACATCTACATCAGCTTCCACACCAGCTTCCACACCAGCATACACATCAACATGCGCTCGCGCATGCTCATCACTCATTATTCGGCAGCAGTCTGAGTCAACATTTTCAGCAACAGCTGTTAGCAGCCTCTAACAGCAGCAACAACAGTAACGTTAACAGCAGCAGCGGCGGCGTTAGCTCAGTTAACAACTCTGTCATTGTGCCAGCGATCGATGCGCCGACATCTTTGACTAATATAAAGCGTCGCAATACAAACGATCCGCCGCCGGCGACAGCCAATGGCAATGCAGCTGAAACGGGCGCCATAAGCGTTTCATAGCAGGCTGGAATATGCATAATAATAATATCAACGTGCAATAAGTACAACATTCTCTACCACTCTCTCTCACTCTCTCTCTCTCTCTTTGTCTGTCAAAGCCATCGTCATAACGTGTAACATGTGGCCATTAATATTAATTGGAAAAGTACCAAAAGCTACATGTATACCCTGTATGTATGTATGTACCTTGTACCCGGTACACCATTTGTACATTTAAAGACCAGCAAACGAATTTAGTAAGCGAAACAAACGAAAAACAAAAATCATAATTCCAGTGTGAACTAGTCCTGCTAAACACACTCACACACACATGCACACACCTAAAAAATTAGCTAGAGCTCTGAATACAAAATAAACCTTATATATATATATATATATATATATATATATATATATATATATATATATACGATAATCATGTAAAGAAAAAAGATTTAAGCATGCATACACACAAAAAAAACTTTATTAGTGAGCAATTTTCCACTGAATGCTGTGCATTTCATTAACAAGTTTTTTGGAAATTTGTAATTTGTTTATTTTTGACAGTGTTTTTTTCTTTAATCAAGTTAAGCAAATTCAAAATGCTATCGTTCTTTTTTCTCTTTGTGTATTTGCATCAAGAACAACAAAATGTATTTCCAATTGCTTCCAAGGCTTCCAATAGTGTACACATTTCCATTAATGCTAGAACCGAAAAGCTCAGTTTTATTTCTTTAGCAAGAGCTTTAATTTTAAAACTTTAAGAAGCTTTTATGCTGCTGCAATATATATATACAATATATATATATATATATATATATACATACATACATATCCACACACACATATATATAAAACTCATGCGAACACACAAAATAATAGAATACAAAATCAAATTAAATAAAAATTGTTCTTAAAACCAACAGTATTATTTATAATTTGTATCAAAAATGTATATATGTTTGTATTTATGTATGTGTGTGTATATATGTATAAAAGAAAATTTTTTTTTAAACGTACGAATTTATTGACATAACTGGACCTGATATAGCTGCTGTGACAGATTAAGCATCCGTGTGTCTGTCTGTCTAATATGTATGTATATTATTTGTTCATGAGTACATATGTATAGCATTTTTAACTGCAAAAGAAAAAGCACAAATACTTTTTTAATTTCTCTTTATTTTTATTCCCTTATTTAATTTTTTGTTTACTTATTTGATTAATTCTTAAAAGTCACTGCTTCTTTTTGTTAAGTGTATGCATGTAGCTTAGTTATTTAGGTGAACCAATTGGAGAATGAATCAGAAAAAGAAAGAAAGAAAAATAGCTTTCAATATTAGCTTATACTTGAATACACACACAACATATGTAATTGTATGTATGTATGTGTGATCACATAGATATGTTAACATTTAGCATAAGCGTTTAACATTTAAAGTTGTGAATTTCTAATAAATGTGTATGTAAAAAAAAACTAAGCCAAACATTCAATGCAGAAAACAAGTATAAATATAAATAAATAAATGTAAATGTAAATGTGAATTTAATTAATGCGATATTAACAGTAACAGTGTATTTAAATGTTACATACACACTTATACATATACATATGTAAGCACAACAATGTGTGTTAAGCCATTGCCAATTATAAAAAGACTGTTAAGTAACATATTAAATTAAAACAACACGTGTACATATATAACAAACACATAACATGAGTCTGTTACGTCTGTTAAATGCAGCACGGTACGAATTACTTACATACATACACACACGCACACACACACATATGCATGTTTGTATGCGTAACGAATCACAATCACAAAAGCCAAATACGATTGACGACGGATGAGGTGATCTGAGCTGAGCTGAGCTGAGCTGTGGTGAGTTGTCAAATGTAAACAAACACACACACATGTGTATGTATATTTAGCTTTAGTAAAAAGAACGGAAAAGAAAGTTTTATATTTAAGTTGAACAATGCTTCCAATTTTCTGTGTTTTTTATTTGAATTTTTGTACGTTAGTAGTGCATATGTGGAACCGTTTTGCAATATCTTTACACTTTTATTTATTTACCCTTAACTCTTAAGTTTAGTTGTAACAATTCTACTTTTCTCATTTATGTACCAATATGCATGCTGTTAACAAACGCAATGTTAACAGACAAAAGCTCCGCAAATGTATTTACACATACACACACACAACATCTGCTAAGCCAACATTCAACTCAACTAAAGTCAGTTAAGCGTAAATGTTGCCAATCATCAAATATTAAATGAACACACAAACACACACATGTAGACATGTATAAGTAGATCAATGTGAGCAGCAATAGATAGATGTAAATGTCAAATGTAAAATGTATGTTTACGTTGCCAATTAAATGTTAGAAAACATTTTGCCTGTACGTGTACATACACACTTGTAGGCAATGTACATATATAGCTGATATGCAGTGCTTTGAATCGGCCTGCTTTTTTCTGTGCGCCTGAGCTTTGCAGACGTTCGATCTCGCGTGAGCGCTCAGTTACCCTGTGCGGCTCGTAATGGCACTGAGTATTATTGCTCCTAAGTCACCCTGTCTAATCGTGAGCGTTTTGTGTGTGTGTGCATGTGTATTTAAAAGCAGATATGAAGAAGCAGAGTTAATTACGATTTACGCTGGTTTTAGCATTAAAACAATAAGAATAAAAAAATAAGCTAAGTCAATAAATTACATTGATTGGTTAATTGTTCCGTTTATTTTTTAGTAGCTCTCTAAACTGTAAGTAGGCAATAGTAATTAGTAAAGAGGTTAAATATAATATTAATATAATAAATACACACATATCTAGATTTACAAAGTATTCTATATATATAAATAAATACATATATAATAAATACTACATATTAAATGTTATATACACCCATACTTATTACACAGATAGTAGTTATATTATATGCATAATAAACAAGAAAAAATCAAGCATTCACATAAGAAAATCAAAGAAACATTAATTTGGTAAATACAAAAAATAAATGTACGATATTTAAATGAAAATATCAAATCAAATACGGTTTAATAAAAACAACAAACAAAAAACATGTTGACAAGAGAAAAAACACAGTTTTTTAATTCAATTTGGGCGGTTTTTATTTTTAAACCGATTATTGTTATCGATTACTGGGAATTGCCTGAGGACGATGAGAGCTGTGCTTTTTTTAGAATTTCCCCAGCAGCAAATACCACACCACATTGGGTTTTGGGTTTCATTGCCAAACAAAAATAAAATTGCTGTATAATTTGAATACATATATATTATTATTATTATTATTATTAGGGAGGAAGCTGCACCGCGACCTATTTGATCTATTGTGCCCCCTTTCTGAGCCTATAGCTCTTCCATCAGCCCCAACTCCCTTACGAACGTGAGGATCTTTGTTGGGTTGAGGTCTACTATGTCTTTGTAATTCAAAACATGCGCTCCTAGGATGCTGCTTCTTCTTCTAATTAAGGCGACACATTCTACCAGGATGTGCATCGAGGATTCCTCCTCTCTTTCACAAAACCTGCAGAGATCGCTACTATATATACCCAATTTTGTCAGGTGACTCCTTAGTCTACAGTGTCCTGTCAATAGACCGGTAAGTATCCTAAGGTTGTTCTTTCCCATGGTTATAATCTGTTTAAAACGTACAAGATTATAACCACCAAGGAGGCATCTGGCTTGTCGGAGTCCTACTGCCTCTGACCAGCTCTGATGCCGTCTCTGTCTCTCCTCGTTTCTAAGTTCCAGTCGTATAGTGTGTCTCCCTATGCCACAATACGGTTCTGGTCCTGTTAGGGGCCTTTCTGCCCCCATTCTTGCTTGCTTGTCAGCCGCCTCGTTTCCCGCTATGTCCCTGTGACCCGGGACCCATCGTAGGGTGAGCCTGTTGTGAGTCCCGAGTAGGTCTAGCTTTGAACGAACTTCATGGACTACCTTCGATGTTATCTTAGTCCCCATTATAGCTTTCAATGCTGCTTGACTATCGGATATGTTGAAGTCCGCACATCTCCCTATCGCACACACCTCAGCCTGAAATATGCTGGTGTGCGTTCCCAGAGATTCATGGTAAAATACCCGAGGACCCACCACTCCAAGGCCGGTGCCCTGATTCGTGAGTGATCCATCGGTGTACCATTTTATGGTGTGCGGTTTCATGGGATGGACTTCATCCAGAGTTGTCCATTCCCTTTTACTACTCATACGAACTGTGAAATTTCGCTCGAATATGTATTCGGCTACCATTTCGTCCCTTGGTTGCGTCAGTAGGGGTAGTTCGTTTGAAAGGAGTTGGGCATCTTTATGGCTTAGGATATGGTTGCCCCCAACTCCTTCTGCCGATATCCTAAGAAGCGTGGCTTTCTGCTTGAACCTTATGATATGGTGGAGTGGTGTGAGCTCCATTAAGGCTTCAAGGGCCGTTGTTGGGCAGGTGCGCATAGCTCCTGTCATACATACGCAGGCCATTCTTTGCAACTTTTGTAGTTGTTTCTTCACGGTGATCATCCGCGCCCTGTCACCCCATGCTACCACCCCATAGGTTAACATGGGTCTTACTACCATCAGGTATAGCCATCTTAATATCTTTGGTGATGAAACCCTTGATTTACCGGCAATACTACGACATGTATAAAGCGTCCTGGAACACTTTAATATCGTGTTTTGCACATGGGTGCCAAAGTTAAGTCTGCTGACAAATGTGACTCCCAGGTATTTGACCTCCCTACTCGTTTCAAGTAGGGTCCCTGAGAGTCATATTTGTCTCATCCTCTGTAACTTATGTCGTCTGGTAAAGGGAACGATGACTGTTTTCGTAGGGTTTAGGTTGAGTCCAACCTCCATGCACGAGTCATTCATTATTCTTAGCCCTGACTGGACTATGTCACAGAGTGACTCTTCAAATTTGCCTCGCGCTATGATAACAATGTCATCGGCATAACCTAGACATTGAATACCACTGTTGGCAAGTCTGTTTAGTAGTTCGTCTACTAACAGACTCCAGAGTAGCGGAGACAACACCCCCCCTTGGGGACAGCCTTTGGTGGTTAGGGCTGTTACAGTGCTATCATGTAATGATGCCGTGGCTTGTCTGGACCGTAGCAGTGCCATTATCCATCTGCTGGTGGTATGGTCCAGGCCTCTTCTTTCAAGAGTAGCATTGATTGCATCGTGCGATGTGTTATCAAAGGCACCTTCTATATCTAAGAAGGCACACAGTGCTACTTCCTTATTATCAATTGCCGCACTCAAAGTACGTCGCAGCTGATAAAGTGCTGTGTCCGTGGACCTGCCTACTCTGTATGCATGCTGCAAATCAGAAGCAAAGTGCTTCTGATTTTATATTCCACCAGCTTTTCCAACGT